ATAATGATTTAAATTTCATCTAATCTATTTTACTTTCTATACCAATCTATTACTTTAGATAAAGTTCCAAAAGAGTTTGGTTTCTCTTATAAGGTTTAAACAAATTATTAAATTGATTTTTCACTATCATCTTATTATAAAACTAATTCTGACAACATCATTGAAGCATAATCATTTTTTGGATTCAATTTTTATAATATTTTTAATTTTTATTCGCATGAAATCTTATCACCATTTTAATAAAATGTTTCTGCTTATAACTAAATCAAACTTTCATTTGTAGGTATGAATTTAATACCATCATCTATACAATCTAATGTTGCCTTGTAATTTCTTTCATTATAAAAGAAATACCTAGCTTACTCTAAAAATATTAATCCCAATTATTCCTTTTCCTTATTTACATTAGCAGCTTCTTATTTACTTTTTTCAATAACATCTTTTTATGTTTGAACTGCAAATTCAAATGCCTTTCTTATTTTTTCTATTAATTTTTAAGATTCTGCCATCAATTATTATTAAATCTTCTCTTTTTCAGCATTTTAAGCTTAATTAAATGTAGCCTATTATAATTTAGTAACCATTCTTGCAATTAACAGAAATCCTTAAGCATTTGCTTTTAAAGTTGTCAATGTTGGTGCAGCATAATCATCAGTTACAAATTTCTCCCAAACTAAAATTTATTCAGCTTTTTTGATATTATTCATTCTCAAATATAATCTGCCTAAATCTACTAATAAATCTTGTCTTCCTGGAGTCTTTTATAAAGCAGCTTCATAATAATTAACTGCTTTCTGATAATCATATGTCATTGTAAGTGCATTACCAATAATTCTTGTAATTTCTTCATCTTCTGGATTCAATTCAGCAGCTTTTTAATAACTTAAAACTGCTTCTTAAGGTTCATTTATTTTCATAAATGCTTCTCCAATTAATTTATAATTTTCTGCTGTTGGTTCAGCTTCAATAATTTCAGCATAACATTTTGTATAATTTCTTCGATCCTTTAAATACTTTAAATAGACATCAGCTAATATGATTCTTGAATTAACAAAATTTGGTTATCCACTTTAAACAGCCTTAAGAATATTAATTGCTTTCTTAATATCTCCACTTTCTATTGCTATTTCACTATTAGCCATCATAATTGTGCTTTCATGAGGACTACCTGCATATTCCTAGATAGCTTTTTACATAATCTTTTTTGCTTCAGTTTCTTTTTTATTAATTGCATACACTTTAGCTAATAATACAAAAACTTGACATTTATCTTTTTCTGTAAATTATACAATTTTTGATTTAACTTTAGTTTTATTCTTATATTTTCCTGCAACTAGTTCATAGGCTGCTTCTAATGTAATTTATGCATTCTTATAATCTTCAGTTCTAAACTCAACCTCTCCCTTAACTAACATAAATAATGGATTTTCTCTTATTGCAAAATTATTAGATATGGCTTAATTTAAGGAATTTGCTGCTAAATTAATCTATTTAGTCTTAATAGAAATTAATGCATGTAATATATATCCATCTTCATTTTTAGGATCTAATTCTAATACTCTATTAATGGTTTTTAATGCTTCTTGTGGATCTCCTAATGCCATTTTACCAGTTGATAATAATAATTAAACATTTGTTAATCCAGGGGCTTATCTTGCAATACTTTCTAATAGTTTTGTTCCTTTTCCAATACCTGAAGTTGGCAATTCCTTACCTGCTAACATTAAGTTTGTGGATAGATTTCTAAGATACATTTAAGCTATTGTAAATGTGAAATCTGGATTAAACTTTATATAAAATTCATATCCAGGTAGTAATAATTTACTTTAAGTTAAATGAAGTTTAAGTGTTTCTTCAATAAATTACTAAGCAATAGGAGAATCAGTTCCTTCTGACTTTTTACTTTCTAGTAGGGCTTATAAAAATGCAATTTCAGTTGTTCTTCCAACAGAAACTTAAACTTCTTATACAAATTCCAATTATTTTTCTGCATCATCAATTACTCCTTATAATATTTTACATTAAATCATTCCAGCTAAAGATTCCATTCTTCCTTCATCCAAAGCTGCTGCTTCTTAGAAAAAACCATAAGCCTTCTCATAGTCCTCTAACATCAAAGTTTCTTAAGCTAATTCTAAACACAAATCACCTAATAATGGAGCTATTTTTCTTGTTTTCTAAATTTAACTCATAGTCAATTAGAGAATTTATTGATTTCTTCCTGAAACTCTTGATAACAATTAACAACAATTCAAAATTAATGAAACATTATCTTCTTCTTATTTTTAAATGGCATTAAATAATTCTTCAATTTTTTCTAAGGATTCTCTTACATCTCCTTTTCTTGCCAAATTGTAGAATGCTATCGCTTTCAATCCAAATATATTAGTTGGATCATCATAGAGTATTTTATTGGCTAAATCCTAAAATTATTCCCAATCTTAAATAAATATACAAAATCGCAACTTCTCAACATCTGTAAATGGAAAATCTCTCCAAACAATCATTAATTCATTTAAAGCATCTAATGTTATTGGATATTTTTTATTTATTTCTGAAGCCTTTGCTAAACCTAGTAAATATTCAATAGGCTTTTAATTGAATTACCCTAATGATAATATGAGTTAAAATACCACCAATGCTCTAAAAGAAATCAAGTACTTCAACCACATTTATTTATTCATCCTTTTGTAATAATTTATACCACCCTAAAGTGATTTAACTTATAGGTTGTCCTTATGATAATAATTCTAAAACTTCCTTTGCCTTTCTACCTTCATCTACAAACAAATAGAAATAAATGGCACTCTAAAATGCTCGATCATTTGGAGTCTTTCGACCCTCGCTTTACATTTGTCTACAAGTTTCAATAATTTCCTATAAAATTAAACTTTCGCTCATACCCTATCAACACCACGTTGTTACTATGAATAGTAGATAAGTGCTGCTGAAGTTGCAAATTAAAATTCTTTTTTATTTCTAATAAGTGTTAACTCATTTATTGCTTCATTCAAACTTCCACTTTTGAAATAGCAGAACGCCCTCCAAAATTGAAAGAATGGATCTTGAGTTCTTTGATAAAACTAAGTATATTCATCTTAAATTACCTTATGACACAGCACCTATGTTGATTTCCATAAACCTTCTCTTAACAAGTAAAAAACTTGAGATTATTGAATAAGTAAATCGCTACTCATTTATATAAAAAAAGAAAAATAAATAAAATTATAGCAGTTAAGATCAGAGCAATTTAACTAATTACCCTTCCTTCCAAATTCCTTTGGTAATGTATTATATTCCACCTCCCTTATGAAATTCTCCTTATCCATGTTATAGTCCATTCTTCCATTGACCTATGTATTTCCGACCATCAAAATAAGAAAATATTCCAAAGCCATGTTTTTGATCATTCAAATATTCGCCCTTATACGAACGCCCATCAGACCAAGTCATGAGTCCTTTTCCATTCATTTTGCCATTAAACCATTCTCCTTCATAGATTCTCCCATCTTACCATCTCTAATTATTTCAAGATTAATATATACATATGTTCCTTATCCATTGATATTATCGAATTGAAATTCACCTTCATAAATTTCTCCAATATTAAATGTTAATTTCCCTGTTCCATGTTTTTCTCCATCTAGAAAACTACCCACATAAACAGAACCATTAGCATACCATTCTATACCCTTTCCATTAGGCAAATCTCTTTCCCAACTACCTTTATGTTAATTTTATTGCATAATACCTTCATATTTGCATCCATTATTATAATTGTATGTACCTTAACCATGCATTTTATTGTATTACCATTGTCCTCGATAATAGGTCCCTTCCTTACTTTTAAATTCGCCTTTGCCATGAAATAATCCTTTTACAAATTCTCCTAAATAATAAGATTAATCAGAAAAAATGTATTTGCCTTTGCCATCTGGTAATGAATCCAGCCATTCTCCATTATATGTGTTCCCACCAATTAATTTAATTGTATCGAATTTTTGTCTCTTATGATTTTGTTATTTTAATTTTATTTAGTCATTTGCCTAGAGTATCTCTAAAGTCAAGACACAACGAAAATTAAATGAATTTATTTTCTCTTTTTAATTTTTAAGAGTCCCTGGACAATTTTTAGAAGATTAAAGATATTTTTAAAAAACAGTTTAGTCGTTTTAATTCAATTCTTCGAAATCGGATTAATCTGTTTCCTTTGGTTTTAATTTGAGACTTAGTTAACGTTTAAAATTTTAGTGAGCTCTTTGTTATTAATTGTTTTGGATACTAGAAAGTGTCTTGGAAACATCAGATTAATTAATTTTAGGAGAATATGAGTTAGTATGATACTCAATAATGTAATCTTCAGTTGAATTACATTTAACCTGATTTTTTGGTCCTTTTTCTGCTAATTTTAAGCTTTAAATAAATATCTAATTCTACTTTAATTTTTATCTGGTAATGTAGGATCTATAGGCTGATTAAATTTTAATTGCCATTCTATGATTTTAAGGGGATTACTTAATTGTAATGTTCTAGATTCTACCTGATTTGAGTGGCTCTTACTTCTACATACATTAATTACATGAGCCCATTATTAAATAATTATTTAAAACTAATTAAATAATCTTTTACAAATATTAACTGAATACTTCTACTTTAAAGTCACTGATATTCATTTAAGTAATGTCATATAATGAAACATAAATTTATTATGTAAAATAATACCATAATTTATGAAAAAATGTATAAGTTGTATTAAATAGAATTTTACAATAATTTATTTAATTTTTTATGATGATTTATAGCCAAATATGATGTTCTGTATTACAGAATTAATGATCTATTGAGGAGGTATTCTGAGTGTAAAATATATAATTTTTGCTTCTATCTTTTAATAATTAATATAATTATGGACCCAAGAAAGAAAGTTAAAGTTTAATAATATGAAGATGAGGAAGAAATGGAATATGATGAAAGAAATGATTAATAATAGGATATGTAATTTAGAGAATAGAATATTGAATTATTTGATGAAAGACAATTAAGAGAAATGATATTTCAATTTGAAAATAATTACAAACTAAACTCTGATTTGAGAATGAGATATCCAAATCAACCTGATAAATTTATAGATTCTGAAGTTGATTTAGATGAAGATTTAAGAAAACTCTTAATCTTACCTGCATATCCTCAATTATATCCAATATTTTATAGTAGTAATGCTATTCAGATTGTGATATAGTTGTTATTACATAATAATCTGTCTATTTCATATGATGTAATTCAATTTTTAAAGGAATTGGTGGCTCCTGATGGTGAAGTTGAACCTAAAATAATTCTTCAATTATATGATTGTCTTATCAGAAATTATTTGATTGAATCATTAGGAGAGTTGATTGTAAAGAATGAAGAGAAAACTTAAGAGGAAGTTAATTTATTACATGATTGTTTTGAAGTTATTGAAAATATGGTAGACATCAAATCATCAATAAGTAAAGAGATTGGTATTCGTTCCAAGATTATTTAATATTTGGTGAAAAGAGTTGAAGATAATAGTCAAACTTTAGATGATAATAGATTATATGCTTCAGAATTATTAGTTATACTTACTTAGTAGACAAAGGAAAATTTGGAAATCATTGGTAGAAGTGGTGGAATTGAAAGTTTACTGATGGTCTTAAATTAATATAGAAAAAAAGATCCAGAATCAGCAGAAGAGAAAGAAATATTAAATAATGTTTATGATTTACTTACATTACTTTTAATTTAAGAAGAAAATTAAGATTATTTTTAAAGTTATGAAGGACTTCAATTAATGATCAAAATTATTCAAGGAAAGACCTCATCTTCCATAAGAGCTTATAGTTTAATCCTATTGGCAATTAATAATCATAAAGAAAATTGTTAGAAGTTAATTTAAATAGGAGGATTATCTATTATATTTCCTATTTTAGAACGTAAGGGATTAAAACATAAGGATTAAAATAAATAGTTTGAAATTGATGAAACTACTGTTTAGATTATCAAATAATTGCTTAGAAGAAATACTGATATTACTTTTAAATAAAGAATATTTGAAAAATGTGTTGAAAAATTAGAGAGTCTTAAAAAACTTAGAAATGAATATGTAGAGGTGATTCCCTTGATTGATCCTGAAGAATATGATAATTTAGATGAAAATTAATTATAGAAAATCTATTTTGATTTATTGGGAAAGGGATTAATTGTTATTGAGTCTATCGATGTCATATTATTAGAATTAATTTATAAAGATTTAGAAGTGTAAATAGATAAATAAGAAATTATAAGCTCAGTGAAATAAATGTTAAAATACACTGGAGAAAAGGAAGATATTGAATACTATAACCCTCTTCTTTAGAAATTTGAAGTAAATCTATAATGATTAAAATAATAATTGGTATTTTATTAATAAATATATTATAATTATGTAACAGGAAAGCATATATAACTTGATTCCTAAGGAATACGTACCTCCTCCAAAAGAACCAATGTATCGATCGGCATATCCAAGTGGATTGACACCAACTGGCAGCACATTCAATAATCATACAACTAGTCGACCTAAAGTAGTTGTATTATTTTATTCAGGTTAATAATATCAATGGAGATTTTGAGTTAGTCAGGGGACCACATACTCATAAGGGATAATCCAATTCTCTTGGAAGACCTAGGGGTAATTTCACTTTGAATTTTTATAGGATCATACTAACCTGATTCTACTATGTTCAGATTGAAAAATACTGGAACAATGGGATCAAACCAACTCCCAGAAGGTAATATATAATAATCATGAAATAGTTAAACAATATAAATATCCTCCTTCAGTCAGACCTCCTGTACCCAAAAAGGATGAAAAGCCGATTCATGGACTTAAATCAAATAAAAATTTCATAGTGACGAATGCAGTAGAAAATATACTAAGTGCACCAAAATAAATAGTAGATGAAAAACCATGGACTGAAAAAAAGGACTATGGTAAGGTACCTGACTATCTTACAAAAATATAATAAAGCATTTCAAGTGAATATGAAATTATTAGAAATATGCATATAAGTGAAGCTGAAGAAATGGATAAATAAAAATATTTGATGACTTAAGAAGAAGTTGAATAATTAAAAAAGGGATTAAAAAAGAAATGGGAATCTGTTAATAAAGAATACTAATCAATTACACATATTCGAATGATTGATACTGTTGGATTGAAGAGAAAGTAATAAATAATCCTTATTATTTTTATAGAAAAGAGTAATGTGAAAAGGAATTGGCTTAATTGGAGAAAGATATTGAAAAATTAAATAAAAATTATGTCTTTGTTGACACATAAAAATGATGATCATCCCAAAAATATATATATATATAAAATCATATTAAACTTTGGCGCTTTTATTAATTAATTAATTTATATGGGAATTCATCAACTTATGCAATTTCTTAAAGAGAAAGCACCAAATTGTTTTAGGACTTTGATGCTTGACTATTTTGCTGGAAGGTAATAGTATTATTTAACATATAGAACTATCGGTTGTGATGCATCTATGGCTATGTATTAATTTTTAATTTAAACACAATCTGCAGGATAAACATAAATTATAGAGTTAACAGATAAAGATGGAAATAGAACTGGACATCTTGTTGGATTATTTAATAGAACATTGCAATTTCTTGAAAATGGAATTAAACCTGTTTGGGTATTTGATGGAAAGCCTCCTTAATTAAAAAGTGGTGAATTGGCAAGAAGAAAGAAATTAAAAGATGAGGCTTAAGTTAAAACTGAATTGGCTCTTGAATAAGGTGATATGCAATAGGCGTTGCTTTAACATTAAAGAACAACAACTATTTCTAGTACTATGAAAGAAGATGCAATAAAAATGCTGAAATTGATGGGATGTCCAGTTATTATTGCACCATGTGAAGCAGAAGCCTAATGTGCTGAATTATGTAGAGCAGGAAAAATATATGCTACAGCAACTGAAGATATGGATGCTTTAACATTTAGAACACCTGTTTTATTAAGAGGATTCAATACAAAAAAGGAACCAATTTATGAAATTATTTATGATGATATGATAAAAGAGTTAGAATTAACATATGAATAATTTGTAGATTTATGCATTTTAGTAAAATTATTTATCTATTTTTCAGTGTGGATGCGATTATACTGAAAAAATTGAAGGCATTGGACCTGGAACAGCCTATAAACTTATAAAAGAATATAAAAATATTGAAGGAATTTTAGAACATGTTTAAAAAGTAAATGAAGAAAGACAAAAAAATAATTAAAATCCTAAATATACAGTACCTTCCAAATTTTTGTATTAAGATAGTCGAGAATTATTCATAACACCATTAGTTTAAAAGGGGGACGAAATTTAAGTATAATTACAAACTAATTTCTAGTTAACTTGGAACAAACCAGATGTTGAAAATCTGAAAAAGTTTTTAATAGAAGAAAAAGGCTTTGCAGAATCAAGAATCGATAATGGACTAAAAAGGATTGCTAAAAAGGATCATACTGGTTTCTAAAGTAGATTGGAGAATTTCTTTGGTAAAACCACAAAAGTTATTCATCCAAATAATAGTAAAGCAAAAGGAAAATCTAATAAAAAGAATGAATAAACTTAAAAATCAAATGGAAAGAAAAAAATGTGATTTATATATATATTAAATTTCTTTATTTTTAGTTAAAGTCTAAGGTTTTGATTTCAAAGATAAATCAAATTTAGTTTAACATTAAATGATTAAATTACGAAATTAAAACTTAGATTCTTATGGGTCATAAATTTTTAATTTATTTTAATTAAAAATGGAACACAAATCTTAATTTATAATTCAGGATGACAAATATAGATTAAGGATTAGCAAGTACACGATCATATTAATGAGATTATATCAGCTACAATATAACCCATTTTTAAGTTTTTGTTGTTTTTCCTTAATTTCTTAAATATATTGATTAGATTTATAAATAGGGAAATTAAAAATGCTATTTTTTTATTGAGAAAATTAATGGTTTTAAATGCAAATACTATTAACAAGATTTAATCCCCTCATTATTCAAGAAACACTTGTAAAATTAATTGATGAGTTTGAACAATATTATTTAAATGTTAGTCCTTTAATTTATAAAATAAAAAAGTAAATTCAATAATGATTTAGAATAATTTACAAATTGATTTTTGAAATAATTATATTAGAACTTATAATAAGTGAATAAATAATTAGATTTTAGAAATATATAAATAATCCAAGAATTGATCATCAATAATCTTAAAAAATTTAATAATCCTATCCTATTTTACAAAGGCATTGAAAAATGATTGATTATGAAAATTATACTACATGTTTCTATATGAATTATTATAATTTTTTTATTTAATAAATAAATTAGCTTAAATTTATATTGAATGACTGACAACCAATTTGATAATTAGAATGAATTTGATGAAATGGTAAACTTCAACTTTGTCATTCGTAAAAATATCATTCATTCTAGATATTCATTTAAAAAAAAGAAGCGCTAGAAAAACACAAACAATTATTGTTGGCATTCCAGATGAATTTGATTTGAATAAAATTATTAGATTTTGGAAGAAAGTATAATTAATTCTTAGTTATAGCAATTTAATTGTACAGGTGGTATTATATCTAAAGATGAGGATTATGGAGATTAAGTAACAATTAGATTGACAGGAGATAATAGATAATAAATTGCTAAATTTTTAGTGGAAGAAGGAATAGCTTTATAAGATAACATTAAAGTTCATGGTATTTGATATATCAAATGATATTTATAAACTATTTAATTATTGCCAATCATTCCTATATAAATATGAATATATAGGAAATTCTATAAAAATGAAAACATAAATAGATATTGATAATGGAATAAACTAAGAGGATATATATCATAAATCATAATTTTTAGCTAAAATAATCATTAATGTTGAGATAGTTTTGGTGATCTTATAAATAAAACATTGTTGTAAATTTTTATGTTAGCAAATAAAAAACAAATAAAAGATATTTGAATTTACATAGATGAAATTTAAGATTTGATGTGTATTAACTACTAGTAATATATATTAACGAATTAGATATTAATTATATTATGTTAATATCTAATTAATTATAATTTTTTTATTAATATATATAATTTCAAATAATATACAAACTTTTTATAAATACATCTAAATTTTTATGTTGCATCAATTAACTTTTGTAATTCTATTTATTTATATATTATAATTAATTAAATATCGTCATTAATTAATTTAATATTCACTATGTAAGAGCAAACCTCATAATAAAATTATGGCAATTCAAATAAGAAAGGAGACAAGTCAATAAATCAGATAATCTAAATTATTAAATTATTAATTGATATCCTATTTGAAATATGGAAAATACCCTTTAAGCCATAATAAGTTTAAGAAAATTCATAGATCTAAGAACATTAAAAGAAGAGTAATGAGAGTAATGATATAAATAAACATTTGAATGATAATAAAGAGAATTAGGAAGAAACTATAAATAAAAATAATCTAAATTCGAATAAAGAAAATTTTAGAAATTAACAAAAATAATAAAAATAGGAAGAATAAGAATAATAAAAAGAATAAGAATAATAATAACAACAATAATAAGAATTATAATTAATAATAGAATAATAATAATAAGTATAATAATAATAATAATAATAATAATAATAATAATAATAATAATAATAATAATAATAATAATAAGAATAAGAATAAGAATAAGAATAAGAATAAGAATAAGAATAAGAATAATAATAATAATAATAATAAGAATATTAAATAATAATAGAATAATAATAAGAATAAAATTAATAACAATAAGAATAAGAAATAAAAAATTTGAATGTAGAACACTCATAAGATGATTTAAAGTAGAATATATCTAATTAATAAAAAGAAATTCCTTAAATTGAATAATAATCTGAAAATTTAGAAATATCTCATTAAGTAGAGTATAAATACTTAACATAAGAAACTTTAGATTTGCTTAATGAAATTGCTAATAAATCTTATAAAGCAAGAAATGTTGAGAGATAATTTTAAAAGTTTATTGGTCAAGTTAATAATATTTAGGATACAATTAAACATTATTTTGGAAGAAGTTAAAGTAAATTTTCAAAATAGATTAAGTAACTGAAAAAAGAAATTATTGGACATATCAATATAAGAGGAGATGGAAACTGTTTTTATACATCTTTCATATATTAATATTTATCACTTCTTTTAAATGATGAAAAGAGAAAAATCTAGTTTATCAATTAGATTGAAGAACTCTCTGCAAATATAGAATGTTTAAATATTAAAATAAATTAAAATAAAGATATAGTGAAAGAGTTTAGTTGGAAATTTTAGTAAATAAAAACAAAATAGTAATTGTTAAATGAAATGAGTAATCCAGATTATTTATTTTATTTACTATCTGTTATTGTTTTTAGGAATTATTTTACTCATATTTATTAATAAAGTGAAGAGTATGCTTAATTTGGTGATTTAAATATTTTTGTTGATCTTATGATATGGGAATAAGAGTGTAATAATAATGAAATTTTGATAGCTGCATTAGTAGAAAATCTTAAATTGTAATAACTTACTTTAATTTAATTTTAGACATCTAATCCTATATTTCATAGATATCAAAAATAATAGTTATGAGAAGAAGGAATACAAACCTAAATAACAAAGTGAAGGTATAAAAATATAAAAAATCTTTATGTTATTAAGTCCAGGACATTATTAAATCGCTATACCTATATGATACAAAATATTATTAAGTAAATAATAATTTATAAATTTAATCATATTATTTCTTAAGATTACAAGAAACCATTATTCTATTATTTTGTTTTTCTATTTGGAATAATCAATAAACATATTTTTAATAATATAATACTTAAAATTATATTTTATGTAAAATAAAAATTACAAGAACATAAATCTTTCTGGTTTTGGTGAGTGGGGAAAAACAGAGAGAAATCCAAGTGCACTTTTAATTTAATAATTGTCCCCATAATAATAACATGATTTTAATATTTAATCCATTAAAATTCTCAAAGTTACTAAAGAAGCATGTGATGATTATTTAAGTTAAATCAATAATAAAAATGCTATAAATATTCATCTCGGGTTGTTTGATGAATTATAAAATTTTCAATTAGAGATGTGTGCCTATAATAAATTAGATTACCAATTAAGTGATTTTAATGGATGTAAAATAAGAAGAGCAAAAATAGATTAAGAAATAGATATGGATGAATAGATAAAATCATCTTTAAACATATCTCAAATTATTTTCTAATTATAACAACTTGGTTATTAAGTAAATAAATCATACGATCCAGGTAGGTTTCTTTGCAATTATCTATATTATCAATCATTAAAATAAAATCCAAAAACAATATTTCTGCATGTACCACTCTATGAAACGATAAAATAAGAGAAATAATTATAATTTTTGATTGACTTAATATAAACTCTCCATAATACTAATAATGAGTAAGATATAATTAAAAACAACTGAAATTATGAGCGAAACTTAAAATTATTATAAGTCAATCAAATTTAATTCTATTCAACATTATTTTTTCCTCATTTTTAACATTTAAGAAATAATTTTGGTACTTTATAAATTAATATCTATTTCTTTACTCAATCTATATAAATTATTTTCTCTCCAGTATTATTTTCTATCATTTTTATTTCTATTTCTGAAATTGTTTATGAAATAATGTCTTATTATGATAAATGATAAATTTCTTATATAAATGAGGATAAAATTAAAGCTTAATTAATTGATCATATTCTGTGGATGACTATAATTTTGGATTGATATAATTAATAAAAGGAATATGAAATAGAAATGAATTGAATTTAATTAATATTAATATAAATATTATGGAAGTCAAATATCGCCCACCACTTAATGATGTGTAAAATATATATCCTATTATATTAGTAATGAATGCAATTGGTTAGAAAAAAACTTTGTATCATGTTTGAAGGAGAAGAGTGTGAAAGATGATTTACCAAAAAGAGTATGCAAAGTTGAGAATGTAAACATAAATAATATTAAAAATAAGATTCTTTGGTTTTTTTTGGAATGCCCTGAAAGATCTGGACCTTATGAGGATGCAAATTAATTAAGGAATATTTATATAAAACAAAAATTAGCAGATTTGAATCCAACTGTGCCTGAACCCAGGAAAAGAAAATGAGAGTGCATTTTCATAATAATAATAATAATAATAATAATAATAATAATAATAATATAATAAAAATAATTATTAAGCAATCTCTACGAAATCATAAAACTTTAGATTGGAGCAAAGATGAGAATTCTTCTAATGAAATTTTGCCATCATTATCATTATCGCATTCCTTTAAAATTTGTATCCAAATCTGGTTAAATTACACTTAAATACCTCATCATCAATATCCCCCATAACATTTTATAATTCTGCTTTGGAAATATAATTATCACCATCTAAATCAATAACTTTAAATGCTTATTCCATTTTTTAAACTGATAAAAACTTTTCTTAATTCATAGCAGCAATTAGAAATTCTAAATATAATTAAATAGTTTTACCAGTAAAATCAACTTCTCCTGATCGATTGATATCAACTAATTCCATAATATGATCTACTTAAATGATGGCTAATTCTTAATTATTAGTAACTTAAGTATAACCATCAATTAATTCTTATCTTGATAATTTGCCATCTCCATTTTTATCAATAGCTTTAAAAGTCTTATTTAATTCATCTTATTCTTATTAAGTAATTATTTATGTAGCCATAAATGTCAAAACTGCTTATTTAAATTTACTTTTAGCATGAAATTGTTATAGATTTTACAATGCCTTTTAATTGATGACATTAGAAGGTGCATTATTTTAAATCCATTTATCATTATAAGCTTCTTCAGCACTTAAACGCTTAGCTGGATTTGGATTAAGCATATTCTTAATAAGATTTTAAGCATCTTAACTAATATGAGCCCAATCTTCATGATCAAATTTTAATTGAGCTGCTTTTACTCTTTTAAGTATTTCAGATTCACTTCTACCAGAGAATGGAGGATATCCACATAATAAAATGTACAAAATAATCCCACAAGACCAAACATCACATTTTTCATTATAATTTTCCAAAAGAACTTCAGGTGCTATGTAATAAGGTGTGCCTAATCTTTTAGTCATTCTCTTTCCTGTTTCAAATTTTCTAGAAGTTCCAAAGTCTATTACTTTAAGATCTGCATCAAGTGATTCAGATACAAAGAGTAGATTTTCTGGTTTTAAATCTCTATGTACTATCTTTTGGTTATGACAATACCAAACAGCACTTAGTATTTATCTCATTAGTTCTGCAGCCTTCTTTTCACTAAAGAAGTTCATACTCTTTATACGATCAAATAGTTCTCCCCCAGAACAATACCTATCCTCAATGAATTTAGTACTTACTCGGTTACCAAATAGTAATTTTTATCATCTTCGAATAATTCATACAATTTTACAATGTGTGGATGGTCTAAATACTNAATAATAATAATAATAATAATATAATAAAAATAATTATTAAGCAATCTCTACGAAATCATAAAACTTTAGATTGGAGCAAAGATGAGAATTCTTCTAATGAAATTTTGCCATCATTATCATTATCGCATTCCTTTAAAATTTGTATCCAAATCTGGTTAAATTACACTTAAATACCTCATCATCAATATCCCCCATAACATTTTATAATTCTGCTTTGGAAATATAATTATCACCATCTAAATCAATAACTTTAAATGCTTATTCCATTTTTTAAACTGATAAAAACTTTTCTTAATTCATAGCAGCAATTAGAAATTCTAAATATAATTAAATAGTTTTACCAGTAAAATCAACTTCTCCTGATCGATTGATATCAACTAATTCCATAATATGATCTACTTAAATGATGGCTAATTCTTAATTATTAGTAACTTAAGTATAACCATCAATTAATTCTTATCTTGATAATTTGCCATCTCCATTTTTATCAATAGCTTTAAAAGTCTTATTTAATTCATCTTATTCTTATTAAGTAATTATTTATGTAGCCATAAATGTCAAAACTGCTTATTTAAATTTACTTTTAGCATGAAATTGTTATAGATTTTACAATGCCTTTTAATTGATGACATTAGAAGGTGCATTATTTTAAATCCATTTATCATTATAAGCTTCTTCAGCACTTAAACGCTTAGCTGGATTTGGATTAAGCATATTCTTAATAAGATTTTAAGCATCTTAACTAATATGAGCCCAATCTTCATGATCAAATTTTAATTGAGCTGCTTTTACTCTTTTAAGTATTTCAGATTCACTTCTACCAGAGAATGGAGGATATCCACATAATAAAATGTACAAAATAATCCCACAAGACCAAACATCACATTTTTCATTATAATTTTCCAAAAGAACTTCAGGTGCTATGTAATAAGGTGTGCCTAATCTTTTAGTCATTCTCTTTCCTGTTTCAAATTTTCTAGAAGTTCCAAAGTCTATTACTTTAAGATCTGCATCAAGTGATTCAGATACAAAGAGTAGATTTTCTGGTTTTAAATCTCTATGTACTATCTTTTGGTTATGANAAAATAAGATTCTTTGGTTTTTTTTGGAATGCCCTGAAAGATCTGGACCTTATGAGGATGCAAATTAATTAAGGAATATTTATATAAAACAAAAATTAGCAGATTTGAATCCAACTGTGCCTGAACCCAGGAAAAGAAAATGAGAGTGCATTTTCATAATAATAATAATAATAATAATAATAATAATAATAATAATATAATAAAAATAATTATTAAGCAATCTCTACGAAATCATAAAACTTTAGATTGGAGCAAAGATGAGAATTCTTCTAATGAAATTTTGCCATCATTATCATTATCGCATTCCTTTAAAATTTGTATCCAAATCTGGTTAAATTACACTTAAATACCTCATCATCAATATCCCCCATAACATTTTATAATTCTGCTTTGGAAATATAATTATCACCATCTAAATCAATAACTTTAAATGCTTATTCCATTTTTTAAACTGATAAAAACTTTTCTTAATTCATAGCAGCAATTAGAAATTCTAAATATAATTAAATAGTTTTACCAGTAAAATCAACTTCTCCTGATCGATTGATATCAACTAATTCCATAATATGATCTACTTAAATGATGGCTAATTCTTAATTATTAGTAACTTAAGTATAACCATCAATTAATTCTTATCTTGATAATTTGCCATCTCCATTTTTATCAATAGCTTTAAAAGTCTTATTTAATTCATCTTATTCTTATTAAGTAATTATTTATGTAGCCATAAATGTCAAAACTGCTTATTTAAATTTACTTTTAGCATGAAATTGTTATAGATTTTACAATGCCTTTTAATTGATGACATTAGAAGGTGCATTATTTTAAATCCATTTATCATTATAAGCTTCTTCAGCACTTAAACGCTTAGCTGGATTTGGATTAAGCATATTCTTAATAAGATTTTAAGCATCTTAACTAATATGAGCCCAATCTTCATGATCAAATTTTAATTGAGCTGCTTTTACTCTTTTAAGTATTTCAGATTCACTTCTACCAGAAAATGGAGGATATCCACATAATAAAATGTACAAAATAATCCCACAGGACCAAACATCACATTTTTCATTATAATTTTCCAAAAGAACTTCAGGTGCTATGTAATAAGGTGTGCCTAATCTCTTAGTCATTCTCTTTCCTGTTTCAAATTTTCTAGAAGTTCCAAAGTCTATTACTTTAAGATCTGCATCAAGTGAATCAGATACAAAGAGTAGATTTTCTGGTTTTAAATCTCTATGTACTATCTTCTGGTTATGACAATACCAAACAGCACTTAGTATTTATCTCATTAGTTCTGCAGCCTTCTTTTCACTAAAGAAGTTCATACTCTTAATACGATCAAATAGTTCTCCCCCAGAACAATACCTATCCTCAATGAATTTAGTACTTACTCGGTTACCAAATAGTAATTTTTATCATCTTCGAATAATTCATACAATTTTACAATGTGTGGATGGTCTAAATTCTTCAATATATTCATTTCTGAAAACAATTTTTCTTTATCTTCTTTCAATATAGATGTCTTCTTTAATTATTTCATGGCTCGATCTAATTTAGTCTTTTTATGTGTCACTTTCCAAACCTTTCCAAATGCACCTTCTCCCAACACTTTACCAGTAATGTAATGATCTGATATTTGACCTTTCTTCAATTGAACAAAAACATCAACATTTACCTGTAATTTTTGATCCATTTCTAATATATTTTACTTATTTCATACTTTATAGAGATTGCTATTCAAGAATTTTCTTTCTATCAGTGTCTGAATTCTATCGCTCTAATAATTATTCTAATTCCTTTGAAACTTTCATTGAAACCTTCTTTGGTTCTTCATATACTTCCTTTCCATCATCAGATAAGTTTTGTTTCAATCCTAAACCGAAAGTTTATGCTGGAATATATGCTTAACGTTTGCTTGCAGTTGTTTGTTTAACAACTCTCTTTTATGATCCTTAGTCATTATCTCCAAAAGCTGCAGATTGAACTGAAAGTTCTATTAAATCAAATCGTTAATTATTAATACCATCTTATGTTTGTAAATTTGACTTACAACAAGTTGCTCCCATTATTAAATTAATTTATTTCTAAAAACTATATATATATCATCAAATGACTAAATAATTATATATAATCTTTATCTGAATGAAATTAAACAATTTTATCAAAAAATAAGAAGATGAGAAATCCAAATAAAAATTAATAATTAATATTATAAAATGGGATCAACAATTACAAATAGTATGAAAGAGAATTAAAAAGAAATGCAAAAAGAAATGTAAAAGAAATAGTTAGAGATGATGTTAAAATAAAGATAAACTTAATTGGCTATGTAATTTGCTTCAGGCAAAGAATTTTTTAATTGGTTTGCTTCATTTTATGCTCTAATATTTCCATTATGTATCTTAGGGGCATTAAAAAAGAAGGTAAAGAAGATCATAATTTTAGTTAGAGTCCATTCCCCATTATTCCATTGATTCCTTTAGGTTTTGTATGTGGTTATTAGTATGATATGTATTATGGGTAAATAATAAAAATATTGAAGTGATAAAATGAAGAGAATAAGATTGGAAGCAGAAAGATTAATAGATAGTGAGCCTTAATTATTCTACTTTCCTAAGAATGCCCATATTGTATCATAAGAAGAATATGAAGAAATTTTGGGAATAAATAAAAACAAAAAATGATTATTATAAAATAATGTTCAAGTATAAATCATTTTGGAGATTGTATGCTTAAAGTTTAGTTTTAAGTATTCCATAGATAGTTACTGGTTATTTGTGCATGCAATATTTGGACTTTCCTTTATTAGACTATGAATGGTCTTATATTGGATTAGCTTCTAGTTGGTTGTTTTCACCATTGATGGTTTAAGTTACTCGATTTAAATTAATGGGTATAAATACAATAATGTTGGCTATTGGAATTATTGGATTATCAATTGAAGATTACTCTTCTTAATTAGTCTATAAGATCTTTACTTGCTTAATTGGTATAATTGTAGGATGTGATTGGTTATTAACAATAAGATTCATAAGAGAATAAGTAGGATGGGAGGAAAAAAGATCTGTGTATCTTAACAATAATCCAATAATCTGTTTTTTTCTAGGGACTTTATTAAGAATCAGTTATATTAAGAATTAGAATTTGGAAGATGAATAAATTGTAATTAGTAGTCTTGTAATATTGACTAATTCAATTAGATTGCTTTCGTTCCTTACAATTTTTGGTAAACAGACACTGGAGTATTATTATAGAAAATTTAAAGAGCTTTAAGGTAGAGTGATAATAAAGAATGAATTCTCAGGTAATATTAAAGAAATAGAATATTTTTATATATCTAATAATGAAGCATACAGTGAATTAAATAGAAGAACAAGTGCCTTATTTAGTAAATAATATCGTAAAAGATTTTTTGGATGTGTAATTTTAGCACTTTTATCATGGTTCTAATTCAACAATCACAATTATTTTCCATAACCTGATGAAATTTTTAAACATCCATTACGCTATTTTATTCCTGCCATTCTTACAATAGCTGTTCTAAGTCAAATAATATATAGAAAATTTAGTATAATTTTAATTTAATCCAAGATGTAAGATATGCTATGATTTTTTTCAATATTTTATTGCTAATATTAAGTATCCTTCATTTAATGAAAATTAAATTAAGATTGTAAGATCAAGAAATACTCATTAATTTTTCAATGTTACTTAGTTACATTATTTACTATATAGGTCTTAATCTACTGATTACACAATAATTGCCTTATAAAGGTATCACATATGCATTAAATTTAACTTTTGTATCCTTATGTGGAGCATAACAGATTAGTCATTTAATTACATTATAGGTGCAATCAAACGAAAATTGCTGGCTTAAATACATTTAAACAATAGCAAATATTCTATGTTTCCCAGTCTTACTATAATTAAAGAATGTTAAACAGCTTAGGGAATGTGAAATTTAATAAGTTTATGATTGAAATTCGTTTTAGTATTAAAATAAATATATATAATATTAAAAATATATGATAAAGTAATCACACTCCACGTATGCTGTTATATGTTTAGTGGCATTCTCTCAAGGAGTGATTAACCTTTCAGAATTGGCCATTTCATACTTGCTAAAAGAGGACTATGGAATGAATCCTACAGAAATGACATACATATAAGGTATTATCAGCATACCTTGGGTAATTAAACCTATATGGGGTCTTTGTACGGATTTGCTTCCAATATGCAGTTATAGAAGAAAGAGCTACCTCTTTATATTTGGTCTAATGGGATTTGTGTTATTTTATGCTCTATCCATATATGGTACAAAAGATGCAGTAGCAGGTGTGTCTATTTTATTGAGCATTTAAATTTGTATAGCATTTTGTAATGTTGTTGCAGGTATTATTATTTAACAATGAAGAGGCTCTATTGGTTGAGATTTCGACCGGTAATGATAGTTCAACCAACAATGTCAGTTTATTTTTTGGATTTAAAGCATTTGGAACACTTATGACAAGTTATTTAAGTGGTTATTCTTTGAAATATTTGCAGAAATAATAAAGTAAGTAGAATAGCTATTTTAGTTTTTAGAATAACTTCAATATTTCCTTTGATAATTGCTGGAGCATCATTATTTTTGAATGAAGGTTAGCATAAAGATACTGATATTAAGAAGTAATTACAAGAATTACATCGATTTTTGAACATAAAAGCTATATACAAACCAATTGTGTTTATTTTTTGCTTTATGTTGTAACCTTCAACTTCCACAGCAATGTTTTATTTTTAAACTGTCTATTTGCATTACACAGCCGAATTTTTGGGTAAGATTAAGTTCCTATTTGCTTTGGCAAACATCACAGCTGTGAGTATATTTAATAGATATTTAAAAAACTATTCATTCAAATCTGTATTCTTTGTAACAACATTAACTTATAGTGTTGTAAACGCCTTACAGATATTATAAGTGACAAGAAGAAATGTTGAATTAGGTATAAAAGATGAAGTATTTTCATTATGTGATACATTACTTATGCAATTGATAGCTGAATTGAATATGTTACCAATTTTAGTATTGGCATGCAAGATTTGTCCATCTAAAATAGAAGGTACAATGTATGCATTATTGATGTCTACAATCAATTTAGGATAATTGGTTGCTAGATAGATTGGAGGGATATTGATGTACTTTTTGAGTATGATATTTTGTTAATATAAAAATAGATATAAATGAAGCTTCATTTGAGAATTTGTGGATAATGATAACAATGACCAGTGTGTATATATTGATATTGTTACCATTTCTATCTACAATAAAAGAAAAAGAGATGATAGAGTCAAAAGATGTGTATAATAAAAAAGATTTAGATGAGTAGGATATTATAGGAAAAGGATATGAGAGATTAAGCTTATCATTTGTGGACAGTTGATAATTTTTATATTACTAAATTAATAATGTTTAAGTAAGCACATTCTACTAATTACTTATTTAAATGATTGATATCATTATGATAAGTATCTTGATCTTAAAATTCAATATCATTTATATACATATCCTTTGAATAATATCATTTTATTTTATTCATCCAAATATTTAGAGAATGAGTATCAGATTATAGTGTATTATTTAATGACTTAAAAAAAGGTGAAACAGTTAGTTAGTATTTATTTAGAATAATGAATGTAAAAATAGTATATAGTAAACAATGCATAAATAAATCTACATTTAGTTAATGCATGATTAAATCAATTTAAGTTAAATTAGAATCAATTAGATTTAAATGTTGGGATATTTATTCTTATTATTTTGTTACAGTTAAAAAGGCCATTTATATGTTCTGCACTTTAGAGGCTTATAAATTAATCGAAATATTAATCATTGTATTTTTATAATAAAACATTAATGAAATTGTCATTACTTCAACTTGAACGTTCTTATTTGGATGCTCTTTCTGAGTTTGGTAAATATGCTCAAAATACACTACAATCATGTGTGACTCTCATAGAAACTCTTAATCAAACTGGTCGATAGTATATATAACAGAAACAGTAAGGTGAGAAATATTTTTAAAGAGCCATTGAATTAGCATCTGGATTAGAAATGGAAGAGTTACTCAATGTAAAATATTCTACTTATATGTTGTACGCAGAGTATCTTGAATATTAGCATAATAATAAGTAAGCTTATAATCTACTAATTCAATTACTTCCTTTGTCAAAAACCAGTTAAAAAAGTATTATAATGACATAAGTCTAAATCATGAATCATATAATAGAGAATGGAAGACTTTGCAAAATTTCAAATGTTGTACAATTAAATGAGAAGTTGCTGAATCTGATGTAAGAAATTGGTTTGACATTTTATCTTTATAAACAGTTCCCTAAGAAGTTTTAATAAATTCTATTATAAGCACTCTCATTCTAAGCCAAAATTTATCATAAATAAAATAAAGATAGAGAAGCAGCATCATTATATTTTTAATCATATCATCTATCTGAAGAATTGCTTGGGATTCATGAAAAGAGAACTCAAGAATATAAACGATTATATGAATTATTAAGTGATAAGATATCTTTAAACATAGAAATTTAAAGTCAGGATGAAGAAGAAGATGAGCAACCCTAACAAATTTAAATAACACCTAGAGATGAAATTCTTTAATCTTTTCGACCTAAAATAACTTCATTTAACAATTATATTATCAATGTAGATTCTGCTAGAGCACCAAAACTTTCTAAAAAGGTAGATAAAGCAGATAAACTAACTAAATCTTCATCTATTAACAAACCTAATCTTCTAATTAAAGATACACCCATATAATCTTTATTCATTATTAAAAATCAATCCAGAACTAGACCTACTAGTTCTTAAGGTACTTCTAAATTAACTAGTCCTACTTAAGGTGTCTCAATATTATCCAAAAAAACCACAGAGAGATTTCATACTAAAATGCTCTCTTTGGAATAGAGTGCCATAAGGACTCTAGAAGATGCTCATCCTCCAAATCTAACAAATGAATTACTCATTAATAGACCATAATATGAAACTAAATAATTTAAAAGGGTAGAATTTGTAAAATAAGAAAATTCTAAGTAAACTACATCCACATACTAAATTCAACTCACTATTCCAACTAGACCCTAAATAAGAGAACCCTCTAGAAATAACATAACAACAAAAGTTGATTCTAAAAAACTATCTAATTATCCTAGTACCTAAAAAATTGAAAGACCTTCATAAAGAAAAATTTTAGCCCCTGAAATATAACCAACTATCTTATACATAAAACCTATTCCAAGTACTTAAAATTTAACAAATGATAATGATGAAGATATCACCAAGTAAGAGGAGAATAAAAATGTATCATTTGAAAATGAAGAACCAATAAAAGTACATTCTCCTCATGATTCAATTATTGCTAAATATTTGGAAACTCATTCTATGGATATATTATTAAAAGCTGTTGAAAAGATTAAAGGGAAACTTAAAAAATATGTTTAACATTCCAATAAACAAAAAAAAGAATTCTTAGAACGAAAACATCAGCATTCACCTAATAGAGTTTTGATGAATAATAAATCATAATAATTAGGTAGATCCAATACTTTGATAGATGTAGTTGAAAAAAAACTGCTTGAAAATGAAGCCAGTAAAATTATATATAAGTTTTTTTAATCATCAAATACAATGGAATGGTATCCAATTCATTTTTATGATAAATTATTTACAGATTTTGAAACATCCAAATGGATTCTTGAAAATCCTAGAATTAGAGGTTAATTTTTGTAAAAATCATCAAAAAATGAAGATTATCATTAAGTTAATATTGAACAGATTCAAAATATTATCTTTAATTTAAAACGTTAATCAACCTTTTAAGTAATTGGGTCAATTGAAATTTCAAATCATACAAGAAAAATTTAATTTAGATTTATAATAGATACACTTATTGAACATTATAAAGATATATAATCTTATGATGACATGATGGATTTGTTTGATTAATTACTTAATATATATCTGATGCAAGAAGATTTATTCAGTGAATGGCTTGACAATCGGAAGGAGTAAACACTTTATAGGGTAAGTAAAGATGCCATAACAACACAAAATCAAAAAAGGTAAAGTCTTAATATTGAGTTATCTAAGGAACAAAGAATTTAATAACAAGAAGATATTTAATATTATCAATATCTTTTGTCTAAAGTCCTATTTTTAATCAAAAGAAAGAGTTATATCAAGACCATGAATGGTTATAAATTTAAATCTGTTTCATAAAATCATTAAGTCTCTATTCAATAATATAATAATTTAATTTATCACAAAAAATTAGAAAGAATTAAATAATACTTTTAATATATAGATTATGAAATATAAAATTAGGCTAACAAACCTATTTTGAGTAAAAAGAGACATCGCAAAAGGAATAAAGATAAGCATTTATTTATAGCTTAGGACAAAAAATAAACCATTAGAGGAATGACACCTCCAGTTTAAGATGATGATTCTCAAGCATATACATAAAGAGGTAGTCCATATGTTTCTTTGAAAGATACTGGCATTATACTTGGTAATGAATTATAAACTGGATAATTAATTTTGGGGGCAGAGACTCCTATTATTTAACCATTATTGAAATAAACACTAATATCAAACTGGAAAAATATGGGTATATAGGAAGTACCTCCTTAATTGACAGATATATTTAATTTAGAAACATAGGATTATTTATAAAGATTATTTCCAGAATTCAAATTGAATATTCCTCCTATTAATTACCATCCTGCTCCTGCTCCAAGCATCAAAAAATTTTTAACTGAGTCTCATTATCATTTTAGACAAGAAATTTCAACAAAGAAATATGATAAATTAGTATATAAACCAATTCACTCAGAAGATTACTTAATTTTAACATAAGTAGTTAAAATTGAGAAACAATTTTATTATCTTACATTATCTAATAAATTACAATTAAAATAAGTATTTGGTAAAGATTTATGGGAAGATGAGTTTGATATTTAATTGAAACAACTAATCAATTATTCTGTAGGAAGAACAGGATATATAATTGATTTAATAGAGTTATAGAATATATTATAGCAAAAGTTAGAAATTGTGAATTGCAGAATTTAAATCAAAGAAAATGAGACTGATAATTCATATTAAAAAAAATTAAATAAAGTTTTTAGAGTGAATAAAAGACTATATCATGTAATCTAATCATTAGAATTTATTGAAGAAGGACTCAAAGAATTATCATAAGTAAGTAATAGCCAATAATCTGATAGTGTTGAATTAATTGAAGAATAAAAAAGAGAACCACTTATTGATATTGTATTTTTACTTGGAGTCATAAATAATAATACCTATGTTTAATATCAAAATGTTATACCAAATTGTTATCTATTAAGAAATGTAAATGGAAAGTTCATGTTATAAGACCCTGAGTAACCTAGGAAACCTAAATTTCCTTTTAGATTAATCATGTCTCATGAAGATATGAATAAACACATTTCTAGAACAAATGAATAAACTATTAATGCTAAGGATATCACATTATTTCCTCATTACAATTCAGTATTTCTCATTCGATAAAATTAATTCATTTACAAACCAATAGGAGCAAAATTGAGTATTCTATCAAATGAAAGAAAATTGCATCAAGATATAAGAAACTTCTAATCAAAAGCTAATTTATTAATATATTATAACAATACTAAAAAGATATCCTTTTAACTTAATTCTGAATAGACAGAGAAATGGGCTCATTTGTTTTAAATTGAAAGAAGTATGCGTTAACATATTTTAAATTATAAAACAAAATTAAAAAAAACTCTTGTAGGATTTTAACTATATTAAAATGAGAATCGTTCTTCATAATCTAAGGATCCAAGATATTTATTTATGCAAGACAAATTTGTTTAAGCAAAATAATATTTTATTTAAACAAAAATTAAATCAATTGGTTGTGTATTTGTTTCTGCAAAGATACATTCTTCACTAATGCTAATGAGAATTATGCCAGCTGGAAACAAAAGCAAATCTCATACCTTTATATTTTAAATTAATTAATAAGATCCTATAAAATTGATTTATACTTTATGTAAATAATTCATTCTTAAAGCAACTTAAACTTATTCAAAATTAGAGCTAATACCTATAACATAAAATTAAATACGTAAATAATATCTATTATCAAATTAATATCATGATAACAATGTTGTAATAGGTTAAAAATCCCATTCAAGAGTAGTTTATAAATAAGTTAAAAAAATAGATAAATGTTATTTTATAATAATAGTTACATTAATTAATAATTATTTTTAAATCTATCTCTACAACTAAAGTAATTGTAGAAGATTTTACTTTACAATTCATAGATCAGATTTTTTAATTATGAATTAATACTTTTTAGATTCAATATTTCCAGAATAACCCCCTGAAATAGTAGAATAATTCTTTAGACCTTGGAAGGTTAATGAAATCCAAAAGATATTTGCCTTAATTATTAAGGCACCTGAAACTTTTAGGAATAGAACAAAACTTTATCTTAAATAAATTAAAGAGACAAAAAAGGTTCTTAAAAGATCTGCTACATCTAGTTTCTCTAGTTTAAATGTTCTTTAGAGACAATCCACATTATAACTTAATCAATAAATTGATGAATCTAATGGGGATGATATAAATAAATCATGCTGGTTATTTGATAAATTATTAATATCTAAATCTAATAGTGTATTTGAGAAAAAGTTATGGATGGAAATAATTAAATAGATGAATATTAATGGAAATTTAATTATTTTGGATACCTTTAAGACAGTATTATCAGAATTAGTATATTGTAATGATAGAACTTGTAATTTTCTATGTTATATTCCATGTCTTGAAATTTTACAATCTTTTAGATGGCAACCTATAAGATTAAGAATTCATTCATATGAAACTTGTAAAACTATAGATGTTCCATTAAATATAAGAGGAAAGTAAGTTCAAGTCTATAAATAGTGTAATTCTTTATATTTTAATTATAAAATTAATTAATGCATACCTAGTAATCAAGATAGTATGAAAGTCAATAAATATAATGATTCAAAATATATCAAATATTAACTACTTTATAAAGGAGCATTTATGAAACATAAAATGCTTTTTATAGCTATATATTTATATAATGATGTATTTCAAATTAGAATTTTTAGTTAAACTAATTCTATATCTAGAAAATTGGATGTTAATTAAGTAGAACTAAAGATTCCATATATTAGATAATTATTAGTATTGAATCCTCAAGAAGCTGGCCGAAGATTAAGTATGATATATAGAAATAACTTTATACATGCTTCATTTTTAAAGTTGTGATATTTTTAATTCATATAAATTTCTGTATATAGCAATTAAATTTAATATCCAACTTTAATAAAAATAAAAAATAAAAGAAATTTAGATAATAAGTACAAAATGAAATGTTTGTAATAAAAGTAAACTAAAAATGAGTAGTGTAATTTATTATTTTTATTTTAATAGATTCAATTTTTTGGTTATTTTTTCTACTCGTTAGGATTTTTGAATCTTATATAAAAATCCTATTAATCATACTAATTTAATAGTTTTTCCTTATTATATCCATCATCCATCCTCTCTAATAACCATTAAAACAATTATTTTTCAGATCCAAAATCACTTAAATAAGCTAATAATTATTTCATTCTTAATACTTTAACATAATGGATGTATTATAATTTCTTATTCAATAATATCAAGGCAAACATTCCTCAATATAAATTATTTAATATGATTTTAAATAAATTATTATACTGATTTTTCATCTAAGAATTGTAGTTCAGTGATTAAACTAACATTATTATCTTAGTATTCTTCAGTAAATATGCAAATTATTCCTCTTGTATCAACTGTAAGGATTCTTGGATCATTATTTGGTAATTAATGAAAATTTGGAGCAGGTTTATTTCTTCTTAATATTCCATGTTTAATTTAAGGTAAAGTAGTAATTAATTTATTTATAGAATAAGCGAAATCGACTTTTATAGGATGTGGAGGTAAAATAGAACCTATGATTGTTTTTAATATTGATTTAGGTTCTTCTATCACTCCTTTTTATTAAAGTTTATCAACATAATATTAATTTAATGATCTAAGGATTTAAATAATAATTATTACTGATGAAATCTCATTAATTAAAATACATTCACATAAGCTGCTATTTTCTTTTCTTAAGAATAATCAATCATGGTTGATTTTTATAATTAAGTTGTTTCTTAAATTAATTCAAAATACTCCTTAAATCCTTATTCTAAAATCTCTCCCTTAATGCTATTCTTCTCTACAAATTTGCTTTAGAATTCTTTAAACTTTTTTATTAATTTTTCCAGGATTTCCATAAAATCTACAGAATTTCCTGTATATTTTTAAAAATTGTTAGCAGCTATAAATTAAAGGAAGATTGGAAAAGAATAATATTAATTTGGTGTTAAATCTTTTTAAGATTCTAAGGGTATTATAAGTTAAGATTCTAATAACTGTTGACTAACTTATTGAATTTCTAATTAATTTTTGCAGGCTTTTTAAAGATAATTTAAAATATCTTGACCTAAAACACCTATATATTCACTAAACTTTTAAAAATTTATATTTACATTTAATTAATAAATCCATATATTACTTTTCTTAATTATATTTTCTAAATCATATCAGCAGATATAGCAATATAATTTTCATCTAATACTTATTCTGTTGTTTCAGGTTACAATTATGGACCCAATTATAATCGTTTGACTGAAATTAAATTAGCTAACAAAAAATCCAAAAAAATAAGTACTCTCATTAGGATGATCCTTATAAAATTAATTAATTTTTTCTTCAATACAGGGTATAGCAGCTAGATCTTCAACTGTTGGCCTATTATTAGGATCCTTTTATAATGTTTTTTCAATTAGTTATTAAAGATCTTAGTCAACTGATGGATCCATATCATAAGGTTTATTTTGAATCATCTCAAAAATTATTTGAATGTTATCATGTTAAAATGGTCGTTTTAACATAACCAATTCATATAAAGCACAACCTAAAGCCCATATATCAGATTTCTTTCCGTATGGTTAACCTCTAATAACTTCAGGTGACATAAAATAAGGAGTTCCAAGGAAAGTTTATGCAAAATTGGCATGAGTACCTAATGCTTTTGAAATTCCAAAATCTCCTAATTTAATAACCTATTCTAATAAAAATATAATAAAATATAAACCTTTATTCAAAAACATATTTTAAGTTTTGATATCTCTATGAAGGATGTTCTTAGAATGCATAAAATGTATAGCAATTACTAATTAAGCCATCCAAGCTAATATTTAATCTTTTGGAACCTAATTTCCATATCTTGAATATTCAGAGATTTTCTCAGTTAATGATCCTCCTTCAGCATATTCCATGATTATATTCAAAGACTCATTTTCAGTGAAACTTTCATAATATTTAATTATTGTTGGAGCAGTTAGAACTCTTAATAAACTCACTTCATTTTCAGCATTTTTTCTTTCTTATTCATTCATGAAAAAGGTTGGAATAACCTAAGTTCATTTATATTTTACTTTCATCGCATATAATTCTTAATCAGTACTTTTTCTTACTAATTCTACAGAACCAGAAGCACCTTTACCTATATTTCTAACAATTGTATAATATCCTTTTTCGTTTTAGTTGCCCTAAAATAAATTTAAATAGATTATTACATTTCGTGACTTTGGCTTTTTTTTTACGAATGTTTAAAGCCCTTGAAGTTTTTTAAAATTTACAGGTTTTACCATATAATCTTCTGCTCCTGCATTTAAACAAGCAGCAACTGTTTCTGTCTCATCATCACCACTCATCATAATCACTGGAACATCTTTCAATTTATCAATACTTGATTCTCAAATAAATTTTTACGCTTTTATAATTTACAAAAGTTCCAAACCCGTCATCTCAGGAAGACCTAAATCCAACAAAATTAAATCAAATTCATTTTCTACTTTAAGAAGTTCATCCCTTGCTTAAATACCTGTTTCACATGCCACTACTTAATAATTACACAATTATAATAAATCAATTAATGCTATCCCTATTATATAAATTGCAAATAAGACTTTAAATAGGAGCATCTTCTGCAAGGAGTACATTAATAACTTCTTTAGTCTACTCATCTCTTTTAACTCTTTACATAAAATTATTTAATAATTAATTCAATTCAAGACTAGAATATACTTTTAAATCATTCATTTTTCATTTTAATAAACTATAAGAATTTTTATGCTATTGAGATCATCGCAAAACCCAAACAACTATATATAAATAAAATATTCAAGTATTTATGATGTTTAAATTTTATATAAGGATTTAAACAAATATTTAATAATAACTAAAAAAAATTTAATTTTAGATTATTAGCATAAATAAACTTAGCCTTCAAAAATTTAATATTCTTATATTAATTTATTTCTAATTCTCAAATATTTTGAGTATCATAAGAAGGATTGATATTATTATTAAAAAATTCATTAATGATTTTCTTAAAGAATTCTAAACTTTAAAATAAAGTCAAATTATAATAATATTTTATTTAGGTTTTTATATTTAAATCTTATTTATTAAATTAATAAATAAAAATAAATAGCACCCATCTTATTAAATTATTCTAGAAAATAATTAATGATTATTTAAACATTCTAATTCTTTAAAACAATTAAATCTTACATAATTTTTGATAAAGTTCAATATACAGAACAATCTTTATCAAAAATAAGAAGATGAATAAATAATTAATTATTTTCACCTTTAAATTAAAAATTAAGTGGCAAGATGCCATAATTAATGTAATAATCAATCAATATTTTGTTAATACATTAGGATCCTTAAATAAAATAAAGAACTCTTTATTATCAAATTAACTTAGAATCTTTTTATTATCTTATCCTTCATCAATATTCTCTAATAACCATTCAATTAGTTTTCTTTAAGATCCAAAATCACTTATGTACTCTAAAATAAATAATAAATTTACTTTGTAATAAGGGGTGAATTACAATTTCTTATTCAATTAAATCAAGTATTACATTTTTTTATATAAACTATTAAATTTATTTGTAAATATATTAAGTAATTTAACCTTCATCTAAAAAGATTAATTCTTAAGTAATTGATGATTATTGATCTTAATATTCTTCTATGAATAAAATGAAAATTCCCTTTATTTCTTATTATAAGATTCTGGGGTCATCCTTAGGTAGCAAATGAATATTTTCAGTATTTTTATTTCCTCTCAAGATTCCATGCTTTATTTATCCAAAAGTAGTTATCTAACCGCCTATACAATAAGCAAATTCTTAGGAAATTGGACGAGGAACTATTATTGTACTAATTACAGATTATAATAAATTGCAAGGTTAATTAATTAATTCTTTTTTTTTCTACAAGTTTTGAACATAATATTATTATAATGATCTATTATATTAATATAATATTACTAATGTAGTCTCATTAATTAATATATATTAACATATACTGCAAGTTTCTTTTAAGGAGAATAGTCAATCATTGTTGCTTTCTAAAGCTCTAATGTTTAATGAACTAACTAGAAAAAGTCATTGAAATTTTTATTAAATGCCTCAAAGCTTAATTATTTCTTTTCTGTAATTTTTCTTTAAAATTCCTTAAATTTCCTAATGAGTTTTTTTAAAATAAACATCATATCTTGAGAATTACTAGTAAATACTTAATAATTGTTTGCAGGTATGGATTCTAAAAACATTGGAAATGAATAATAAGAAGTAGATATAAGTTATTGATTATTATTATCTAATGGTATTATTAAATGTTATTCAAGTAGAGTTGATACAAATTACTACAATTCTGTCTCATTTTTTTTATCAAAATTTTATTTAAGATAATTAAGTATATCTGATCCTAAAACTCCTATTTATTCACTAAATAATTATTATTAAATATATTACATTTGATTTACAATCCCTATTGTAATTTTTCTAAGTTAAACTTTATCAATTATGGCAGCTACAACTTTCAAACAATTATCTTCTGGATTCTAAGAGTTACCACTATCATCATTATTTTACCCAAGTTAATATTTTTTGAAAAATATTTAATTTGCTAAAAATTTATATAATATTCTACTTTCATTTGGATGATCAATATAAAATTAATTGATTTTTTCTTCAATACATGGTATGTTAGCCAAATCTTCCACAAATGGTCTTTTATTAGGATCCTTCTATAATGTTTTTTCTATTAATTGTTAAAGATCTGAATCGACTGATGGATCCATATCATAAGGTTTATTTTGTATCATGTCAAATACAATTTGCATAACATCATGTTAAAAAGGTCGTTTTAACATTACCAATTCATATAATGCACAACCTAATGCCCAAATATCTGCTTTTTTTCCATAAGGTTCACCTCTAATAACTTCTGGAGGCATAAAATAAGGAGTTCCTAAAAAGGTTTATGCAAAATTTCCATGTGTTCCTAATGCTTTTGAAATTCCAAAATCTCCTAATTTAATAACCTATTCTAATAAAAATATAATAAAATATAAACCTTTATTCAAAAACATATTTTAAGTTTTGATATCTCTATGAAGGATATTTTTAGAATGCATAAAATGTATAGCAATTACTAATTAAGCCATCCAAGCTAATATTTAATCTTTAGGTATTTTTTAACCAACTCTAATATGTTCAGAGATTTTTTCATTTAATGATCCTCCTTCAGCATATTCCATGATTATATTTAATGAATCATTTTCAGCAAAGCTTTCATAATATTTAATTATTGTTGGAGCAGTTAGAACTCTTAATAAACTTACTTCATTTTCAGCATTTTTCTTTTCTTATTCATTCATAAATGAAGTTGGAATTACCTAAATTCATTTAAATTTTACTTTCATTGCATATAATTCTTAATCAGTACTTTTTCTTACTAATTGAACACAACCAAAAGCTCCTCTTCCTAAATCTCTAACAACTTCATAAAACCCTTTTTCATTCGAATTGTTCTACATATATTAATACATTACATTTCTATTTTTAGGTTTCTTCTTGACTAATTCTTACAAACTTTAAAATTATTTAAAGTTGACTGGTTTAACTAAATAATTTAATGCTCCTGCTCCTAGACAAGCAGCCACAATATCAGTTTCCCCATCTCCACTCATCATAATCACTGGAGTTTCCTTTAGTTTATCAATACTACATAACAATTTTAAATACCTTTTTATAATTTTTAATAAGTCAAGTCCTCCCATCTCTGGCATCAATAAATCGAGAAGGATTAAATCAAATTCATTCTCATTCTTTAAAAGTTCATCTCTAGCTTCTAATCCATTTTTGCAAGCAATAACTTAAAATCCACATAATTATAATAAATCCACTATAGCTACTCCTATCAAAGTTTATAAATGCATATACTTTAGAATAAATCATCTTCCGCAATTAATACATTCATTATCTCTTTATTTGAATCATCTCTTTTTTTAACTCTGCTTTACATGTGTTTATAAAAATAATTATTTATTTAGAAAATTTAGATGTTTAAGCTTCCTATTTCAAAGGACTAAATAACAATAATAGAAACAGATGTGAAAAGTAATAAAAAATAAAGATAATACACTATAATATAAACTAAATATTATCTAATAAGAATCACTAAAAAAGATTTAGTAATCAATTTAATGTATTTTGTAACTTTTGATTTATTTCAAGGATTAAATTAAACTTATAGAAAATTTTTATATAAGTATATCTAGCTAGAATAAGGATAACTCAAGTTTTATATATTTTCATTATGATTGTTATTTTCTTTACAAAATTTTATCAATTTAATGTAAAAATTTTTACATTAATATTTCAACCTTTGTTTAAATAAGATTTAATTTTGCATACAATATAAACTAACAATTAAAAATAATATAAATTTGTTGATACTTATAATAAATTATTTTTTTACAAATCATTAAAGAGGCTTCTATAATTAGCTAGAATTAAATTTTTTTTTGGCAAGTTCATGATACAAATCTTTGAATTTCTTTAAAATAATCAAAAAATCATTATCAATACATTCTATACATGATTTTTGTAAAATTAATTCATTCTTATTCTCCCTAATTTATTTTTATATTTCCAAATAATTTTACTCAAATTATTAAATAATTATTTTATTTTCATCTTAGATTCGAGTTTATTCTTAAGATAAATAACTAGTATATGTGATTGTTTTATTACTTAATCTCCTATCTCATTTATTATAAGTGTGTTAAAAATTCTCTTTAATTTTCACTTGTTTCTTAATTTGTTGAATATACTTACTTAATATATTATTCATTTTAAATAAGCCTATCTAAACTATCTTTTAATTAATCATTTATTTACTATTCAACTTCTTCTGAAAATTAACATTCCTTTTATGAAATTTTGTTCATTTATTCTATTAATAAGTTTAATTTATTCTCAAATTATTCAATTTTTTAACATAAACCATCTGTATTAGATGTATTTTTGATATCATTTCTATTTATTACAGTATTAGAATTAGCAATTTATGAACGAGATCTTAAAGGTTTTTATTATATTTATTGTGTATCTAATGTTTGAATTATTTAAGCAGATATTATGTCAATATTAGATAAATCACTAAATTTCCCTAAATTAAAATTTTCATTACTTTATTAAATTTATTCTGATTATGTATCATCATGTTATTTTTAAGCAAAATATTATTCAGATGGCTTCAATAAATTAATTTAAGCATTTAAAAATTTAATTTCATCTCTATTATCTAATCTTTAATCTATCTCTAACAATTTATCTTCTATCATTTTTAAAATTGGTGCAAATATTTATTTGGCTATTAATTCTTGTTAACAATTAGCCTCTAAAAATAATGACAGTCCTAAAGGATTGAATTGTTAAAACTCAATGGATTCTTTAATACTATACTTTTTTGATTATTATTATTCTTGAGTAGATTATTCTTAGTGTGTGAATTCATATGGGGTATAATTTTTTTATTACATAAAATTTATTATGGGAAATTTCATCAAGAATTTAGAAATAAGTTAAAGAAATTTTGATATATGTTCAACTATTTTATAAGAATAGAATTACATTAGTAATTAAATTGAAATAAGAGATAAATTTCATAAATAGTTTTTATTATAATGATTTTATGATAATATCAAAGACACACTCATATTTCTATGGCATCCTATTCTTAAGGTTCTTCATCATCATCATAAATTTCAAGCAAACCTTCTTATCTTTATGGAAGGACTTTCTTTCCTTATTATGGGAAACAGAAACATTAAGTTGTTGGCAAAACAAATTATTTATCTTACATCAATTACTTTCTTTTCTCTAATTCTTAAACAACATTATCAATATTAGTTAATGAAACATTTTCATATTAATCACCAGCTAAACAGATTGGACTATAAAAATAAGTAGATTTTAATACTCTTTCATTGGTGTGCAATCTTCAACTGGCTTTGGAGTTGGTTAATAGGTGATGTCACAAGCAAAAAGATTTAATCCTTGAATAAATCCTTAGAAAGCATCAGTTAATTAATCTTTTCCATAATAAAGAATAAGGGATGGAGCAACATAATGATTGACATTCTTGAATGATAATGCTCCCTTTCCTTATGAATGTTCAACTATGACATCAGCTTATCTACTCTTTCTAGAATAAGCAAAGTAAATATGGAACCAATCTTTGACAAAAGTCTTACCTTCAACAATCTATCTAACTTCAGGATTTCCAGATCTAATAATATAATTATATAAAATTACCCTAATTAATCAGTGTATGTATAAGTATAGAAATTAAGTGTTTAATCTCTAGTATCAAAGTAACAACTAAGTGTATCGAAATTGAGTGTATCTTCACCAGCAAGAGTAGATGTTAATCTGAATAATAATTAATCTTTTTCAGATGTCTTACCATTCCATTTGAACCATCCTTAAACAGAATATTATTCAGTTGTTCCAAATCTATCACCAGAATTAACTGGATTTCCATTGAATTATGAAGCCTTGGCTGAGACTGCTCTAATCAAACCTTTACTTGAACAATCCTTTTATGGTTGAGGATTGCAACTTAAACAGAATGGATTATATTCTTCTAATGTATCAAAGAATGATCCTGATCCTAATCTTAAAACTGGTCTATGGAATTAACCATTAAATGAATAATATCTATCTTATGGATCTTTTCCACCAACTTAGAATAATAATTATTCCATTCTTGGATGTGTGACTTTGGCTTCTAAGGTAATTGGTGCTTAGTTCTCAATCTAATAGAATGCAATAGCTTTATATCTAGTATAACTGAAATAAGTGTAAATCCAAACTCCTTCAATATCTCCAAATGGTTAAGCTAATTCTACTAATTTCTTAGCTTTATTATTAGCAGTGATATAGAAGAAACCAACTTTTCCTTAGAAAATGGTTAATAAACCATCTCTAATATCTTTTGGTGTTTCTTTCTTATTTGTAAGACGGGCAATCAATGACCAATCTGGTCTACTATTTTCATTTTATCCACCTGCCAAACCAGTATATCTGAACCAGAATCCATAACCATATTAAGTAGTGTCTTTCAAATCATCTTTATGTAATTCAACATGAACAACTGGACCTTTATCATATTTTGCATTAATAATTCTATTTGGTCCTTCAACACATCTCTTTTTAGGGGGAGGTGGTGTTGGTATTGGTCTTAAAGCTGGTTTAACATTTGTTAAATAAGATCCTTTACAGAAGAATACTTCAAGATATGCCATAAATCCACTGTAAACTGGGAATTGTCTCTCTCTTCCAAAATAGAAATAATGTTTTGGTGATACAAAGTGATTAACATTGACGAAACTTAAAGATTTAGCATGAACATGTTTAAATAAGACTTAAGCATATGCCTTTCTTTAATCTCTACTGTAACCAAAATATACAAAATGCCAGTGTAAATGTTAATCTTAATGTTAGACATATTGATGAGCATTGGGGTTACCAGATCCTTTCATATTTGCATAAGAATAAGTTGAAAAGTGAATTTATCCACCTTTTGGTTTACCTAACCAAGCAGCTAATACTCTTTCACCTAATAAAATTTATTATTTTCTTAATGGTGTATTTGATAATCTGAACATTGTATGCCAATTTTCTTACAAATCTGTTTCTTCCCATTTAAACCAACCTTAAACTGCATATTCATCAGGTAATAATAAGTCAATAAATTCTTATGTAGGTGGTGCATTATTATCTTCAATATCTACATATGTGGATTCTCTGGCAAATTAATATGGAACTAATTTTTATGGTGCAACATATGGTTAAGGATTGCATGAAATAGCATATTACAAAAATTCTTATTCATTAATTAAATATGTTCCCAAACCAATTGCTAATACTGGTCTGCTTATTTATCCATTAAATCCTGGGAAATCGAAATATTAACCTCCTAAAACAAATCTCAAATATTATGGAGTTCCTTAAGATGCTGGTAATGTAACTTATTTAACTAATTGACTGTTTGATTGTTTATAGAAACCAATAGCTTATTATTGATAAGCTGAGTAACTGTAATAAACGTATGTCCAAACAGCTTCAATATCTCCAAAAACAATAGCAGCTGTAGCTTCTTTTCTTTCAGGTTTATCATGTTAAGCACTAAAAATATATTATTCTTAAGTTTAGAATATAGTTAATAATCTGTCGCCTATCTTATCATCACCATCTTATTAATTCTTTGTTAATTTAGCGACAAAGTAAGATTAGTCAGTTAAACCGCTTTACAATTATTCTGGATACAATGTTAAAAATCTCATCCAAAAACCAAAACCATATTCATTAACATCCTTTAATTTCTTAACTTCTGTTGAAACGGTTGGTTAATCAGCAGAGATAGAACTTGTTAATACTATATCTGATCCAACAACACATTTTGGTTATCTTTATTATGGAAAAGGAATGTCACAACCTACTTCTTCAGGTACTGGATGATCATTTTATCTGTAATTTCCTGGAACTACTCTTTATTTAGACACTTTTCTTTATTAATATCTATCACCACATTTATCTTTTATGGCAATTATTCTTTCTTTTTATTCTCTTATTCTTTATTATGGTTATGATTAAACTGATTGTGGTTATGATTATGATTAAACTGATTAGGCTCTAGGTTATGTTGTTTATTAGTATTGGTTTTATACTCTAGTAATTTATTTCAATAAATATTCAATCAATCCATATAACATTGCCAATTATGATCTCTTTTATTCAAAAGATCCTATTAAATCATTAATATTATATTATACTTGATTCAATTACTCTTCTAATTTAGTCTGAAATTTGTCTGCTTTATTCAAATAAGAATTTTCTTTGAGGACCATTATATTAATTCTGAATTGTTTATAATTGCTCATCCATTTACTCTAACTACTCATCATATTATTAGTCTTCCATCAAATCATTTGGATTAGCTAATTTTTTGTCAAAAGATTTACCTGATATCATTTCATTAGTGAAATCAGAAAGTTCTTGTAGTTGTTTCATTTCTGCATCCAATTATCCTCCTTATAATAATTCTATTATTTCACTCCAAGAATCAAAGTCTTAAAGCATCTATACAAAATCAGTATTTTCACAGTCAACTTCATTTTATTAATCAAGAAGTGTTGTCAAATCATAGTGCAATGCTTACACAAAGCAAACTAAACAGTTTTTAAAGATATCATACCCTGCATTATGATAACACCTAATAAAACTAGATGTTTTGTTCTCATTCTATCCGTTTTATAAAAAATAATAATTAATTGAAAGAGCCCCTTAATAATTAATTATAAAGTGGGTGACTATATTTTAGCCAACTCTATGGATTTATAGTAACAAGTTTGATGTTATTTCAATAATAACAAACTTTACTCCAAAAAAGGTTTATTTTTTACATTTTTAAGGAATGATAAAAGCATAAAATGAAGAAATATAATGATTAGCATTGCTTATACAAATTCATTTATGGATTTAGAGAAGAAATACATAACTTAAGCACAAAAACAGCTTAATCACACAATTGGTAAAAAGAATCTAATAGTCATACCTGATTTAAGAGGAAATTTGAAAAACCATCATAAATAAGGATATCCTAATTAAAGTATAAAGAACCCTGATAATTTTTTATGTAGAAATGCCTATTAATAATCATTATGTTCAAAAATATCATTGCCTTATAAATTATTTAAAAAATTAAATTGAGAATTAGATATCTTATATTAATAAAAGAAACAACAACATAAAAATTATTTTGATATGCTATAAAACATTAAATAAAAAAATAAATCAACTTATTTTCTGAAGATTCGTTTTGAATTAAGACCAAATGCTTTTGGAAAAAAATGAAAACGCTTATTAGAATTTTTATTTATCATAGTAAGAAATTTATTAAATAGATATAGGAATAGTTTCAAAATATATCAAAATTAATAAATAAAAAGGTATATTTTAGGATTTTAGATTACTTCCAGTCAAAATAAATATAATTTAAAAAGATATAATAATTTAGAGATCTTAATCTTTCAATTTAAAAGGGTTTCTTATTTTTCATTTATATATTTTAATCTTAATTAAAATATGTATATTTTATTTATAGATACCAAATTCATTATCAAATTATTTAATATCTTTTTAAAATATCAAAATTTTTGAAATTTTTTGATTAATATTTTAATTTCAATTATATGTTTTGAAAATAATAATAAACTTCTTAATTCATTATTGTCAGAATTTTGAAAATATCAATTAGATCTAGAAGATGGTAAAATTATTAAACTTATTTTTTTAATGATATAAATTAAAATCTAACAATTTAGAATAATAGATTTGTATTTATGTAATGTTAAATTTATTTAACTTTTTTGAATTATACCTATAAATAATAAGAATTTCTTTTTATGATCAGTAGAGAAATGGTTTTCATATCAAATAACGATTTTAAGTAATTATTTGAATCATTCTCTTAAACTAACAACGATGAAGTTTAGAAAAAAATCCTAATAAAATGATGATTATTTTCAAAGGGTTGATTTGCCCATATTTGTATGGAAACATTATTAAATTAAAAAATCAGTAAATAAGGAATATATTGAAAAAAAGAATTTATTAATAAGAGTTGTGGAGATAAATTAAAGATATAAAATATTAAAATTAATTACAACCCTATACTTGAGATTATACGTATTAATATTCAACGCTTATTTCAGTATTATAAATTTAAGAGATACTATTTTTTAAAAATGATTATATGAAAATATAATTTATATTTGAGGATGATGAAAATTATTTCTTGTCAGTTAGCTTAAAATTATAAATAATAAAATTAAGTCATTTTTATACATCTTGTAAATAATTTTAAAAGTCATTTTATGACAATATTATATTTTCTAGGTTACTTTTAATAATTTTAGATCTTTATTGGAATAGCATCTGCTTTATTTGATTTTATTATTTACAATTTTGATATTGTGTTATCAATCTCTTAAACTAGATATTAATGCTAATTACACTTTTTATTGATCATTAATTTTAGATTTATTTTATTTTAATAAATCTATTGCTTCATCAAGCATTTCAAATAGTGATAAATCTCTCCAACTATTTAAAGGAACATTAATCGATTTATCAATTTTTTTAATCTTTATTTCAGTTAAATAAATAAATTTATTTGAGTCTTTTGAAGAGTGTTCTGACTGAATTTAAAAAGATTTGCCTACGCTGAATGATCTTTTAGCGTCTGATAAATTCATATTTTAACAGATAAATTATTAAATGTAAACAATAACTATATTAAATTTTAATTAATGATATATTTAATTTTTTTTATTATAGTCACAAAAATTTAAAGAAAGCAAAGTAAAACAAAAGATTTATTGATTAATATATAAGGAATTTTTTAATTAAAGAATTCTAAATTTTTAATAATGTTCTTTATTAATAAAAGATGAACATATTAATAAATTATTTATTTATTTTTACTAGTAAATATAAAAGTGATATATTAGGATAGAGTTAGCAATTTCATTATTTCTTTGTGATCTTTTCAATGAAATAATTAAGTGATCTATTAAAATAATGTATATTGATATTTAAAAAATTTGAATTATAATTTCAACCTTTTGCTGAACAGTATAGATATTAACATATAATTATTTATTAGCATCTTGAGTTTAAGAATCTAAAAATATTTGTTAAAATTCAAGATTACTATCATACAATAAGAACCTTATAAATTTAAATTTAATATTTTTATTAATTTTGTGAGTGTTTTTAAATTGTTTGCGTTGAAATGAAAATGATAATAAAGTGAAATTGATTACTTGAACAACTCTTACTAAAAATTTATTCCATTTATTAATTAAATTGAAGATATGTTTTGAATAATACGTTTGAATTCTATTTAACTTTTAAAAATTGGCAGAATTATCAGATAGCTATTTTTTAACTATTTACAATTTTTAAAAAGCAGTTAGTGATGATGTATTAATTTTATAAGGTATTTAAATATATTAGTATTATGAAATTTATTGAAAATAATTATTGAAAAAAACAGTCTAATTATAATCATATTTAAAATTACTTCCAAAGTAAGGAGGATGCTTAATTTTTATTATTAAATAAAAAATACTCTTGATTCTTTACTAATATTTATTGAACTTTTAGTTTTTAGACATGTTGATAATAATAAAGTGTAAAGAGATAATTATAAAAAACAATAAAAATTAAAGTTAAAAGAAAAATCACTTAGCTTATAATTCATTAAAATAAGAGAGTATGGACACTCCATCAAAAAAATTGTTAATTTCTTAAACATATATATAAATAAAAAATAAATGACTTTATTCATATGAATGAATAAATTGACAATATAAGTAATAATCTCTTTAAGTAGAGGAGGGATGCTTCTTATAGAATTATGAATATTTATGTTTTGGAATCAATAGACATTATTTTATTTGAGTATTCTAGGGTCATTATATTGGGAATTATGAGATAGTAAATATGAGGCTTAATTTAATATGAATAATAATTCCAATTGTAAGTATTATAAGTAAATCAGTATATTATAAACATTCTAAATTAAAAATTTTATGAGTTTAGAATTCTTTAACAAACTTAAAGTAATCTTAAGAAGGAAAAAGAGTTATCATTCCAGTATCGAGAACATGTATTAGGATATAATTTTTAATTTGTAAATTAAATCCTCAGTTTTGGAAATCAAAATAGAGCATAGAAAATCAGAATTCTAGATTAAAATGATCCTAATAAATTGTTAATATTTCTTATTTCATAATTTTAGGATTAGAAATTGATTGACAAAACTTATCATAAATTCCTTATTGATATAACTTCAATTGAAATTTAATTACATCCTCAAAATTCGAAGAATAATGGAATAGGATATTTGTTATTGATCACTTTCTTCTATTAACTACATATAGAGTCAGTTTTGCAAAAATCTATAATAAGTAAATTGGAGCTTTAAAGTATACTATAATTTTTGGAGTTTATAAAATGATTCACTAGATTATTTTTTGCTTTTCAATAAAAAGGTTTATTAGTTATTTGCTTTTGTATTAATTATTATTAGTATAATCTTGGATTATCAAGATTAAATTGGCTGTTATTGAATAAAGATTGTGATTTAATCTTGAGAGTAAAAAACAATATGAAAGTTAAAGTAGTCAGTAGCTATATTATTATAATAATTTTAATAGTTGATTGGCCATATTAATTTAGTCTTCTTTAAATGTAAGATATTTTTAGTTCTATAATAAGTAAATAATAAAGGAAAGATCTGCTAAAATTTGTTTTAAAAAGTTTAATATCAAATTTGATAATTATAATTTTCATTTTATTTTATTGCTTTTTCTATCCTGAGTAGAATTCAAAATAAATCACAACTTTCTTAAATTAGATAGCATAATAATATTAATTAATTTATGTTTTTTCTGCAAAAGGATTGAATTTTTATTCTAAATTAAGCTGTTTTTATAGATTTAATGAGGGCATTTTATTGATTGTAAAAATTAATATTAAAAATGGATAAAAGTGTTGAATCTCTTTTTACATCTGATTTTTGGAGAGAAGTTAATCAATAGTTTTTTATGGTAGAATCACCAATTTCATTAAATGTTTAGAAAAAAATATATAAAAAATGTAGGTGTTTATGTTAGTTTTAGCTTCTAATCTTCAAAGTGTATAGACTTAAGAATGGATAGATAATACATTGATATCCTTAAAAAAAAGTGGATCCTAGCTTTAAAAGTTGAATGATAATAATGTAAGAGTGCACTTAAGTTTATTGTTAATGTAAAGAGAAAAATCATTCGAGCCAATTCAAGAATTAATTAATGAAATGATAGATAAGATTTGCGAGAAAGAATTAAGAGACAGATTGGAATCAAATAAGATTTTATTCTAAAATATGTATTTATTACCTTTGGAAAAATAAATGGAAATTTTGTAATAAGAAGCTTCAATATTATAAAACTTGTAGCAAAAAATAGATTTACCTGATTAATTGTAATAAGTGATAATGGAATTAGAAGATGATTTAATAAAAGTTTAAGATAGAAATACTAAATAGATAAATAAGTATTTTTTAGTTTTTAAATTTTAGTCTTGTAAAACATTTAGAAGAAATCAATAGAAATTTATTATATTAATATACTATTAAATAAACAGGATAATTTGCATTAAGAATTTAAAGAATTAGAGTATAACATCATTAAAATGAATTAGAAAATCTAGAAAAATTGATAATTCATTATTAAGATTATTAAGTAGCAGATTCAATTGGAAAGGCAATCTATAATTCAGAGAGTAAATTAATTATTAATATAATAGCAAATCTTGTTTCTATTACTTTTGATAAATATTTAAGTAAAACTCCGATAGATTTTAAATTCGATTAATTTTAAAACTTCTAAAGACTTCGAGAAATAGAATTAGAGTTAAATGTTTAATAATAGTACAATTAAGATGAATCATAAACAATAGTTTCAATTAAAACTGAAATGTGTCATTGTTGTAGATAAATGATAGAAATAACAGATTTATAATAATGTAAATACAATCATGTAAATATGAAATTACAATAATAAAATGAAGAAATACTGATCTAATAGAGATATGCAATTTCTTAAAAATAAATGTAATAATTTTACATAGATCTATATTCTACTAACTATATTATAGAAAGTAAATAAAATAATAATTATAAGATAATTAAATCCAGTGTTAAAAATATTTTTGTTTTAAATGTTTGTAATATGAATTTAAAGAATATGATATTTCTGGGCCCAATTGGATTTGTCCATAATGTAAAGTACTTAAATATTATTATCTAAGGGTTAATGTTTTTGTATCAGATGTTAACGAAATGATTCTATCTACAAATTGAAAAGAACTTTTTTAGAAATTGGAGGTAACTTCGATAGTTTGTATTAATAATCAATCTTTGAGATACTAGTTGAAAATAAAAGAAAATTAATTCAAAATATTCCATTAGATTTCTTTAATATCTAAAAATTTTATTCAGAAAATGAAGAGACACTTACTTCGAAAGGTTTATTTAAGAATAAGAATAAGAATAAAATTAATAAAAAGATCAAAAAATAGAAAAGTAGTGAAACCACAATTTTAGGAAAAACATAATCTATATTAGTAGATACATCTTCATCATCGATTAAAATCAAAAAAATAAAAGTGTGTAAACCAATTATTTCTAAAGATAGTATTGTATTTTTATAATGATCTATATATTATCTTATAATGCTAAAATTATAAATTCTGTAGATAATTAAATATCTTTTGAATTCCAGTAAATAAGCTGTTAATAATCATTTACTTTTGACAATATATATATAGTAATTATAATATTGTCCATAAAATTAAGGCTTAGTATATAATTAAAAATAACTTATTAATGTTAGATAAAAAAAGGACAGTTATAAAATTATTAGTATAATTAATCAATATAAAGATTTTGATTAACATTTTTCAAATTCAGTAGCTACATTTATTAAGTGTAATATTAAAAAATATTAAAAATTGTTTCAATGTTTTCCTTTAACCTTCTACTTTCTATCTCTACAAAGTATTTTTATTATGATTGTAAATAATTTGTGAATAATCAATTGTGAGAATTTAAGCCATTTAATAATATTTCCTTCATATTTTTATATAATTTTATTAATAATCTTTTTTGAATAATATTGTAATATCAATGAAATGTTCCATAAACTCCAGACAAATAAAAAGAATAAAAACTGCTGTTGACTATACTATAACATTAGTATAAGTAATATAAATTAAACAATCAATTACCATTCCATTCCAGTAATCATAATATTCATATATCTTCCTTTCTTTTTAAATACTTCAACAAATTGTAATATCTCCAGATGATTTTTATAAAAATTCCTTTATTTTGTCCCTTTCTAACAAGTAATCTTTAATTAACAATCTAGTTAACTTATTTGAGATAACAAATTTAGATTTTTTACTAATCTGAGCTTTTGATTCAAATACTTTATTTAATTTTATTATTATAATTCATCTTTTTTAATCATTAATAAATGTAAAGTTATTATTCATGTTCTTTTACTAATTCTAAAAATTTCTAATTATTATCTTCTTTCCCAATTATTTATAAAAATATTACTATTTTTCAGAAAGACATGCTTCGACAATCCAATAAATTTTTGATTATTTAAAAGTACTAATGAAATTGAATATTATTATGATTTAATTATATAATTTTATTATTTTTGTTTAATAATATTCATTACATAATTTAACTAAAATGAGTGTTCTCAATTATTTAAGATAAGTATATAAAATGAATGTTAGATGGTTGAATTGATTGTAAATATGAAGTTGAATAAAAATGGAAATATTTATAGTTATAAATTAAAATCAATATAACATATTAATTACCCGTTTTTATTATATTAATAGATGAAATAAATAGTGCTTTTTGCATTTTTGGCATGTGTTGTTCTGGCACATAATGATATTAAGCATGTGCAAGAATTACTTTTAGAACTGAAGGATGAAATACATGAGCAAATCGTAGCTTTAGATGCTGAATGGGTGTTAACATAAAAAGTATTGATTATTAAATATGATAAAAGATGAAACAAGCTAGTATTTAAGCATTAAGATAAACAAAAGTTGATTAAGAGGCTGATTGTGATAGAAGAGATGAAAATGTAANGTAAATAATTTGTGAATAATCAATTGTGAGAATTTAAGCCATTTAATAATATTTCCTTCATATTTTTATATAATTTTATTAATAATCTTTTTTGAATAATATTGTAATATCAATGAAATGTTCCATAAACTCCAGACAAATAAAAAGAATAAAAACTGCTGTTGACTATACTATAACATTAGTATAAGTAATATAAATTAAACAATCAATTACCATTCCATTCCAGTAATCATAATATTCATATATCTTCCTTTCTTTTTAAATACTTCAACAAATTGTAATATCTCCAGATGATTTTTATAAAAATTCCTTTATTTTGTCCCTTTCTAACAAGTAATCTTTAATTAACAATCTAGTTAACTTATTTGAGATAACAAATTTAGATTTTTTACTAATCTGAGCTTTTGATTCAAATACTTTATTTAATTTTATTATTATAATTCATCTTTTTTAATCATTAATAAATGTAAAGTTATTATTCATGTTCTTTTACTAATTCTAAAAATTTCTAATTATTATCTTCTTTCCCAATTATTTATAAAAATATTACTATTTTTCAGAAAGACATGCTTCGACAATCCAATAAATTTTTGATTATTTAAAAGTACTAATGAAATTGAATATTATTATGATTTAATTATATAATTTTATTATTTTTGTTTAATAATATTCATTACATAATTTAACTAAAATGAGTGTTCTCAATTATTTAAGATAAGTATATAAAATGAATGTTAGATGGTTGAATTGATTGTAAATATGAAGTTGAATAAAAATGGAAATATTTATAGTTATAAATTAAAATCAATATAACATATTAATTACCCGTTTTTATTATATTAATAGATGAAATAAATAGTGCTTTTTGCATTTTTGGCATGTGTTGTTCTGGCACATAATGATATTAAGCATGTGCAAGAATTACTTTTAGAACTGAAGGATGAAATACATGAGCAAATCGTAGCTTTAGATGCTGAATGGGTGTTAACATAAAAAGTATTGATTATTAAATATGATAAAAGATGAAACAAGCTAGTATTTAAGCATTAAGATAAACAAAAGTTGATTAAGAGGCTGATTGTGATAGAAGAGATGAAAATGTAGTCAATAAGAAAACAGAAATCTAAGAAATGTCTGATTTAATTGCATGGATCCAACATAGAATTCACGTCAATAAAAATAGAATTCAAACTATTGAAGATCTATAATGTAGACAATCTTTGAACTTTGTTGATACAGTCAGAGATGATAAAATTTCATTAACAGTCTCAATATTTGTTAAAGAATAACTTGAAAAAATAGTGTCAGAAGGCACATCATTTGCATAAAAATCATAAGCTATGAAAAATATCCTTTCATTCCTTTAAGATATAAAAGAGTAGAAATATGAATTTTTGGAATTAACAAGAACAATGGAAATTGAAAGAGAAGAAAATCCTAATATGATTGAAACACATATGGGACCAATTGAAATGAAGAAATTCTAAGAAGTTAGACATGAAATCTTAGCAGTTTTGGATGAATTAGAAGCTCATATTAATTCACATATTCCAGTTGCATAAGCTGATATGATTAGAGTAGGATTAGCCTATATTGAATGGAAATAAAGAATCCTTAAAGAAAATGAATTTTTTCAATAAAAGATTGTTGAATTAGGAAAATAATTAGTAAATTTAATTTATCTAAAGTGATTAGGAAAATTTAGATGATTAATTGTTAGCCTTAGAATACAGTGCAAAATAATGCAGAGAAAGAGTAACAGACATTGAAAGAGCTATTGAAGTAGCAAAAAATGATAGTGTACTAGCTTACAAAGATTATGTAGAGGAACATGAAAGATTACTAAAACAATTAGCTATTTTCTCACAATTATATTAATTATATGATAAAGAAATTGATAATAAAACAACTGAAGCAGAAAAAGAAGCATTGACAGTAATCATTTAATATTATCAAATAGTAAGAAAGAAATGATCATCCAATAGTTGGTGGAGATAAGAGTTCATTACCTCCTTAATATAGAGATGAACCAGAAGAACCTCTTATTGTTGGTGGAGATTAGAGCTCATTACCTCCTTAATATAGAGATTAAACAGAGGAAGTAGAACCTATTGTTGGAGCAGATGAGAATTCTTTACCACCTCCAGAAGGTATTGAAGAGGAAGAGGTTGAATCACATGAAGAAACAGAAGCTATGATTGTTGGTAATGATGAAAGCTCCTTGCCTCCTGAATACTAAGAACCAGTTGAAGTTCCTGAATTAGAAGAAACAGAAGATTAAGAATAAGTAATATTATTTCTTATGAACAGTTATTGATCAAAAAAGGTCCTTTGAAACTCAGAGAAATTGAAACAGCACCATCATATAAAAGATCAGATTTCATTTTACTCTAAATGAAATAAAAAAAGACAGAATAAGATGAAGTAATTTTATGATGATTTCTAATTGCAATCATTATATAATTTAATATGAATAATTTATCTAAAATATTTTGTTTCATAGTAACCACTTTTTAGTTTTCCTAATTTTTCATATTAACAATAAGCTCATATTAATAATAATAGTAAAATATTTGAAATTATAAGCTCATATTAATAGTAAAATGTTTGAAATTAATACAATTAATTAGAAACCAAGAGTAGATACCTATTTTATAAATTTATTTTATATTTTTTCATAATATAAAATAACTAAAGTTTTTAATTATATAATATAAATACAATGAAAATAAAGTAATCAATTTCTTTTATAAGACTTTTTTTGACTTTCAGTAAATGTCAACTTCATTCGACTCAGTTTTTATTTCTGTTGCTAAATCTCTGATCTCAATTCTTCTATTGTTTTATCTGTATTATCAATTTGAATTAGTGTTTTATTTGGTGTTTTTATACCTGCATTAATGTTTGGACTTCCAAAAATTTAGGATTTATTGTCTGAAATAATATTAATTTTTACTTAATTATTTTGATTACTAATTATAAATAGTAGATTTTTGAATATTTTTATTAGGAGATTAAGATTTCAATTTTATAGGTTATTGAATTATATTTTCTAGTTGTGTGATTTATAATTAATAATCTTATTAAATTTAATCTACTTTTTTTTCTTATCTTAATTTAAATTCTTAATATCTTTGTTCGAAATATTGCCTTTCTTTACTCATTGTATATTCAGAGAATTATTACTATGATATTCTAATTTATTAATAATAACATACAATTCTTCTTATTATTCTTTAATGAGTTTATTTAAATTCATTAATTCTAATTCATAATTTTACTGTTATTAAATAAATATTTATTCTTGTAATTATAATTACTTTTAAAGTTCTTCATTTTCTTTATTTAGTAAAATAATTTAATTTTTAAATTCATTATCATTAGCTTTAGATATTATTAATTATTCTATTTATTATTATTTTTATTTTAATTTGATTTAACCTTCTTCATAAATTAATAATTCTGTTTGTTTAAATTACTTCTTAAAATTATCTAATTTTTTCTCCATTTCTAAATTCATTTATTCAAATTCATAGTATTTATCATTTTCTATCATTTATATCCTATTTTCTGTTATTAGCAATTATTTTTTATATAAATTATGCAACATTAATTTACAATCATTTTCTAATTACTTTTATTTAGTGATAAAAAAATTTCTTAATTCTATTAACTATATAGATGTAAATTCTTTATATCTACTAAAAGCTTTAAAAATTCTTTATTTTAAATTATTTTATTTAAATCTATGTTCGTCAAGTTTTATTTGTAATTAAGTTTTTTAATTGTTCAAAAGGCTAATTTTTTTACTAATATCATCATTTTAATTTTTTTCTTTTTTGATCATATCTTAGATTTCTTATTAAGCACATAGCAATTTATCATTATTTAATTCTAAATCTTAAATAATTTATTGATTCTAAATTTATAAGAATTCTATTTAATTATTACTCTCAATTTGATCTTTTTATAATTCTATTATTATTTTATTTTATTCATCCATTTTCTATTTAAATTCATTTCTTTATTTTCTATTCTCAACTTATTATTCTTATAATTAAGACTAAATTTTATTGTTTTCGTCATTAAAATTATCTTATAAGAGCATAAGTTTTTAATCTTTTTCTTACAATTCTAAATTATGTAATTCCTCTTTCTTTTTTATTTATTCATTCAATCGTTTAATATCATCTTTATGTTATTTTAATTTTTATTCTACTTCTTATCCTAATCTTTAAAATGAAAATGATCCTTAAATTTAAATATCTAATAAATTTTAAATGTGTTATAAAAATTATTAATGTTGTTAATTTTCCTTCTCAATTTCAGTAATATAATCTTAGTTTTCTCTTAAAGTGTTAAAGGTTTATTCTTAAAATACTTTAATTTCATCTAATTCTGAAAGTAGAATTTTTAATTTCTAATCTTTTTTAGTTATATCCAATTCTAGAGTACTATTTTTATTTTCTAATTCCTCTTAATCATAATTTTATTAATTTAATTATTCATTTAAATGATTGATCTCCATTTCTAGATTTTAGTATTACCTTTACATATTCTCAAATTCTAAATTTTATTGATATAGTTTATCTTTATTTAATTTAAGTTCTTTAATTAAATCTTAGATTTATTTATCTTTATCTATTATAACTTATTCAAAAGAAGTAGTCAAATTTTCCTCTAAATTTAATTTTTCATCTAAAAATTGTTCTTCTAAATCTTAACATTATTTAGTATATTATTATTCCATTTATTTAAGATTTTATTTATGATTAATTTATAACTAATGTAATTAATTTTCAGATTCTTTGATTAATCCCTATAATTCATCCATTTATTCTTATTAATATTATTAAATATTTTAAGCTTCTTTTAACTTATTCTTCAATTCATTTATTTTTTGATTACTTTTTTCTTTTAACTAATCAAGTAAATCTTTTTATTTAGATAATTCTTAATGATTTTTTGTTTTAATCTATTCAATCTCATTTTTGTATTATTCTATTTCTTAATCTAATTGAATATTGAGATCCATTTACTATTATGACTTTCTTTTTATTTCAGTAAGTTCTTTTAATGTAAGTTCACATTCATTTTTAAAATCACTATTTTATCTATCTAATTATTAATTTAATTAATTAAGAGATTCATTTCTTATTCTCATATCATTCAATTCAGAATTTAATAGTTTTTATAGTTAATCACATTATTAAAAATTTTCTTTTGTAATTATATTCTCCTTCAATAATTGCTGTTCTTTAGATTGTAATTCTTTTATTTACTTATTAAATTTATCATTTTATTGTTAATATTTCTAATTTGAAATTTAAATTTACTTGAAGTTATATTTCTGATGCTTCTAGTAAATCCTATAATTCTTAAACTTCTCTGATTTATTATAATTAAAATTCTCTTTATTTAGAATCAAATTCTTAAATTATAGTTTCTTCCCTTTCCAAAAAATCTCGTTTAATTTAATCATTTAAAGCTTATTCTTATCTTAATTCTGCTTATAAACGATGAATTTCATCTGTTAACTATTTTTAGAATGCTTCAAGAGTGATTTCCTTAATTCTACTAAATACTATGTTTTTATAGTCCTTATTGGATTCAATAACTGAGTCATGTAAAATCTTGGTTGAGATATCCAACAAACACTCTAATTAAATAATTTAAATGGATATTACATTCTAATTGAGATTGACTATTAAATAGTTTAGATGATGATAACATGTTTAACGTATATATAAATATGAAAAATTAAATTATTTATTCAATTAAATATTGATTTTTAATATGCTAGCATTTTAACATTAGTACCACCTGAAATAATTAGAATAAGATAATTAGTATACTTTTGAGATATGATGATGGAATAGATACATTTAAAAAAGATTTATTAAAGATAGTTGATATTTTAGGAGAATATTATCAATGAAGTAAAAGATGCAATGATTTAATTTTTTATTTAATCTGCTAAACTATTACCTCTTAAATCTGGAATTTATGCTACAATACTGGGCTCTCTTGTCTACAAAATAAGTAATTTTAAGTAGATATCATATAACAGGTAACTTAATCTTTGACTGATCAAATCATACTTGGATTATTGGAACATCTATAATAAATTGCTTAAGAGGAAACATCAATTTTAGGATAAACAATTTTGAAGTTCTTAAGTGAATTAATGAATGTTGGTTTACTTAATACGGTAAGTTTTGTAGAATGTTTGTATGATTTACAAAGAGGAGCTGAGAATGAAAATTCACCTTTCTATTTATAAATTCTACTAACTACTTTTCCTCATGTTTTGAGAAAGGCTATGGAGAAAAATCAAATTGAATTTAAGAATATTATTCAGAATGTGGAAGTTTTAATGTCTAAAAGGAAAACTGAAGATAGACTTAATCATTTATGATAATCAATTAGAAACTTTTTAAATAATTAAGAAAAGGATGCACATACTTAAATATTTTAATAATTTTTGAAATCAACTTATCCTAGGCCTTATTTATTATTTAAAGAAGAGATGACACAAGTTAGACAATTAAGAAGAGTATTTAAAATTCCTATTGTTAAAAGATATAAAATTTGGAGACCTTAATAAAATTTAGTAGTTAATGATAAACAAGAGTAAAATTTCAAAACAATAATTTAGTACTAAGACAGATATCTAAATTGAAATTATTAGATAATGGATTTATGAAACAATTGAACTATTTAAAAACCAATAGATAATAAACTATATTTTAATTTCAGTAATATTAAAATAGTTTATAGATCTTAATTTAGATAAACCATTTTTTATACTTTGTTAAATATGATTATTGAAACTGTTCCTAGAAAAGATTAATTATCAACAGTATTTTTTAGTGGACTTTTAAGTCATTTAAGTTAGAGAAATGCTGATAATATTAAAAAGTGGAATGAAATATTATTGAATAATTTATTGATTAATTACCTATGAATAATATTTTTGTAATAGAGTGAGTAACTGAATGTTTATCACATTATTATTGTAGATCCAATTTAAAAATAAATTGGGATAAATTATATTCAAAATATAGTACAGATGAATAGGAAAGTTTGAATAACTATTTTGTATTTTTATTATTTAGAAAACTATTTCTATTAGTAAATATAGATAAAATTACAGATCTTATACCGAAAAATATTATCACTTGGTTTAAGTATTAATAATAATAATTTAATTAATATTCATGATCATTGAATAAAAATCCTTTAAAAATTATGCTGATGAATAAACATCATTACACAAAAGTATTAATTTAACAATATTAGTAAAGAAAGAGAATTTCATTATTTTTGTTATTAGTTTATTATAAAATTAAAGCTATTTGATTAATTATTTAGATCTGATATATCATTATGAATAATTTTCAATTTTTTAAATATTTTTTATAGTAATTTAATTAAATGCAAAAAAAAGTTAGTCTAAAAACTCTAATTTATTTTTTTTTATATTTGTAGAATTTCTATTTTATTTAGAATAATATAAATATAATCATACTAATTGTTATTAAAATTCAAACTATTTGAAATAGAAATTTAATTCTAATAAATTTTATGATATGTTTCTTACAAAAAATAAAATCATTCCTCAATAAGCTATTTATTATTTTATTTATATAAACGATCTTTTTTAAGTCCAATTTATTCTAAAATGTAAATTAGTACGGTAATAATTTATAAAATTATAAAAGTATAATAGAGGAGACTTAAAAATAATTAAACTGGATGATCTTATATTGAATATTTTAAGTAATTATTTGCATCATCTCTTACTATGCAAGGAATACTTAAGAGTTATTCTATTTCTTCAAAAATGGAATCAATATTCAATTTAATTAATACAATTAAAAAGAGATAGCAAAATAATATTATTACTGATATTATTGTATAGATATTACAACAACCTAAATTCTAGTATTGGTTTTTCTTTTATTAAATTTTTTTTATAAATTATATAAAATGATTATTAGTTTTTCTTTCTTCTTGAAAATGTTTATAAAAGTAATAGTTTATGAATATTTATAATATTCGAAATAAAAATATTACGAAAATGAATGTTAGTTAAAGAATTCTTTATTGGTTAATTTCGGTTTAATATTCGTTTGTTAACATTTTTTAATAGTATTCATTTTATTAACATAAAGGAGATATTAAAATATAGGGTTTTGCTTGTAAAGTCCAATTGTGAATTCTATCAATATAAAAATAGCTTAAACCATCTTTATAGTAAAATAAATTATTTGATAGAAATAGCTATTCTTCCAATATTGCATATATTTAAGAAAATAGATGGTCATTTTCCTCACAAGCCTATTTCTAATTTTCTGTATATAATTATTGTTCAGAAAAAGCTTACTATTTATTTAATTTACAAATATTCTCTCCTTTTGTTAATTATACTTGAGAAATGGGCATATTATTGTCATTATATCCAAAATAAAAATACTTATTATTTCCAAGATATGTTAATGAATTTGTAAAATTTGGATTTATTTCTTCAATTGCTTTTATTCCAAATTCAGAAATAGGACAACTAATGTTTTTTGGTAAGCAATATATAAGATCTTATGCTTTGCAAATAGTCTTTTCTTATTATTAACAATAAGTGTGATTGTATTTAAGAGAAATATCTTTTTATCTTTTTACACATATAAGGAATTCTAAATATAAATTAATAAATATACAAGATCCAAATTCATTGTTATTCAAATAACTTATATTTTAATATAATTCTTGATTAAAAGTAAAACATCCTTAATTCAGATATTTTTAAGTGCATCCTTTCCCAATAATGATTTCTATCTTAGTTTCTTCATTTCCAGTTTTATTTCTCCTTTAACTGCAATCACAACCTTTAATAACTCTACTATAATTGTATTAAAATAGAGGTTAATAATCTTTTTTTAAGCAAGTCTATTCATTCCATTAAATATAAAAATCAACAATAATATCTTCATTTAAGTTGCTCAAAAATTACTAATAGACGTCCTAATTTGGTTAATATATTAAAAACTATAATCCAGCATAAATAATTAAAATGAAGGATAACAAGAGAAAAAATGGAATATTTTCTATTTTTTACTATTCTTTTTATTTTTCTTTAGATCTCTTTATTCTTTCCAAAAATCTTTTCACTCCTTATTTAGTATTTACATACATGATAATATCAAAATTTATATAAATATCATAAACTCAATTCTAATAAAGCAAATATTATTTAATAAGAGAATTATTCTATTCACTTCTATTTAAAGATCATTTTACTATAAAATCAATTATTTATAATATATGTAACAATTAATCTATTTTTTATATTATGAAAACAAATAATAAAAAAATAGCTTTGTTTTTTCTTATTCAAAATAAATTATTGATTTTTTATTAATAAAGAGTTACTTGATGATTATTAACTTTAAGTATTCTTAGAAAACATAAGTTCAAGATATATCTAATGCAAATACCTATTAGAATTTAATTAATATTATAATTTTGATAAAATTATTAAATTATAATGTAGTTATATTAAGTCAACAGATCATTAGTAATTATAACTTTTTATTATTCAATAATCAATTAAACTATTAGTTTTAATCTTCTCTAAAAATAAATTCATTTATATCCAAAGATTATTATAGAAGTGTATGTTACTGTTATATAACTTAAACATCATTATAGTTAATGCCTATAAATCTGTAATTGTCAATAAAATCTTTTCTTTAATTTTCTATAATAAAAATTTGAAAAACTTTGTTTTAACCATATTAGTATTTTTAAATTGATAGTTTTTTATAGAAGATTTGAAATAGATAAATTTATATAATAGTAATAAAAATTTTTTATGTAATTCTCTATGTACATTTTCTTTTAAGTGGACATATTTTATAATAGATAAGTTGTATAAAATTAAATTATTTTATGACTAATTTTCAAATAAATTAAATACTGTCATAAAGAATTTAAATTTGTATCTAATAATCTGATGCTAATTTTACTTATCAGGTATTATCGTTTTGAAATCTTGAATGTAGTGTAAATATCCCATCAAATTTTAATTATTATAGGATCTGTTTTTTTTTAATATATACATGATGCTAATTTTTATTCTTAACAAATACATACATTTTAATATCCATTTCATGAGTCTTTTATTGATAATTTTAATTACAAAGATTGGACTTTAATTATTATGACATTTTTAAATGTATTTTATTTTTGACAACTATATAAATTATTATAAGATCCATAATAATCCTTTTAGATATTGATAAAATATTCTCTATATATTTTCTGTTTGATATTTAATCTCTACTTTTTATAAATTATATATCATTAATATTATTATAAACTCTAACTAACAAAATCAGGTCTTGTATTATTCCGCATTTAAGGCTCTTCATAGATTATTTAAGATTAGGCAAAATAATCGTTTTCTACATCAGCTTATGGCACTGGAGCAGAATTGAATTAATTTTAATTTTGATATACCCTTTAGCCAGTCAATGGTATTTATTAATGGAATTAATACTAAGGTGGTACTTAATTGTAAGGTGTTAATGGTACAAATTAAGGTTATTATTAATACTAAATTGGATTTCTAGATGGAGAAGTAAATTATGGGATAACAATTTATTATTTTAATGGCTATAATTATGTAATTATATACTTTCTCCTCTTGTAATGGTAATTAAATTATATATTTCAGACCTTCATGCAATTTTTAAACAAATTTTTCTATGGATGTTTAAAGGTTTTTATAATCTTATTTCCATTTGCTGTCGACATAATCTAAAAATCCATTCACATCTTGAACTTCTTTTGAATTTAATGTTTCCATTTGCATATCAAATAATCTACAAAATTCTATTGTAAAAGCATTACTAAAATAATTTTTTATCATTTTAACAAAGTTATCTTTCATTAAATTTAGAAGATAAATTCTAAAAATTTTATATTTTATAATTTACTTTTTATTTACAATCTCTCCTTCTTTATTATGTTTCATTTCATATTCTTTATGATTGACATAAGATTATATCTTTTTGAATGCCTCTTCAATATCATTTCCAACATCCTCTGATACTTTTATTTTTTAATTTAATTATTCTAAAGTTGTTATAATTTCATTTCTCTCTTCCTAATTACTTTATTTAATCTCTTTTTATTTATCTTGAAACTCTTTTTTAAAAGCANATGATGCTAATTTTTATTCTTAACAAATACATACATTTTAATATCCATTTCATGAGTCTTTTATTGATAATTTTAATTACAAAGATTGGACTTTAATTATTATGACATTTTTAAATGTATTTTATTTTTGACAACTATATAAATTATTATAAGATCCATAATAATCCTTTTAGATATTGATAAAATATTCTCTATATATTTTCTGTTTGATATTTAATCTCTACTTTTTATAAATTATATATCATTAATATTATTATAAACTCTAACTAACAAAATCAGGTCTTGTATTATTCCGCATTTAAGGCTCTTCATAGATTATTTAAGATTAGGCAAAATAATCGTTTTCTACATCAGCTTATGGCACTGGAGCAGAATTGAATTAATTTTAATTTTGATATACCCTTTAGCCAGTCAATGGTATTTATTAATGGAATTAATACTAAGGTGGTACTTAATTGTAAGGTGTTAATGGTACAAATTAAGGTTATTATTAATACTAAATTGGATTTCTAGATGGAGAAGTAAATTATGGGATAACAATTTATTATTTTAATGGCTATAATTATGTAATTATATACTTTCTCCTCTTGTAATGGTAATTAAATTATATATTTCAGACCTTCATGCAATTTTTAAACAAATTTTTCTATGGATGTTTAAAGGTTTTTATAATCTTATTTCCATTTGCTGTCGACATAATCTAAAAATCCATTCACATCTTGAACTTCTTTTGAATTTAATGTTTCCATTTGCATATCAAATAATCTACAAAATTCTATTGTAAAAGCATTACTAAAATAATTTTTTATCATTTTAACAAAGTTATCTTTCATTAAATTTAGAAGATAAATTCTAAAAATTTTATATTTTATAATTTACTTTTTATTTACAATCTCTCCTTCTTTATTATGTTTCATTTCATATTCTTTATGATTGACATAAGATTATATCTTTTTGAATGCCTCTTCAATATCATTTCCAACATCCTCTGATACTTTTATTTTTTAATTTAATTATTCTAAAGTTGTTATAATTTCATTTCTCTCTTCCTAATTACTTTATTTAATCTCTTTTTATTTATCTTGAAACTCTTTTTTAAAAGCATCCATTTTTTTTTAAACTCCTCCTAGATTTCTCTCTATTAGACTTTAAAAATAATTATTATCATTTCCAATTCTATTTTCTTCTTGGATTATCTCAGGTTCACCATTAAGTAAATATTTAAGCCCAGGACTTATGTTTTTGCTATTACTTTAATACATTTATAAAACTCCATTTTCTAATAAATTTGAAAGTTCTTCTAACTTTTTAAATGTCAATTCAAATTTACTTTATGCTATTTCTCATGAATCTTAACTGCACAAGTTGAACACATTACTCGTTAAAGACACTATTTCTCTAAGCAAACCCAGCCTATCTTTTATTTAGGATGTTGAGTGCATGTTTAATCGATTTCCATTTTTGTAATAAATATTAATAGAATGTCAATAGCTTATATTTACAATTAACTGTCAATATTTTATCATTTAATAATATTTATATATCTATTTAATTAATTTCAACATATTAATATGGATCTCAATAATAAAAGAAGGTCATCTCAAAAATATTGGAGCAATAATACTTCCTGACTTAAACTAAAACTAAATTAAAGAATATTTGGATTAATTCTAATTTGTAATATAAAGGATTATATATGTATTTCAAAAGCTATTGGAATATCCTTATTATATAAATGATTAATAAAATTAAAGTTCATAAAGTTTCAATTACTTTATGGTCTTTATAATCTTTATTATTATATTTTAGAATAGGATATTAAATCCCTCTAATCTAAAATACTATTATATAATAATAGATCAATTTTTTATGATTTATATATATACTAAGATATCATACTATATTTAATAATCCCTACTAAAACTCTTTAAATATAAATAATATTATTTCTATGAAAATAATCTTTCTTTTTATCAATTGTTTGAATTAAGATTAGAATATTAAGATTTTAACATCTTTCCAAATTTACAAATATTTTATACAAATAAATTTTACAGATAATATTTTCAATTTGATTTCAGTTTCATTATAAAAATATATTAATTATTGAATTCCACAAAATAAAATATTAGATAAATTTAGATTAACATAAATAAAATGGAGTTTTTTAATTGAGAAGTATAAAAGGGTTTGCTAACTTAATTTTAGTTTATAAATGGAGTTTAAATCATATTTAAACTATTTATTTCATATGATTGAATTTATCTGATTTAATACAATTTTTTAATACAATAATACAAGATCATAATCAAGGATAAGGTCGATAATACGAAGGCACCATTTATGACATCTATGAATGATATTTTAAATTTATATACCATTTATTATAATTGGTTATATTAATATGTTAAATAGGAGTAATTTTGAGTCAATTATTATTTTTCCTATTGCAATTACTATACTCTGCCTTATAATAACATATTCTAATATATATTAATTTGAGTTTATTTACCTACGTATTCAATTATTAAATTAATAGAGCCTAATTCCTATTAGTCTCTTCTGCTTGTTGATAAAGATTTGTTTCTAAATTATCTTAGACTACATCAACTTTTGTCTGTCTTTATTCACCATAATTTGGTTTATCAGAAGTGGCTAAAAATTTAAATATTTGTAATTACTTTGGTTGAGAATTTCTTGCTTAGAGGTTAGTGTTTTCTTATTCTCTCTCTTTATTTTCTTTGATGTCCTTCCTTCTTTTCTATATATCTACATAATTGCTTTAGCAGTTGAAAAATTGATATTTAATTCTTTAGCTGCACTTTTTATAGTACACCCTGTAGTTGTTACTTATTTTATCAACTTCTATCGTTATTCATTTGATATTTTGGCATACTTTAGCCCATGTTTTCCTAATGATTGATTTTTTTAAAACATACCTCTATATTTATATAGAAGCTCTTTCTCTTCTTCTGGAGATCTCTTGGATGAGGGCTTTTGGTTTAAGTCCTAAGCAAAATCATACGAAGAGTCTGAAGAGTCGGATTCATGAGATGGAGTTGAAGAATCCTCTTATAGTATTTGTTATGGATCCTCTACCTTAGAAAGCTATTCAATTGATGCCATACAATTTGATTAAATCAATTTTAAAAATAATTGAAAAAAATGTTGATATAGAGGCACTTATATTCTGAAATTTAATATATAAGCAGAAAAGATTTAATAAAATATAAAGTCTCTATTAATTTGATAAATATAATTATTTATATTTGATATTTAAAACGCAATCTGTTATAATAAATTGAAGTGACTTAGAATTCGTTTAATTAATTATTTTTAATAATAAGAAAAATAATTAAGAATTTGTATTAAATTTAATAAAACTTCCACATTAAATATTTTTGTATTTAGATGGAAGTTTCCATAAGTAAAAAATTATAAAACAAAATACAATATCATAACTGTAAATTAAAAAGTAAATGAAGATCTAATTAATATCTTTTTTATAATATTGCAATTTAAATTTAAACAATTACTCTTAATATAAGTAAAGTTTTCAAGCTTATAAAAGTAAAATAAATTTAATTAATTAAAACAATATTTGATCAATTCTTTTAATTTATTCTATGTTTACTAGTTTAAGATTAATCAAATCTTAAATTTTATTTATCTATAGGTTTTTTATTTGATTGTGATTTTTTGAACTTATTTTTTTATCTGTTTCAATATTATTATGGCCGATAATTATAGTTTAATAGTTAATTCTTCTTTTGATTTTTTAATTCATAGAATTTTCTTGATTATGCTTAAGTTTATAAAAGAGATTTATACTGATTAAAATCAATAGGCAAACTTTGAGTATTATTTATAGACATCTTAATCTTTTAATAAAATATCCATTAGTAATTTCATATCACTCAACTATTATTCTACTAAATTTTAATTTATTATGAAACTAACACTCATTATTTTATATCTTTATTAAAGTATCTGGTTTATTTTCAATATTAGATATCATTTATTTGTTCTAATATTTAATAATCTATTTTTAATGCACTCAATCTAATTACATTGATTATAACATAAATTTTATGATAAATAGATTTCCTTAATTCTTTAAAATTTGATTATTATTTTTATTCTTTTTCAGAATAATTACAATTATTCATAAAAATTAATAATAATAATGGTTAGAAATATTTATCATATTTAATAATGAAAGAAATTAAAAATATTCAATTTTTAGTTTATTGAAATAATTATTAAGCGATACCAAGGATTCCAAAAATCTACAATTTATTCTTACTCAAAACTTTCAAGTAATCCATAGATTTATGAGATTCTAAAATTAATTCATCCTAAGATTATTTAATCATTTACATCATCTGAATTTTTTAATTCAGTCTTAACTAGTAGAAATGGAAATTTGATTTTCTCTTATTCATTAATTTCCCTTTCTTTGTTAAATTTTATCAAATTTTGAAGTGCTTCCTGCTTTTTTATTGAATTTGTTAACTATTCTTTCTTTTATAATAATAATTCTTTTAATTTTTACTGTTAAATTAAATATTTATATATACCTTTCGAATTATTAAATTCTATTTTGTTATATTGACTGAGCTTTGTGTATTCTTTCTCATCAATTTTTTATCCTTAACTACTATTCCAACTGAAATCATAACATTTAAAGCATCATATACTCTCCTTCTTAAATTTTTTATGTCTTTTAATCCATTATCTAATTGACCATCCATTTCTTTTGACATCTCTTCTGTTAGCTTTTAGCATATTTCTGAATAACCAACTGTTTAATTTTGAAGTTCATTTTCAACTCTTTTACTTATGTATTTCAGACTCCATTTCTTCAATGTTTTTGGAGAATCAAATTAGATTTTGCTAATTTCAAATGGCTCACTCTAAACATATAATTTTCTATTAGTATTTGCTTGAGAATCGCAGGGGCCTTCTAAATCTAAAATAAATAATTTTGCCACTAAATTAAAGTATAAGCGCCAAAATTAGTGCGCGTTTATATATGGATTAATTGAATCAATTTTTGTTAAATGTTTAAAATTTTATACCTTAAATAGTGTTCTTTACAGGTGTCTGGAATACATTAAAATTATAGGAATCCTCATCAAGTCTAAATTAACCTGTAAAGTCCATTGCTAATGGTTTAATAAATTATATTAATAATATTTTTAAATACTATTATAAAAATTTATGAATAAACATATAAATTTTAATGTGAGAAAAGATATCACAAAAAATTATATTGCAATTTTTTTACTTTCATCTTGAATATATTATATATTAATTAATCATTTTATATAATTTTATACAATTTTAAACATAAAGAATAAGAAATATTCATATTTGAATAAAAAAATTTTTATTATTATGAGAATATATTAGTTATTTATATTTAAAATTTAATTTTTTTGGTTTTTCTTAATTGGTTTTTATATTAGATTAAATATTTTAAGTTAAAATCTGAAATTCATAAGTTTAGCTTGAAGTAATTCTTATTATGAGGATATTTGACTATTGAATTCGCTAAAGTGAAAATAAATATGAAATTAGATCATACTATAAATTCTTATATTTAAAAGGCTATTAATAGTATATTAATATGGAACTAGAATGATTTCGATTTTAATTAGTAAATTAATTATAACTATTCTTATTTATATTTAGTTTCATATTAATTAATCATTAAAAGATTAATTAATATTTACTTATTCAATATGATCAATTAGTCTTTAGAAACTTTAATGTTTCCTTTATTTTATAATATTAATTATGATTTATATAATTATTCATAAAAATAGCAAAACTATTTAAAAATTAATTAAAGATCTAATCATTTAAAAATATAATTTATATCTTAATAACAAAGTCAATATTAAACAAATAGCATGTCCACTTCATATAATCAAAGGGTATGAGACATTTTCAAATTTTCTTAGATCTTCTCCACAATAGCTCATTTAAGGAGTGATTTCAACTAAATCTTCTTCTTAAGTTCCCTCTAATTTCAAATATCTCTTATGTACATTGGACAATTAGATTACTGCTTTTCTTGGATCATCAATTAATAAAGCATAATCTTCTGTTTAATGTAAAATTGTTATATCAGTTACTTCTATTATATCCTGAATATGTTTTTCAAATTAAATGTTAGATCCTCTCTTTATATAGTGATATCTTTAATTAAGTTTCAAAGCTTTCTCATGATTATATTTTAAATTATTGAGAAAAGAAACTGATAGATATAAATCATTCAGTAACATTTAAGTCGAATTGTATGAATTTTCTGTAATATTGGAGTCCTACTCATCCATAGTCTTAAATTATCTATTCAAATAGAATATTCTGTCATCTAATATTGAATTAGTTTCAATAACTTTGCATAATACATCAGCCTTCTATTTAGAAATGAGATTCAACATTTATGGATCTAACGGCAATCCAACTAGATTATCTAAACCCAAGAAATGAATATACTCCATATTTGGAAATTTACTGAAATTATCTAAAACCCTTTTACTTTATGAATGAATTTATTTATAAAAATATTGTACCAGTCCCCTCAGGTGTCATAATTGCTTAAGTCTCTTATTCAAACACTACCTATCCTTTACAATCAATCACAGGTATTGATTTCTCTAATATATAATTGATTGATTGAAATCCAAAATCTCTTTAGCTTTTGATATACATTTAAAATTTTTCTTAATTTTAATCTGAAAGTACAATAGCAATAGGATAATCATTAATCTCTTTGTTTTCAGAAGCTTTAACATTTAAATTATGATATATTACACAACATAAGAATCTTCTTCAATCTTTCCATCATTATTTAAATAACACATTTCTTAGATGGAAGTCCTATATCACTTAATAATTTATCAGACAATCGAGAACTACGACCTCCACATAAAAATACTATTCCTACTTTATGTTCCTTAATATTAATTCATAATTTAATACTTTTATCAAATCAAGATTTTATTCTTAACAATTAGTGCTCTAAATAACATTGCATTAAAATGCATCTATTTAATTTTATTTATAACAATGATGAAATAGCTAAATAATGTAATTAATTTTCTATACAGAGTCAATGAATTCAAAATCTAAGCGTTCTAATTTTGTCATAAACCCCAGTTTTTTTTAATTATCTATATTCTCTAATATCTTTAAAATATGACCTTATCCAGAAGCTATAATTCTTTAAATTAAAGATGAAAATATTGTATCAACTTGTTATTCTAAATACTTTTTGTGTTTTGTTACATTTTGCTATATTGTTTGCAATATTTTCTAGCTTTTAATAAGTTGAAAATCTATTAAAATCAAGTTTTAAATAATCATCCTCTATATTATCTAATTTCTCTTAAACATTTTAAGAAGCACAAACTCCCATTTGATTAGAATTTAGAATTTTATTTATTTATTTATATAAATGTTGTTATTTTTAATATAAAGAATTCAAGTATTCACAAATCAAAATTTTAATTTGAATGAAAGAATTGAATCTAAATAAATTAAATCTTTATAATTCATTATGTAGAAGAAATTTTTATTTAAAAAGAACTTATTATATCCTTTTATAAAATGTTTATTTAAAAATGAATATAAGAGAACTTATTTATAATTTTAAATTATATCAATTGATCTTTTCTATTGTAATTAGAGGAATAAAAAGGAATTGATTAATAGACAATATTGAAGTCAAGATAAAAAATAATTATTTTTATATTAATTTAAATATGAAAATTCCCATAAATATACTTGAACAACCTAAAGAAATTGAGCTTCGAGTATTATATTTTTTAAGCTTAGATGTTAAAATTCATTCTATAAAGCCCAAAGTTCTTAGATGACTTTAAGGTACTTATTATTGATCACAGTCATCCAATCCACAAATTATCACAAGGATCATTATGTTTAATAATAGATAAGCTTGATTATCATATTGAAATAGCAGCTGATCAAATCCAATAAAATCCTAGTTTTTACTGTCAGACTTTATTGTCTGTTATAAATTGTATGTTAGAATTAGAGTGTTATCGGTATTTAATTTAATTACAATAGGAAATTGTTTCACTCATTAGATCATATATTTAATATGTTAGAATATTCAGATAATTTATTAGTATATGAGTAAATAATGCTTATTTTAATAAAACTCTATAAATAACCTTCAAATCCAAGTAATACATCATAAAAAGATTTCTGCAATCAATAATTAAAAGAATACCTTCCAAGAACCATATATTTTACTAGAATTCTGCTTGATCATTATAATAATTTATCTTCTACCAAGATAGAGTTAATAGATTATTATTGTGAAGATCCCCATTATCAAAATCTTAGTGATGCTCCAATAGAATTTCCTAAATTGATTTTTGAGTATATGGAACCAACTTAATTGAATGAATCATATCAGGATTTATGCAAGAATTGTATACACAAGAAAGAATTACATCAACCGATTTTTATTAGAGTAGTGTCAAAAATATAATTAGAATTTTGAAATTACTGATGTCAATTCCAACACAGCCCTAGCATTGTCCAAGACATTTCTGAATCCACAATATTAATATTTCTGTCCTTTAGTTGATGCCATGAAATATAGAATCCTTATCTATAGAGAATTTTAATAAAATAGAATTCCTATTGTAATAGTATTACACATACAATCTCTCCTTATGTATATGCTTCTAAGTTAATATTGCTAAATCAATAATTGTGGAGAACTACTAGATCAAGTCTTTGAGGAATAATTAGAATATGAATAGCATTTTAAGATGTATATGAAATTCTTTTAATTGAAAACAGTTGATCCTTTATTATTGTCTACAATACTTTAAACATTGAATGAAATCATAACTCTCGAAAAATAGAATGAAAATGAAGTAGCTTTTACTATTGCCAAAAATTATGACGAAACATTTTTATAATTTATATATGATGTTTTATCCATGAATCCAATTTCAATTGAAATAGAGTAGACATATCCATTATAATATCATCCAACTCTTTTAAGTGAAACATGTGCAAAAAGTTAAAAATTAGCATAATGTATTTTTACAATATTCTCATCTGAACCTGGTATACTCATTTTAAATAGGAGCAATATTGCTCTTGGTTCTTCTTCAGCCTTAATTAGAGCACTTTAGATATCAGATAATAAATTATTATTACCTCCTGAATCTTTTAAATCTGCTGTTACACTTTTAAGTCGATTATCAAGAAAAGATGATATCTAAAGAGATCTAAGAATATTTAATGATCTTATTAAAATTTTAGAAAATTAGATAACATTTGATACTGATATCTAATAACCCACTTTAAATGGTTATTGCAAAATTTCATCAGAAGAGTCTGATTAAATTATTGCAATTTGCATATAATCAATAAATGAGCATTTTAGAGATGATTCAGGGAGAAGATAAAATAGAGCTAATGCACCAACATTTGCTAGATAAGTTTCAGAATCAACAATAATTAAGAAACTATAAAATTTATTAGAATCTACTCCTAATTTTCTTGGAACAATCTAATAGACTTTAATACTCATCTCTCATTTAGCTAATGAAGTTCCTATCTTAATTGGTAGATTAATTGATTCACATTTGCCATAGATATTAAATTCATTAATTTTGTAAATGAATATTGAAGAAATTAATAATAAAATGATGACAGCAATTTTTTAATTTTACTTTAACATATCTTTAAAAGAAGAAGGTTATGAACAATTTAATAAATATGGTATGAACTTTTTGAAAACTATATCACATTATACATTGATTAATAATATAAATGCATCAAGAGAATAATTAAGTGGTTTAGCTTAGTGTATAACTAAATATACACAAAAAATTGATAAAGTTGGTCCTTAGGTATGTTCAATATTGAATTAAGTAATAGATTAATTATGGATGCATTTAATAGAAAAGAAAAAATAATTAAAAATTTAGGATGTTTATTTTTAATATTTTGAGATTATAACTCAAATTTAAAATTTATCTATTTTCATTTTTAAGATGTTTCATTACCCTCATTATTCATATTTAGCTGAAATGAATTCAAGAGGATTTTTTGATTAATTATTGATGTTCTTTGAATTTCCAATATTTGATTTTAAAAATGATTTATTGAAAGTATTTCGATGGTTAACTTAATTCGATGAATATGATAACCCTCATAAAATATTAAAGAAAACTTTACTTACTATAGATAAATGGGAAGTGTAATTAGGATAAAATTTGGAAAAAGCTTAACATTTTGTTACTGATTAATATTACAATTCTCAAAATTATTTTTTAAATTGTAATTAGGAATAAATATAAGAAAATCTTTAGATGGCATCTTGTTATTCTTAAGTAGAATACTTATTAGAAATTTTAAAACTTTATTTAGTAAATTCACCTTAGATTGATTGGGAATAATAATATCTTATTATTTTGAACAATAAATGTTGTGCTTTATTCAGAATAATTATAGATTCAATCAAATTTAATATTTAAGATTGTTAAAATGATTAAACATTGAAAAAATCAGTTTTTTATGCTTATATTTAAAATTTAAAACATATCATTGTAAATACTTTTAATTAAATAATAAGAAAAAAGAATAATTTTTAATCATTAATCTAATTATTTATTCATATGAGTTAAAAATTAGATAATGAAAATTAATGGATAGTAATTATGTATATATCATTGATTGAAGAACTTCTATTAAATCTTTTGGAAAGTAAGAGATAACCTGAAAATAGATATTTAAATTTAGATCTAATAAATCAATTAATGAAATCAGAATTTACTAATAATATTCAAGGAGCACTTCATTCATATACTAAAATGATTTAATCTAATTAATGTGATAATGAACAATTAAATATTTTATCTAAGCATTATTCTACTATTATTAAGATCATGTACATAAATAAATTCCATAAATCAAATAGTGAGATTGCATAGTCTATAATACCTTAATAAATTTCAGATATATAAGCTATGTTGTAAATAACTTAATTTTCAAATTCAGATAATATTTATAACATATAACTAATTCTAATTGAAAAAGTAATGTTGATCTTAAGTCCTACATTTTTGTAGGATTTGATCATTAAAGAGAGAGATCGTTTAAATTTTTTTACTTTTTCCAGTTTGAGAAATGATTTTGGTGAATTTAACATGATTCCAAGAAATGATTCAACTCTAGCAAGAGAATAATTAAGGTGTATGGGATTTTAGGATGATGCAATATCTATAGCTTTCTAAAATATTAGAATTCCTGATGTAGGTTAAGCTGCTGTCTGGTTATCAGATAATTAAGATATGGTTGAATAAAAAAGATTAGAAAGTAAAAAAGGTTAAAAGAATGAATTATGTAAAGATTCCACTTCTGATATGATTCAATTTAAATAAAAGGAACTCAAAAATTATATTCAAAAAAATATACTTTTCTTTAGTAAATTTGAGGAAACTTTATTTAAAGTATTTGAAGGATAAATGATGCCTTCTTTATTAATGTGTTTAAAATAAACAGTTTATGAATAATTTAAATTACAATTAAAATTTCAAGATTGTCAATTAAATCTTAAGAGACCTTATAATAATGATTTAAAATTGGTAATCACTATTTTACATTTTATTTATAAATAATAAAATTTGGTTTAAGAATATGATTATATTGTGATTGAAATGATGAAATTAATTTAAGAATTATTAAAATATGAAGATGAATAAACAATTAGAGCAGTCAATCATGTTTTAGCAATTTTAACTCTCTTCATTACTAATGAATATAAATAAAAACAACATTAACATGATATCTTCAATGATATATTACTTGGTGTTCTTAACATTTTAAAAGGGAAAGTGTAGAATCATACAACTTCTAAAATCTGTATTGAAATATTAATAAGAATCTTCTAAGTAAATAAAGAGAATATTCATAAATTTGTCTATTAAATGAAAGGATTAGAGTATCTTCTAAAAGTAAAAGGAGATTCCAAAAACCATCTTTATAGTTTAACAAAATTAGTATTATCTATTGTTCATGATTCAAATATTGTAATTGCATAAGTTGAAGCAAAAATAAAAAAAATAATATATGATTAAGAATACAATAAAGAAATTGAGAATACTCATAGATAAATATCATAATAATAGTCTTAAAATTTAATGCATTTGCCATAGCGTAATCATTATCCCTTCTGTTTTCAACCTATTCATTATAATATACAAATTCAAAATGAAATTAAACTATCTAAAAATAATTAAGCTTTGGTTGCTGTTCTAAATTAAACCTTTTACAATGAATAAATCTAGTTTGTTATGAATTCCTTATTTGAAAGTTAAAATAATTACTTTGTCCTTAAAAAAGGTATTCATCTTTATACTTTTAATTGTGTTGAACCAGGTAGTTTTTTAAAACATAAAGAGCCAGAAAGTGCAAAAAGAAGTAATAAGACTTCAACTAAAAAAAGAAAGAGTGAAGATAAATTGTAATTATAATCAAATTTTTAACATACATAAGAAGCCTAGATTTTATTAAAGCTTTTAATTTAATAAATGATCTTATCATATTTCGATAAAAGTGAGCAATATTAATTTTAATGGAATACAATATGCTAAGCACTTTAAGTATTAATTAGGCGTTATCCAATTCTAATTCCTAAATTAGTTAGGATTAATTGTAGCAAATTCCTTAAACCATATCAAAAAGAATTAGGATCAGATTTTAATGATAAAGAATTCCCTCGTAAAATTTCATTTATATCATTAATAACTAAGATCATGATTCCAATAAAAAATTTACTTTTTGAATTATGTTTAGATAATGTAATTTTAAATAAGATATCTAATAATTCTATTGCTCCATTTTCCATTGAAATAAGAAAGAAGATTATTAGTGAAATCTATGATGGAATAGAAAAGAGAATTAAAACTTTAGATTAAAATTTTTGTCATTTATCAGATACATTAGTATTTTTAATTTAAATTAAATCTGTGGCTAAGATTTGCTTTAAAAATATTAATGAACCACAAAATTCATTTAATTTTATTAAGGTCTATATAGATGGTATTAAGAATTTTGATTTGAAATAATATTATATTCATGAAAATCAATTACAATTCTTAAATGAAACACTTGCTGTTTTATTTAATGTGGCAACATATTTACTACTTTATAAACCATCTCTCCTTCTGATATCCAGATAGATTTAAGAATAATAAGGAGATCATTTTCAACTACAAGGGATGATTGGATAATTACTACCAGAGGAAATAACCAGTTAACTTATCCCAAATAAAGGTATAATTTATTAAGATCCAATGAAATATTTCATAAAATGGTCTCTGCTTCCTATTTCTTTCAATTAAGATACACGATAAAATATAAGATAAGATCAAATTGATTTATAACATTTATGGTCTCCATTTCGTAGGAGAAATAGATTTCTAGATATGGAAGTTTTTGAAAATATTGAAGATGAGGAAGGTGAATTTGAACTTGATCATGATGATGATGACGATGATGATGATGATGATGATAATGATATTTAAAGTGTTGAGAGCAGATATGATTCAAGTAATAATGTTTAAGAATCAGTTGAGGAAGAATTTGATCAAGAAGTTAATAGTTGGGTTACGAGTTAAAGTGGAAACATTCAAATTGAAGCTGAAGATCATTAAAATTTAAATTCAAGTTGGACTGATGAAGAAGATGATTAAGTTGGAGAAGATGGTCAAGATGATGATGTAGAGGAAAGTAGTGATTCTAATAATGAAAATGCATCATATAGTGTATCACAAATATAAAACTAATAGGAAATTGATTAAGAAATTATTCAATAAAATGTGTAAAATTTAGATTAAAATATTAATCAAAAACATTATTGTATTGTTTAGAATGATTAATATAATTAAATTCGTGAGCAAAATAAAGAAATTTAAAATCATTATCATCATCTTACTAACAAAGAAGATTTGATATTCATGAAAATGACTACATAAATTATTTAATTGATAGGAGTTAAGTTCTCTTAGTAATTTGCGAAAATTTTAGATTTATTTAGTTTCTTATTATCTGAAAATAAATAAGTTGATAATTAGTAATTTATAAATTGGTGGACTGAATTGACTTCATTTACTTCATAATAGATAATTCCAGAAGAAAAAGACATTACTTAATAAGATATAAGAATTTAGCCATTAAATATATTTAGGGATAGAGTAGGAATGGAATTCTTAAGAATTGATTAAGATGATAGATCCATATCTGGAGTGTAATAAAGTTCATAAAATAGAGCTCGAAACTATTTATAATAATTAGTAAGAGACTTCCCAGATAGACATTCTCATTATGGTATTAGATTAGAGTAACAAAGACAATTTTAGGAATAAATTACAAATATATAATATTAAAATACATAAATGATAGAGTCTAATAATTAAAATTAATAATAATAATAATAATAATAATAATAATAATAATAATAATAATAATAATAACAATAATAACAATAATAATAATAATAATAGTAATAATAATAATCATCATCATAATAATACTAACCCTTATACTAAACTTAAGACTAAACATTATAAAATTTATAAAATGAGTAATTAGAGTAAGATATATTATTTTAATAATTCTAAGCGCCAAATTTTTAGCAATAATTTCATTCCTAAAGTCCCTAAAGTCATGATTATGTGTAGTTTGAGGTTTATTCTCCCATTTACCATAATTTAGATGATTAAAATATACTAGAACAAAATTAAGTAAATAATCAACAATAAACTAACGATTAGCCAGAAAAGATAGAGTAACATTAACCTACTTAACAGTAATAAATTTAATAAAATAATTAAAATTATTAATAAACTTATCCAAAGAGTTACAACCTTTTGAAAAGAGAAGGTAAAACATTTGAAGATCTAATTAAAAATGACATTGATCCATCAGTTTTTGAAGATCTAAATGAAGATTTGATGATGGAAGTTATTTAATCCATTCCACATGAAATTGATGGAATTGATCCTTAATTTTTAGCCTCTCTTCCATTAGAAATTAGAAATGAAATAATTCAATAATATTCTATGCCAATAAACTAAACAAAACCTTAAGAAATTTCTTAAGTTAATTTAACAGAAAATTTATTCCTTCATAATGATAGAAATTAATTGCAACATCCAAGAAACGAGTATGTTATTCCTCCTATATAAAATGTTCAAGAGAATGGTCCCAACCTATTAAATAGACCTAATTCTCGACTTATGAATTATACTGCCTTTTTTTCAGATATCATTCCTAATGAATAAAGGCAAACAAATTATGATTAATAGTTTTAATTGAAAAAACCTCATTTGAAATCTTAAAATTTAAAATAGTTACTTTCCACTTAAAGACATATAATTTAAAAATTAGGAACTGTTGAAGATGAATTTACCTAATCATTACTAAGTTTACTTTATGTAGAATCTCATAGTTTCATCAATTTCCCTATTAATCTTTTTATTTCATTATGCAATATTTAAAATGTTGAGTATAAATTAATTGATACATTATTCATGATATTAAAAACAAATAAATCAAAAGAATAATAAATCAAATCTTTTCCTCCATAATTTATGGTTAAAAGATATGGACTTGTAAGAGATTTTAGTAAAATATATAATGTAGTTTCATTAAAAGTCTTGTATTTGTTTTCAAAATTACAAAGCTCTTCTATAAACTACTTTTTCGAAAACAAAAAGTAAAATTAAAGTTCATCAGAGAATGTCTTAAACCTTCCCTTATTAGAACTAATCTAACTTTTGCCTGAATTTCAAGGGGAACATTAAGAGTTGCTCATTTAGGCTATAACAAACATTAGTACAAAATAACAGGATTTTAATTAATTTAAAGTAAAGCTAGACTAAAAATCTGTTGAATGTATTTGTAAGACTCTTCTATAAAATGTGAGTAAAAGTGTAAGGAATTTTTCAAATATAATTCAAAGTTTATGCAACCACAAAGAAAATTAATTCTTAATAGTTCAATACATTAAGGAATATATAGAGAAAGCTATAAAGGAGATAAATGAAAAATTTAAAAAAACTGATGAGATATTTAATGGAGATAAAGCATTAATTAATATCTTTCAGTTTGTAAGGGATATTAATGCAAAAGTAGGAGAAAACAATAATCCATAAGATATATCAATAAATTTTAAAGAATTATTGGAGAGTAAAGAATTGATAGAATTATGGAAAAATATGATAAAGTTTTTATCATAAATACCTTAATAATCAATAATAAAAATGACACCAAAAATATCTCCATATTTAGAATGCTTTTTTATTATATATTAAATAGTAAACCCAATAAAAAAAAATAAATTGAATCTTAAGGAGTCTAAGAAAATTGCATTGATGGAAGGATAACATTAAGAAATTCAAGAACAGTTACTACATGATGAATTATTTCAATAGATTTGTGAAAGTGGGAAACCACTAATAAATATGATGCTTAAAGAAAGATTATAAGAATATAAAGAGAAGGGGAAGATTATAAATGATAGCTTAGGAATCATAATAATTAAGAATCCAAGAATTGTTGATTTTGAAAATAAGTAGAAGTATTTCAAAATAGAATTGAAATAATTAAAAACTTAGAATAATAAGCATCATTTTGGTAATGTTACTGTGAGATGTAGAAGAAAAGACATATTTATGGATTCTTATCATCATTTTAGTAAATTAAGACCTGAAGACTTAAAAGGAAAATTAACTGTAGAATTTGATGGAGAGGAAGGAATAGATTAAGGAGGAGTTACTAGAGAATGGTTTTTGTTATTATCTAAAGAAATATTTAATCCTAATTATGCTTTATTCACTCCATCTTTGAATGGTTAAATGTTTCAACCTAGTAATAAGTCACATGTTAATCCTGATCATGTTAAGTACTTTAAATTTATTGGTAGAATTGTTGGTAAAGCACTTTATGATGGATAATTATTGGATACTTATTTTACTCGCTCATTTTATAAACATATTTTAGGTTAGAAATTAACTATACATGATATGGAAGATATTGATTTGAATGAATATAAAAGTATGAAAAAGATTTTAGAAGAAAATGTGAATGATTGGGGAATTTATTGGACATATATGGTAGATAATTTTGGTAAATTGGAAGAGAGAGAACTTGTTGATGGAGGTAGATAAAAATAAGTGACTGAAGATAATAAATTTGAGTATGTTCAAATTTATTGTTATTAAAAAATGGCAAAGGAAATTAAAGATTAAATAGAAGCTTTTTTGAATGGTTTTCATGAATTGATTCCTTAAAATTTAATTAGTATATTTGAATGGAAAGAAATGGAACTTATGTTATGTGGTTTACCAGATATAGATCGTATATTATTAATATAATTATTTAAGTTGAGGATATGAAGGAGAACATTGAATATCATGGATATATAAGAGAAGATAAAGTCATTTAATGGTTATGGGAATTATTGGAGAGTTTTGACGAAAGTAAAAGAGCAGCATTTTTATAATTTATAACAGGTTTTTTTTTTAAATTTATTATTTAAAGGAACTTCTAAAGTGCCTCTTGGAGGATTTAAGGATTTAAAAGGTATCCATGGTTCATAAAAGATTTAAATTCATAAAAAGCATTACATAAATTATGAATTACCAACATCACATACTTGGTAAGTTCTTAAATGACTTAAATAGTTTTAATTAATTGGATTTACCATGTTATCCAACTAGATAAGTGTTGAAAGAAAAATTAGAACTTGCAATTTTAGAAGGAAAGGAAGGTTTTGGCTTTGCTTGATTTACCCTTGATATAAATATAGAAACTAATTTTAATTTATAATTATTACTAATTCTAGTTTTTATAAGTAAACTTATTCTAGAAAAATTAATTATTCTTAGTCTTTTTAATAAATTGTCTATTTTAGATCTAAAAAGAAAATTATGAAGATAAAAAGATTAATTTAGATTTTAAATTAAAAAAAAAATAAAATTGGAATTATCGTTCTGAATAAAAATGTTATTTTTCATCCAGCTTAAGGGTGTTAATTTCTTGCACCTTTATTTTGATATACTCCAGTGAACTCTTGTTTTCTTTGAGGTAAAGCCCGAACAGGTTATTATTAGGGTGGAACTCTACTTTGTATTCCAGGTTGTTAAATGGCCGATCGTGTTATTGGTTATTATTGTTATGGTAAAGCCAATCGAGTTGGATTGTTATTATAACTACTATTATTATTTCCCAACATAATTGGTTAGATATCATCTAATTTTATTCTATTAAAATAAATTACTTTTTCTAGGATAACTAGGAGTATCATAAGTGATTTGTTCTCTTGGGAAAGGATGATTATTAAGATCTCTCATATTTGGTTAGCCTTATAAGATTCTTAGACCTCCTGAAGGTCCATTTATTCCTAAATTTCTTCCCATTCCTAACCATTCATTTTCAAATTGTTCAACTTAATTTTCATCCATATTCAAATAATGGTTTGTAGTAGTGATTTAACCTGTTCTATCTCTTTCTCTTACATGCTTTCTGCCTTTATCATTCATCATTCTTTCATGTCCAAATCTATCTATTCCATCACTATTCTTATATCCTTGTTATCTTTCACTTATCTAATTTAAATTATAATAATATACAGTATGACCATTAACACCTCTAGCCACAGCATTATTATCAAAATATTTTTCTTAAATTACTCTTCCATCTGGACCCATTTTAGATGATTAAACATAACTAGATGAGTATACCTAGAACACTCCGTCTTTTGAATGTTAGTTAACATCTCTTTAGTTTAAACCTGTCATATGTCGATGAAGATTCGAGAATTCCATCATTTCATTTTCTAGGTCATCAAAACCTCTAAAAACAGATCCAAATCCTAAGTTAGCCAATTAACGATCCATATGTTGCATCATTTTGTTTGACATAGAATCAAATTCTTAGAACATATTAAAAGGAGCCAATTACTAATTGTTTTAGTTAGACTTTATTTAAAAATCTTATAATACATAATTTTAGATCTGATTTGATCGTGGTGGTTGACTACTTCCTCTATATTGTTGTATCATATATCTTTAAGCAAGTATAAATAAATAATATAATAAAGATTTCTAGAAATCACTTTATTAATGAAACCAGAACTTATTCCTATTACAGATCCATTAGATTTTATTATGATGCCTATTGATCAAAATAAATCGTTTCAATCTCGAATTGGAAATCCTTAATTTGAGGAAACAGCCTCTAATATTGGGAAGTAATAGAAATTAAATACGAAAGAAAAATAGCAGTATTCGGAAGAAAATATGATAATTTCATAAGCTCTCTTTTTAGTAGTCAATATAGATATTATTTTGATGTTGATAATGAATATATAAAACAAAAACTAATATTATTACATGCTCCAATTATTTATAGAGGAGATTGGACATTAAGTATTATAATCAATTTGTATTATGTAGGTAATGAGACATAGAACTTTTTAACAACCAAAAATATATAAGCTCCTGATCTATATTTACCTTTAATGGGATTGATTACTTTAGTTTTATTACAATGTTTAAATATTGGAATAAACAATGCTACCTAATATATTTCAATATATATGATCAATTCTATTTGGAAATGTCTTATAATTTCATTTATTGAGGTAATTTTTATGAGAATTATGTTTTATTTATTTGGTAATTTAAAAGTGAGCATTATTGATTTGATTTCAATTTCAAATTACAGATATTGCAGGTAATAATATTTCTATGTTTAAGTCTAACCACTCTATTCATTTTTAATTTAATGACTTATCATATATTTTGGACAGTCGGAACAATATACATTTTATTAAGTTAAGCTGTATTTGTATATAAATCTTCATAAATTTGTATTGAACAATAAATTCAAAGTAATTAAGGTAATCATTTTTAATAAATAAGAATGTGATAATAGTTTAGATCCCACTTTAGCCTTATTATTATCTTTACTATAAATTACATGCTCATGTTTAATTTTGTTTATTATATGATTAATTAGTTTATTATTTTCATGGTGATCATCAAATAAGTTTAATTCTTTTAATCATTCATTTCTATATAAGTTTATTCTTGATTATTTTATTATTTCTAATATTATTTATAATATAGTAATGTAATTTAACTAAATTTAATAAAATAAATAACTATGAATCTATAAAGTATTTCATAGTTATGAAATTTCAATAATTATAAAGAAAACTAAATCATCTCTTATATATAGGATGTATTTTAAAATTCAAAATTTAAACAACTTTAGACAAAGTTTGTTTTTAAAAATTCATAATTATTCTAAAGATAAACTTATCAACACTCTATTTGACCTTTGTTTAATTCTTAATTAAATAATTGTGAATCTTCATTATTCCAAAAATGATTATAAATATTGTTCATCTCATTGTTAATAAAAAATAATACTTAATTTTAATTTTATTGTTTAAAACGAAATTACTATCTAGGCAATGAAAATAAAATAAATAATTTGTTATTATTAGGAAATATATTAGATTTCTTTTCGTCTTATTAATTTATAGGAAGTAGAGTACAAACTTATATTCAAAGTTGTGTATAGAAATTCCCGTAACAAAATATAAGTGAAATAATGTTCAAAGAATAATTTTTTAGAATTTATATATATATTTAAATTTGGAATTAAAAAAATATTTAATATTCTTATTATTAGTATATAAATTCAAAAAAATATTCTCTTTATTGACATAAATTAAAAATAACTTATTATTAATAATAAATTTCAAGTTCTATTTATGTCTTAATCAATTTTGTTAATCATTTAAAATAATCCCTTTTTTCAAGACTTTTGATTAATCACCATCTTAATTAATATAAACAATTTATATAATTTCATTAATTGGAAGAACCTTTCCATGGTAAGTATCTATTCTATAATAATGAATTTCAATATAATATGTTTCCATAATATATCTATAATTATAAAATATTAGGATTAGATTCTATTTTGATGCTTAAACTTAATATTCCATTTATTTTTATTCATGAAGAAATTATTGTTAGAGTTTAAAAAAAAAACTTCATTTAAGTACATCATAATATCATTTTATTAAAATATTATGATGTAATAATGATATAGAATTCAAATTTGTTAATTGATTAATAATAAAGATTAATCTAACTAATCTCTTATATATTTTAAGATCTTAATGAAGATTCTTAAATTTATTTATTAATATAATTTTGTACAATGTTTATATAGATTTTAATTAAGACTGATCAAGTTTTCTTTTTATTATTTAATGTATAATGTTTTAATAAAGTAGTAACTTTTTATGAAATGTTTCTAACTTATATTATTTATTATATTATAAATTAAGTTGTTGTTGAGCATTTTATAGATTTATATTTAATCAAAAGAATTGCAAATATGCATATTTTACTTATATATCATAAATATTCTTTTTTGATTTTAAATGATTTTCATGTTAGGAGTAGGGATTGTATAAAATTAGACTTTATGATTAAATAATATTATTTATGGGTAATCAATGTTTGTCTTGCCTAAGAAAGTTTGTTTAAAGGCAAAACATTAAGAATATGTCAGAATTACCTTAAATTGATATTCATTAGCAAGATGAAACCTATACAAAAGTGGATAATATTGATGAGTCAGAAAATTATCATGAACATTCAGAGGAGCAAATTCTTGCAATTTCAGACAATATATAAGAAACTATAGACTAATCGATTGATATCTTTCTTTACAGAATAAAGACAACTAAAGATTTTGAGGAGGTTTTTAAGGATGATTAACTTGTAATCCTTTTTAAGAGTTTTAAAATTGCAGAGAGATACACTGTAATATAAGTAAAATATGAATTCAGAATGAAGAAGACATCAATAAATGACTTTTTGAATTATACTTATCTTACTAACATTGATTAATTTACTACATTGTAGACGAATAGTGAATTCTAACAAATTTATGCTAGTTTCAAGAAAATTTAATTTGTTGAATCTAGAGAATATGTTTTCATCAAATATTAGAAGCAGTTGTCTTAAAATAAATATATCTAAGTACTGCGCTCAATTAACTCTGATTAATCTTAATAAACTACAAGGGGAATAATTTATATAAGTGGTTTTCTTTTGGAAGAAATGCAAAATTAAGAAATAAGAGTCTAAGCATATGCTGAAATAGATTTTAAAATAAAATTGCCTCCTGGTATGATAAAGAAGGCATTATCTATTGAGCTTAAAAGGGCCCTTTAATAATTCATTTATTGATTATATATTTATTTTATTTCTGGATTTCAGATATGTAATCTAAAGCTATCTAATAATTCGTTCAAAAATAACTATAACAGTAAAGAAAAAAAGAAGAAAAACCTAAGATAGAAAAGGAAACAACAATAGAAAGAAGACCCCATAAATTGATGAGACAAATTAAGAAGAAAATTCTTAAAAAGCCTAAATAAATAGTAAAATAATAAAAGCAATAACCAAAAAAACATAAACCTATAAAGGCATAATAGAATTAAGTAGATTAGAATTATGTTGTATATAAACCAAATGAAAAAATAATGAGTAGATTAAAACATTATTTATGAAATTGTATAAATATATATATTTATAGTTCCTTTAGCTACGTTACTTCAAGTATAATTGTGATAACATAGAAATATATAAAATATTTAATTTGTTTAATTATTAGATGGATGAATAAAAGATTGTTCATCTTAATATTTTAATTTTCTGAATAATAATTGATTCTTATATTTTTATATTCTATTCGATCTTATTGTATATTATAGTTAAGAAGAGAATAAGTATTATTCTTAAAATATGGTTGTTTGGAAAAGTTTAATGTTTGATTTTGAAAAGTTAACAAATTGAAATAATTTAACATGAGTTTAGATCAATCAATTTTTTAACTGAATTAATATTTTTGAGTGTTTTAATGAATGTAATTATGGATGTATTTTTAAGTTTATTATATTAGAATAAAAATAAAGGATAAGCATTTTAGCATGATATCAAATATTCAAACTTATGTGAATATAATTATAATGATGATGATTATATTAATATACATTAATGATGCGTAATATTATTATATATCATAAATATTAATATCTTAAATTTATTTCGCTGTCTACAGTGATTCAGATTAGTTATGAAGATTATAGAAGAAATAAAAAATCAAGTGGAGTAGGAGATGAAAAAAATGATTGGGAAATGCATTGAAAAGAGATATGCAAAATTAACAGATAAATTAAAAAAGGAATTCATCATTAAGGTTATTAGGGATGGATAAACAATTAGATAAGTTTGATATAATAAATTAAATTTAGGCCTCAAAAGACTTATGTATAAATTATTCTTCAGCAAAAGCAATCATTTCAAATTACAGAAAATCATTTTGTAGTTAAGGAAATTAGAAATATAATTTAGAACCAAGATAGGTTTAAGTGAATGACAAATATGACTGGAAGAAATTTAAAATTATGACATATTGTGAAGAAACATAAACTAATGAATATACTATGGAAACATTTGCATAAAATTTAAAGTAATCAAATTAAATAAAGTATTAATTGACCTTTGAGAACAAGGTATGATTTTAACAATACTTTATAAATTTCTTTAATCATTTTTTAATTAAATATATAATTAAATATGATATTATTATCAACTCTAATAAAGATTGGAGTGACTATTTTAATTCTTTCAGGCTTAACAACATCCTATTATTATTATTCTTCAATTAATAATACATAAATATTTGATGAAAGTGTTTCAGCTTATCAAAGAGAATAAGTTGTTTCACAAAGAAATGAAATACCAGTAGAAGCAACATTACATCATGAAAGAACAATATTGAAGAAACATGTAGTTGGAAATTGGGGTCCATTAAGGACTTAAGTGGATTATTCAAATGTGGAACCATATATTAAGAAAAATTAATTAGCCTTCATTAAAGAATATCTTATGACTCCAGCCTTAGCATTTCTATAGACATCTTTAAAAGTTTATCCAAGATTATCTAATACCTTTGTAAGTTAAAAATGTGGTGGTTATAGTGTTTAAAACTTATAAAAATCTGGATAAGTATTTGATTTAGGAATTCTTATGGCTGCATCTAATGATCCAAAAGGGACTTGGTGGTTGAGAGGAGTATCTTGTGAATTGGATAGTGTTACTAATAGACCAATATTAGGAACATTATAGATAAATTTAGCAATATTCAATCAAGTTAACGTTGAAAAAAATAATAATGAAGAATGGGAATATTGGTTATAATAAACATTACATGAATTGATTCATCTGATTGGATTTAATAGTGTATTGTATCCATATTATGTGAATGCAACAGATAATAAAGTTTTAGGAATTGATAATGTAATAAGAACATTCAAGAATAGATAATATGTGATATTAACACCTGTTTTGGATAGAGTAAAAAGATATTTTTCATGTAATGCAGCAGTAGGTGCATTATTAGAAGAAAATGGTGGTTAAGATATAGCAGGATTTCATTGGGAGAGAGTAACATTTGGTAATGAAATAATGACAGGTGATCCATTTCCAGATCAAGTTATTTCTGAATTTACTTTAGCTTTATTAGAAGGAACAGGTTGGTATCTTCCAAATTATACTTATGCATAAATATTTGGATGGGGTAAAGATGATGGTTGTACATTAACTACAGGTGCATGTTCAGTTGTATATGAAGAATTTTGTAAAGTAAAAGATTAATCTGGTTGTTCTAATAATTTTAATAGTATAAGTGGTTGTTATACTGGAGATCAACTTAGTTAAGGATGCAATTATTGGAGAGAATAAAGTGATTGTAGATATAAAACAGATTATAATGATAAATTAACTAAATTAACAGGAGGATCAATTGGAATGAATTCATAATGTTTTATAACAACATTAGCTTAAAATGCATTTGCAACAGCCAGAAGTAGTTGTTATAGTTCTTAATGTGTAAATGGTAAAGTGATTGTAAATGTTGATGGAATACCAATAACTTGTACAACAAGTGGATAGGTTGTATCAGTAAAATTGGGATAATAATATGGTACAATTACATGTCCAGATATAACCAAATTCTGTGCTCAATTATAATATTGTCCAAATAATTGTAGTAATAGAGGTGTTTGTATAAGTAACAACACTTGTAGATGTTGGGTAGGATATATAGGAAATGATTGTTCATAAAGATAATCATCAGCCTGATATATATATGATATAAATAAGCAATCATTTATTCAGTTATTATTGCTATTTCTATTTCATCCATTCATCATATTATTCTTTGGCTTCTTTTATGTTTTTAGTCATCTGTTCTTACTCTTATTAAGTTAGTTATGAGAATAGTCCAGCATATAATTGAGGACAGCTTTATTGTAGAGTCAATATCAATTTCTCCATCAATAATATAGCATCATAATCTTCCAAAGGACTATCATATAATTCAGCATAATCATCTTCATCTTCATCATAATCATCATCATCATCATCTTCTTCATCCTATTCCAAATCCTAAATCTTATCTATTAATTTCTTTTAATCATCTTCTTCCTCTTCTGCTTAATCTTCTTATTCACAAGATTCTTCCTCCTCTCTTAATTCTAAAATCTTAGTTGATAATCTAACAAATAATTTTCCTATTTCTGGAGATGCTGTCAATAAATAATTAGGAATTTAAGGAAGTGAATATAATTGACAAAGAGCAAAGATTAATCTACTGATATCCCATTCATATTTATAGTGTTTTTCCATTGTCAATAAAGTTTATAATATTTAATCAGTAATTCCTTTACTATTTAAATAATTTTATGCAAGTTATGGATTATACCATATACACATATTCAAAACACCAATATTAACCATCTTAAATTTATTAGTCTTCTTTTCTTTCTAAAAATATAATATAAAATTATATATACTTATATGTTTAATAATGAGAAATCTATAATTTGAGGAATTAAATTATCTATTTATCCTGGGAAATTCTCAATTAATGCTATCAATATTGTAGTAACTTGATTTTAATCAGTTTCATCTGAACCATTATCAGCTATTGTATATATCTTTTATATAAATCTGAAAATTAATGAAATAAATGAATTTCCAAAGAAATCATTTTAAGTCAAAAATGTACTTCCACCTTTTTAAATGTAATTTCTAAATGATCCCAACATTTAAGTAACAAATTCACTACCCCAATCTTTCTTACATCCTTCCAATAAGATATATTATTCTTCTGTTAATCCTTATATTGCATATACATTTGTTTCTTATGGTAATCCAATAATTATATAACATAACACTGGATAATAAAACCATAATCCTGGTGTTAATTATTTTTTCTTATAGAGAATTAAATTTAATATTTCCAATGCTTCATTTATAAAATCACATCCTGACTCTGTCAAAGCAAAGTTAATAATTGGAAATATGACTGGCTCTAATTACACATAAGATTCTTATTAAAGTGGTGCATTTAAGATTCTCTTTATTGCTTCTAGACATCCAGAAGCTGCTAATTCAGCTTCTCCATCATCATCTGAATCACCATCACCTTAATTTTATTTATTACAATATTTTTAAAATATTGTTGCAATATGTGCAGCTAATTAATGTGCATATGGTGTAATTTCATTAGTAAAATTTTTGACTATTTCTTCCAATGATCTAACAATTCTCTCATTATCTATCAAATCCATCAATTTAATATAAATTTCTAATACTTAACTTAATTAAGGTCTAATCAAATCCTAAGCTTCTTTATTTTATAATATTGAACTAAAAGATATAGCTGCTGCTACTCTTACTGGTAATTCTTTATCTAAAATACATTTAGATATTCCTTATACTGCTAATTATATATTCTATTTATTTTTAAATTCAATTGTTCCATATTCATTAAAAACATGACAAGCACGTGCTCTTAAAAATCCAACTGGATTCTAAAATTCAGGCAATATATGTTTTTCTAAAATTGATTCTAAACCTTCTTTAATAGCATCAATTTTAGAAATTTAATGAACTAAACATTCAATTCCCCAAAGTAAAGCTTCCTTTTTAAGTAAATTTAAAGGTTGATTAGTCAATGGATCTACATTAGAATTAAAAGCATTTTAACAATAATTAAGAAATTATATTAGCATCAAATTACCATTTGCATCAGTTTATAAACAAATTTCTTATAAAAGATCATTTGCTGGATTTTTCATATTATAAGTTGAAAGAGAAAAGTCATCTAATCTTTTGATATATTCTTCAGGATCATTCTTCCATAATTCATCATCTCTAGGAGTTAATTACATTTTAGGTATAGCAACATGATAAATTAATTTATCATAATGTGCTTTTAATAATTCTTTGGTATTATCTAATTTAAGAGAATAATATAAATATTTGAGTGCAAATAGACATGTTCTAGGTCCTTAGAATTATGTATTATCAGTAAGAATTTTATAAAACAATTCCATAAATCCAATAGCATAAGTACTCTTAATATGTTCTGCAAAATCAGCCATATCAGGATCAACCATCTTTTTATTTGCAAATTTTTGAATAAATCTTAATATAATTCTACTAGCCCATTTTTTATTTGTCCATATATATGTCTTTTCTCTTCTTGTTTCCTCTTCAGAATCTTGAGTATAAGATGCCAATTCTGGAGGAGTTGGAGAAGATATGATTGTCTTAAAAAATAACATCCATTTTGCAACTGCATTAAAATCTCTCATATATATTGGCATCATTAAATGAGTAGCATGATGAAATATTTTCAAAATGACTTTAACCAATTAACCACTTTATTCATTATAATTTTCTAAGAATTTTTGAATCAAAGTCTCTAATAGTGGAAATGTTGATGCCACTAATGGTTCTAATGGTTTACGATCATTATCCAATAAAAATTAATGAACTTCACACGTTCTACGTAATGTTAATAATGCACTCCATAAATCTTCATATGATGTGTAGTTCTATAATTTGATAACCAATTATTGCACTAATTATGGCCAATCTTTAGGAAAATCAATGGCTACTAATTTGTAAATTAAGTCTTCATATTATGATCTTAACTTCTTAACTTATATACATCTATATACAATTGTAATTTATGACTAACCTTGCTAAAGCATCTATAATTGCAGCTCTTATTAGAGCTTTTTCTTCAGGATTTACTATAAAATGTCCAGGTTCTTTCTTTTCTCCCCAATGTCTTTCCAAAAAAGTCTTTAAATTGACTACTGCACTTTGTCTAACAACGTCTTATTAAGTCTAGTCATCAACAATCTTAAGTAAAGAAATTGCATATCTAAATATTTAGAGGATTTTATTACAATGGTTGCATAGAAGCCTACTTTAATAATGCTTCTCCAGTGTTCACACTTTCTTATGATGTACCATAAGTTAATTGTAAAGCATTTATCAACTATCCCAAGTCTTAAGTTTGCATTCACGAACTAAAATTTATTTTTATTTTTTTAAATATTTTCAAAACAATTTGCGCTAAAATTACTTCATTATTTTATGTTTCTCTTATTGTTGATTTTATAATTGGTTAGCTCTTATTTCATAAATAAAGACGAATTCAAGGTACTACAATTATAATATAAGATATTTGATCATTCCTTATCCTAAGCTGCAGACCATGACCTTTTTAATGGAACATATAGAGAATATCTGGCTGGTTAGATTGAAGATGGAGATTAAATTATTGCTGTTGCATCATTATCCTAAACCTTTAATCATACAATTCATGTGGCTATTCTATCACTAAATAAACAATAGACTTATACTGTTTATTCCTTATTCTATGATAAAATGGTATATATAAAATGAAAATTAATAGCAATTAAAACTATTCACTATAAATAGGTAAAAACCTAAATATATCAATTCATGTAATTAAATTGCATTTGATTAATCTTAATATGTCTTGGCATGTGGTTAGCATTATCAATTTCAAAATGGAACTTTATTAACACTAAACTAATTAGAATTGTAGAATACAATTTATTTTTAATCTCATTTAAATGGATTTATAACTATTACACAACATTAAATCTTTTATTTTGATTTTAATTTTTAACTTATAAGATAGTAATAACATAAAGCTTAAGCATTTTTAGTTACTGATTAATACCTCTATTTAGCAGAATTATAAAATATTATAATCTTAAATATTAATGATTAAGAAGATATAGAAACAATCTCTTTAGAATGTAATTAAATAATCAAAACATTTGCAGTTTTTCAAGACTATTTATTTGCTTAATGTGAAAAACTGAAACAAATTGATCAAAAAGGAAAAATAATTGAATTTAATTAAACTCATACTTAATTTCTCACTTAAACTAGAAAATTTATGATCATTGACAATAATATAGCTTTTAATATTAAATACCATTCTTAAATTTATTCTTCTTCAAATAAGATATATACTATAAATTTTGATGATCATCTTATTACTTTTAAGAATAACAATATTTATGTTATTTAATTACTTGATTTGAGTGTAATTTCAGCAAAAAATACAACAGATAGTTTTTAAATTGGAGAATTAGAATTTATAGTTCTAGATTATGGTTTAAAGGCATTAAAACCTTTTTAAACTACAAATAATCAATTACAGAAACCATAAACAAATAAATTTTATTATAATGAATATATTATTGGAAATGATTTACTAGTAAGTGGAGATGGAATAGATTCTGGACTTTTTGAAAAAATACTAAATACTCAGCAATTAAATACTGATAATTTAATAGCTGTGATTAAATATTAGTTAGAAAAAATAGTTTTCTTTTTTCTAGATGATTAAACCATTTATGCTGATATCTGTTAATTTAATGAAATGAATATTGAATATTATTGTATAGATTCATATATCTTCACAAGAGTCAAATCACCTATTTTTAATTTTTAAACAATTTATGATTAATTGACTGATTAATTTGTAGTAGCATATTGTACTGAAGATACACCAGGATTACATATTTTTATTGATGATAATTTATATATAGAAAAGGATGATTTGATTAAATATTTTTTAGGATAAGAATTCTTAATACTTGTAAAAAAATAAAACAAATAATGGATAGAAATCTTTAGGTTATAATTTGAAATTTATGATTTAGAAGCTAAATTATTTATAAATGAAAATATCATTCAAATTGCATTTGGAATTGATGAACTCTATATTTTGGATGATAATAATTAAGTATCAATCATAGTAGAATCAATCTATGGCTGGTAATTAGTATTTATATAAAAGTTCACTTAATAAATTTAATCAATAAATTATTCTAATAATTAATTAATTATTATAGCTGATTAAGAAATATTCATATATTCATAAAATTAACTCAGAGGAATTGTCTAATATAACCTTCCTTAACCTAAAGTATTTTATTCGACTGATAAATATCTCTATATAACTAATTCTACTCACTTAATTTAATTTAATTTTAATTAACATTAAGCTTTATCAAATTCTATATTAAGAATAATATAATAACCATTAAGTTAAAAGCTTTTTATTATTGATTACCCATAAATGGATCTATTATTTTTTAATAATAAAGTTATAGGACTTTAAGATTAAAAGCATTTTACCATATCTACATATTCTTAAAGAGAACAATATTTTAATTTGCTAACCAAAAAATTGTAATTCTCTAATTCATTTAATGAATCAATACAAATTGAAATCACTGTTGTAGGAACCCAATTAGCATTAAGAGTGATACCATATACTTAAGAAAATCTATTAAAGCCCTTAAATAGAATTAATATATAGGAAATTTTTGATGGACCCATATCAAATATTTATATCAAAGAAACAGATTAAGCATCATTTAAGTAAATAATATCTAAAAGTAAAATTATGAATCCCCAAATAACTCAAAACAAAATAATTGATCTTATATACTTATAATAAGAAGAGACTTTATTATTTCATTCTTAATTACTTTAACATTGTATTCTAAATAAAGAATGTAAGACTTTAAAATTAGTTGAAGATCAAAAATGCAATTCATTAGATTAATCTTAATAGTATGCGTTTCTAATTTGTTAAAATTATTTATTGTATTTTAATAAATAATCACCACAAGATATTAAAAAATTAATAACAAATTTTACTAAAATATCTAAATTAAGTTTTGATTAAAATTTAATAGCTATTTATGGATAAAATAATTCAACTAACAACATCGCTATTTATGAAGATTTTAAATTAATTTATTTTAAGTAGAGTAATGATTTACAAGATATACTTATTGTTAATAAAACCCTTTATTAATTAAGGAAAATTGAATTAATTATTATAGATTCTAATCTAAATAGTGTATCTATTTAATTACTAGAAGAATTCTGTAAATATAATGATTCTAAACTTTTTATTGACACTGAATTCAGATAAATTAAGTATCTATCAAATAATACTTATCTTATTACAACAAATAATGGTCCAACATTTTAAATTGAAATTACTTTTGATTACAAAATTTAAATAATTAAAAGATATACATCAATTCCTGAATATTTTCCAATAGAATTGACCTAAATAAATGATTAAATCTTTTCTATTGTTTTCTCTAATTATAAGTAAACTTATGCAGTTTTTTATTAAATTCAAATGTAAAATTTGATACCTTATTTTTAATCTATATAATTAGGTAAAAAGATATCCAAAAATTATATACGTAAAAGTTAAGAAAATCGTTTAGCTATTAGAGATATATTAAATAAAACCTAATTGATAGAATATGATATAAATCATTATGTAAGGATTTTTAATATAATAAGGCATAAATAATATCGAAAATGAAAACTGAAGAGTCATTACGTTTAACATTTATTGCTGAAAATTTTAATTTCCAATCAATTAATGAGATAATTCAATTGCAAATAAAAATAATAGGTGAAGAAGAGTATAAAATTATTTTATTTATAGAATTGATATTAAAGAATAGCTTAATTTTATAGAAATCTTTGGTTATTTAGTGTTAGGATTGGTTTTACTTTTAATCTTATTATTGGTTGCTAGATAAATAAGAAGGTATCGGCTTTTTAGAGATTTAAATTTAAAAGAGAAGAAGAGATTTGATGAAGAGAAAATAGAATATAATTGATTTATTTGATAATCATTGACAATTATTATAATAAAAATCAGAAATTTATTTCTAGTTTTTAAAGTTATTTATTCCTAATTGATCATTTCTTGTAAATTAAATATTACAGCTAGATTCATAAAAATCAATTGTTATATATTGATTGAATAAACAAATAGAAAAGGAACTAGAGTTGAATAAGAATGAAGAAATAATATATTGTTATATGAATAAATGAATTAATTATTATGATTATTGGAGAGAGTGATCTTTATCAATTGATATAATCAATAAACAAGAGATCAATGTTTAAAACAAAGTTTGATCTTGAGTTTATTGATCTAAGTCTTAAAGATGTGCCATTTTTTCATGATTTAAGAAAATAAGTAGGAGAAACTCAATATTAATAAATATTAAGAGAACTTCAATATGAATGTCATATACCTTATGAGCCATAGGTTAATATAGGTGATATGAGCACAAAGTTTTACTTTATTTTAAGTGGGAAATTTTTAGTGTTGACTAGAAGTTATATTACATATTAGGATATTGTGATGAATGCAGAACTGTAAGAGATTTATTTAAAGATATTATAGATAAAAGATATTGACTTAGAGATTCTCAGATTTGATTCCATAAGGTTATTTGTACCCTGGATAACATTTTGGAGAATAGGTTATGATGTTTGATCAGTCTCATACACAAACAATATTGCCTTTAGAGAAGTCTCATTTAATAGTGATTAAGAGGGATGTTTATAGAAGAATTAAAGGTATATAGAATAATAATAGATTTTAGATATTTAATCTCGAAAGTAAGATGCAGAGAAATTTGCATTATTATCAACAGTTCCTTTGTTTAGCAAATGGTCAGCTAAGACATTGAGATAATTGCTTTGTGATATTAGTGAAATAAACTTCATTCCAAATTAATTAATATATTAGTAAGGAGATCAAGTTGATGCAGTTTATATAATTGTAGATGGTGAAGTATAATTGTATAGATAGTACAATAAGAATATTCATCCAATCTCAATTCTAGGATGTAAGGAATGTTTTGGAGATGATGAAATCTTAAGTTAATTTAGAAGTCATAGTGCTAAGTCTATAAATTGTGTTAGACTTTATAAAATATTTAGAAATAAATTTTTAGATCATATTCCTATTCATTGTGAAGGTAATAACCTTTCGAATCTCTAAAGTTTTGCAACGTAATCATCTATATTGAATCGTCCATTTCTCTCCAACAACCAAACTATGAATAAATTTTCTCTGTATTAAGCCCAGAATGAAGAATTAAGAATATATAGATCTGAATCATTAAAATCATTCAATTCACCAGCTAAGGTATGGCAAAAGGTAATGAATAAAAAAAAGGAGAAAAGTAGAACATATTAAACTATTTCATCAACTCAATAAGTGAATGATTTATTAAGGAGAAATTATAGACATTCAGATGAATCAATATAAGTCTAAAAAGTTTTTAATAGTCAATCTCCCAAAGTCAAATTTGTCAATACTCCTACATGTATAGATGAAATCACAAATGAAGGCAAATATAGAATACATGCAAATGGTAAATATGATAAAACCAATTATCTTATGGGCTAAATAAAATTGAGATCGATTACGCAATCAGTTTGGAAAAAATAACTTGATAAAATAAAATGAACTTAATTATTAATAATCTATCTATGAATTATAATTGTGTTTCCTCTAACTCTAATCACTTAAATTTTAGAATAAACATCTCAAAACTACTCTAAAACAAGTTCTCTAACTAATCTCCAATTATATAAAGATGCAATTATATATTTGGAGATGACGAAAAAAATCATCGAAAGATAAAGCCTTTAATTATTTATGATGATATATCATAAAATTTAATAAGATAAAACAATATTGCAGATAGACAAAAATCAATTAGTTCAACATCAAGTTCATCCTGCTTAAAAAAAATGAACATGAAATTAACTTAATCAACTGAATCAGATAATCATATTGACAATTCTACTTCTTTTTATACAATAATTAACTAATATTATGATTACTATAATAATCAAAAAACAGAAAGTGAATATTAATAAATCCATCAAAAAAATTCTGTTAAAAAAATTGAAAGACTCTATACTGAATAAAATGAACAACTTTAAAGTAATAATATTAAGAGTAAAAGCTCAGCAAAATATGAGAAACGGGGAGAACAAAAAAAGATACTAAATCTTTCTTGTAAATAAAAAAATAAGTAAATTTATTGAATTAATTATATATTTGTGTCATTATTAATTCATAATAAACTAGTCACTAATGCAGCGTAACTCACAGATGAATCATTTGTTTTTATCACTTAATTTGATTGATTATATTTAGATAATTGAGTTTTTAATTGTAATTTGCTAAGGTTAATTATCTAATTTTCACATCAAGATTACATTTAGTAAAATACAAATTGGATGTCTACCACATATAGTATTCTCTGTTTCATCAAGATATTTATAAAATTCTTTAAGATTATGGGATTCAATTAATTTTATTGCTTATCCATCTAATTATGCTATTGATTCATGTATTTCTCCATGTTCTTTATTATAAGGAGTGTATTGGAATCTAAATTGATAATATTATTAATTAACCTCTTCCCCCAATGACAAAAATCAGATGATATAACAAATACAGTATTTGGATCAATAAAATATTTGACTAGTACACTTGCAACTTAAGCATCCTATTACTCAGTAGTTGCACCAACCATTATTGGAATTAATTTGCATTTTGGAAATAGTTTATAAATAAATGGTAAATGCATTTCTAAACTATGCTCTTGTTCCTCAATTTCTTTATTTGTAAACACAAAATTTTTTTTTAACTCTGCACTTATTTGATTTATTGCTAAAAGATCAGCAAATATAAATACTTGGTTAATCTAATTCAATATTGCCAAATGGAGTTTCATACATTTCAAGTTCAGATAAACCTATTCCTTTGATATAAGTATGATGACAAGGTCCAAGTAAAAAGACTCTCATTCTAGAATATTTTAATAGGAAAATTTATTACTTTTCCTTTTAAACAAAGTGCTAATATGCAAAGGCTGCTGTTGGTCCTGAATATGAAAAGCCAGCATGTCTATAAATTTTATAATTATTTTACGGTCCTATAATTGCTTTTATGTTTGGTATTGTTTCTCCTTTGGCTTTTTATAAGAATTCATTTAATTAGGCATCCAATTGATTACCTAAAGAGTAATAATTATAAATTTACCATTTCCAATATACCAACTACCTGCATGAGAAGCTTCTCTTATTTTTTAAGATGGTTAAAACATGAATTTACAAAATTTATTTGATAAATGATTGCGTAATTTTGCATTTATCTTAAAACATATAAAGAGATACATTACTCTAATAGTAAGGAAAGAGTCTCTGGTTTTCAGAATATGCGAAACGATCATTGGTTACTTGTTTAATTAATATGTGGAATACAAAATAAAGATATTAATAATTAATAATGAACTTCTTTAGGTCCTAAACAATGGGCTATTACAAATTGATCATTCCAAGAGAGAGTGCTTGGAATGTCATGAATGAATTGGCAGAGTTAGATTGCATTCATTTTGTTGATTATGATCCAACATTACCTATGATCAATAGACCATTTGCCAATTATATTAAGAGATGTGATGACTTGCTAATTAAATTATAATTAATTGAACATGAAATGAAGAAATACCATAAGAAGATTAGTTATTGCAAGGATGTCAATTTTTTAATCTAAAATTTCAAGTAATTAATCAAAGAAAGGTATTAAATCCTTAGAATTCTTAAGGTCTAAAGCCAGTCACACCTATTTGGATGAGATTGAAAATGATATAGACAAAAAACATTAGCAACTTATTGAATAAAGTACTAATATGGAAAATCTTCATGAACGCCGAAATAAACTGATTGAACACAAATCAGTCTTATTAAAAGGAGAAGCATTATTAGGATAATCATTTTTCTAACCGTATAATATTGATATATTATAGAGCCAATTATGTAGCTGAAGGATATGTTAATTTGTAAGGAAAAGAATTAGATGACATCAAAGTATTACAAGGATCTGTTAAATTTAATTATTTAGTTGGTGTTATCAATAAAGAAGATTAAATTAGATTCAAGAGAATCATTTTTCGTATTACTAAAGGTAATGCTTGGATGAATACTATGGATATTGAAAGTGATTAAATCGTTGACACTAAAAATGTAAAATTAAATATAATTAAAAAAAGGATGACGCAAAAGTTATTAAAAGTGTTTTCGTAGTTGTCTATCCAGGTGGAGGAGGTTCTAATGTTATCACAAACAAACTTAATAAAATTTGTGAATCTTTTTAAGTTGCTAAGTACACATTCCCTGAAAATAATATGGTTTTCTAAGAAAAATTAAGATCTATTGAAACAGAATTAGTTGAAACTAGAAATGTATATATTCTTAAATTATAAATTAATAGTTATTAGAAATGACAAAGAATTAAGTTGAAGCTTATCTTGATGATTTCTAAAGAGTTTACTAAAATTCTAATTGTTCATAAATAGAAGAATTAAAATTATTTTTGGTTAAAGAGAAATATCTTTATACTCAATTGAATTATTTGAGAGTTTAAGGAAGTGTTCTTTATGGTTCAATTTGGTTACCTTAAGGAGCAGATATTAAAGTAGATTAGGCATTAAGAGAAGTTCAAACCAATTATGAAGGTTTGCCAACAGGATAATTATAAATATCACCACCTGAAGGTACAAAGCCACCTCCAACATTTTTTGAGACTAATGAAATTACTTGGGGTTTCTAAGAAATAGTTAATACTTATGGTATGCCAAGATATAAAGAAATTAATCCAGGATTATTTACAGTCATGACTTTTCCATTTTTATTTGGTGTTATGTTTGCTGATATTGGACATGGGTATATTTTAATATCATATTTATTTAGATTTTGTTTATTATTATTAGGAATATATTTATGTGTATATAATAGAGAAATCAAAGAGTCAGATTCTTTAATGAAACATGCTCTAATAGTTAGACATATGGTATTAATGATGGGTTTTTGGGCATTTTATAATGGATGGATATATAATGATTTCATGTCTGTTCCAATCAATTTATTTGGATCTTGTTATAAAACATAACCAGCTGAACATCCTACTTATCCAGATGAATTAGAATGGGCTTTAAAAGATGAAAGTTGTGTATATCCTTTTGGTATTGATCCAGTCTGGATGTGTGTACCTAATGAATTAACATTTATGAATTCATATAAGATGAAATTAGCTGTTATTATTGGTGTCATTCATATGACATTTGGTATTATTTTGAAAGGAATTAATGCAATATACTTCAAAAATTGGATAGATTTTATTTTTGAATTCATTCCTTAACTAATATTCTTTACTTGTACTTTTGGTTGGATGGACTTTTTAATTATTTATAAATGGTTTGTAAATTGGACTGGAAAAACAGATTAAGCTCCAAGTGTCATTACTTTAATGATTAATATGATTCTTGCACCTGGCAAATAGGTTGATCCACCTTTATGGGGAGATGGTACATCAGAAGCATCAACTTAAACTGCTATGTTATTGATTGCACTATTTTGCATTCCAATTATTCTTCTTCCAAAACCACTTATACTTAATTCTCAAAATAAAAAACGTCATGCTTAAAGTGCAAGCAATCTGACAGAGAATTTGAATAAAGATCTTTATTAAAAAATTAATGAAGTATTATTTTTTTATAATATTTTTTTAAGGATTCTGAAGGCACTCAAGAGAATTCAGAAATTCATGCTGCATCCTCTGGTGGTGAACATCACGAAGAATTTGGTGATATATTTGTACATCAAGTAATTGAAACTATTGAATTTGTATTGGGATCTATTTCAAATACAGCCTCTTATTTGAGATTGTGGGCACTATCTTTGGCTCATGGTTAATTGGCAGAAGTATTTTTCTAAATGTGTTTGAATGGAGGAATTAGTAGTGGAGGTTTTGTTGGTGCAATAAGAGTATTTTTATTAAATTTATTTATCTATAGCTTTTAATTGGTTATTCCATCTTCTCTATGGCTACTTTCGGAGTGTTAATGATGATGGATGTGATGGAATGTTTTCTTCATGCCTTGCGTCTTCATTGGGTTGAATTTCAGAACAAATTCTTTAAAGCTGATGGATATGCTTTTGAAAAGTGCTCATATGCTAAAGTAATGTAAGACAATGCAGTTCCAAAGGAAGAATGATATACAATAAATATATATATATCATACAACAGTATTATATTATAATTTTGTATTTCTTATATTTTTAGGAATTTATGAATTAAGAAGAAGTTTGGTGTATAATTTAGATGCAATAATAGTTGATATACAAATATATTAATATATATATTATGCATTTAATCCTCATTTTCCAAGGTGACTGAAGGGAATAATAATTTTTTTCCATCCTGGATGATTTTTTGCAAGTTTTCTTGAAATCATTTCTGCTAACCATATAATATTTCTAATTTCTTATTCTTTAAGCTTCAAATAAGAATAGAAAACCTAATAAATAAATAGTAAATATTACTCCATATGAACCTTATCCATCAAATGCAAGAGCATATCTTCTACATTCATCATCATACATAATATCATCAAGTGTTCTATATAATAGTAGATATATCAATTTACTTTGTTTATACATTAAATTCTTCTCTCTTCAAAGGATCAGGAGCATCTTTGAGTAAATCCCTATAATTATCACAACCTTTAACAGCTTCTCTAAGTGTATCCAAAGTCATGGCTTATAAATACATCTTTTCACAATCAGGATATAAATTTCCAATTGTTGGACATAATTATTTTCTTGTTGTGATAATTTTAGCTGCTGTATTAAGATCTCTATTTCCTATTGAATTGTAAATAACCTAAATAGTCTTAAAATCTGCTTCAAATTTTAATAATTCTAAGAGAACTTCTTAAGATGTTGGCATTAACTAATTTAATAGAATGTTATACTTCTTATTCGCAGAATACATAGAAATCTTCCAACCACATTTTTTTAAGTGATGTTCTGATGTATTCAGGTTTCATTTCTCTAAATAAATTTTAGATATCATTCAAAGTTCTGTTTTCATGTAAATTCTCTATAGATTCTTCCAAGAATTTCATAAAATAGACACCAATAGGTGTATCAATAAGTACATCTCTATATAAACTGCTATAATCATCTCCTTCAAGAACTTTAATATTTTTGATTTCAGGGAACCAACCCAAAGGATCAATATTACTCAAAAGTATTTCAATATCAATTTTATTCTTTAATCCTTCTATCATATTGACTACATTATCAATCATAAAACGACATCTTTTATAATGAATTAATAAATCTTACCTCAAATGAAATAAGTATTTTGTAAGTGTTCCAGTGGATTGAGCTTCAATATATTCAAATTCATCAGCCAATTTCTTTTTAAGTCTCTATCTTAAAATGGATGTTGGTATTTAAGGATTATCAGCTTATAAGCAATTCTATAATAATAATTGTCATGTTTACTTAATAATCTGTTTCTTCCAAGAAAGACTTTAATTCTGGAATTGAGGCACAATTCTTCATCTATTAATATTGAGCTTCAGTTAAGAAACTTGCTCTTAATCCTCTGATTATGGCTTCGGCATATCCATCATCAACCCCAAAAACACAAAGATCCATAAAATTTAATTTATTAAATTCCTATGCACTCTATGAATTCAAATATGGATAGAGATAATCCTGAGCATGTTCCAATTAATATCAATTAGACTGAGAATAAGAAACATTAATGTTGTCATCATAATCATTAACATAATCATTAAAATAATCATTAACATCATCATCATCATCATCAACATTCATATAATCCATTTGCAAATGCTCCAAAAGAAATGAGAGTCTTTATATGGTATGCTATTCTTAATGGGGATTATATTATGTAAATATTTATGCAATTGCCTATGATGGCTTAAGGCTATTATTTTTACATGATGATATAGTATACTAATCATACAATTAATTAGCCAGACTATCATGACACCTATTTATAAACTTAATGGGCATCTTAATTAAATAATGCCAGACAATATTTTGAGATAAATATTTGGAGGACTTGCTATCTATTATTTTATTGCTCATGGCTTTCTACTCTATTTAAATTATGAAACATACCCTGAATTGGTATAAATATACATTTAATAATTTAGAATTTTATTTTGTATATAATTTATGCACTATTTACTACTTACTTTTTAGTTCTATTATGTCCAGCAGGTTAATTCAAATAAGCAGATTTCAAAGAACTATTAGATACAAAACCAGAATTATTTACACTCTCTAAAATGAATAGAAATATATGTGTTTTATGCTCTATTCCAAAAGTTGTTAGATCACAACATTGTTTATATTGTCAGAAGTATTTAATAATAATATTAATATAGATGTATTAAAAAATGGGAATTTCATTCATTGTAATTAAACACATGTATTGGTTTATACAATTATCCATTCCTCATTCTCTATCTTTTTTCTTGGACTTTATATTGTTTTTTCATACTCAGATAATTTACATTAGTATAAAGAACATAAGAAAAGTCCTTTTTAGATTTGCTCATTATATTAATCAATATATGGCAACTCTATTATTTTGGTTAATAATATTTATTGTGTTTATTGAGAGTAATATTTTGAATCATATCCTAAGATTTCATATAACATAACTCCATCAGAATTAGGATAATGGAGAAAATATTCCTACTTGTGGGCTAATGAAAGGGGAATGTTTGGAAATCCATTTGACAAAGGAATCATAAATAATTGGATTTCCTTCTTTAAACCTCTTTTTACTAGTAAAGGAGAGGAAAATTGGGCTACTAATAAATACATAAATATTACTGATATCCCTAATCATCCTCTTGGAGCAAAAGCGTAATAAATTATAGATTAATAAATTCGACATTTAAGAATGATGGAAAAAGATTTAATTAAAAGATAAGCAGTTAATGAGGAATCAGAAGGTTTATTAAATGAGTGACAAAATTAATTTGTTGCTTTATAATATAAAGTGTTTATATTTTAATTTAGAATTAATTTAATTATAATCATCATAATTTTCCATAATTACAACTTTATATGCAAAAAACATATATTCCTAAAATTTATTATTTAATTTTAAGAAGTCAGAATTTTTTAAATGGGATCGCAATTATTTAAAAAAGGAGTAGATAAACTATAACCACCAACAAAATCATTCTTTGAATTTGAACTTAATAACATTGATGGGTAGAAAACTTAACTTTCATAATTCAAAGGCAAAAAAGCATACATTTGTGTTAATGTTGCCTGTTCTTGTGGGTTAACATCCTCAAATTATAGTGAACTTGTTGAACTATATAAATCATATAGGTACCATATAATATATTATTTAGTGAATAAGGTTTAGAGATATTAGGATTTCCATGTAATCAATTTATGGGTTAAGAATCTAAACCTGAACCTGAAATAAAGGAATTTGTTCTATCCAAATATGGGGTTTCCTTTCCATTATTTTAGTAATGATATAAAAATATTTAAGAAAAATTGAAGTTAATGGTTAAAACACTCATGAACTTTATAGATATTTAAGATTAAACAGTTCATTAAAAGTTAGTAGTAATGAAGCTAAAGAAGTACCATGGAATTTTGGAAAATTCTTATTAAATTCATAAGGTTAGATAGTGAAATTTTATGATCCAGATGTTAAACCAAAAGAAATGAAACAAGAAATTGAGAAGTTGTTAAATCAATGATATTATTATTTGCATTTATTACTTATAAAAGTAATTATTATTTGTTATCTAACTTATTATTTTATTATATATATTTTATTCTCAAAATTTTCTAATTAATAATAATCATCTCGTTAAGGATATTTATTTAATTAATAAGTATTTACATTCTTATTTAATCATATATTCTATATAAATAAATAATATAAATAAACTATTAGCATTTATGATTTTCTATATTGTTAATAATTTTAGTACTTATAAATTATTAAATTTTACTTGTTAGAGAAAATCAAAAATGGTTTAGAATGAATATATTATAACAATATAATATTTCTTAATAATTAATAGAGTTTTCAAATATCAATTAATAATAATTCTATTGAAGAATAAATACAGAAACTCAAATAAGAATTAATAGGGTGTTATTTGAACTTAGAATTTATATTGAGTAAGTTTTTTCAATGAATCAGTTTAGAGGGTCTAATTTAATTATTAAACACTCAGAATATGTGAGGAGTTTTTTCATTTATATTCATCATATTTGTTATGAATTTTAATTAATTATGGGTATTGGCCCCATTTTCTATTGTGATATTGATCATAGCATACTTGGAAATAATGATGATTTATGTAAACTAGAGTTCTTAATATAGATTTTCATATATCCAGAAGAAAAGGAAATACTTTTGTTGATTTTACATCATCTATTATTGTTGGCTGTTATATACTCATTTTACAAAACATCCACTACTAAACCTGGAACGCCAACATAAACTGATACCGAAGGTGACCCTTTGACTACTTAAAGAAAAACTTGTAAATTTTGTTAACACAATAAACCCGTGCGATGTCATCATTGCAGACAATGTAATAAATGCATATTAAGAATGGATCATCATTGTCCTTGGGTGAATAACTGCATAGGGCAGAACAATTATAAATATTTTTTTTGCTTAGTTTTTTATGCTAGTAACTTAAAATGAATATTTAGAGCCTTAACATCAGTTGTTTACTTTTGCATATATTTCAATAAAATTTTAAAAAATCCTCCAACTGGAAATATAGATACATACTTTATAATATTTGCTGCTACTCTAAGCTTTACATTAATGATTGTCTTATTTTTATTCTTAGCATTTCATACAAAGTATAAATATATGTAAATAAAAGATTAATAAGTAATAATCAAACAACACTAGAATACTTTGAAAAATAAAGAGAACACTACAATAAAGATATAGTATCTAATTTTAATGAATTTTTGGGACCTGGATGTTGGCTAATCCCTAATTGAAATATAAAAGTTTATTATTTTTATTCCATTTTAATTAGAATTAAATCATAAATAATTAATAAATACATCAATGAAGAAGTTAGCTGAATTGACAAATAAAGAAATCATTCACTTATTAAAAAATCAAGCCCATTTAGAATTATAATCTAGTTTCTTGTATCTATAATATGCATATTGGTTTGATAATAACAATTTTGAAGGAATTGGTAAATTTTTCAAAGCGGAAAGTGAAGAGGAAAGAAAACATAGTATTTAGATATTTGATTACTTAAATGTAAGAGGTGTACAATTGACTATTGATCCATAATTAACAGTTTTCTAAAATATGAAGATTCATTTTGAAAAACCTGGTGATTATTTTGAAGCCTATTTAGCAAGAGAACATTTGAATTATTCTTAACTTGATTAGATAGGAAAATAAGCATAATAAAGTGAAGAGATATTAACTCACAAATTTATAGGTTCAATGTTAGAAGATTAGGCATCATCTGTGGATGAGGCAGAAAAATTATATGCTAAAGCATAAGCTTATTCTGCTTTTCCAGGATTATTTTATCATTTAGATGCATAAATCAAGACAGGAAGTTAATCATTTGATACATGGAAAGCAAAGTAATCATGATTTGAATTTATATTGGTTAATCATTAATTCTTAAGGATTATAAAATATCATCTTTATTAAAACTTTTTGTGAATTTCATAATAAATTAAGATATTTTATTACCTCTGGTTATATAATTTATATGTCATTTATAAAATAGTATATTATTAATTTATATTATGTGATTAAAATAAAAAAGATCCGTATTATATATTAATATGACATACTTTTTATAAGAATTAATTAATTTATTCAAAGATATTCAACATGTAGTGTTTAAGAGCTTTGAGATACTTTTCTGTATGGTCTTAAGTACCTATGGGACCAGCTGATCCTATTTTGGGAGTAGCTGCTTAATTCAAGGCTGATCCAAGCACTTAAAAAGTAAATTTAAGTATAGGAGCTTATCGTGATAATGATGGAAAGCCAGTTGTACTTGAGTCAGTTAAGAGAGTAACTAAATTTATATATAATAGGCTGAATAAATAATAAAAGAGAAGAAATTAGATAATGAATATCTTCCAGTTGAAGGACTTCAATCATTTATTGATGCTTCTATAAAATTAGGTTATGGAGATGCTTACTATGCTTAAAATGGAAAAAGTATTGCAGGATGTTAAGTATTGAGTGGAACAGGTGCAGTTAGACTTGGATTTGAATTTGCTAAGAAATTCTTACCTTAAGGTACAAAAGTATATATGCCAAATCCAACATGGCCAAATCATCATAATATTGCTAGAATGGCAGGATTAGAAATTTTAGAATATCGTTATTTTGATCCAAAAACACGTGGAGTTGATTTTTCAGGATTAGTAGAAGATTTGAATAAGGCTTAAAATGGATCAGTTATCTTATTCCATGCTTGTGCTCATAATCCAACTGGTTGTGATTTGACATCAGCTTAATGGACATAATTATTAGATTTGACTAAAAAGAAGAATTTCCTTCCATTTTTTGATATGGCTTATTAAGGTTTCACAAGTGGAGATGTAAATAAAGATGCTGAAGCAGTTAGATTATTTACAAATTAAGGAGTTTCTATTGTTTTAGGATAATCATTTGCTAAAAATATGGGATTATATGGGTAAAGAACAGGATGTCTTAGTTTTGTATGTGCTAATTAATAAGAAAAAGAGAAAGTTGTTTCATAATTGAAATTGTTAGCTAGACCATTATGGTCAAGTCCACCACTTCATGGTGCTAGAGTAGCTGATATCATTCTCAATACACCAGAACTTAATTAATTATGGTTATCAGAAGTTAAAATGATGGCAACTAGAATTTAATTAATGAGAGTAAGTTTAGCTGAAACTTTAAAGAATCTAGGTTCTCCTCATGATTGGTCACACATATCCAAATAAATTGGTATGTTTGCATTTACTGTAATAATTTAATTCATATTTTTTAGGGTGTTGGTCCAGATCATGTAAAAGAATTGATTGCTAAATATCATATCTATTTATTAAGTAGTGGAAGAATATCAATTGCAGGATTAAATGAAGGAAATGTTAAGTATGTTGCTGAAGCATTCCATGATGTGACCAAGAATACAAAATTGTGAAGTATTANGAAGGACTTCAATCATTTATTGATGCTTCTATAAAATTAGGTTATGGAGATGCTTATTATGCTTAAAATGGAAAAAGTATTGCAGGATGTTAAGTATTGAGTGGAACAGGTGCAGTTAGACTTGGATTTGAATTTGCTAAGAAATTCTTACCTTAAGGTACAAAAGTATATATGCCAAATCCAACATGGCCAAATCATCATAATATTGCTAGAATGGCAGGATTAGAAATTTTAGAATATCGTTATTTTGATCCAAAAACACGTGGAGTTGATTTTTCAGGATTAGTAGAAGATTTGAATAAGGCTTAAAATGGATCAGTTATCTTATTCCATGCTTGTGCTCATAATCCAACTGGTTGTGATTTGACATCAGCTTAATGGACATAATTATTAGATTTGACTAAAAAGAAGAATTTCCTTCCATTTTTTGATATGGCTTATTAAGGTTTCACAAGTGGAGATGTAAATAAAGATGCTGAAGCAGTTAGATTATTTACAAATTAAGGAGTTTCTATTGTTTTAGGATAATCATTTGCTAAAAATATGGGATTATATGGATAAAGAACAGGATGTCTTAGTTTTGTATGTGCTAATTAATAAGAAAAAGAGAAAGTTGTTTCATAATTGAAATTGTTAGCTAGACCATTATGGTCAAGTCCACCACTTCATGGTGCTAGAGTGGCTGATATCATTCTCAATACACCAGAACTTAATTAATTATGGTTATCAGAAGTTAAAATGATGGCAACTAGAATTTAATTAATGAGAGTAAGTTTAGCTGAAACTTTAAAGAATCTAGGTTCTCCTCATGATTGGTCACACATATCCAAATAAATTGGTATGTTTGCATTTACTGTAATAATTTAATTCATATTTTTTAGGGTGTTGGTCCAGATCATGTAAAAGAATTGATTGCTAAATATCATATCTATTTATTAAGTAGTGGAAGAATATCAATTGCAGGATTAAATGAAGGAAATGTTAAGTATGTTGCTGAAGCATTCCATGATGTGACCAAGAATACAAAATTGTGAAGTATTATTCAATTATTAATATAACATTATTATTTGAATGATTTTAGCTTTATTTAATATTTATCGTACATTCTGAGTTGATTGAAATCTACAAAAGAACATTTTTAATACAAGATTTATTAAAACAATCTAAATATTAAGATAATGAAATAAGAGTGATTTTAATATTGATAATTAATAATGCTCAATAAGTACACTCTTGAATTTCTATTCAAGGATTAAGCTGAACAATATGAAAACTATTCCAAATAATCTAAACTAAGAGAAGTAACATACTTCACCATCTATTCAGTTGTAATTATTCTACTCTACTATAGTCCTTTTCAATTTTAAACACCACAAAATTTATCTTACGAGATTCTATTCCTTATTCAATACTTAGTGGAATATCTGTTTTTGCTATATTGATACTATGGAAAATATTACAAAAAAAACTACACTTAATCAATTTAATTGTAACCATTTATCAAATGTTTTTGCTTTGTGCTTTTAAAATGCCTTAATTATTTGATGGTACATCTAATCCAACTTTAGATCAATCTTGGTATTATGGGTTTTAATGTGGTTACTTACATTTTAGTGTTTATCTTTTAAGTGCTAACTTCATTTATTAAACCTTTCTACTGATTATTGTTATCGCCCTTCATTTATATTAAGATAACATAGATATTAAAGATGGTATTATTAATATATTTCTCTTTGTTTTTTTGGCTATGAGTATGATAGCTATCAAATACAATTATGAAAAAACTAAAAAAGAATAATATGTTTAGAGTTGTCAACAAGAAAGATGGGAATAATTATTAACAAAAGTATTATCAAGTTCTATTTTACTTGTATCACATGATAAAAAATAAGATTAATTGTAACTTGAAAAAGAAAACAAATTTTCGTAAATTTTATTTAGATTAAAAGATAGTGAAAATTTACGATTGTTACTCAGATAAGTATATGAATTTTTAAATTTATTAGTTAATCTTATCTTCCAGTAGAGATCCAGAAGATAGTGTCTCAAATGTAGTTCATATTAATATGGAAAATACATTAAGAAGATTCTTAATACATACTCAAGAATTTGCTGATTCTTTTAAAACTTATAAATATACTGTTCAACATTAAAAAACTTAGAAGTTTTATAATGTTAAAATACTAAGATGTGTATTTAATAATAAATTATAATGTTTATTGATTATTGATCCAAAAAAAAAATATTTTTATCATTAAACTTAAGTTTTATGGAGAATCCTTTAAAATTTAACTGAAACGGCAAATGAATAATCACGTTTTTTAATCAAAATGCTTAATAAATTTAATCAAATTTCAATTAAATAAAAATTTCCAGATTAAAAATTCTATTTTAATCACAATTTCATATAGAATATGTAAATCATTTTTTAAAACAAATCTAATCGGCTTAAATTATAAGATATAACTCAAAATTCATTATAAAATGCACTTGATCCATTAATTGGATCTGATTCTTAAAAAGTATTACTTGTTAAATCATTTATTCATGATATTTCCATAATTCAGTAATTATTAATTTCATGCTTTTACATAATATAGCAAATATTTAAAGATCTAAAAATTCTACAAATATTAATAGAAAATCAAAAAACAGAAATTTTATTTTAAATTAAAATAAAGGAAAGAGATAAAACAATTTAAACTAAGATTTTAGAAATCTTACAAACAAATTGGGTCAAATCTCCAAAAGGATTCTTTCATAAAACTAATGTTCCTCAATCACTTTTAGAAAGAATGAGTTATTTGACATAATAGTTTTAGATACCTATAAATCTACTACTTAATATAAGTATCACTTAATTAATTCTTTCTGAGTTTGGAGTTTATAATCATTTAGATATTATACAAGATAATAATGAATTTACTTTTACATTTTCCTTAGTACCTTAAATTTAATGATTTATTATTATTAAATTACTAAAACTATATATTAATATTTATAAATATAAAAAAATGTAATTAATAGCTGTGTTAATTGCTGCATATAATCCAATTGAAAAGAAAGTTATTATGCTTACAAGATATTATGAATTGAATTCAGTAGGAATATTCTATAGAAATACTGTAAAAGATTCTATGAAATTTGTTTGTAGAGAATCAGTGATTGGACTTGACAAAGGAACTAGGTAATAAATTCAATTTATTTTAAGACATTCAGTGTTACATGAAGATAAATATTGTCACATATAAATGAGTTATGGAAATGATAAATTAGGAGCATATGCATTTTGTGATTAAGATTATCCTAAAAGAATAGCATTTGCATTTTTAAATGCAGTTTTATAAGCATTTTAGAAGAAAGTAGGAGATGAATGGAAAAAGTACAAAGAAGATGAAAGTATAGAAGTTCTAGAAATAAAGCAAGTATTAATATGAAAGTTAACATAAAGTTATTTTAAGAGTATTAAGATCCAAAGAATGTTGATAAAGTTCTATTAGCATAAACAAAAGTTGATGAAACTAACATAATTTTACATGAAAATATAAAAAAATTATTAGAAAGATAAGGTGATTTGGATTAATTAGTTGCTAAGAGTAATGATTTATCAGCTGGTGCAAAAATGTTCTATAAATAATCTAAAGATATGAATAAAAAGAGCTGTTGTGAAATTTTTTGAATTTTTCATATTATTGAAAAAGAGATATATATAATTTAATAATTCAAACTTTATTGTGTATACTATATTTTGTTTTACTAAAAACCTTTCTAAATTCCTACATATAAACAGAATTGCTTTTTCGAATATTTTGAGAATCTTGTCTTTGAGAATCCTATCTTTAAGTTAATTTGGATGGAATTAATGATTATCTATGTGTAGAAGATATTCTTGATTTAGAATCATCATTCATAGTTTTACAGATATTCAAAAAGCTTTATTATTATTTTTACATCTAATAAATTAAATAATATAAAAATACTTGTAATTTCATAAGATTAACTATGGATCCTTAATAAGGATTTGTTGTATTATGAGATGACTAAGTTTTATGTCTTAAATTTGATTGAAAAGCTTCATTTTCTAAATTAATTTTTAATCTCATTTATTGTTTAAGATATGATTCTGAAATGAATTATTTATTATATATACTTTAAGGTATTTATGATTAATGATTGGACTCTGATTATTTAATACTACGATAACTTTTGGACTAATTATTTAGTGAAGATGTTTTATTTTGTTGTTTTAAATAATAATCTAATTATTGAGTTTAATGTCTTTAAATTTTAGAATCATCTTATTATTAAGTATGATGATGTTAGGTAGTTTTTCTATAAATTTTATAACATCAAATATTTTACATACTTAGTAGGTTAACTACATACAGCAAATGTACGTTCTAATGATTTACATATAGTTTAAGGTTTATTACATGTATTCACATTTGAGCTGACAACTAAGATGTTATCAAAGAAACTATCATTCATATTCATGTATTTTGAATTTAAATATTATTAAAATAAAATGAATTAAGAAAAACAAAAAAAATTATATTGGCATCATTTTATTGCTGGTTTAGTTGGAGGATTCATTAGTGTAACTGTATGCCATCCTTTAGAAGTAGCAAGAAGCAGATTAAATCTCTAAGTAATTATATAACAATTTTAAGAATGCCACTAAATCTGTAAATAAATATCAAGGTTTCATTAACACACTTTGTGTTATCTATAAAGAAGAAGGTCTTGCAGGTTATTACAAAGGTATAAAGCTTACTCATTAAAAGGTTATCGAGCTACAGCAGTTGCTAATCCAATATTTCATTCACTTTTCTTTCCACTCTATAAATGGAATAAAGAAATATTAGAAAATTCATATGGAATATGTGGTTTCTAGAATCATCTTATGGCAACAATAATCACAGGGTTTGTTTGTGATTTAATAACTAATCCTTTATGGGTATATAAATGCAATTAACTTTTATTTAAAGTTAATCAGAACTAGAATGTAAACATAATACTTGCATGATCACAATCATCCTAAATATACATCTGTTTTTAGAGGATTGATTACTTTGTATAAAGAAGTAATCAATAAAATATACTTTTAGGAAGGTTTCCTTGCTTTGTACAAAGGTCTTGGAGCTACTGTTTTGGGTCTGTCTCATGTAGCAGTATAATTTCCAATATACGAGAGATTAAAATAAAATTATACTGATAAGAATGGTTAACTTTTACCAGTTGATATTCTTAAAGCCTCAATATTATCAAAATGTAGTCTCTTTTAAATACATTATATATATAGCAATCGCTGTCTTAGTAACCTATCCTCATGTGGTTATAAGAACTAGATTACATGATAATAAAACTGTATATAAGAATGGCCTTAGATCAAGAGTTAGAATTATTGATATTTGTAGAGTTATATATGAATAAGATTCTATTGGAGGATTCTACAAAGGATTAATACCAGATTTAATAAGGGTATTACCTACTAATAGTATAACATTTCTTGTTTATGAACTCTTCAGTTAATACTTAGGAAAGCATTTTTGAATGGATATAATGCATTTAAATATTTTTAAGAGAAATTGAATAAATTGTATTATTATAATAATAAGTAATTTTCAGTGTTTAAATAAATATATTCTTAATTCATCTTCATTCTCTTTTTATTAAGATTTCTAATATTTTCATATTATTTTTCATTATTTTTTTGATATTCTTATATCTAATTACAAACTTATAATATTATATTTGATAAAAGTGGAAAAGAGATTTAGTTATTTATAAATAAGTAGGTAATTTATTTAAAAACACAATAATATGAATTATAAACTTATCATCAATTTTGATAATTTTCTGTTTTCATTGTATCTATTCCTAATTCATCGTTATCTTCTGGAGTTCTATCAAAGAGAGTTATTTTAACTTAAGTATCTTCATTTGGATAGTAAGGATTTTGAATGAAACTGTTTTCAACTAAATCCCTTATTATTAAAGTAAATTTAGATTTTCCTGATTTGAATTCTTCTAATTTCTAAAAGAATGATTCCATCTTTTTTCTATAATTATCATCAGCACTATCACCTACAAATGGATTCTACTAATAAATTATAATATATACATTATCTCTTAAACGTGTTAGAATTTATTCTAATAATCCCTCAACATTTGAATATACTCCACCTAATGTACCTGTTCCTAATTCTAATTCAATTTCAGGAATTATCAATTTAGCAGTGTCTGATTTAAATACATCTCTACATAAATCATTTTCATTTTCAAATTTCAATTCTATTATTTTACCTTATTTACTAATCTCACCTGTTGCTTTAACCTCTGTATCTTTGAATCCACAAAATCCACAATTAAAACTCATTATAAGAATTTCCTTAAAATGAGGTATTGTAACTGTACACATTTTGTTTTCTCCCATTTCCTTACAAACATTACATGGTGTTGGAATATTGATAGATTCATTCTTTACAGAATCTTCTATTGATTAATTGAAATTTTATCCACCAGCCTATATTTATTCTGTACCTTAATGAATTGGATCAGTTATTATTTATTATTATTATTATAATTATTAGACTTCTTATTTTTAATTCTCAGCACTATATCCCATAGCTTCCAACTCTTCTATTGTTCTAATGTAATGTTATATTTTGAGTGAGGGATCATCTTAAAGTTCATTTAGATTTTAAATGAAACTATTTCCAGATGGGTCTTCAAGCATCCAATTAAAGGGTAATCCTTAACCTTCTTTGAATTCCTTTAATTTTCCTATAATATATTCAATTCGATCATAGACTTCCACTTATGTGAACTTTCTTATAGGTTAATCATGTGATAAGTCATCAATAATATTTTAAAGGAATCCTTCTAAAGTATTGATACTACTTTTCTTATTGGATGGCATTTCAAACTCTAATTCTGGAATTAAAACTTTACAGAATTCTGATCGAATTATCTGTCTTTATAGATCCTATAAATCTAAATAATTATTACTTTAGGTTCATTGACTTTTAAATGCAATTTAATTCCTTTTTCTTTGATTTCTCCACCAAATTAAACTTCATTGTTTTTATATCCACAATGTTCACAATCAAAAGAGACAATAATAATATTTGAGAACATAGGTATTTTAGTCAATAAAATTGTAGTTTTACCTTGTTTCTCACAATTTACACATAAGCTATCAGTAACAAAAGCTATTTTCTTATGATAAATTATTACGCTCTGAATCGCCTGTAAGGTTAGCATATATTACTTCTGGATTATTCATTAATTAATATTTTAACAAATAAATAAAACTTTGATTTTAAATGAAACTAATATAGTCTTTAAATAAATATTATTTTCTGATGATTATATATTAAGACATACTAAATTTAATCAATTTATCAATTATTATTATTAAACTTCCTCTTACATAGATACATCTTCTAAATGTTCTTCTTACATTTCTCCTTCTTCATCCCATACATCTTCCCATTCTCCTTCATTACCTCTTAATTCTCCAAGATCTTCAAATTCTTTTACTAATTTTCCCCAATCTTTTGGAAATGGATCATTTGTATTATCCCATCCATTTTATAAAAATGAAATCATTTCTTATTCACTTAATAAACAACTTTCAAATGCATCTAAAATTTCTTATTTTGGTAAATTTTATCCAATAAAAACAAGTTCTTATCTTCTATCACCAATAGGTTCAGGTAACCAATTCTATTTAAGTCCATCCCAAATAGCCTATTAATATAATAATATAATTTACATCAACTTCTTCTTTAGTATCAGCCCAAACCTTTTTAGGTATAGATATCCACCAAAATGAACCAGGATGATATGTTAATTAGGTTCCAGCCTTATGTATATGAATGTTTAATCTTTCCCAACTTGCAACCCACATATATCCTTTACATCTTATTATTGTATTCCAAAATGAGACTTCTTCTGTATTATTTCTTTCTATAAGTTAAAATAATCTTTCAGGATGGAAGGCTCTTCTTGATTTGAAAGCACATGATTAGATTCCATATTCTTCAATTTCACTTTTATGAATTGGCTTTTAGAGTTCAGCAATCCACTTACCAGTTGTAGAGGCTTCTTCAAAGTTGAATAATTTAGTATTTATGATTTCTTTTAAATCTATTTATCCTTAAACAGATTCAATAACCTTAGCATTAGGATTCAATTTTTTAAGTAGATTTAATATAAATTCTTTTCTTTCTTAATTCACAAGATCTGTTTTATTTAATATTATAACATTAGCAAATTCCACTTGATCCAATAACAATTATGATAATGGAATTTAATCCATCTATTTGTTATCTACATTCATTTCTTCACCTAATTTATCAGATTACAATTAATCTAAGAAATTCAAAGCATCAATCTAAATAATAAATAATAAAAGATACCATAGTAACCATTGTATCAAGTCTAGCAAACTTCTTCAACATCTATCCCTTCTTTCTCATCTCTTCATTTTCAAAATAAAATGCTTAGGCTATTGGTAAAGGCTCAGCTATTCCTGTACTCTCAATCAACATATAATCAAACTTCCCAGACTTGGCTATCTTCGATATATGTTTGATTAAATCTTCCCTAATACAATATATATTATATATACCTCAATGTACAACATATACATCCATTTGACATTTCAACAAGTTTTTCTTTTGTTTTTTTCACACTAAACTTTCCTTCCTTTATTAAATTCGAATCGACATTGATCTCTCCCATGTCATTTACGATTACAGCTATTCTATAATCATGGCGCTATTTAAGAATATAATTCATTAAAGTTGTCTTTCCTGATCCTAAAAAACCGCAAAGTACTGTAACAGGCAATTTCTTAATTTTAGTGGTGTGATTCATGTGCCTAATTGGATATTATTTTTTAAATTAAAGTGTGATTCATGAATTACCACAATTTATATTACCGAATTTAACAACCCCCTTCTTTTTATTAATAAAATATATATAAATAAATTTATATCAAATATCGATTTCATGAATTATTTTTAGAAGTTATTTATATATCAACAAATTTTTTATTGAAATGTCGACTTTAATCTTCACATTTTTGTCATTAAAATAAAATTATCAATTTTTAAAATATTAAAAAATTAATTTAAAAGTAAAACATCACATATTCATGATAATATATATTCATAAGGATAAACTAATCCAACTAATTTAATTTTATCATTTTATTTCAATTTTTATAATAGAATAATCCAATTAGCATTATAAATAATTTTATTCTATTGATATTTAATAATCATTGATAATTTTTATACATTTTATTTATTCTATTTTCTAATGTAATGAACCACTCAGATATTAATTGAATCTTCAATTCAAACTCTTTGATATAAATTAATTAATTAATTTAAAAATATGTCATTGTAATTCTAATTTAGTGTTAACTAGATATTAAAAGCATTTTAAAGAGTTGGATTAAATAAAGGAGAAGCATACAAACCTGATTAGATATATAATGCTTTAGATGAATTAGTATATTAAAATTTAAAGATAATCAATATAGATAGATTAAGTTTATGATAGAGATGTAGCCACTTAAATTTATGAAAAATGTACTCAAAATCAAATAGGATAAGTTTTAATTGAAGAGTTTTCAAAAATATTGATATCTGCTGATGCAAAGTTAAAGAAAAAGATACATGATACTAAATAATAAATCTAGTCTTTGATTAATGAATCAAAGGACTGTCATGAACAAATTTAAGAATTGCAAAGTATTTATGTTTTATATTGCAGATTTTTAATAATATAATTAATATGGTTTAGATATTGATTCATCACTAAATTTAATGATCAAGTCTGTCACAGGAATAACAAATGAGGATTATACTTAAAGTTATTTATCAATAACAGTTGATAATAATGAATAAATTGCAAAATAGAGTGGAGGAGATAAGTATAATCCATTATTTAATGAGCAATTAGGATTGTAAGAATTAATTTTATTCTAATTAATTTCTAGTTAAATTAAAACTGGAAGGGAGAATATAGTTTTTAGTTTATTGGTTGAAGATCTAAACTAAATGAAATCATTAATTGGATAAGCTAAAATATATTTATCTTAATTATATGATTAATAAGTTCATTCTCTATCATTATAATTGTAAAATGATAGTCAATAAATTGATACAGCAACTATATTATTTGATGCTCAATGGATATTTAATAAAGTAATTCACTAATTAATAAATAGATTAAAAGTTTAGAAGATATGATCCCTAAAAATGAATCTACTATTTAATAACTCCATAATGATATTGAAGATTATAAAAGAGATTTATATATAGTTTAATACCCTTTCATGAATTAAGATTAGACATAAAATTTTAAATATTTATTGAAACCATTAACTACTTCAAATTTGAAAACAAATTCAGCTTTAATTTATTAATAATCATAAAACTAAATATAAATAATAGATAAACCTACACCGTCTGAAAAATCTCTGAACTAAGATAATATTCAACCTTAATTTCAGGGAGAGGAAATAGATGAACTTAGTGATGAAATATATTATGGATTTATCCTGTATGTCTTGATGATTATCTTATCAATTTTCTAATGCTTTGCAAGACCAGCCTATGTGGATGTAAACTTAAGATTATATAGTCTTATAGATATTATTAGGGATATTATACTTATTAATTATATTTAGAGATTGTTTTAGTCCAGAATACTTAAAAATAGTTGGAGCAATAACTGTTCTTAGTATAGTTTTAGATATTGTTTGGATAGCAATTTACAAAGTAACTTTGAATTTGTAGTATTTAAAAGAATTGGTGGAGTTGTGCAGATAAAACCCTTCCAATATGGGGAGAAGCAGGAAATCTCATTTTTAAATTAGTTATATTGTTTTGCATATTTAATATGGTTCTAAAGGTAACTTAAGTCTTAATTATTATTAGACTTCCTTATGTTTTATAATATTCTGTTATTATAAAGAAGCTTAATCTAATTAGGTCTTAAGTTTCAAAGCGTGGTCTTTGGAATTCTAATTTGGAATACACAAATAAAATCTCTTTACTTTAGATAATAGACTCTTATTTTGATTTATTAAATTATTAATATAATAAGTTTATGTAAACTCTTGATTAAATAGTTGAGGATCTGTTCAATAAATTTACTTTTTAAAAACCTATTCCTTGTGTACCTACTCCTATAAAACCTTAAAGAGCATAATCTGCCTTCAAAAGAAAACCTCAAAATCCATAATAAATTTTATAATAAGCTACATAAATTGTGGAAAGGAAATAAGCTATGCTAAATACTATTTAATCAATGAAATTTTAAAGAAGCTATACTGTTTGTAAAACTGAAGAGTCAACTAAACCTGTTAAATTTGAAAGGTATTAAATTTTATCTAAATTGGCTGTTGGAGCATTTGCAACAGTTTTTAAAGCATATGATAGAATGACTGATTCTTAAGTAAAAATAATAAATACAATAGTTTAGGTAGCAATAAAAAAGTATAATTCTAATTTATTGTAATCAGAATAAAAGAAACTATTGTTTAAAGAGACAGAAATATTAAGAAAGTTAGACCATGAAAACATAGTAAAATTTTTAGGAATTTATAAGAATACAATTGTATTAGAATTTATTGATGGATTAACATTAACAAATTATTTGAAAAGTAAGTTTAAAATTTATTATTATTTAGATTAACCTAATAGAAGATTATAAGAAAATGAAGCTAAAAGAATTTATAGTTAAATTAGAGAAGGAATTAAATATTTGCACTCAAAAAATATCTTTCATAGAGATTTAAAAGCAGATAATATTATGATAATTAATAACTAAGTTAAACTAATCGATTTTGGACTTGCTTCAGAAAATTAATTATGCTCTGATTACTGTGGTACACCTGCATATATGGCACCTGAAATATTTCAAAAAAAGCCTTATGATGGAAAAAAGGCTGACATTTGGGCTCTAGGAGTATTATTGTATTAAATTCTATGTGGAAAAGTACCATTTCCAGGAAAAAATGATGAAGAAATTAAGTTAGCTTAATTTCCTAAATTTGCCTTGCCAAAAACTATAAGTAGAGAATTTCAATATTAGTTATTACGTCTTTTAGATAAAGATCATACTAAAAGAAAATTATGATAATACTTTATTTTTCTAATAAATTTATTTTTTATCTAATACATATAAAAATATGATTTCTTATAACACTTCACTCTAAAAACCTGATGAAAAAAATATAATATATATTTAGATTCTTACTTATAATAATCATTTTTTATTTAATTTTTCAATCTATATTTTATCAGGTGCTTGGTTGATATATCAAAGTAATATTTAAGAGTTTAAGAATAGTTTATTAACTTTTGAAGTAACTAAATATATTGAATAGGTCTCATAAAAAAGATGAGATTGCAATCTAAAATAGTGATAATGATTTATAAACTATATATGTAAATTAATTTTAACCGAAAGAATCTCACATGATTATTTGATCATAGAATTTGTATGTTTTGGTTTTTAATTATAAATTATTAAGCAAATAATTATTTCCATTAAAAAATTGCATAATAATTTGATAAGTTTGAAACAATTTTATACAAAAGTGAATTTAGAATTCAGATTTGAAAAGCAGTTAAGAAGACATGCTATTCTAACACTATTATCCAAAATTAATATGCACAGCCAATCAAAATTTGAGTTTATCGATTCTTAAACAAAGTATATAATAGTTTTTAATGCATAAAAATAAATTAACAACAAAATGGTAAAGTATGAATAATATATGTTAGAGTGGCATAGCAAAGAGTGCAAAAGGCGGAAAAGGTGGAAAAGGTGGAAAAGGAGGAAAATTTGGCTAAGGCAAGAATAAGAAAGCACCATAATCTAGGTCTTTGAAGGCAGGACTTTAAGTAGAAAATGAATCAATTATAAGTTCCCTGTTGGTCGTATTCATAGATATTTGAAGTAAAGAGTATCTGCCAAAAACAGAGTAGGAACAACATCAGCTGTTTACACATCAGCAATTTTAGAATATCTGACAGCAGAAGTTCTTGAATTAGCTGGAAATGCTTCAAAAGACTTTAAAGGTAATTCAAATTATTAATTTTAATCATAGTGAGAAGAATTACACCAAGACATCTTTAATTAGCTATTAGAGGTGATGAAGAACTAGATATTCTCATTAGAGCTACTATTGCAGGTGGTGGTGTGATCCCCCATATTCACAAAGCTTTGTTAGGCAAATAAACACCAGAAGGAGGTATTCCAAAGGAATGATATATTTTATATTAATTCATAAGGATTATTATTATGATTTAAAATATAGCTTAAACAGTTAACATTTCTTATTCAGATTTAATGATAGACTAGTTCCTTTTGTAAAAACAGAAAAATTAGGTGGATATATGAATTTTGGAAATTCAATGAATTCCTGCTATTTATTGCATTAAGATAAAATTATCAAGGATTCTTAGAATATTAATTCATTGATTATTAATTTCTTTGTTTTCAAAATACAAACATATAATAATCAAAAACAATCAGAATCTCATAAATATATGAATTAATATATATTGTATTTAATTTTGAAATGCAGGCAACATGATTAAAGATAGTCTAAATAGTATTATTGTAAGTTGAATACTGATAGCTCACCAAAAGATTAATCAGTATTACGACTATTGTTAAAATAACTTTATTGAATAGTTTTTGAAAAACTTATTCTTTTTCTTAATTAATAATAATAAAAAATCAAAGTCAAACAATTCAACTATTTATATAATACATTATAGTACAAGTTGTTGATAAAAAGTATAGACTCTTATTTAAAAAGATTAATAACTTAATTTATTATAAACATATTAAATGAGAGGAAAGATTGATTTACACAATATCATATTTTAGTAATATAATAGTTTGTGTATTTTAGATATTTAACGAAAACTTTTTAAAATAATTATTAAATAATAAATTATTTTAGTATAATATATCTGCTATTTATGGATAAATTGTCAAAAGTAATATATTTCACCATAATAGATTGCCAATTAGTTTCTTCTATTATACTTATGAGAATACTTTATATATTGAAGGGATCAAATAAATTTTTATTTCTAAAATTAAATCATATTTTATGGATACTAGAGTTATTATAATATCAATAAATAATTTTATAAAATGCTCTCTACCTTTTAAGAGTATATTAATATAGATTTTAATATGTTTATGTTATGTTTATATTGATATCATCTTGTATGTAAAATTGACATCTCATAAGTCAAAATAGCAATCTGAAGACTCTTCTATAGTTTTTTCAAACACACTGCGGTTTAAGAAATTTATAGATTAGCCTTCAAATTGTTAGAATATTTCTGGAACATTATCAGAATAGTACTCATTATTAGGTATCCCTTCATTATATTGATTGTCTAAGGCCTCTGATTCATCATGTATTATGTTGGATGAAAATTTAGAGAATTCAGAGTTATCTAAACACATAGTATCACCTTATGAAGAATTATTGGGTTCTAATAGACTAGTCATATTTCTAATAATCAAAATTTTTTGAATATTATCCAAGATATTATTAACTATTTGGTCAATAATTCTTCTTTTATTTGAGTCAGTTTTTTGAGCAGGGATTAAGTGAGCAAACTTAGTCTTATTTTTGGGTGGCATCACATTTTTAATGATTTTAGTGGCTAATTTTTTTAACTTTCTATCATTCATAGACTATATATATAAATATTAATTAATACTTAGATGGAAGTGATTTGGAGCAATTAGTCTAGTCCATATTAAGTGATAGCTGCTTTAAGGGATTTATACTCTGATTTCCTTTCTGAACTTTGAACAGATTAAACTGTCTTTAAATTTTTATTTAATCTTTTGGATATCTCTTGACAACCCATACCTTACTATTTCATATTCATAATGAAACACCTTTCCTCATTTGTTAATTTCTAGTACTTTTTATTACGTTTTGGAAGACACTATCTACCAGGCATAGATAATTATTATAATTAAATCTTTTTTTTTTGAGTTTGTATTTATGCCCCCTAAAATATTTGAGAGTTCTATTATAAAATATTAAAATAATAATTTATTTACATTTAGAATGTATTAATTAAGTAAGGATTAATGAATTATATAATATATTCGTTAATCTCAGAATTTATAAAACTATTTTGATTTAAAAATCTATAATAATTTTGATATAAAATTAATAAAGACATTCAACATTTACAATCATTATCTTTGTCCTTATTCCCTTCTTTGCCTTATTTATGTAAAGTTCCCAACTTAATTCCACTATCCTATTAAATATATTTTAATTGAAATACTTCATTAGCAAAATCTATTAATTTTTTATCAATTTTATCTAAGATTAATTATGCTGTTGTTTCAAATAGAAAGTCAATATTTTAATTGGTTTTAGCAGATGTTTCAATATATTGCATTTTATATTAATCAGCCAAAGCTCTGGCTTCAATGGTTGTAATTTTACGTCTAAAATTAAAGTATTGGATTACTATGATTCAAGATCTGTTTTATTGCCAACTAATACAATAGTACAATTAGATGCTGCTTGATCATTTACATCATTATACCATTTTTAAACATTATGAAAAGACTATTGATTGGTAATATCATAGACTAAAAGTATTCCAATAGAACTAAAATATAGATAATAATATCAACCCTTTATAATATGATCTTGTTATTGATTTAAAGGATTCTTAACCAGCAGTATCCCAGATTTGTATTTTAATTGTTTTATCATTCTTTTTTAATACTTATGATCCAAATTCCACTCCTATTGTTGTATCATGTTCATCTCTAAATAATTTCTCTGTGTATCTAAGAAGTATACAAGACTTTCCAACACAAGTATCTCCAACTATAATGAATTTGAATAAGTAATGGTATAAATCCATATTTTATATAATAAATTGATAATATTATAAATGAAAGTGAATAATAAATATTATTAGTATATAATCAACATGATAAAATATAGATATTTTTATTGTATTATCAAAATCTAATAGATAATAAAACTTTGAAAAATACATTCAATATTTTTGTAGTTAATTAAACATATAAATCATTATAGACATGTATAGATATTTTTTCTTGGTATAAGCAAAGACATTAGATAATAATAAGCCTTTGCTATTTATGGAGGAATTGGTTATACAAAGAAATTATTTGGAATTTCATCCTTTTTCTCTTCAAATTCTTCTTTGGTAACAATTGTTGTTTATTAATGATTATCATTATTTTTTTGAATTACATTTTATACTTTCTCTACTATATTCAATACTATCTGTTAAATTATTCTTCTCTTATTTGAGAACTTTTTTTATTCAGGAATAAGATTCCAAAATTTTGATGTCTTCATTTCTAATTGCTCTTTAATAAGTTTACTTGCTTATTTCCCTATGATTTTAGAATTCCTTTTCTAAAATTATTCAATTTATAATACATCTATTTATTACATCTCCATAATTTTTTGGAATCCAAAATCAATTAAAGCCTTTTTCAAATCAGCATATTCTGATTTCTTTTCTATCGATTTAATCGATTATATAGTTTTAATATTTTTATTCATCATTTCACTAATCTCTCTGCAAGTTGAACCATTTTCTTTCATTTATACTATTTAAACTCTTTCTTCTTATGTAATTTTATCATATTTTCTGCTTCTAGATCTATAAACTTTTGATTATTTCACCATAAAAAAAATAATAATGATTTAAACATCATTAACTAAGATTTATATGAATTTCTAATTAAAAATAACAATTAATTGAACTAATGAAAAAAATTAAATGATATGTTTTACTAATTATATATTTTATTAATAACAGCATTATTATTAATTCTAATGATAAATAACTCCATATGAGTTATCCTCTTCTAAAATACTTATAATCCATTTAAATACTTTAAAATACATGATATTAATATATCTAATTTTATAAACTTTGTATATTTCTTATAAAATGTTACTAAGCTCCATTTTGATTACATTAAAAATTATTATATTTAGTCTTTAGTAAAATATTAATTTAAGGTTAAAAACATTTAATCACCAATTGAATATAAAATTAAGTAAATAATTTTTCTTAAATTATTATATATTTCTTTTTCTGTTCTTAAATTTTCAATAATAAGGATATTAAATAAGTAATGATTATAAAATCTATTAAATTTTATTGGTATAGCACTTCATAGTTATATAATTTGATGTCCATTCAAGTTTAAAAATTAGTTATTTTTATTTACCTGAAATTTTGTTTAAATTTTTATTTTTAAACTTTCTGAATTATTACATAAATTAAGCAATAGATTGATTAATTTACTATATTGAATATATGTATATAAATAAAGTTTTATTAAACTAAGCAATCTTGAGATAATATTATTGGGAAAGGATTAATTTTATTACTACATGTATAAATTACTTTATATACAAATATGATAAATTAAAATTAAGTTTCTTTTTTAATCTTAATATAATCTCGACTTATTTGAAAATCCATTTAAGGAATTGGAAATGATAAATAAAACAATTAACACATATGTTTTAATATTAAAATAAATATTATAGAAATAAGTTTATAAAATCGAATATATATAATTAATTTATTTACTTCTACTCCAAAGAAGAGATTTCATGAACATTTAATCAATTCTTAAAAACACTCTTATTGCTGTATAAAGTTCATTCTTTAAGATATTTATTATGTATCAAGTATATAAAGAGAAATGTTATTCTTTATATTATTTATGAAATCAAAGAAATATTAATAATTTAAGGATTAACAAAAAAAAAATTTGAATTAAAAAAAACGAGTATTTTAGTGTGATTTCAATTAATGAGAAGTTCTATATTAAACTATTTTATCTTTATAGTCTTGGTATAGTTTGTGTTGTTGAGTTAAATTAACTAATTTCTTAACTTCATTTCTTATAACCTAATATTTGAAGAGCAAATGTCATCACCCCGTTAAAGTTTTCTTTCTTAAGCCATTTTTGTTTTACAATTCTTCAAATAAAAGCAAAAAAAATTCATTAAGCTCTTCAAAACTCAAAAACATACTTCATCTTTGAACAAATACCATGAAGCCCCAAAGTTAAAGAAGCATTAAGAAAAAGATAAAAAAACACATCATACAAATAATCATACTAAATGAGAAAAATCTTAGTTCCCCACATAATACTAATCAATACCTACTAACAAAACATACAAGCTGTGAAACAAGTCCAGAAACAGAAGTGAAAGAACCTGGGAGTATGTTATCATTTTTATTAAATGAAGAAAGACCTTAAATATACTCATCTCATTCTATAATCTCTAAATCAGAATAAATTATAACAAATTGAATCGAGCTCTTGTTAATGAATTGTGATTTGCTATAATACTCAACATTTTTATGTATTTCATTGCATTTAGAATATGTATATATACAAACTTAATTTTTATTTTTATTTCTAATATTCAATTAAGATTCATGAAGTCTAGCACGTCAAAAAAAAACAAAGATAACTAAAATACTAAATAAAAAGTTTGAAAATTTTAAGATGGAGTAAATATCAAAATAATATAAAACTTAATATCTTAAATTAAAAAAAAATCACGAATAATATCAATTGTGAGCATAGATTGAAGAAACTATATTTTAGAAATCAGTTAGATTAGAAATGCTTCTAAATTTTCAGCCAAAAATAAAATGTATCAATTCCATAATTAATAATATATATATTATCATATTATTATTATTTCAATTGATTCAAAAAATTAATATATATTTATAATATATCATAAGAATTAAAAAATTATTCATACATAGAAATTAAATATAATAAGTAATATTTTATCATTCTTTATTTATTATTAAATAAGTATCAAATATAAATAACATTAATATAAAATATATTATAATAAATTTAGTCTTTTTATATGATTGTAATATTATTATTATTCTTTTTCAGATTCATATTAAAATATATATTTATTATATATAATATTTAATTTGATTGATGTTAGTTTTATAGAATTACTTTCAATTATTATTTCTAAACATAATTGTCTATAATATCTAAAGTGTAAATTTATTAATAATCGTTTATTGTTCTATAATTAATTTCAGTATAAAAATCTAACTAACTTAAGTTGATTGTAATTATATAAAATTTAATAATTGTTTGTTTATTATTTTATGGGCTGTAGCTCAATGAAAGCTTCAAGGAAAGGATCACTTTCTATTCCAAAAAATGGCATACTAAAAAAGCCTAGTCCAAATTAATCATGCCAATTGGATATAATTGTCATTAAAAAAAAGACTTTGAGTTTTTAGATTTCATCAACAAATTCCTATGATTTATCAAGAAAAACCCTACATACGAGACAAATAATCTCAGAATGATAGGAGAAGATTATACTTTGATTATATTTTGTTTATATGTATTGTGTGCCAATATAATTTAATATATATGTTAAATATTGGCATTCAAGACTAAGATAGTCTTTAAATTAAAGATATAGATCTCTTAAAATTTGGAAATTTGAATAAAAAATATGTAAAGATATATATATAGCAAGAATAGTAAGTGAATACATATTTATTATATTCAACTAACTTATTCAAAATTCCTATCATTAATGAGTTTTTCCTATAAATTGCATAATTCTATATTAATAAGATGCAACAAGTTATAAATCATGTTTTAAAATATTATATATTAAATCAGCAATTTTTTAGATTCAAGTTACAAGATTAATTTATGGATCATACCATTTTTCATTTTTTTAATCTTGTAAAATATCAATATGAAAAGGTGTTAATTAAAGTAGGAAATAGTTCATATATTTTATAGATGTTAGAGGTTCTATTTTTAGATTAATAGCTTTCCTTTAACGATATTTTAATTAAATTTAATAATAATTTTACTTCATAATATGAACTACAAAAGTAACATTTTATGTTTAGCTTCATCAATAATAAATATTCTAAATTTATGAGTTGGGGTGAACCAGCAGAAGTTAACATTCAAGCACAAGATAGGGGAAATGATGCCCCTTAAAATAATTGGGGTAATACAGAATAAGCATGGGGCAATAATGATGGTTAATAATAAGATGTTCAATAAGTATTCAATAATTATTTAACAATCATTAGGGACAAGAAGATTAATAAAATGAAAGAAAAGGGAAAAAAGGGAAAAAAAGAGAAGCTTCACCTCCTCCTGTAAAAAGAGTTAGACCTAATCCAATAGTTATTGTAGTTGATGAAGATGAAGATAGTGAAACACAAAATATTATCATAAATGAATGTCCAAAATTGTAAAATAAGAATAAAGGATTGATTTAGAATGAGAATAAATAAATTTGTTATGAGGGTAATCTAAAAATTGAAGATTGTGTTGTGAATACAAGGTTTATTAGTTTTGATTTAGAATAATAAGTAAAAATTGATTGCATTGGAGAATATACAATTGAAAATGCTAAGGATTTATTAAAAACACTTAATGATTAAGTTCTTATTGGTATAGTTGAAGGTTTAGATGAAGAGAATTAGAAAGTGATTAATAAATTAGCTGATAATTTATTAGATAAATAATAATCAATTAAGTTTAAGGATTTAAGTCTATTTAGTATTAAATAACTATATAAAATTGAAAATAAATCAAGATTGGCATTTATTAAATAAATAACTTAATGATAATTACATTTAAGAATATATCAATTTATAAAAATACATGTCTATATATATATAAATAAACTTTATTATATTACTAAAAGTAATTTCATTAATACATAATTAGAAAATGCAAAAAAAAAATTAATTATTTTTAAATATTATAATTATCTAAAAATGATTTGATTAAGTATTATTTAAGTTGATAAAATAAAACAATAATTTAAATTCATTCATGCTGTTTTTATTTTGGCTTAATTTATTTAGGTTTTTCATCTGAATTGATATCCTATTTTAAATTAATTTATAATACTTTAAGAATAGATTAATAGAATATTGTATTTGTGTTTTAATTGGTATTCACTTTTTATAATAATTAGATAAATTTCGTATTGTTATTTACTATTAAATTAGTGTTATTTTTACTCTAATCCGCTAATAATAGGGATTTTTGAATAGGATTTTCCATTAATTCTGTAAATAACTTTTATAATTTCTTTTAAAAATTTAACTCTCTCATTTTCTTTGTGTACCCTTATTCTTCATTCTATTTAGGAAAAGATTTGTCTACTGTTAAGAATACTATATACATTATTCCTAAATTTCAAAGAGAGTATTTTCAAATGATCTTAATTTTTCATTATATTTATTGATTATGATTTTAAATGGAGCTACATCCATTTAAGTTATGATGTTTTCAACATTTTCTAGAATGTCTTTTTTAATATTCTATAAATCATTAATCTATTAAGAAACAACAGATTTGAAGCTAGCTAAATTAATCTATTAAGGTGCATCATTCATAAGTAAACTTTAAGATTTTACTTTTTATTTATCAAGAATGTCATCAATAATTTATTTACTTAATACTTAGAGTTCTTCTAATATTTTATTTGTTTTTTATTTAGGATTATCAAATTAAATTTAATGTTATTGGATTAATTTGAGAAATTACATGTTCTAACTGATAACATCACCAACTTTTATAACAAAGTCTTTCAGTTCTTTTTTTTTGATTATTCCATTGGCCTATGTCTATATATTCTAAATAAATTAAAGTTCTTTAGATGTATTTTATGTAAATTGTTAAAATTCATCGTGATCCTCTTCTTAACCAAATGTCAACATTTTTTTATCTATTTCATAATAACGTATTGGTAAACCAGATTATATTGCATAATCAACTATACATCTACTACACATCAATTATTCATTGGCTTCATATTTATATTTCTTTTTATGGGTTTAACAAATATTTCCTTTTAATTCAACTTATTATTCCTCTTATTATTATTTTAAAAACAAACTAATTACACTGCTTTTTGGTATATTTGGTGTAATATTTCTATCTTATTTAATCAAATGATTCGAAAGAGTGGCTTTAAGATATGAGGCTTTAACAATATTCTCTTTATTATTTTTTTTAGGAGATGGTTCAGTTGTAAATCTATTATCTTTGATTTATGAAGTATTATTGAATTCAGTTTTTAAATATGTATTGGATGGTTTACGAACATTAGCATTTTGAATCTGATTCTTGTTCATAAATGTTAAATTTTAATTATAGTTTTAATTCTAAATAAATTATTTTTTGTATTTCCAATAGTTTTTGAATTGATATATTAGACTTTAATAAAATAAATTGAATCCTTGAGATTTTTATATTATTATTATACACATTATATAAATACAACCTAAGAAGTATTTAATTAATTTAGATTTATATAATAATTATAATTTTTGGATGATTCTACATAATCAGTTGGTAATTTTGGCTTAAACATCACCTTTGTATGATGTACTTTGAGAACCAACTTAACTTGAATAAATTCTGTAAACATCATCAAAGGTATTTTGCTCTTCTTAAAGAGTTTCAGTTACAGATTTAAAGTGAGCCTCTGAAGAAGCTAAATCCTAAAAATAAATTATAAAAGGATACTTCATTAGCTAAATCAATTGAATTTTGGATTTTCTTTAATCTGTCTTTACAAGCTGCAGTAGCTTATAATATGGTAATCAATTAATTTTATAATTTTTCCTAAAAATATATTATTTAAAAGTATTACTAGATTAACATCTTCAGCTACCAAATGACCTTTGAATGTTTCATTTTCTTTATGAATCAATCCTTTGAAATCACTGTAACCCATAGCTGAATTAACTTAATTATCTTATTTCTTTCCAAATGATCCTCTTACTTAATCTTCTAAAATGTCTAAGAAATTTAATAATTCTTATTATGCAACTGTAAATTATGAATAATCTTTGCCTGAACCAGTTTCAGCAGGTGCCTTTTATCCTTTTTCAATAATTTTATTGAATGCAGCAGCTTCCTTTGCTAATTATTCATTTGTAGCTTTTTCTTCAGCTTCTAATGGATGTTCAGGTACTTGAGCTTCTGGTTCTTCATTAGCATCAACTAAACTATGTTAGTCTACCTCATCTGAAGGATCTTAGGTTTCAGTAGTTTATTCTTCTGTTATAGTTTCATCTTCTTATAGAACATCATCTTCTTAATCTACTTGATCTGCATTATCAACAACTTCAGGTTCATCATATACATGAGGTGGTTCATTATTTTCATCTGTAATTTCTGGTTCTTCACCATCATCAGCTAAAAATGATTTAAGTTAAATGAATTAAGCAGATTACAAAAGTGTTGGTAAATCAGTCTAATTATTGCTTTAATTAATACTTCTTTTGCATTTTTTACAGCTCTTCTAAGGAAGGCAATTAAATTTAGAGATTTCTTAGAATTTTTAATATCATTAATGAAATTAGAATTAGATTCACATCTATTAACATCTAATCTTTAAAGTCTTTCATTATTCTCTTTTATTCTTTTTTCTAACCAATTAATATAGCTAAGTGTTATTCTAATGTCTCTTTCTTTGTTTGCCCACTCTTAATCTCTTCTATTACATTCACCTCTTTATGTTGATGCAGATCTCATTAAATCATTTACAATGTCTTGTTTTTGCTGTTCAAATGTCATATATAATCAATTACATATCTAGTTGTTTCCCAATCGCTCTCCATTTATTATAATTGTTTGCTTGTCTGATTTTTTAAATCACTCAACATCTTTAATACTACATCAATCTCATTTGATTGACAGTATGCTGCTACCAGCAATAATGCCATCATAGCTAAAACCTTCATTTATTTAATTATCACACAAAAACGGTATATATATTTACTTATAATTTATATAACCTTTAAAAAGTGATCTATCCTCTAGTTCTAAATCAATAAACTAAGAGTTTATAAACAGCCACTTTATAGCATTACTATTCTAATATAATATTTCATTCAAATAATCATTCATTTTCTTATATATATATATATTTTTAGTTCATTTAATAATATTAATATTAATCATTCTTAAATTTGATTTCTTATTATTGTAAATAGTATTTGATTATAAAGTATTCATTTTTATGGTATAACAAATATTGAAACATATATTATAGAATATTTGTAGATCATTTGAAATTTTAAGAAAATTTATGTTCTATACAAAATTATTAGCAATAACAAAGTAGTTAAATTAAATATATAATAAAGATAGTTAACAATAATTGAAAAATGCATATATATATTTAATCACTATAAATTAAAAGTTAACTAAAATGATAATTGTTAAATTATACTTCATATGGGTATTTTAATGGTTTTTGTTGTGATTGATCAAATTATTCATCAAAATGATCATAATTGGCAGTTGCAATATCTATAATTTTAGTCAATATATGTGTGAAATCATCTTAAGTTTTATCAAGGGAGGAGAGACCAAATTAAAACAAAAGTAACCACTCTTCAAATACTTTAAGTTTAGGTTTAAAAAATTATAGGAGTGTTGTTGGTTGTTCTTCCATAAATTTTAAAGAAATTTAAAGAGACTAGCAATTAATCATGTTAGGATCATTATTGATATTATCAATTAATTTCTTGATGTCCTTGTCAACTTAAGGTTCCCCACATCTTAACTAAAGATAATAATAATAATACCTGAGTAATTTTGGGTAAACGTTCACATCTCATATGATTCAATTTGACTGGGCCAAGTGCACGATGAAAAAATATTAAATTAAGAGCAGTAGAAATTACATCTTCTAAATAGATTTTATCTAATAGCTAATTATGGAAACATAAGTTTACAAATTCAGGCAATTTAAATTGTGGATAATCTAACATATATATAAATATATTTTTATATAATTTTTCAATGTCTAAACAACTTAATTAAGGAACAAGGAAATATAATATCACTATTAAAATAGATTTAACCTAAATAAAAGGCATTGAAGTAATAGTTCATATGTGGTCTATATCTAATCATCTAACATTCCCAAAGTACATAACATAGGATCATAAAATAAGCAAAGAATCAAGCAAACACTTCAACCCAAGTATACACTGCATAAACTAAATTTACTAGAATTTCTTAGATCATGAATATCAAAAGAGCTCTAAATATGAATAAGTAATTTATTATACCTCCACCAATAATCTTTGGCTAAGAAACATTGATCCTTTCTTCGTCTATCAATTTAAAAGCATAAAAAGACAATTATAAAATCGAATGATATCATAATATATACAATTTCTAAATCTATAAATGTAAATCTAAATATAACAAATAATGATAATAATGTTCTTGAAAATTGCATGAGCCATCTAAAAACTTAAATTAGTATTAATTATTACATATAATAAGTAATTGAATGGTGGAGATTCCCAATCATGTTATTTGAATTGTATTTGTATTAAACAATACAAATATATGAAAATAAATAATAGATCAACTGGATATTTGATATAATTAACTATAACATTTCCTAAATTCATAAGATAAAGGAGCAATAGAATCCATAATGAGAAGATATTTTATAATGCCAAAATAATGATATACAATCCTTATACATCTTTGATCTTAATATTAATCTTAATAAATACACTATCCCAATTGGGTTCTGTTTATTCAAAGAGTTATTTAATCTATTTCATAGTAAAAGTTTCTCTTTTATTATGAAATAGATTCCTTTATCATTTATGGAAACTATGAAGGCTTTTATTCAATTATTTCTTCTTCTTAATAATAACTCCTATTATTCATTTAATTTTTATAATTTGAATTCAAAGTTATTAAATGGAAGTCAAGAAAAAACCAGCAATAGAATTACCAACTGTTGAAACATTGAGTGTGTTAGATTAGAATGAACCTTAGAATGGTATTGAAGTAATTTGTAGAATTCGTCCTAAATTTGTAGGTGAAAATTATGGTAATAATTGTGAGTTCATTCTAGTAAATTATATGATTACAGATAAAAAACTTGATATATACGAAATCAATAACGAAAATGAAATATCCAATTAAAAAACATTTGCTTTCTCTTAAATATATGATTAGAATTCTACATAAAGAAATTTGCATTAAGAATATGTTATTCCATTGATTAAGGATATATTTGAAAAATGTATAAATAATACAAATACTTAATAGAAAAAGGAGGACTAGTTTTTACTTATGGTGTTACAAATTCAGGAAAAACATACACTATAATTGGTACTTAAGAAGCACCTGGAATTTTACCGCTCACATTATCAACTTTAGATAAAATTAAAACAGCATTTCTTTTAAATAAAACCACTATTGAAATTGATGGGTAGGTCATCAAAATTAGAGAATCTCCTTATGATGACTATGTTTTAAAAGAAGTCAATTATACATTTTAATCATTAGAAATTTATAATGAAGAAATATATGATTTATTAGCTAATAATAAAACTAAATTGTAATTAAAAGAAATCTATGATAAAAAATGTTATGTAAAAGATGCTGTAGAAAAGGAAATAAATAATACTTAATAATTTAAAGATTTACTTCATAAAGCCTTATAAAATAGATAAATGGGTGAAACTACATTAAATAATTAATCAAGTCGATCACACACTATCTTTAAAATACAAATATCATTTCTATATTAATAAGAACAATTTACAATTTAAAAGAAATAAACTATTTGTATTGTAGATCTGGCTGGGTCAGAAAGAGCAAAAAGAGCTGAAACACAAGGTTCATAACTTACAGAAGCATGCAATATAAATAAATCTTTATTAGTTCTTGGAAAATGTCTAAAATAAATGAGATGTCAAAATGAATCTGATTAAAATTGTCGTATACCATTTAGAGAATGCAAATTAACTCGTTTGTTGTGTGAATACTTTACAGAAGAAAACAGAATTTTGATGATTGTTAATGTTAGATTGACAGGTGATGATATAGAAGAAACACTTAAAGTATTACATTATGGAGCTTTAAGTGTTAATGTTAATTTACTTAAATCGAAAATATATGATTCAACTATCTCTTACAATTAAAGACTTTAAATTAATTAATCATAATAAATATTAAATGATTCAAAATCTAAAAAAATACCCAAAAAAAATGCAAAAGAAATAATTAGAAGAGCAAAGATGTTGGTTTAAAATACAACCTAACATATGTTATTTTAATAAACTATTCAAGATTCTTTTGTCAAAGATTTAATATCAACTGTTAAATAATAGCAAGCAAGATTAAAATAATTTAGTGGATTAGATGATGAATTATTTTATCCTCCAATTTTAGAGAGTGATTAAAGATTATAAAAATCATTAGATAAAATATAGTCTGATAGATCACGTTAAGCATCTCTAGATATTTTAGATAATAAAGGATTATTTTAACCACCTCCTGTTAGTAATTTTTTATAAGATATACCATAAAGAAAATCATATAAATTTGAAGAATAAATAAACTAAAATAAAGATGTTATTATTGATGAAAGGCTATAAATAGATTAATTGAAATTATCAGAAATATAAGAAGAAAAATAAGATATTCATTCTATTATTGAATAACATTTTAATTCTTATGAAGAACAAGAGGAATTAATTAATGATTTAAAATAACTTGATTTAGAATAAATTGATGAATAAACTGATGATAGTAAATAATAGTCTAAATGTCACATTATTAAATAGAATAATAATAATCAAGAAAATGATATTAATATTTCTAACCAATGTTAATATAAAGAAGATTTATTATAGTATTCAAATTAAAAGTATGATAAAAATCATTTCGATTAAGCAACCAATACTACTCCTTATGATGAAATGAAAAAGAAACTTTTTGGTTAACTTTTTGAATAAGAATTATAAAAACAGTATATATCAATTTTATTTTATATAGTTAAGATGAAAAGGATAAATTTAAATAAGAAGTCATGAAAAATTTATTTAATGATGATGATTTATAAAATTTAATTGAAAAAGAAAATCAATAAGAATTAATTAATTTAGAAGATTCTGCTAAAAAATAATAATAGAGAAATATTGAAAAATTAATATCAAGCAATCATAAAAGTGATTTAAAAATTATAACTGAATCTGATTAAGAACATGATTCTTCTGGAGACAAAAAACATCACTAAACTAAAAATCATCCAAAAAAGAAAAAATAAACAAAGAAAAAAGGAAAATCAAAAAAAAGATGATAATTTTTATGTATCTATAGTTTTTTCTAAGCTTTATTTTTATTTATTTACTAAATCAAAATTCATGATTTAATTATTAAATTATATCTTTTAATTCTAAATTAATAAATTTTCAAAAACTTTAATTAATAATCTAATAAAATTAAGAGTTTAATATATTTTAACTATATTTACTTTAATATAGTAATAATTAATATTACCTAATTCCTTTATACATTTATTACAAATTATTAAGTGTTAATATTTTTATTCAATTATTAAATTTATATCTAATTTTCTCCTTTTACACTATATCTTTTTTAGATAATTAGGTTAAATTTAAATTATACTTATTACTTAGCCATTTACTTCAAAAATAATGAAAAAAATTATTAAGTATCTAATTCATTTAAGCATAATAATAATTTAGTAATTAGAGTAAATAATTTTAATATTATGATACTTTCTCTATACATGATAATTGATTGATTTTTTATAAAAAAAACTATAAAATAAATCAAACTAATAGATGATCAAATTATTTATTATTTTAAATAAAAGTTCTTACTTCATGTAATTCATGAAATTATTATTTCTTTAATAAAGATTTTGCTAATTCCATATAACGTTTATATAAAAAGAATGAAAATTCTTTATGCTTATTTTTAACTGATTTTTATGCCCATTTATCAAATTCACTTAAAGAATCATCTATATCATAATTCTAAAATTTTGTAACATAGTTATTTCTTAGTTTTGGTTCCCCAGGGAATGTAAGAATCAGATGCATTAATAATACACCTAGAGCATATAAGATTTATTATTTGTATTCCATATAATCTTTAGTTTAAAGTTTTTGCAAATCTTGATAACATGAATATGAATGATTCAAATCTGCTAACATAACCTTCGTTATATAAATACATTACTTATATGTCTCCAGTGATACTTTTAGTGACCATGATACTTTCAGGTTTTAAATCTCCATGGACTATTTACTTTTTTTACAAACACTCCAATCCACTTATAATCTAACAGAGAATATCATTTATGAGTTTGCCTTTCTATTCTTAAGGCATGGGATTCATATAAAAATATGAATAACTCAATAGATTTTTAGATTATGAGATATATCCTGGATAAATACAATATTCTATCTAAGTATATAGAAATAATTAGTAATTTCTAATTTCCAGCCACCATTCATAGAGTCTGATAATGTTTGGATGTGAAATACGTTAAAGAGTACGCGCTTCTTAAATTTTGAGGTAATCTTAAATTGAACTTTTTGTGTTAAATATATCCTGAAATGTAATATCTAAAGGTATATTTAATAATTAAATCTATAATTAGGTTGTTTTTTACTCTTTTAACAAAATAAATTTAATCATCCATAGGCTTATAGACATGATATGTTGTGGTTTATTTCTATTAATCTATTTCTTCATTCAATACAATAAACTCATTTTTAAATTTATAATTTCTTAAAAATTGATTTTTAAAATCCTACTAAATTTATTATTCTTTTTAAATATTGATATCAAAAAAATAGAGAGTCAACCTCACTTATTAGTCTTTTTATTCAATTGCCATTTTCCTGTTTACGAATTCATTAAAAATATTTTTATTTACGAAAATGAAAGCTGTAGATTTAATTTGATATGTAGATGTAATAAATCCTATATTAATATCTTAATAATAGATTCTAAAAAGAGAAGACTATTAAATCTATAATAAAAAATATATATTCATACTTTAAATTCCTATTTAGTTTAGAAATCAATAGTCTCTTGAGTAAGTCTTTTTTTGATCGCTTTTTTAATAGCTTTAACAACCATTGTGATATGTCTAAAAAATGGATCATCATTAGAGAAATTAATTGTAATTAATGAAATCACTATTAGTTGTTAAAAATTATTATAATCTTCTGAATTTAAAAAATCATTCTTCTATTTTAAATTTTCTTCCTTTTTAAATATAGAAAATACAATACAAGTGTATGCATTATTTTATTTTTATCTGCATTTGGAATTTCAAGTTTTTCATTTTAAGTTTCAACAAAGACATCTTCAATGTAAAATTTACTATCCATCATATCATTAAATTACTACATAAGAATTTCTCTATAAATTTACTTCTTCATTATTATACTAGTGCATTTTATGTTATAAATAATAATTAATAAAAATTGAAAACATACTTAAATTCAAAATAATAATAAATAATCCTTCAATATTTTTTTTGATGATACAGAAATGTAATGAATAATATTAAATCAATTATTTATATGTCTAAATTATTTGACAAACATATATTTTAATAATAATAATATATATTTTTGAATATTTTTTTATATTTATCATTAAATATTATGGACTAGAAATTACACTCTATTTATGAATTAAAATTATATTTAAATAATGATTTTTAAAATAATAATTAAATATTATAATCTTAAAAATTGATACTCTTCACAAAATATAAGATTTATATAAGATCTTACTCTTTTTGAAGTAGGGATGTTACTCCAAAACAAACTAAACAGTCTTTACATTTATTTCTTTCTAAGTCAATAATGGATTATCATTATCCATATTATTTAATCTTAATATATAAATTAGTACAATACCTTGTTTTTATATAATTTCTTCCTGTTAATAATTACCTTTCAAAACTTCTTTGAACATCTTGTAATTTTTAGTCTAATTGATCATCTTCAACAATATCTATAATTTGTTATTATTAACCTTTATATTTTTCTGACTCTTCATCTGAATCCATCATATTATCATTATTCTCTCTTTTACAGAGGAAATCTTAAACTTAATTCCATAATTCTGCTCCTCTTTTTATTTTTTTTCTTAATACTTCTTCTAATTCAGGATGTTCTTCTTTCCACTTATTTTTTCTTATTTTGTTTTTCAATTTTTCCTCTTAAAGTGGTTCTATTTCTATTAAAAAATTCCTGAATTCTATTTACCTCTATATTGGTGTATAATCACACAATTCATAATATAATTAATTCTTATTTTCACTGCTAGTTAACAATGCTATATCAAGATAAGAATTTTTTTAAGGTCCAAATTTTCCTTACAATTCTTAATTTTATTTATATTTGGTCATTAAATTATCATTTGGAGAAACAGATTTATTTTAAAATACTTTAAATTCATATCCTGGTTTTTAAGTTATAGCAACTTAGAATACTTTTCCTAAAAGTTACTTCATATATAAACTAAATTATTCATTTATAAATGTCAAAACTGATTAATCTTCAATTTAAAATTCCTTATATTTTTAATCCTATCTAATAATAGATAACTTTTTTTATATTTCTGTCATTTATAAAATAGATAATTTAATTTAAGGAGTGTTTATGACTGTTCTATTAAAATTCTTTTCAAATTCTTCTTTATACCTTGGATATTATTTCTTTAACACTTCTTTTATATAAGGGTCTTGGAAAGTATTAAAATCTTTTGATAATTTATCATTAAGTTAAGATAAGGATGAAGGACCAATTAATTATTTAAAATAGTCCTCAACTTTCTTTTTAATTAAATTATCATTATTCTATTTAAATTCCTAATTTCCAACTTATATCCAAAAATTCTTTGACCACTAGAATTATTCTATTTCATTTAATGGTAATTTAAATTATTTTTTATATTCAATAATCTCAGAAATAATTAATTATCTACTAGCCTATCTTTAAAATACTTCAATACATTTATTTTAAAAATTTTAATTATTATTTTATTAAACTTCTTTTATTAATTAAGCTTTATAGATTTTTAATTCTTAAAATTAAGTTGATAAAGTATCTTATTAATTAAATTCTAATTATGTTTTTTCATTCATTAAATTAGACAATTTCTTTAATATATCACTATTTCTAAATTAATCTTCACTTTTAATTACAGCTTTTTAGTCAAAACTAAAAAACTTAGAAGTAAAAACACAAATTGCATTATATGTTGTAGAATTATAATCAGATATGTTCTTCATTTAACTAAATATTGGAAATGATTCAGTAATTGGTTTGCAAAGAGAAGATTCACCAACAAAAATAGGTAAAGTAATATAAAAATTATAGATATTCTTTGCGATTTGAAATTATTATTCAAAAGTATATAAATCTTTTTAAGCAATCATAAATTCTATAAATTTATTTATTTCATTTTAATCTTTATCTTTAAATGCAATTGCAATAAATCTAACTCTTTCTAATTTTTCAAAAAAGAATTATTTTTATGGTCTAAAGAAACTCAAACCTTTAAATAAAGCAGGTAAGAAAATTACAAAAGGATTATCTTTTACAAAATTATTTATAAAAATAGGTATTAAATCTTTATAGATGTCACCCTATTAATTTTATCTTTCTGCCTCTTTTAAAATATATTATTCACAAATTTAACCAATTTTCTCTTCCCTTTAAAATATTTCTTGATAATGACCTAATTCCTTTCTCTAATAATCTTATTTTAATTTTTTTTAATTTAAAGAATAAGTGTTAAAAAATTATTAAGCTAATTATTTATTAGATCTTTCACTTAATAAAAATTTTAATCTTGACTAATATTGGAATGGAAAAGTTTTAAAAAAAATTGCTTTTTATTCCTTTTCTTCCTTTTCCCCTTCTAAGATTGAATCATTTAATTTTTCAAATATTTTTGAAAAATTCTTTAAATTTTGGCTACAATCATGAATTAATTGAAATTCAAAGGTTTTTAAATCATTAATCAATTTAATTTTTTAATTGAAATTAATTTAAAGCATAACTTTAATTAATTTATTATTTATATTAGGAAAGAGAGATTCAAGAATTTATATAGAGTTGTAACCCAAATTACTTCCATATTTATTAAAATAATCTGATGTTATTTAGGTATTTGCTTTTACATTTAATTATGCTAAAATTTAATCAAATGTTCTATTTAAATTAGCTTTATTTGTGTTTTACATCATATCATAAGCTATATCTAAAATAGTATCTAATTATTCTTTATCAATTTTTGCTTCAACAATTAATGCACAAAATAAATAAAGATAATTCCATCTAAATCTTAGAAATGATAATATTAATTATTAAACATTTTAAATTATATTAAATGCAATATTAGCTTCTTCTAAAGTTGTACTTCTTTACAATTCTGAATATAAACTAAAATAAATTTCAATCCACTTTTCAAATTATGCAATATTAAATTTTTTTGGAACTTCACAAGAATTGATTTCTTATTTGATAAATTCTATCAATTTTTTTTTGAATGAAAAACATTATCCTTTCAAATTTCTAACACGTTTTGATTTTAAACTTTTATAAAAATATTTTACAGATGGAATATCAATAAAAGAATAATAATCCTTTTGTGAATCCAAAATATCTTTTTCTAGTTCTAGTAATTATTTTTACAAATCTGATTTATTTTCTTTGATTTTTTTTGCTGAATTAACAAAATAATATGAATTTAGATAATAATTTAATTTATCTACAAATATATATCCTAATATTTTCTCAATACCTTTAATCTATTTTTCTTAAACAAGGTAATCTTTAAAAGCATAAATATCTGTGAAGTTTTAGCTTCGATACTTTTCTTATAAATCTGGGGGAAGATTAAATAAAAACTTTTCTTATAAACTATTTGTCTATTTAGGTGTGTTACTTTAATCATCTGTAACTATTTATGTAAGTAATTCCTATTCTTGCATATTTAAACATTCAAAGACAGCCATTTCAAATTCTTATGGAGTATTACCTGTAAAGGTTGAATAAATTTAATCAATTTTTGTTAAAATACTTTTTGTAATTGCAGAATTTGTACAATTTGGAGATTGCATATAATCTCTTGCAATCTTTTTGTAATAAATAAAATTCATATGTTTGAATGCTTCATCAGAACCTTTAAGAAATGCTTTTTCATAAAAATGAGCTATCCATTAAAAAATTATATACCCAAGACTTCATAATATTTTTGATTTATATAATGACTTAAATCTGAAGTTTATATTGGTCTATTTCTAAATTTGTATTTATTCAAAATATTATTTAATACTTTAAAGGCTTTTTAGAGGGTATCTTTTTATACATAAGAATTAAAGAGCATTTTGAATAACTCTTATAGAAATATTAATAGTCTTGGATCTAATATGAAAAATAAAATTACTTTGATTTTATTATCCTATTATTTTGCAAATTTATTAGATTTATTAATCAGCAGATAAATCCTTTTCAATTGTTTAAAGCAATATAATTTCTTCATTATTTTGAGGATCCTAGTACATTTCTTTTTTAATAAAAAATATAATAAATATAATATAATCAAATTTGAATCAACTAAATAATAAAAAAGTCTCTCTTTATATATTTCAATATACTCTAACCTTTCTAAATAACAAAAGTCATTTTAGATATTCCTCTTATTTCTTTTATTTTTAAAATCTTATCTATAATCCTATTTTAATCAACTAGATCAAGAGAATTATAATTATTTTTAATCTAATTTGAAAAGTACATAAATTTCTTAAAGCCATCTTTCTCAAAAACACTTTTTTTCTAATATTTTGACGACTCTAGAATCAAAATGACAAGAGTATTATATAAAGGATTGACATTTTCAATTATTTAATGATTAATAATAATAATTCAATAGATAAAATATAAAAAATATACAAATCAATTATTTTGCTTTAGCATTTATGTTATCTAATTATAAAGTTCTTCATTATCACTAATCACATCATCCTAAATAATTGATGTTATGTAGAATTTAGGTCTATTTTCATCATTATATGTTTCTATCTTTGCTACTATTAAGAATCTTTATTATTAAAAATTTGCTCTTTTAATATAATCATCTTTCTCTATCTACGATTTTTTTTAGAATTCTTCACATGGAACTTCTACAATTTATATATATATATAAATACATAATACTTATTATCCTAAACCGTCAGGCAAAATTACAATTAGATTTCCTGTTGTATCTACAATTTTAGCATTAAACATATATTTGTAACAGGGCTTATCATAATTTAAATTGCAATTTTAACAATTATATTACTTTGTTTATTGTATATAGATAATTTTTCTTTTACAATTCTCACATGCTTCATAATATAATTATTTAGTAAATATATTTGTTATAAAGGCTTTGATTTCATAGAATTTTACTAGCTTATTGTCTCTAATTCCTTCAAAGTCTTTTTTTATTTATTCAATATATGATAAAGCAAATTTCTTTTTTGATTCTTTTGGTTTTGATTCTAAGAAATCTTTATTTTAACAATAAAATTCATAAAATTCTCGAAATCCATTAATTTTTTCTAAATGAGATAAATCCTTTTCATATATAGTTGAATTTGTAACTGTTAAACTTCTAACCGTTTAGTAATCAGTAACTTTTAATCCTCTAAATGCTACGATTTCATCTTTTTAAAATTACCATTTTTCTGCCTATGATCCCCAAAGAGTTATGTCTATTCCTCTTTAAGTCTGATCATATAATGTAATGATTTTCTTAGATTTATTTTCATTTGACTTTGTCATTATTTATATAATAGGTTTAATATCAATTACAACTCCAAGTACATCACATCTATCATCTAATGATAAATTATCAATATCTTCAATAGTTTTAATTTAGAATGAAAAAACATCAATGTCTTTATCATCTTAGGTAAGAGATATTTTTGAAAATAATTCAAAATGTAATTGATAATCACTTTAATTTTGATTTTTGGTTGAATATCTATTTGTTTTTACTTAACCATTTTCAAAATAATAAACTTTTCCAATTTCTATTTAATCATAAAATTTATCACATATAGTATTAAAGAATATTCCTTAAATAGTTTATTTATCAGAGTCTATAATTTCAATGGTAAATAAGTGTCCTTTATTATTTTTAAATGGAGTAATATCTGATTTTTAAATAACTCTTCCTTTAATTTTGAATCCTCTCATTCCAGGATAGAGTTCTGATATTTTTAATATATTTTAATCAGAAGGTGATTAATATATTTGATTTTCTATTGGTTTAAATTATTATTGTTTTTAATTGATTGAGAGTTTAATCCCAGATTTAGTTTACATTTAATCAAAACTATCATTTTCATATTTTTATTATTGTTATAATTGTATGGATTATTTTTTATTTTCATTTATTTGGAACATATGAGGAGCTTTTGGAAATTAAATTTCATTATTTCCATTTGGATTTGTAAAATTCTAAACATGTAAATTAAATAAATACCATCTTTTTATAATCATCATAAGGCAATGGTTAACCAACTTAAATTTTATCTAAATATAAGACTTCATAGTTGATTACTAAATAATATGTTTATTTAATCTTTAATTCTAAGATTCTAATAATGGGTTTCATTTTTGAGGTATTTGATAATATTGAAGGACTTAGATTAAGTATTAGCATATTCATTTTTGCAAATCCATCACTACATATACATGAATATAGAGTCCCATTTTTTGTATTCATATCATTCTTTTATTCTATTTCTAAAATTTAAACACAATATTTTATTGTATCATTACGGTATTCCTTCATACTTTTTAAAGCTTCATAAGTTAAATGTGTAACTCTTTCTGTCATATTTCAATTCACTATTATTAGTTTAATTTCTGATTTTTTTAATTCTGTAAAAATTGCGCCTTAATGTATAATAATAAAAGTATTGTAAAAAATATATTAATTACTTTTAAAATAGATAGATTAAGATTTATCAAAATATATATATATATAAATCATTTTTATCAAAATTAAAGTTAAAATTAATTACTTTACATCCAATAAACAATCCAAATCAAAATATTTTAATATAAGAATTCAAAAACAAATTATTTATATTCCAAAAAAATCTCTATAACTTATCATTTTTTTTCAAGATAATTTAGGATCTCTAAAGATACTCTTTGTTCTTAATTCATTTCTAAACAATAAACTTGCCAGATTTTGATTTGATAAGTTAAAGTAGCAATCAATCAAGAAAAGAGTAAACCAGAGGATCTTTAGGAATTTTCAAAGGTGTCATCTAAATTTAAATGATATTTTAATCATTTTTTCCTTTTTAAAAAACTCTAATAAAGTATATAATATATTAAATATTATTTCATTTTCTCAATCAATTAACTTTTTAAGGTTGTAATAAAGGTTAATAGTGATGAAATCAGTTGCAATAACTAATATATCAATTTATAAACCATATTATTGTTTACTAATTTTTAGTAACAAACAATATACCAGCAAATTGCCAACTTCCATTCTTCATGGTTATATAAACAACTTGAAAGTACTCCTAATAGGAAATAAATTAGTTAAATATTCTTAAATACAAAATTTTAGACTACTAATAACATTAAAATTAATCTTAACATCAATGTTTTAATATTAATTTTATCAATAAGGGTATCCTTAAAAGTTATTTTAGACTCAAATCATAAACTTTAATTTATCTTTTTATTTTTAATTGTTAAATCCTTTTTAATTGTTAGATCCTTAATACTTTGACCATAAAATCAAATTGAGGAATAGATAATCAAGACAGGTCTCGTAGCTCAGTTGGTTAGAGCGTCAGTCTAATAAGCTGACGGTCGAGGGTTCGATCCCCTCCGAGACCATTTTTTATCTTTATCTTTAAATTTATTTAAATTTTTTTGTAGAGATATTTATTGCAATCATGATTTGGAATAGATTTCAATAGTTTTTATTTAAATTTTGATAAATAAATATTAACAATGGATTACTCCAAGAAATTTCCTAAATTCTAATTATTCTTATTTATATTCATAAACAATAGAATTGGCTAATTAAAAATATATCCAGTAATGCTTCAAGAAGTAAATAGATTAAGTATCAATTTTGATTATAGATGTTTAAATTTAGAGATTGTAAAACAGACCAAAAATAAAATTAATGGTTTTTCTTCAAATCTAAATTCCTTATAATTTATTTGCTCTATTAATATTTCTACTATATAAAATGATAATATAAGAATTCTTATTAAATTTTCTTTTTTTTTCCTACTGTAATTAAAAAATATAATTGTATATTAAATTTATATTAATGATAATTTAATGAATTATTTTAAAGAATCAATTTGATTTTGTTTATAATTACAATTCATTTATACATTTATAGTTATAAAAATGATCTGTAAAGAAATAGTTAAAGAATTTATATTATTTTCTGAAGAACTATTCACATTTAATTAATAAAGGAAATCTTTTAATTTAAAAATATAATTATTATTATGGCAAATTAAGCAACAGCAGTAGCATACGCAGCTCTTTTATTGGCTGGATCCAAAACTCCATTAACAGTTGAAAATGTTGAAAAACTTACAAAGAAAGTATTCATAAATTGAAATATTTTTACAGGCTGGTGTAAATGTTCCATCATAATTGGCAACCTAATTCGTCAGAGCCTTTGAAGGAAAAGACATTATAAGTCTTCTTTCAGTCGGAGGAGGTTCAGGCTCAGCACCAGCTGCTTAACCAACTTAAGCTGCTGCCAAACCAGCTGAAGCACCAAAAGTAGCTGAAAAACCAAAGGACCCAGAACCTGAAGAAGATGTTGATATGGGAGGTTTGTTTGATTGAGTTAAATTACAACAGTACATTAAAATATATTAAACTTTGCAAATTATTAGGGCATTCTCTTCATTTATACAAATTAAAGAATTTATTTTCTATGTTTTAATTAAAAAATATTTTAATCAAATTATGTAATTCTAATCTCTAAGGAAATTAGTTTAAATAATAAAATATTAGGATTTAGTAAAATAACAAATACTTCGATTTATATTTCTTTATAAGTTATACCTATTAATAGATAGATTGAAATTATTAATTTATTTAATATAGTAATGTTGAAGTTAAGATGATAGTAAATAATAAATCTTTATGTCAGCAATCCACTTTAGTTTAATCAATGTATCAAATAGTAAGATAGAGTTTATTAAGGATAAATTGCTGAGTTAAATAATAAAATAGTGATGAAATGATTAATAACCTCATAAATAATTATCATCCACTCTGTTTTTCTTATATAAAATAATAGTTTCTCTTAAAATTCATAATAAATAATAGAATGTCAAACTACATATAGATATCTAGCATTTTATATGAGTTGATAACCTATTAAATTCATTATAAAATTCTTGAATCTACAAGTGATAATTATTTCCCTTATATATATGAGGATAATAAAAAATCAAAGATATAACCAAATATAAAACATATCTTTGATTGAAATCAACGAATATTAATTGATTAATTAATGAATAATAAATCATTGATTATAGTTCACATAGAAAAAACTGCCATTCGATAATTATTATAGCCAGAAGAATTATTTATTAAATAATACTTATTTTTTAAAATGTCTTTCATTTTTTGTGTCTTATTAATAGCTCCATTATTCTTATTAATAGGAATATATAAACTATGTTTCCAAAGAAAACTTGGAAATAGGAGAGATTAATTTGGTACATTACATGAGAGAATGAAAAAAAAATTATTTTTTGGATATGCTGAATTAATCAATACTATGTCAAATGAAGACCTAAAAGTATTACAATAAACATATGAGAACACAATAAAAAATGCTTAATCAATTAAAGTATAAGGTGTAAAGAAAGCTAAAAATCTATCAAAAAGACTTAAAAAAGTATTATTTGTAGATGAATTGGATCAAATTACAACTGAATAATCTACTTTAATATGAATATAATTTGTAACAATCTATAGACTCTAGATTTAAATAAATTATACAAATCTAAATTTGTTTGTATTCCTTTTTTTATATTCAAAAACAAATCTTTAAAATATTATAGAATTAACCATATTAGAAAAAGAATAAAATAAAAATAACAAGTCTGATTTCAATATATTCTTTCATAATATAATAATAAATTAATTTAATATGGATAAGTTTGATCTAAAATAAAACTATAAAAAAAATGATAGTAAATCATCTCTAATTAATTTTATATAGCATTCTTATTTCTTTAGATAACTCATATTTTGGTATTATTATTTTGTTATTAAATTTATCGTTAATATTTTAAAATATTATTTATTAACTATGTAACAAACTCGATCGCCTTTATCACCAATTGATTCAAATCAGAACACTTATAGATCTCAAACTTCTAAGACTTAAGATATAAATTATTAGATTCAATTCTAAATAACAAAATAAAAACTTTCGACTGTCCCTGATTCTCGATAAGATAATAATGCTGTGTATATGAGTCCTAGAAATACTAAACTAAAAACTTAAACCATTCTTTCTCCTAATTGTAGATCACCCTTAACAACAAGGAAAGAAATAAAAACTATTTAGTCTCCTTATAACTTATCTATTCATTCAGCTTAATCACCTATTAAAATAGGAAATACTACTACTCATAATATTAAATAAGAACTTGATTATATTAAATAAAAAAACAATAATCTATAGAAGTAAATACTTAATTTGACTTCTGAAATTCAACGCGGTTAATCAAATACTCTTATAAAGGAGTTACAATAAAAAATCTAATTATTAACTTAGATGAATGAAAAATTAACTTAAGAGAATAAAGAATTATAATAAAAAGGAGACTTGAATTAACTTAAATAAAATATTGAATAATAAATATAATAAATAAAAGAAAATGAGAAAAAATTGAATGAAATATAAGAGAATTAGTAAAAATATGAAATTTCTAATCTTGATCTTGTAAAGAACTCTACAACTGACTATATTACTTAATTGATTCTTGATCTAGAGGAAAGAGTTCACATTTTGATAGTTGAAAATGCTAATTTAAATAAAGTTTTCAATTAGAGAATTAAATTAAATGAAAGATTTAACACTTTGGAGTTATAATTGAAATAAGCTTAAGTATAGTTTTAGAAAGTAAAGGTTGAAGAAAAATTAGTAAAAACGAAATATAATTAAATAAAGAAAAAATGAAATTTAAAATCTGTTTTTATAATTATATATATATCAAAAATGAATAATAATGAAGCAAAACCATAAACACATTAGGCTAAAGCAAGATTAAAGGCTGCTAGATCTATTTTTGAATTAGCTGACACTAATAAAGATGGTTTCATTACTTTTGATGAAGTATTATTAAATTTATTATAAAGGTACCAAAATTGTTAATTGAAACAAATAAGTTGATTTCAGAAGAGAAATATGTGCCTACTAACGAGGAAATAGAAAGTTGGATTAAAATGACAGATTTAAATAAGGATAAGAAGGTTAGTATACATGAATTTGAAGTTTTAATATTAAAAGCCCTTCAAGCTTAAGGAATTGATTTAGATGGATGATAATTATTTTATATATATATCATTTATATGATTTTTAGTATTCATTTTTATACAATTATATATCTATTTTTTTTAATAAAGTTAGAGAATTATTCATTTGTTTTATAGAATAAGTATTAGTTTATCAATCAATTCGTTTTTTATTGAATTGAGATCCTTATGTTAATTTTATAATGATCTTATTTTCAATTTATTTGGGTATGTAAAGTATATGAATTTATTAAATATTAAGGCTTGTTTTTTCTTTTATTTTCAAAAAATATATTAAAAGATTTTCATTAACAATGGTAAATTTGATTGTGATAATTCTTTTAGCCAAAAGCTCCAAAGACATCCAAAGCAAAGAAGACTTAAAAGAAAGTAGCAGATAGAAAGAAGAACCCACTCTTTGTTAAAGAGGCCAAAAACTTCAGAATAGGAAATGATGTCCAACCAAAGAGAGATTTATCAAGATATGTTAGATGGCCTCGTTATATTCTTTTACATAGATAAAAAAAGATTTTATTGCAAAGAATCAAAGTACCAGCAGCCATTCATTAATTCAGCAAAACACTCGACAAAAATCAAAGTATTTGTATATTTTATTTTAAGGTTCAAAGGTTTATGCTCTTTTAAAGAAATATGCCCCAGAAACTAAAACTGAAAAGAAATAAAGATTAGTCAAAGCTGCTGAATCTAAGGCATAAAATTAGAAAACAGATAGCAAGAAAGTGACTGTTCTAAAATTCGGATTAAATCATGTTACTACATTGGTTGAAACAAAGAAAGCCAAATTAGTTTTGATTGCTTATGATGTTGATCCAATTGAATTAGTTGTTTGGCTTCCATAATTATGTAGACGTTAAGAAGTCCCATTTGCCTTTGTTAAAAGTATATCAATATACAATTATAAAAGATAAGGCTAGATTGGGAGCATTGGTACACTAAAAGACTGCAACTTGTGTAGCATTGACTGAAGTAAGAAAAGAAGACTAAGCAGAATTCGACAACTTAGTAATAAATTAATATATTCTAGGCTCGTGATTTGAGATAACACTATAATGAAAATCATGAATTATTAAGAACTATTGGAGGTGGTTAAGTAGGAATTAAATCAAGACATCAATAAGAAGCTTTAAAGAAAGCATTAGAATTGGAAGAACTTAAGAAGACAAGTTAATGATCAAACATATCAAAATATAATATAAAATAAGAGAATTGTAAATAAATACTCCTAATTCCTGTTATTAATTTTCTAATCTATTTCTAAATTTAGGTTTACAATTTCTTATGAAAATTATTTAAAGGATAAATTTTGTATATATATATACAAAAAAATAATACTAATGAAAATATGATTAAATCAAGCTGATGAAGAATCTGAATCTGTCATTACTTTTTTATATCTTCTTTTTTATTCTATTTCATCATCTAAAGCTTCTTCTAATTCTCCGTTTTCTATTTTTTTTAATTTTCTTAAAATATCTTTTTTCAATTCACAAAGATTGTTTATCTTTTCTACTGTTGTAAAATTACCTTCCAAGATTTCATCATGAGAAAGAAATGAAGTTTATGAATTAACATGATATCTGGGTAATTTAATTAAAACAATATCAGCAGGACTTATGCCAAACTAGAAAATAATTAAAGAATACATTCTTTCTGTTTTCATCTATTCTCTTCTTCCTTTCTTCTTAAGTCATATTATCACCTGTATTAATAATTGAATTGTTCTTTCTAAATACATTCTTTTTTTGCATATTATGTAAATACACTTTCTTTAGATCAAGTGACAATCCCATAAATTCACCTAAACTCTATTACCCTAATAATCTTTAGGTTTGCATATATATCTATCCTATACTCTTACCAGGTAAACACTCAGAGTTTATAATTTTGCGCCATTTTCCTATGCCAAACTTCATAAGCGCCAAGTTCAGAATCTCCACTTCTTTCATTGTCCATCCTTGAATATTAAAAATATACAAGTACCTGGTGATAATGTATAATTCCAAAGACTTTATGACTAATGGTGTACAATTTATTTAGACATTAAATTTAATATGTAACGATAGCCAACAAAAAAGAGTTTTTCATCTAATAAACGTAGTGATTCTGGAAATGAAAGAAAAAGGAGTGTTCATAATGACTCATCTTTTAATCATAAGGGTGATGAAGAATTACGTGATGTAGTCAATAAATTATAATTCAAAATTTTGAAAAAAAATGATCATTTAACTAAAATGAAAGAAGAAATCATTGAATTATAAGTATAATGGCAAGAAGAAAAAAGAAATTGGTAAAATGAAAAATGTGCACTTGAAAGATAAGCAGACTTTTATAAAGAGAATGTGTATGAATTTATTATAATCATTAGACATGCAGAAAGACTTAATAATCAAAAATTATAGATTTAAATTGATAAATTAACATAAATGTTAACTGATTAATCTAAAATAAAATAACATTTTGATACAAACACTACTTTAGAAAAAGTAAGTGGATAATTAAATTAAGAAATTGATATATTATAAAAAGAAATAGGAACACTTAGAACATAAATAACATTATTAGAAAATAAATTATTAACTAAAGAAGAAACTATTTCAGAATAATAAATTAGAATCTAAAAATTAAAAAAGAAAATGGATTAATAATTATAAGTTCAGTTAGAAGAAAAAATGATTGATGTTGATAAATAAAAAAAAAGAAGTGGAGAAATTAAAGAAAGAGTTTCAGAATTAGAATTAAAACTAAAGAATTTAAGTTTAGAAAGTGAAAGAATTAAAAAAGATAATAAGTTTCTTTAATAAGAAAATGATTAATTAAGAATTTAATATGAAAAATCGAGTAGATTAATTCCATAATTAGAAGAATAAAAGTAATTTTATTAATTTAATCTTTTTTTAGCAAAAGATTAGAAATAGAAATAAATGATTATGAATAATAATTTGAAAAAATGAGTAAATAGATACGAGATCTTAATAATTAATATGCAAATGAAAAATAATATGGTCAATCTCATAATGAAGAACTTAAAAAAAAGAATGCTTAAATTGATAATATAGAATAACAATTTAATGAATAAATTAGATTATTACATGCTGAATAAAGATAAAATACATTTTTAAAAGAAGAAATGGAAAAATATAAAGAATAATTAGAAAGATTACAAAAATAATCATAATAATTAACTGATGCATAACATAAAGATATGGATATCTTAGAAGCTAAAATTGAAAAAATTAGTAAAGAAATGATCAAATTAAGAGAAGAAAATAGTATTTTAAAATCACAATTATCAAATCAAAAAAAAGAAAATTCTTAATATATTGATACTATTGATCAATTATAAAAATAAATTAGAGATTTAAAAGCTAAAAATAAAATATTAGTTTAACAACATGATGATTTAGATGCAAGAATTAATTAATTAGCTTAAATGAAACAATAAAAAACCACTAAAGTTAGAATATAAGATTCTGATTTTAGAAAGAAAATGGCAAAGCTTGAACATTCTGATAGTAGCAGTTCCTTTTCTGATTGAATTAATTAATATAAAAATAATGTTAATAATTTATATTATTAAAAGATATCATTATTAATAATTTAATTTTTATGAAATATTCAATTGTAATTTATCAATTTTTTAGTTTGGTAGCAGTTAATTTGTGTCTAAGATTAGGATATCTTTACATAAAAATATTTAAAAATGGATTTGCTAACATTTAGATTCTTCTTTAGGTGCATAACCCCCTTTATTAAATCCTAATATTAAAATTTAAATGTTTTTGATTTTNGAAACTAAAGAATTTAAGTTTAGAAAGTGAAAGAATTAAAAAAGATAATAAGTTTCTTTAATAAGAAAATGATTAATTAAGAATTTAATATGAAAAATCAAGTAGATTAATTCCATAATTAGAAGAATAAAAGTAATTTTATTAATTTAATCTTTTTTTAGCAAAAGATTAGAAATAGAAATAAATGATTATGAATAACAATTTGAAAAAATGAGTAAATAGATAAGAGATCTTAATAATTAATATGCAAATGAAAAATAATATGGTCAATCTCATAATGAAGAACTTAAAAAAAAGAATGCTTAGATTGATAATATAGAATAACAATTTAATGAATAAATTAGATTATTACATGCTGAATAAAGATAAAATACATTTTTGAAAGAAGAAATGGAAAAATATAAAGAATAATTAGAAAGATTACAAAGACAATCATAATAATTAACTGATGCATAACATAAAGATATGGATATCTTAGAAGCTAAAATTGAAAAAATTAGTAAAGAAATGATCAAATTAAGAGAAGAAAATTGTATTTTAAAATCACAATTATCAAATCAAAAAAAAGAAAATGCTTAATATATTGATACTATTGATCAATTATAAAAATAAGTTAGAGATTTAAAAGCAAAAAATAAAATTTTAGTTTAACAACATGATGATTTGGATGCAAGAATCAATCAATTAGCATTAATGAAACCATAAAAAACAACTAAAATTAAAATATAAGATTCTGATTTTAGAAAGAAAATGGCTAAACTAGAACGTTCAGATAGTAGCAGTTCCTTTTCTGATTGAATTAATTAATATAAAATTTTATGAAAAATTTATCATATTTAAGAATATTTTTAAATTAATACATATTTTAAAAATTATTAAATTTGATGGATTTAACTAAAAAACCTTCAATTTATATTTTAATATAACTTAGATCAAATAGTATTCTTATCTAATGATTAAACCCAAATTAATCTTTTAAAACAAAAATGATGTAATATATTTAAATAATATACTCAAAGCTTATATAAATTTCAAATTCAATTAATATAACACAAATCACAAATTTAACAAAGTTTTCCTTTTTCAGAATATAATGCTTTATCAAAAAGACATTAATAAAAGCTTTATTTTTTAATGATAGTCAAATTATCGGCAAATAAAATTTTAGACCCTTATATTAAATAATCTTCTTCAAAGTCAATTTAATACTCATTTCTTTATGATTACTCGCAATTTTTTAAGATCTAGAATGTTAATTATTCAATACTTTCTTTACGTTTTCAATAACTTCAATCTTAGCATAAGCTGATCCTTATGGAGCCTTTTCTAATAGTTTTAACAAATATTTAGCTACTTAAGCTCCAGTCAAATGATTCTTATGTTTATAAGCTAAACTCATAGCTGCCCTTAAAGTAAGAGAACGATGTATTGGTTATAAATCACACATAGCCATATAACAAGCTAACTCAATTTGTCTTGAAACACTTTAGTCTTTCTTTTAAATTTCGCAATTCATAGCCATAATATAATTTAAACAGATAGGAATAATATCTATATTCTTATCATAAAATAAAGCTTATCTCAATAAAGTTTTAAATGTAGTCAAGGCATCTTAAAATTTGCCATCAGTAGTTTATTTGTATCCTTATTTTAAAAGAGTTTAAGAAATTCTATTGAAATGCTATTTATCTAATACAGATGATATCATTTAAGGAGCAGCCTAAAGGAAAGGTATTTAACTTATATCCATAATTGAACCTAGACATAATTATTTCATATAATCTTTGCACAAATTAAGATTGGTTACATTTTTTGTAGATTTTAATGTTTATTAACATTATTAGAATTATTCAGTAACTATCTATTCGGCAGGTGATAAAACTATTTTGTTATAAAGTAGATTGTACCTTTTTTATAATCAGGATATCCATATTACAAACTTTTATAATCTAAAGTTGCTTAATTTAATTACATTTCTAGTAGTTCTTATTCATTTATTTCCCATTAGCAATCTTCAAATGTTTCTTCTTTATCTTAATTTTCTTAACTTTCTATTTTTTGATCATCTTTTTTAATTTTAGAATTATTATTATTCTACTTTTCTTAATTTTCTGATGATTTTTCTTATGATTTCTGATTTCTTTCCTTAGTTTCTTATTCTTCTACTATTAATAAATTATATTATTAATCTTAATCAACAAAATTATGAGGCCAATTTATAGAAAATAGAGGATGTTATTTAGATTTGATAATCTAATTAGAAGGTAATAAGGTTTCTGGTGATAAAGCTTACAACCATTCTAAATCTTCAGAATTGATGAATTTTTTATCATATTCCAATCCATGAACTAATTTGCTGAGATTGGCTATATGATTCAATTTACAATCCTATAAAAATTAAATTCTTTAATTAATATTTCCAAGGTGTAATAATGTTTAGAATCGAGTATTATATTCGTTTTATTCTTTGGCTATTGTACTTAATACATTCAGCTTTTCAGTTTAACCAGTGATTGTATAGAGAAAAGACAATTATTAAGAGGATCTCAATTTTTATTAACAAACTTCTACTATATTATGATTGCCCTATCTCATGGCTTCTTCAGAAAGTTATTGATAACATATAGGATTCTTTAAGTCATCACATGTTCTATACGAGAGTTCTAAATTATTTGAAGATAATGCTAATTAAAATTTAGCTCTTTTGTCATCAACTAATTAATAAGCAATCATTGAAAATCCCTTTTAATATAGATATGATGTAATCAAATCACCCATTTTCTTATGTGTTTTTAAGAAGTTTTATATATATTTAATGTTTTTATCCATCAAGGCTTATTTAAAAAGCATTTCAGAACAATCAAGATTCATATTTAATAATTTACCAACATTATTCATGTAAAATAATTTATATTTTTCACCTTATTTATCTATTGGTTATTGTAATTATATTAAATATGGAACAGTTTCCATAGTTCCAAATATTCCTGAATCACCATTGATTAACAAATATTTTATGTGAACTTTGGTTGAATATATTATAATATTTTATGTTCGACTTAAAAATAATACTGATTTAATATTTATTGATTCTGAAATCTAAGTAACTCTTTAAAATGATTTTGTAAATAGATAAATAGACTTTTTAGTTTATATCATAACATATGTATCGTTTGTTAACACTTTTTTCATATTATTAAATTCTATTGAACAAGGAATTTAATATATTACTTAATTAGCCACAGGATCTAATACATTTATCATTTAATCTGTATAAAAGATTGCTTTGCCTCCTTAAAAAGGAAAGAGTTTATCTGCTTTATGGCCTAAAGCTGTATGAGAATCAACTTCAAAATTATAAATTTCTATTTCAGAATTTTCTTTCGACTTTAAAATCTTAGATTTTCCAATGAAAATTGCAGTCTTACCCAAAAAGATTTAACTGATATTAGTTTAACATTCAAAAATCACATATTTACATATTCCTCTTTATTTATTATGAGAGTTTTGTTTTAATCTGACTAAAAGTTAGTTTTTGCTACTTTCATAAATATTTTATTAGATGAACTCAATATTATCTTATAATAGATTATCTGATATTAAATTTGAAATTTCTTAGAAATTCTTTATTATTTTCTCTTAATTATTTTATAAATCTATTAATTTAATTTATTTCTTGCTCCCAACAAATAAATTCTTATTATCCACTAAATCAATTGCAGGTCTATTTTTAAATAATGTAAATATATATAAAGCAGAATCACTTCCTCCTGCAAAATAATTATTATTCTAATGAACAGCACTAACCCAAAATCTATCTAATTCATAATTAGTAAAACAGTCAATTTCTATTTTCTTTTTCGTATCCCAAAGTCTAACTGTGTTATCTTCTGAATTAGATATAAAGTAATCTCCAAATGGATGAAACATAGCACTACTAACATTATTCTATAATTATAATAATAATAAAAATACATTATGACCCATATAAGAATCAATCTCAAATCCTCTTGAATCATTAAATTTCCAAACTTTAACTTTTTTATCATCTGATGCTGATAATATTAAATTTTCAGTTTAATTAAATGTACACCAATTTACACCTTGATTATGTCCTTCTAAAATTTATATTAATTCTAATTCATTTTGTTATTCATTTAGAACCTTTAAATTTAATTCAATATTTTACATTTTTTTAAGTAAATCTTTTCTTTAATTATGCAATAGACCATAATCGTATAGTCTAATCTAAAGAACATGTAATTAAAAAGTCTTTGGTTGGATGAAATTCACAATGCATTACATAATGACTATGCCCTGTTACTATGGCTATCATTTGTCTTGATTGATAATTCCATATTCTAGATGTTTAATCATCTGAAGCTGATACACACCAAGGTAATTCTGGATGGAAATGTACACATCTTACAAAATCTAGATGGCCACGCAATACAAATTAACATTTTTTTGTTTTGTAATTCCAAACTCTTACAGTAAAATCATCTGAGCCTGATACAAACAGACATAAAGATTGATGAAACTAAACTGATCTCACAGGACCTTCATGCTCAATAAATTCTTCAATTGTCTGATTGTAATATTAACCATATTTTTACTCTTCCCAATCTATAATCTATCATTTAAATTGTTCCAGAATGTAATCCAACAAGTAACCAGGGTTATTTTGTATGAAATGACAATCCTTTTATTCTCTCTGTTTTCTTGTGAAATTTTACAATCATTTATTTTTAATTATTTATTAATATTCTGAAAATTATTTATTTTATATAAAACATACTCAATACAATAATTATTTATACTCAACTTTCATTAAAATTTGATGATAGACATAAATAAGCCTTCTATTTTTTTAATTTTTATGGAATCTATAAAGTTGAATTAAATTTGATTTAAATTCTAAACTACACTCTTATTTCTTTGAAAAGTATAAATACAAAGTTTCTTTATAAAACCTAAATCATAAAAAAATCTAGATTTATCATTAGTGATTATTAAACATAAATATATATATATATATGAATCTATAAAAAATGATTATAATATATGATTATGTGTTTAAAAGCAATGTCTTAGAAAATTAATTATATTTTTAACTTAGATTTTAGTTAAAAGAATAACTACAATATAAATATAGCGATTAATAAACCACTTTATATTATCACTTAATGTATCATTTTTCTTACTTTTCTGTTGCTTAATTATTCTTGGATTAAAGATCTTCTATTGCTTTTTTGATGGCATCTTCTGCAAGCATACTACAATGCAATTTTACAGGAGGCAACTTTAAATAACTTGCAATATCAGAATTCTTGATGTTGTAAGCATCTTCCAATGTCATACCTTTAAGAATTTCTGTAGCATAAGAACTAGAAGCTATGGCTGAACCACAACCAAATGTCTTAAAATTAGTTTTAGGTTTATAGAATTACTTTAAAAACAGCTTATTCAATAGTTTTACCATCCTTTCCTACTTAGATTTGTAGTTTCATAACATCTCCACATGCTGGTGCACCTACCAATCCTGTTCCAACCTTTGGATTGCTTTTATCAAGTGATCCTACATTTCTTGGGTTTTCATAATGATCTATAACATTTGGATGATAAGAAAAGCGAGGAATAAATTATATCGATCGTTTAAGAAGAGTTAACATAAATAATAATAATTTAAATTTTTTATTATGGCTTAGAACCAAATAGTAGGAGCAATAAAAATTAAGGATGGATTATTTATTGGAGATGAATTTGCATCATAGGTTTAGTATTGAATTTAAAAAAGGATCGAGAATTTATAATAACCAATAAAGTAACTCATATAATTAATTGTGCTGGCACAGAAGTACAAAATAAATGGACATTGATGGGTGCAAAGTATTTAACTTTTAATTGGTTAGAACAAGATAACGAAGTATCTATTAAATTTTTGATTTTTAGGTTTTATTTGATGAACGAGGTGAAAATGTAAATAAAATATTTACATTCATTGAAGAATGCTTTCAATTAGGTGAGAGTTGCTTAGTACATTCAGTTAGAGGATAGAGTAGAGCATGTTGTGTGCTTGCTGCTTATTTTATGAAAAAGTTCGTTAAATTATTTAAATTTTTTAGATATTCGTGGACATTATATAAAACATTAGAATTTTTGAATTCCAGACGTCCAGATCTTGAAATTAGAGCATCCTTTTTTTATTAATTAAATGCATTGGAAAATAGAATGAATAAAGTAGGACCAAAAAGAACTGCTTCATGGAATGAACTCACATAAGATGAATAAAATCCTTAACATGTTTAAGAGGAATTGATCATTAGAAATACTTTTTTGAATTCTCATAATGGTCCTGTTGATGAAATATATACTAATTTATAAGCTAAATAGGTATTAGATTTAATAAATATATAAAGGGAGTCTTAGGAAAACTTACCAACTAAAAGTTAAAATGGAAAGATCAAATGAATAAAGAAAATATTCCATTAGCAACTCTTGTTTATTCAGGTTCTCCTGATTTTGTACCTGTTTCTGAGATTAATTTAAAACGAGATTCTGAGACTTCCATTTTAAAAGTAAAATTAGAATTTAATTAGGGAGCATAAAAAAACCAATCCTTGATCTAATTACCTAAACAACCATAAATTTAAACTAGTTTCCCAAAAAGTACTTAGAATACAACTCAGGTAAGAGCTGAGAGTAGTAAATCATAGTAATAAGATTAAACTGATATAGCTTTGAATTCTAATTTAAATTCTAATAATTTAATTAGCAATCCTTCATTTTAAAATATATTAATGCATTGCGCAGTGAAGAGTAGAACGCCATAATAATAATAATAATAATAATAACAATAACAATAATAACAATAATAATAACAATAATAATAATAACAATAATAATAATAATAATAATAAACTATAATTGATTAAAATAATAAAAAATCTTAATTGATTAATAACTTTGTTAAGACTTCAGATAATCCAACATAATAATAACCTCCTTTTGGAACTATATTAACTAATAACAATTAAAACTTCTAAAACAGTTCAAATGCAATCAGAAGCAATTCTTTATAATAAAATGAGGAAAAAAAATTATCGACAGACATATAAAATTAAACCAGACCAAGCTCTTTGAAATAAAAAGATAATTAAAATTCCATTTTGACTAATTTTTAAGAATTTAAAAATCAAGTTTAATAATCCTTAAATTACTTTAATAAATAAGCTGAAGCTTTATTAAATTTTGATAAATAATCCTAATAATCATAAGGAACACAGTTAATAAATTAAACAAATAATACTATCTAATAGAAAAGTAAATTAGATTAATTAATTAGTCCAACATCAATTTAAACTATGAACTCTACTAAACATTCAGAAATTCAAAAAACCTTAACTTAATCAATTTCATAATTATAGTCTAGTTATTAAAAATTTTAGCAACTTTAGCAGAAAAATTAAATAAAATAATCCTAATCTCAATCTTGCATTTAAAAATCAAACATTTAAAATTCTGAATTATCTTAATATAATTAACCAATGATATTAAACCAAACTAACTTTTAAGATAGAAGTTCCTCTTTAAATAAAAATTAAGAAACCTTGGATTCCAAACTCAGAGCTAACAGTACTGAAATAAAAGATACATAAAAATCTAATGGTGTATAAAAAAAGGAAAGCTTATCCCCATTTTCAAAAGATCCATCTAAAAAAGTTTCTTAACAAGGACCTCCTTTACCATAATCTAGTTCACAAATATATTTAAGAAATGTTTAATGTAGAAGACAAGCAGCCTCTACATTGAGGAATTAATAAAAACCCAATAATTCTTTCTAAGATAAATATTTAAATTAAAGTGCTAATTAAGCTTAAAATAGCAGCTTTAATAATAATAGTAATTCAGCTATTGAAGCTGAGTAAAAGTAATAAACAAAAGGCATAGTTACAGACCTTAATTAATTTAAGAAATTAATATCACCTTAAAATTTGACAAAGAGTTAGGCATAGTTTATTAAGAATCAACCTATAAGAGTTTTACAAGAATTGACAGAAAAGACTTAATCATAAAAATAAGTGTAAGATATTTGTATAATATTTTAAAGAAAAGCCAAAGATAATGTATCATCAACTAGTTTTACTTTAGTTTAAAAACCTTCGTAAGTAAATACACGAACTTTTTCACCTGCTATTAAAAGTATGGAATATTAATTAATTTAAGATGAGCCTAAGAGTAAGACAACGAATGTTTCTAATGTAAGACATAAAATTAGGAATTCTTCTCCAGGTAATATTAATTTTAATATAACTATAGGAATATCAAAGGAATAGGATTAGTCTAATTCATTTTAAAATATATCATCAACTTTACAAGGAAAAAATAGTTGGAAAATGCTATGATACAACTACTTTTATCTTATATTTTTTTAAATATCATTATTATAAATAAGTAAATTTAATAATTTATAAAATAATAATCAATCTGTTAAAGTATTATGTGAGTTTAATTCATTATCTAAATTTCTAAAAGTATCTTCCATAATAAATTTAGATCCTTGTTATTATTAGAATGTAATATGATGAATTCCTAAATTATCGCTAAAGCCATTTCTGTCATTTTCTTTTTCTTATATATGATATCTAGAGAAGATATTATAATTATATTTACATATCTGCAGATTAGAGTGAATATTTTTCTGGATCATTTGAATCAAATGTCTTTTTATTAAATTAACTGTCTTATTCAGTAGAACAATACAATAAAGTTTACAAATTTTAGATTTCATAATGTTAATTCATAATAGTTTTTTATTATGATTCAATTTATCTTTTTTAGATTTAAATAATTTATTTCATTTTATTAAATTCTTTTTGCTAGACAAAAGAATTATTGGATGGTTAATTTAATTTCTTTTCCTTTAATAAAAATTGATTTATAACAGTTTGCATTTCAACTAATTTTTATTCACATATGTCTTTTTCTTTTTGTAATTGCTCTAATTGAGCCTGATAAAATAAAACTTCATTTTGAACAGAAGATCTTCTTGATAAGGATTCAAATTAATTACTTTTCTTTTGATTTAAAATATTTAATTATTGTTATTACTTATAAGTTGATAACTCATCTTATTTTTATTCTAATTTATTCATGATATCATATTATTATTATTCTAGATTTTCAAATTATTATTTTAAATGTTGAATTGATGAATCTTTAGCTAATAATAATTATTTATGTTCATTTAATTCATTTTATAATTAAGAGATTTCTTTATTTTTTTAATTTAAAACTTATTCATTGTTATTATTAATCACTTTGTTTCTTTCGCTTCTTAATAGTTTCATATCTTCTAATAATTATTGATTTTATTATTTTAAAAGATTAAAATCTTTATTTTACTATTCAAAATTAGATCTCATAAATTCAAGATCCTTTAACATTTCTTCTGTTTGAGAATATAATTTTTAATTATCTTAATTTAAACAAATATTAGTTTCTTGTAATTTTTAATTTTCTTGTTCTTTTTGTGTTAATTATTATTTTAAATCTTTCAATTATATATTAAGTTATTCGATTCTATCGCTTTGATCTTTTAATAAATTTGATTTTTAAGAAGAGACATTCTTTACATTTAATTAATCTTCTGATTATTTAAGTTGTGGTTTTAAACAAGCATGAGTGTGAGGACTATAAGATTAATTAATTTAGGAATTATCAGGAGTTTTATCATAATGAAAACTAGCAGTAGTTTTAGTAGGGGTTTTTTTTAATAAATGTTCTTTGGATTTGTTAATAGATGTATCAAGTCTTAAATTTCCTGTGCTACTTTGATGCATTTATTTCACAATATCTAATGCTTTAGTTGATTGTTGGGTTTCCAATTTATTTTTGGAGTTGAGAAGCATATCAATTCTTAAAGGTTGGATAGGCATAGATAATATGTCTGGCTAAGGACTTTTGATAGGCTTGTCTAATGGAACAGAATTTTTTGATTTTGAGATATTCATTAACGACTAAAATATTATATATTAACAATAATTTAATATTCAATTTTGCATTTAATTCTAATTCACTTTTTTGAGAAATCCAACAACTTCAATTTAAAATTTCTTAGCTAAATCTGAGAGATCTACTTTATTTCCATCAATTAGTTTTTGTAATTTTGGTGTTTAAACTATAATTTTAAATTGTTCAATCACTCTATCATATTTTTAAATTCTTTCTTCCCTTGCTAAATCTGCCTTTGATAATTAATTGAATAGTTTAATATTAAGGATTTCCTTGGATAAAATATAATAAAATTACATCTCTAAATTAATTAAGTGTTGTCCATGCAAAATCAAGTCCTCTTCTTACATATGAAGAGTACTTTGATTCAATTAGAATTCTTGCTTTCTCCAATAACATAGGGATTGAATCAATAGGTACTTATCCTAATTTATTTGATTAAGAATACAGAGATAGAGCATCTTGTAATATAGATGGTTCTATTACTCTAATATAAAATACTAATTTTACTGAGTGATTGCATTCATTGCAGATTTAAGATTGTTATTACTCCACCAATGAAGAATAGGTTTCATATAATTAATTCTTTAAGCCAAGACTGATTAGACTTTATTATGATCTTTGACAATTTCATGGATGAGATCTACTTATTTAAATTTTTCTTTGTTTTAATCTCCCATCATAAATTAAGAGAGAGTTAAATCACTTGAAGCCATAATTTCAGATTCATCTTAAGGTTTATCTTCTTCATCAATATTAGGAGGAAGGACTTAAGGAACCTAAAGATTTGTTATTAGTTTTTATGGGTTATGTTATGGTGTGTGCATAGTTTAATTCATGGTAGTCTATACTTGATTTGAATAATATTAATTTGAATCATGATTTTAGAATAGTTGCTGCTGTGATTATTATGACAATAGATTTTATTATAAATATAATTAATTTTATTATTGTTGTTATTGATAAAGTGGATTAGGTTATTATTGATAAAGCAAAGGAGCTTATTACTAAAATGACTGAGGTTATTAAATTTAATATTAATAAACCATTTGTTATTGAGGATATTACTATAATTATTGATATGCATTATTATTAAGATATGGTTATCCAATAATTTATTATTATTAATAATAAGGCTGTTATTATTATTATTATTATTATTATTATTATTATTATTATTATTATTATTATTATTAATATTATTATTACTATTATTATTATATCTCCTTTAATTATTCATTCGACTTTTAACGATCATATTAATAATCCTAATTTAAAATATTCTAAGCTTGCATCTGTAATGATGGTTTACTTTTAACTTTACTTTCCGAATCAGATGGCTTAGAAATAGCAGTTTAGATTTCTGATCTTTTATCAGGTGTTCTTCCTCTTTTATTTGGAACACCTCCACTAGATCTAACATCAATATTTTTGGTATCTTGGCAAATAGTTTTGAGATTGACACCATGAAGACTAAATCCAGATTGCACATTTGATGCAAGTCCCAATAACTGATCTCTTTCTTAAACTACTATCAAATCTAGGACTCCCCTCCAACTACTTTCAACATTATCCAAAAGTTAGCAATCATGTTCTACATCCCAAACTTTTAGAGAATCATAGGCTGCAGAATATAATATTTTTCCATTTTATTCAAATAAGATGCATTAAATAGGAGTTGTATCTGTTCTCGTAGATGATAACTATTTTATCAAAAGATCAAATTACTTAAGTTAATCGATCTAAGTCCCAATATCTGACACATCTATCTCCACCACCTGAAGCCATTGCCTTATCAACAGGATTGAAACTTAGACATGTAATTTAACTATCATGTTAAGTAAAAGATGCTATTATTTTAGCTTAAGTGATATCCCAAATTTTAACTTATCCATCGTTTGAACCTGATGATAATAACTTACAATTTGGAGAGACTGCCAAAGCATTGATTTACATACTATGACCTTTAAATTGATTGACTGCAGTTTTGGTCCTCAAATCCCATAATTTGATTGAAGTGTCATAGGCTCCACTTAAGAGAAGATGTTTATTTTCTTCAGTAGGATAAATACATAGTGTATTAACACAAGTAGTATGACCTTTAAGTGTTTAAATTTCTATATGAATTTGAATATAAATTACATTTTTAACTTTCAACATCCCAAATATTGATTATACCTCTATTGGATCCTGAGAATACTTCAGTTTCATTAAAGCTAAAATTCACACTCGCAACTTCAACTTAAGCATTTGAATTATTTTATGAACTTAATGTCTAGCAATGTATTATTGAAATACAGCAATAGGTTTTTAATTTCCAATTTACCAGATTTGAACACAATTTTTTTCATCTCCACCAGCTATCAACTTCTTTGTATATGTTCCAAATCTAGCACAAAGCACTTTTGATGTGACATATAAATCAGCTTAATTTATTATTTGATTTACATACATAGTTTCTAATTTCTCTTCTTCATTTTATAAAAATATATAATAATTACTTATTATTATAATTATATAATTACTAATATTTCATTTATCACTTTTAATCCATTACTCTAATTTAGCCAATCTTTCATGATCAATTTTTTAAGCCTAAAAATATATATTAAACAATATTAAACTTTTTAAGATAATTATAAAATTTATATTTCTCCAAAAGAATCACCAATGGCTAATTTGGTCCCATCTTTTGACCATTAGGATTTATTTATGGAATTATTTCCAGATTTATATCTTGTAATAGGAGCTTCTAAATCATATGACAAATCCCATAAATCAACATAACCTTCTCCATCTACAGTTGAAAATAATGAAGGATGTTATCCATTCCATTATATATCATAAACATAATCTTCTGAACATTCAAAATTTGCAAGACATTTAGAATCAGATTAAGTTCTAGTATTCCATAATTTACATGTCCAATCAAATGAACTGCTCAAAAGTAAATTTGACATTATTGGTGAAGCTTATGGTGATGAATTTAAAGAAATTCCACTAACAGGAGCTAAATGTTCTTCAAAAGGAATTACAATATTTTCATTTGTATTTTGATGTAATTTAGATTTATAAATGCATCCATCTTCAGCACCAACATAGAAATTATTAGCATCTCCTTAAGGAAACATCATACAAGTTGCATTTACTTCAACCTAGGGATTAGTTGATTACTATTTATTTTTTGTTTTCAAATCAATAATTTTTTATGGTTAATTAAATTAAGCTAAATTCCATATACATATTCTTCCATCATTTGATGAAGATATTAAATTATTTGCATTCTGTGATCCAACAATATTTAATCCATAAATAGGATAACTATGTCCACCACTATTTAAAGTTGATCTCTTCTCAGGAGTATGTTTTGCTCTCAAATCCCACACAACTACTTAACCATTATACAATCCTCCTAAAACAATATTAGGACTAAATGGATGAAAACAGGCTGATGTTATGGGACTGCTTGCAAAACAATAAAATTCAGGTCTAGATTTTAATTATAATGACCATAAAAGTACTACTCCCACTTAATCTGTTATAGATCCTTCTTCATTTTAAGAATAAGAGGCTAAAAATGTATTAGGTAAATTGGGTGACCATTATATTGATGTTACAACTCTATTTTCTGTATATAATTTGTCACTAAATGATAGTAATTTTGTTAGATTGTCCTTGCCTATTTCTTAAGCCACTTACTATGTGTTCATTAAATCCTCGAGAACATCAACTTCTACTCCATGTATAGCTTTTTCTATAGTTTTTGAACTTCTTGAAAAAAACCTCTAAAATGATTAAGATTGTATGATGGAATTGATTTCTTCCATAGATATATTCTTTTCTACTTTTTCTACTGGTTTTTCAGCACTTTACAAAACTTCTCTTTTTTTTCTAGAATCTCTTCTGACATTCTCCATTGATGGAATTATTTGATCATCATTTTCTTGCTTTGATTATGGCATCTCAAATTCACATTATACACCAAATTCTATTGTCATAACTTCTGCTTAAGGAGGAGCAGGGTTATTTGAATACATTTCTATTGTCTAAAACCCTAATTTTTTTCGCTTTGTCTGTAAATATAAACTTATTAAGTCTGACTATTATGGATGTGTTATTATAGTCTAATTTTAAAGAGGCTACTCTTTTTGAGGAGATTAATTGGTTTGAACATTTTCTTATGCTTAAATCACTTATTATGGTTAGGTATTAGAAGAAATCTATTGAGATTATTCAAGTTTCTGTTTATAACTTAAATCATTTAAATAAAAATTACGCCGCAATCCTATCTCTTTTTTCTTACAATAATCTTTATTTCTCTTATTAACTAATCATATAATATATTTATTTGAATTGATATTTTATTTAATTTTCACATACAATGTATATATTTAAATAATAAGCTCAAATTTATTATTATTTAGAGTTTTCAATGATTTAAAGTAGCTGTTTGATTTAAATCTCATTGAGCATATAAAATTTACAATATTTTTAAGTTAAAGTTCTTACATTTTATTTTGATGGACTAAAACTTAACATATTTTCTATTAAGGATCCCAAAAATCCAAATACAGTATTTTTTTCTCTAAAATATATAACTAAATATATATACCTATCAATAGAATCATTAATATTCTCATAAATTTTCATTTCTTATTACTTTTTCATCTCTTCATATAAACATTCAAAGAATATGGCATCCCATAAATCAAATCTATCAAAAATTGAATGATGTTGAATTCCATCAAACAAAAATATCTTTTCTGTCTTTTCAATTCTATAAAATGTAAAAGTCATCAACATTAATTTCCTCACTGTAAATGCATCATACTCTTCTAAACACTAAAACATTTAATTAATAAATGATACCAAATCAAGTATTTGATTCAACAAATTAACTGTATTTTAATATGAAATTTAACAAATCTCAAATTTTTTATCTAGTCTGAATTACTAAAACTCAAAAACCCATATTTATCTCCCAATCAAGTTGTTATTAAGTAAATTTATTAATGATTTTATATTTACTTCTTTAGATGACCATAATTCTTACATTTAATTATGGATTCTCTCTTGACATAATGAAATATTAGTAATCAAATCCTCATTCTATTATTAGATTAGGAGATGAATATTTTCATAATCATTTTTCATAATTTCCATATTTAAAGTGATTATTTCTCTATTACATTAAATATTCTAAAATTTTTAATTGATGAAATGAGAAACACTATCAATCCAATTATCTTCTATCTTTACAACAGAAAACTATATAAAACTTTTCTATTCCTTATATTTGATTTCCAATGATTTTAAATAAGATTCTTTGTATCTATAAAGACTATACTCAGCCTATATCTAATTCAAATTCTATAGTTAACTTATACTAAATTTACTTAAAAAATTCTATCATTTTAAAACAATTAATTCAAAGCAATCTTCATTGAATTAATTCTATCTTGATCTTATAGTTAAAATTCCTCTATTATCTTTGAAATTCTTAATTCATAACCTTATAAATATTGTTCATATGATGTTTATTAATTGCTTAATTTTTCTCTCAATTCCTTTAGACTTCTATACAATTTATTGGATTTTAATGTATTTTCATTTTTTTTCTATGGCTACAATTAACTTAGATTGTCTTAAGAGAACTTCTATATTTAATGCTGAATATAATCATTATTTTTTTAATTTAATTAGCTTATGAGCTAATTATTCTATATAATTTTTATACCTTTTCAACTTCTGATCTTTCCTGTTTAAGTTAACCAGATAACTTTCGACCATCAGAGATCAAACCTCTAACCTTATTGGTTTAATCTTTTACTAAAATATTCAATTAATTGATGATGTAATCTTTAATAAATTATGCATATTATCTTGACTCTTTTATCTTTTGTCTTATTTCATTACAATACAAAGCTATTATTTTTTCTAAGTTAACAGCAGAATCTGTTTAATTCCTATTTACTATTAATTCAGAAATCCCATCTTCTAAATTTTTAGAATACTCATATTCAGCATTCACTCGATTTTACAATGAATCAATCATCTTAGTGATATCATTTCTTCCTTTCGTTGACTCTTTAACTAAATTTTCAAAATATTCTAATTCTAACCCTCCTATATATTTTTATATAGTTAAAGTCAAACTCATATAAAAATTATAGCATTTCAATTCTAGTAATAAATATCTATTAATAATTGAATTTCAACACTACTTTTTACTATATTAGCCAGACCTTCATTTCTAAAAGATTGAACAAACTTTCAATTTGTATTACTTAAATAGACTAGAGCATTACCATATATTAATGCATCTTAAGCAACCTAACATTATAATTATTAATAAGTAAAGCTATGTGATTTATACCTATAAAGTAAAACATAATTCATAAGTTCATTAATCTATCAGAATATTTAGATAATCATTACCATAATTTTAATGTCTTGAAGTTTTACTATTAATCTAATTTTTTACTATGCATTCTTACAATAACATTATGAATATTTTTAAGTAATTACAATTATATTTGCCCATTTGCTAGAATATTGCTATTTGAAAGTAGATTCATAAATCTTTTTATTGTTAAATAAATTTCATCTTATTTTACTGAAGGAAAGTAAAATTCTCTTTTGATTTATTCTTTATATAAATTAGTTGATGAATTCATAGGATAATTTAAGATAATATATATTAAGTTGTTAAATGAACTATAAAATAAGAGCACTGATATCAAATTATATTAATACTGATTATAAAAATAAGAAAATAATTTAATAATGATATATTCCTACTACAATGTGATATTATATTTATTGAGAATTAAATAAGATTTAGAGAAATTACTTTTTAATAAAAATCTTTTATTGTTGTTAATAATTTTGATATATATTCTTAATCCATGTTTTAGATTAAAATTCAAGATAAATGAAGATTAACTTCACTAATAAAAATCTCCAGATTTCAAAGCCAGTTTTATTTTGATAATAAATGAATAAGTATATGAAAATTACATAATTAAAAATTAAATTTAAGAATTATAATAATACCAGAAAGATTATTTATAAAAATAATTTTTCTAGTTAAATTTTTTGATAATTTTAATCATAGATATGATATTAAAATATATTTGAATAAATATTTAATTTCAAAATTAAATTATATTTTTGTTATAAATTATTGTTTTAATTTATCAAATCGATTTTAAAAAATCCTTTAATTTATTTAATTTAAGAACAGCTTAATCCATGTAATTTTTAAATTCTATCCAAGTTAACTATTTTAATTATTATAGTATATTAATACAGTTTTATCATTAGATTATTTATCATTTTCTGAATTTAAATCATCAATTACTTCTTGTGCAAGCTAATCAACCATTTCTTCAAAGTGTTCATTTTATCCTTTTAACTATTAAATTAATTTATTTATTAATACTTTAAATTTAGTCTACATATCTTTCATACTATCTGTTAATAGTTATTTTATTTCTGGAATACTAAGTGCTCCACTATTATCTTTGTCATATTTATTAAAAAGTTATTTGAGATTTCCTCTAAATTAGAATTTTCCCTTATCTTCAACACATAAATATTGAATCCATTCTTCCCTTGATACATATCCTGAATTATCTTTATCCAATATTTTCATTTCTTCTTTTATTCTAAATAAATCAGGCTTATCTCCTTCATAAGCATATAATAAGAACTTCAATTCTTAAATTGATGTTTAATTATCAGAATTTATATCAGATGCATCAAAAGCACTCCATGCAGCCATAATATCTTCATAAGATTCCTTTAAAATACCATTAGGATATTATTGATTTTAATCATCATATTTTTAATGTATTTTAGTAGATTAAATTAAAATATCAATAAGTAATTCTATAGTATCCTTTTTTTATTCTTTAAGTTCTGCTAGAAACAATGTTTTTAAAGAATCTGCATCACAATATTATTAATCTGTTCCTCCTGCTGCAGATTCATATAGTTTTTAAAAGAAAATTCTTTTTTCCTTTGCTCTTCTGTCAGCATTTTCAAAGGTTTAGACTAATGCATATTATAACATAAAATCTTATAATTCCCATGAATTTAAAAGCCATAAACTAAATTCATGAAATGATATTGATGCACTTCTATCTGAATCTAATTGAATAAACATTTTTTCTGCAAAATATTCTAAATCCTTAAGTTCTGGAGGTTACAATTTAGCAATTTTACATAATGCTCTTATACTTGCTTATAAAGTCATAATAAGTTCTTTTTTTTCAATTTCACCAGATTAATCAAAATCAAACATTTTATATATGAACTCTAATTTAGTATTAAACTCTTCTCCACAAAATACAATCTATTAGATATTTTAATTTCATACAATGACAGCTAAACTTTCATAAATATCTACTTATCCAGCAGCTGATTAATTATTTTCCAATAATAGAAACACTTATTCAGTCCATTCTTCTAATATTCCACCAAATACATCCAAATATTCATCTAATATTAAAGTACTTTTAGTTGGATACGAATCATTAATCATTTCTATACACTAATAGTTTCAATTTAAGTATTACATCATTTATGTGTTATAGCTTTCTTGTTTTAAGGAAATTAATTAAAGTTTCTTCTAATGGACCTTTTGGTACAGTTCTAAAATAATTGCCCATTATTATTATTATTAATATTATTATATATAAAAATAATATATGAAACAGTTTTATTTATACATTATATCTAATAAATAGAATTGCTTCTCTATTTAAATGACTTCAATTGAAATATTATTAATTATATTCAAAAAAGTCGTTTTATATCAATAATTTGAATTAGTCTTTTATTGATCATATTAATAAATATAATGTATTACAAAGTTGTAAAATTCATACAAGTTGCTGATATGTTTGGAGCTGATATAACATTGAATATTTAAAATAAAGGAAAGTTTACTTCTGTTTTTGGAGGCTTCATGAGTTTAATAGTATGGATTGTAATGCTTTACGTGTTTATATCATAAGGAGTAGATTTAATTAATAGAGTGGATTAACAAGTATAACTTTTTTAAGAATAAGGCTATCACTAGAACAATAAATGACATAAGTCCGAATGCTAGAGTTCTCAATATCTCTAATTTTATGATAGGTATTAAGTTAGATGATCCTTTATAAACTTTATTTAATACCACAAATTAGACAATGTTTAACATTACTGTTTATTAAAATCATATTACAACATTTCCTAATAGAACAAGAATTAAATCAATTAATACAAGTTTAATTCTAGAATAATGCACTAGTTAACATTTTTAATCCTTAGATTTAATATCGGATTCTGATTAATTAGAAACTTTCACTAATTATTATTGTTTACCTTTAAATTATTCATTTGTTTTGGAAGGCACATATAACTCCTAACATTTTTAATATACTTAAATTAAAGTCTCTGCTTGTAAAAATTCAACGTAATGTTTTACTACTGATTAATTAAGTCTATTATCAGAAAGATAAACATTTAAATTATCTACTTTAATGTTTACAACCATTATCAATCCATTTTCTAATGATGCAATAATATCACAATAACTTTTTTAGGATTTTTATTAATAAACTAAAAAACTTTAAGAATAGGTATCAGATATATTTTTGGAACCCAATACTTTAGAGATTGATAATTCTGTTTTTCCATTTGAAAAAGATTCTTTCTTTGGAGAATTTTGGTCTTTTCGCTTGGGAAATATCAGAAGTTTTATTGTAATTAATATAAAATAATTAGAATGACTATGTTGAACCAACTGGTTATTTTACTGTAAATCTTAGAATTTCTTCAGAATATTATTCATCATTTATATCATTTAAAAAATTTGGTGATTTCATTTCCTTTATTGGAGGAACTTTAAAAGTGATTACTAGTTTAATTGGTATTATTGTAATTAAGTATAATATAATTGGATTTAAATTAATGTTAGCTAATACTTTATATTAGTGTAAATTAAAAGATGATTCAAGATCTTAAAAGAAGGCTGAATAAAATGATATTTTTAAATTCATTTAAAAAGAAAAAGAAAAAGCAGAAGCTATGTTATAAAAATTTAGAGGATCTACAAAGAAATTGTTCTAATTTAATAAAGTTACAGGAATTTTCAAATCTTAAAGATTTACTTAAATCAATAAATCAGATACAGATTTACTTAAAGATGTTCAGTAACCAAATAATATAAAAGAAATAGATTCAGTAAAATTAGAACCCACAAGTCATGAATATAAATCAATAGATCATCTTAAAGATTCATTCATATAAAATATGGTTGAATAATTGCTTATGGCTAATGAGAAAATTAAATTAGGATTGAATTTTATAGTCTATTATCTTTCTTGTTTCAGACATATTAAAAGATTCAAAAGAACTTATATAGTTCTTCAAAAATCAACAATCAATATTAATAATGATCTAGATATTATTCTAATTTTATAAAAACTTTAAGAGATTAATAAAATTAAACATTTATTACTTAATAATAATTAATTATAACTATTTAATTATATTCCATAACCAATAATAACATGGGATGGACATTAAGTTTAAGATTCATAATAATCAAAGAATTCAATTGCCAAATTAAATGTAATTGGCAAAGTATGTAAATATGATACTAGAAACAAAATGTTAAAATTATTTAGAGCATACTAAGAAGTGAAAATAGATGAAAATGAAAAAGAAATTAATTCTCGTTTAATAGAATAATTGGGACCAATTGTTTAAAAAGTTTTTCAATAATCTCATTAAATTACAGAAGACTATAATAAAATGAAATAATAAGAAGAAGATAATCATATTAAATCAAATTAAAGACCTCCATTAAATACTACAAATTTATCTTAACGTGATAAAATGTAGACTTATGGTCCAAATTATTTGTTATCAAAATCGGATGCAATAGAAATTGAAGATATTGCTTATGATTGATCAAATTTTTGTTATTTAAATTAATTATTCTATATAAGATATTTAATAACATAATATTAAGTAAAACATATTATTATTTGCATATATATTTATTTATAACTCTCAATTTTGCTCTTATTAGGCAGCTTATAACTAATCATATATTAAAATTATAATTAACTTCTTTTTTTAATTCTGCAACTTCTCTCTTTAATTTGATGTTTTCATCCTTTAATTTTTCATATTCTAATTTTAATTTATCTACATCAATATCCACTGGAGATCCTAAATACTTTTTCACATAACTAAATCAAATACTTTAATTACTCTATTGCATTATTAGGTTTCTCTGGTTCTTCATATAATCCTACCAAAACTCTTGTAAGTTGATCAATCACTCCTGCCTTTTCTAAATACTTTCTAAATTCTTCTTTTTTAGAATCTGTTGTCTATAATATAACAAATCTAATATACTTAAAAACTCATAAATTTTAATATATTTAATTATTATTATTCATTTCAATAAATAATAAGATTATATACTTCTCTCTTATTAAACTCTTTCAAAAATTCTTAATAACATTATTCTTTTATTAAATTCTATGTTATAGAAATAATTTATAAAATCATATCAAATAGAAAAATAAGTAAATTATTTGAAATCTATTAATTTGAAATTAAAAAAATAACAAGAAATATAATAGACTTGTTGAAGTTTAGATTGTGCAGTGTATTAGGAATTTCATAAATTTATGATTTTAATAATATAATTATTTGATGGATAAATTATAAACAGAAATATTGCTAGTTAACAAAGACATATATAATTAACTATATGACACTAAATCCTACACAAAATTAGATTAATTAAAAAAAATGAACATTTAACCATCTCCAATACATGTAGCAAAAGATCTATTGAGTGCTAGAGAAAACCCATAAGAATATGTAAAATAACATAAATTGGATTTTAAGTTTAGATAAACATAATTTTGGTAACCCTCAATTAAGGACACTATGTCATAATAATAAACTATTTAATAATAATAATCAGAATAATAATAGGATTAATAATAATTAGCAGATACAACAAATGCAATATCATTTATTGAGACTTCAAAAAATGAAGAATCTTAAATGTAACAATCATCATAATCAACAAGAAGGAAAATACTCTTCAAATCTAGATTATCAAAATAACCAAGTGATTCATCTATATGGAAAAAGCCTCTCAAATAAATTAATAAAATAGTTTTATAATTAAAACAAGATAGCAAAGCTGAATATTTTGCAATTATAAAATATGAGGATGCAAGTAATTAACTAGAATAAAAATCAATGGATGCAAATAAGAAAATTTAATGGGATTGCTAAGTGAAATTTGAGATTACTGATGAGCAAAATTTATATATCATTATTGTTCAATAATAATAAGGAAAAATAGGATAGTAAAATGTATTATAATAAACAATAAATATATAAAATGTTGAAAAATAGTTCTAATCAGAGGTATAATTAAAGTATTTAAAAAACATTATCAATGCTATTTTGTTAGTAGATTTTAATTGATGTTTTATTTTATATTATATTATCAGATATTATTATTTATTCTTAAATCTTTATAATCTTATTATTCATTAATAATAACATATTTAAAAAAAATAAAATTTTTTGAACAAAATTAATATAAACCATAATTATTTCATGTTTATTTCAATTTATATTTATATTATTATAAATTCTATAAATAAACAGACAAGCTAAAGAGTTACTTCGACTTTTGTTATCATCATATACTCTTGGCACTCTTCTGTTGAATTATTTTTTAGAATTTCTTTTATTAATTATGATATATTTTTATATAAAAATATCTAATAGGTTATTAGAATATTGATTTATATTAAAAATTATGATGATCGTTTAAAATAATTTTAATTGAATTTTATAATTAGTAATAATGAGATAACAAATTTCTGCACCTGCCTATGGAGTAGGATATAAGACTCCATTCTCTCTAAATTAATAAGGAGCTGTCAAACTTATCTCTCAACCCTCATTTTAAAATTAAGTTTAACCAATTGCATAATAACAATATCAATAACAATAATAAAGTTACCCATAGCAATACAATAGATAAGTTTATCCAATAAATGGGAATGCAAATGTGAATAGAGGAACATGGGAATAATAGGGGGGAGTTTAAAGAATTTAATCTAGTCATGGAAATGTTCCTGTGCAAAGTCCATTATAAGTTGTTGATTTGTAGTAAGTAGAGGAACCTTGGAGAATAAAGGTTCAGGAATTACAAAATAGAATAAAAGAATTAGAAGCTTAACAATAAAATAAATAAGATAACGATGATGAGGAAAGTGAATTATCTTAAGCATATAGTTAAATTTAATAATTAGTTAACACAATCAAAATATTATAAGATGAAATTTAATAATTATAAGAGAAACTTGAGTAGAAATAAAATGTGATAGATGGTTATGATAGATAGATATAAGAAAAAGATAAAGAAATTGAGGAAGCAAATCAATATATTTAGGAATTGCATGGTCAGCTTGAAGAATAAACAACAAACGTTGAAGAGAAACATAAGTACTTGTTTGATGAAGTTAATACATGGAAAAAGAAGTTTATCGAATAAAATAAGTATGTATTATATTAAATGATAGAGAATTTCATCAGAAATAAGAAGAATTAATGATTCTATAAGCTGAATTGGATAACCTCAAGAATGCTCAAATAATAATTGGTAAATCAAGTGATTACAAGCAATAAAAATGAATAGAAGGTTATAAGTTATAGATTATTATTATTAATAATTTAATTATTATTAAATATACAAAAATGTTGTAAAAATGCATTCAATTAGCTAAATCAGCCTAATTTTCATAAATGGTGAAATCTTATACAAGTTTAGCTTAACATAAGTGGTTAGACTATGATGAAACACATAAAGTACTAATAAAATTAAATTATTAGAGATCTCTTTAAACTCACAAAAGTAGAGCTGAAGAATTTATTCACAAAATACCTGTAATAGAAGTGGATTCTGATGTTGTTAGATGTTTGGTAATAAAAAAATTGATTAATAAATAAGGGAGGAACACATATTAATGCAGGACATCCTTAAGTCTATATTAAATTAGATACAAGAACAGAAGGTACACCATAAACATGCAAATACTGTGGTTTATAATATGTCAAAAAGGGACATGGATCACATCATCATTGAGCATTAATCATAAATATTATAATAATTAATATATGAGTCTAAATTACAATACTCATAATTTGGGTATAATGGTATAATCTAACAAAGATCTAGCAATATCTATAGGGTTTTATATTGATTTAGAATAATTATTCTTTAAATACTTTTTAACTTAAGCTTCAACTTCCAATAACTAATTTATAGTAATAAAATTACTTCTTGATCAGTAAATACAATACTTACTTAATCAGAATCATCCTTTTTACTAATATTGATACATCTCATAGTTTAATAAGTGTTTATAGCATTCTTAATAGTTTCTATAGAACAACTTTCATAATGTTCCATTATATGTTCTCCATACATTTATTCAGCAAATCCTTGTATTTAAGTTATTAATTCAGATAATTCAAATGTAGTGTTTGTATCACTTACTCTTTTTAATTAATATAAATAAACAATTGTTGCCCAATAACATTCTACTAAAGGCCATATAATTGAACATGTAAATTAAGATGCCTATTCACCAAATTGTTAATTAACTCTAATCTTTTCTTAAACCTTTTCTAAAACATTCTTGTCTATCATTTATTAAATGAAATTTGTCATTTATTCTTTAGATGTAATTCTATTTCTTATAACATATTCTCTTTTTAATAATTTCAACAAGAAATCACTCTCTTCCCATAATCTTTCTATACTTACTCCTTCCTTATGAGATAACAAATGTCCAAATCCATTTAAAGCACAACAAACTATTCCTTCACTAAAGAATATATGAGCTAATTGATTTCTATAATAACTTAATAATAGAATGCTCTTATATTCTTATTTTGGTATTAATGTCAATTCAAATACATTTTTCTTCTTTTTATCTACCAAATCTTATAAGAATCCAATTGAATTTCTCACAGCTACATCACTTTAACCATTATTAGTAATTGAAGTTTTGGCTCCTCTTTTTGTAATTTGTCTCAATACCCATTCAAATCTTTTTATCAATTAATCTTCTGTAATACCTCTTCTATTCATTAATAATAAAGTTGAAACTATTCCTGTAGGCATTACAACCATTTCTTCAATTAATTAGTAAGCTACTTCATAACCCAATGTTTCAACTCCTTTTTTACGATCTCTAATATTCTCAAAGGAATCTAAACCTTATTATTTTGACCACTCTTTAACTGATATCATTTTTCCAAATCCAACATGTATTCTACCAAAATTTGATGATAATATTTTAATAGCCTTAATAACTCTAAGTAAGGATTCTTTAACCTTCTCTTCTCCCAATAGTTCATATGGATATGTGTCAGCCTCTAATACTTTTTCATAATTTATTGTAATTGGTAATATTGTGGCATCATGTATCTTTTTATCAAAAACAGCATCACACACAATATTTAATAATCCAAATTTTGGATTTAAAGTCTTACCTGTTCTAGATCTAGTACCTTCAATAAAGAATTCTAGATAACATTCTTCAATTAAGATTCTTTAAACATATTCATAAAAGATAGCTTTATATAATATATTATCTTCTAATTATTTTCTCTTTAAAAAGAAAGCACCAGAAGCTCTTAAAATTGTTGGAATTAAAGCCATTGATAAAAAATCCTCTGCAGCTGCTATATGTGGACATTTGATCTTATATGAGAAAAAGACATAAGAACACTAAAATAAAAAGATATCAAATACCATTATAAAATCTATATAGGATCTATGAGTTGGCATAAAAATTAAGGGACCTCTAGTTTTCTAATCATAATTCTACAATTCTAATAAGGCTGGTTCATTTATTTAAACTTTTTCATATATTTATCTAAAGACTTTGGTTATAAACCATCCAAATATTCTAATTATTCTCATATTATAATTGGCAAACATTACTTCACAAATATCAATACCTTATTTTTCAATATTCTAATGCAATTTCTCAAGATTAAGTGTAGTTTATTGATATTTTTTAGATTTTTCTTCAACTAATTATTTGATAACTGATTATACTCTTTGAGAATTCATCACTAGACTTATTTGTTCTTTTGTAGTTTTTGTTTTGAAATCTTAGCCATGACTAAGACACCATTCGATATCACTAAAATAAGACTATTGATTTCTTTAACTGAGTACATCAGTACTCTATTCATTTAATTCTCTTGTTTAATCTTTTAAGATATATTTTTGAATTCCCCAATTAAACCTTTCTAAATATTATCTCCAATTTAATTGTTCAATATCTATATTAAAATTTAGCTTATCAGATTCACTTAAGAATTTTATAAGTACATTACTATTGGAACTATCAAAAATCCATTCATTTATAACGAATGGTTTGAAAGTGTCATTAATCGATTCAGCTCTATCTATAATCTTTCTTAATCTTTTTGCTTAAATCTTCATTTCCTTATTTCCAATCTTATTTGCAACTTAATAATAAAGTAAAGCAGGAGCATTTTTAACTTTAGACATTATTTTATATATTTTTTCATTTTTATAGAATGTTAAATTGGGTTTTGAAAATTATTGAGAACTTGGAGATTTTGTCCAAAATAATGCATTAACTTCTTTAGCTAATTACCATGTCATTGGATTTTTAGCAGAAGAACAACAATGATAGACACTTACTTCTTTTCTACCATTTTGATATGCACCTGTTGCTAAAATAAAATCAGCTACATAATCTACAGGTACTTAATCTCCAATTAAACATTCATCACCATTTAATGTTTTTATTAATCCTAAACCAACAAAGAAGAATATGGCACTGCTAGCTACTAAACTATCAATCCAACCAGGTGTAGGATCTTTCCATGATGCTCCAACAATAGATGGTCTAACAAAAGTAAGTGGAAAATTAGGAGCTCTGTTTTAAACTAAAAGTTTTTCAGCTATACATTTTGTAAAAGTATAAGTATTAGGAAAATCTCCAATAATATCTTTTACATTTTTCTCCAATATACTTACAGGAGTCTTTAATAATTGAGATACTAATTGTTCCAAATTCTCTTAATTAGGATCATATATTTTCTCTTCTATATAACCAGCCTTATCTGAATTTACATATGCTGTTGAGATATGAATAAAGTTTTCTAAATTTTTAATTTATTATGCTAATGCTATAAATCTTTGAGGTCCTCTTACATTAATTTATATAGCATCATCTAATCTTGCATTAAAATCCACACTTGCAGCACAGTTAATTATTATCTAATGATTAATTATTTGCTTACATTGACATTATTAATTATAATGTTTTTATCATGTTCAGCCATTCCTAAGCCTTCTTTTAACATATCTCCTTCAATAGGAATAATTTTCTCAATTATAAATTTTTCAAAACCTCCACCATAAATCTATCTTAATCGATCAAAACACTAACTCATAATCATATCCTTACTTATGAATCCAAAATTTCTCGTTTAAACCTTTCCATTAAACTACTACCTTTCTTTTGTCTGATCAGAACATAAATACATTCAACATTTGGTAAACAACGCAAGGTCTTTTCTAATAATACTTTGCCCACAAATCCTAATATATATCAATTACCTATTTACCAGTACATCCAGTTATAAACAGCACTTTTCGATTATAATATTCTTATAGCATTTAATAATTAATTTATGGAAAAAAATTAAATATTTATTCATTTTCTCTCGAAATTCTTATTTCTAAAGGGAGTAGATTTAACATTAAAGAAATATAATTTATTTAAGCAATGAACAATAAAAATTTATAGATTCAAAATAATACATTTTTAATAATTTCATTATTGTTTTTTTAATTTATTTAACTCTTCATATACTTTAGAATAAAAATACTTTTGATTGTCTTCTAATTATTATAATGATTTTTAATGATTGATTAACTCATCTTAAGTAGTATTTTAATGGCTAAATCTTTCCTTATTTTCTTTACTATTACGTTATTATTCTTATTATTATTTTGATATTAATTCTTCTTTATTCCTTAAATTAATTATTCCTGTAAATGAGGAAGAATGATTGTTCCTTTTACTGAAGAGAATTTCTTCAAATTCAGTCCTATTGCTAAAATATGAACCTTATTAGGTTTTTAGATGACTCTTGCTAGTTAGTCTTATATTCTTCAATAAATTTCCTACTCTTTCTTTACATTCATTTATTCCATTTTTATTTGAATTTATATAAGCTTATGGGGTCAAAGAACTAGATTTCTTTAATTATTTATCAGATGTCTATTGATCAATAATTTATTCCAACAATCTATTATATTTTTCAATTTTCTCTCCCAAATCTAATTTTTCCTTTAAGAGTCCCTCACTCTATATTTGAAGATTTTTAGAATAGATTTTTAATTCCTGATGTTTAGATTCCAACTATATTCTATATAAAAATAAAATATACTAAAAGTTCCTTTCTTTTAAGACTTTCTTCCCATTACTTATAATAATTCTCCTTATCATTCTTACTCAAATTATCATTAACTTATCTATTCTCAATATTGGATTTCTTAAGTAATTTGCTGGTTAAATAATTGTTAGTGATCATTTTTGAAAATTAAATATAAATAATTTTGTTGTTAATGTAAATATTTAATAATGATAATTGTATAGAGTAGCTATTGATTAAATTTATTTATCATATTCATTTAATAAAGTAATGATAATCATTCTAAATATATTTATATATATAATGAATATAAATTCCAAATTCTTAGTATATTCCCTTAAGAATATATCTTGTTAATAATAATTGATTTTACTTTTTAAATAGGTTTTCCTAACTTTTGTAAATATTATTAAAGACACTCTATTTTTTAAAGTAAGAAAGAGATTTGGGATGAAATAATAATTATATTGTCTTATATAATCTTAATCATATATTAGTTTAATATAATCATGCAAAGTAACCTTGAAATTTCATTCAGATTATTGTAATAATAAATTATATTTAAGTATTAATTTAATAGTGGAATATTTCAGATTAAAATTAAGTTTATAATTATGAGTAACATTTACAATCAATAATTCTATTGAATATTCATATATTATATCAAATAAGATATTTAATAGATTTGTTTCAATAATTTATAATGAATCATTCCATTCTAGTATTATCACTTGACTCTTCTTATTCATCTACTACTTCATATTCAGGTAATTTAATAGAAGGCGACATCAATTTATTATCATGATATATATCATAAAAATAAATATTAATATTGCTGATATTTGCTATAATTGTTATAAATCCAAGAAAATATATCATATATTAATAGCTTATAGGATTTTCATCAAAAAGAATTCTACCTACAATAATTGGAAATATGGTTAGACCAGCATTTTAGATTGAACCAATAATTCCAAAACCTGTTCCTTATGAATTAGCATTTACACATATTGGAATACATGGCCAAATCACAGGTGCATATAAAGCAAAAAAGATTCCATTAATAAGTTAAGCCAATAAAACTAAACTAAAACATTAATCTTCAATTGAACAATCTACATTTTTAGAATATATTATTGTAGATAATAATAATAAATTACCAGAAATTATTAAAAATATGGGTCTTTTACCTATTTAATCTATAAAATAACCAATAATTGGTGTAACTGAGGCACTAATAAAGTATGGTAAACTATATAGAAATGTTTATTAAGATATAGTTAGATTATATCTAAATTTAAATTAATTTATACCTGATTTGAAACATTCGTATACCATTAGCCTATAAGATCAAAAATGCACTATAACTAAATACACAACTAATAGAGAGTAAATAATAATCTAATTTAAATTCTTTGACATCTCTACAATTTACAGGAGGTTATTGTTCTAATTCAGATATTTCTTGTTAACTCATCTATTCTCTATCTCTCTTATCACTTCTATTATCTAACATGCATTAAATAAAACTAGTTAGCATTGTAATCAAAATGAATATAAAACAAAATATCATACAAGCAGTAAAACTATCTCCATACTATATATAAACCTTAGGTAACCAATTTGCACCAATTACTGATCCTACACGAATGAATGTTATTTATACACTAACTATATATTTATTATACCCAAAAGCTAATGACATTTCTTATCCTAAAAACCATTTTGTAAGTAAAGCACTTTAGGCTACAGTTAAGCATACTTCCCCTCCTATTCCTAAAAATAACATTCCTAATTTAAGTAAATTAAAATCTTTATCATAAGCTCCTTAAACACACAATCCTTATCATAAAAATATATTTATAACCTTATCCAATTACCAAAAACGAACAAAAAATAAGCAATGCACTTTTAACTCCTATTTTATCTATAATTAATCCACCAAAAAAGGGTAAAACTATATTTGGCATAGAATATATAGAAAAGAGATAATTGATATCTTTTTGACCAACATTAAATGTAGATTAGATTTAACTAGCTAATACCGATGGAAAATCTATGCAAATACAACAACCAACTTAAAATAAGCATGTCATCCCAAGAAATAACCACCTAATATTAGTACGATGCCATGAAATTTATTTCTTTTATTTTTTCATTGAAATTTATATTCTTATTAATTATCATTTTTAAATATCAATTTATATGATCATATATAATATAATTACAATTAAAATTTTAAATTAATAGATGGTAGAAAATTAATTATAAACAAATTAAATTTATAATTAAATCATCTTCAAATAAGAATTTCTATTTATTTTATATCATTTGGTATATCATTTAAAGAATTTAACTCTAATATAAATCTAAATTAAAAACTTCATTTATTTTCTAAGATTTCTGATATGTTAAGATTATAATTGAATAGATTTCTTATTAGAATTAGTCCTTAAATATTAATGATCTATATAATACAATTTCCATTATTGATCTTAGATAAAATCTTTTTTTGTTAATGCTTGATCAAAAAATCCAAATTAAACAAAAAAACAAGTTATATGCTATGAATATATTTATTTTCTTAATAATGATCTTTCCAAAATAAAGTGATATAGATTATATGATATTAAATCTAGAATATATCCTTTTTAACCAATATGATATTTTATGAATTCAATATTCTAATATCATAAGGAATTCTAAGGATATTAAAAAACTAATAATTAATAATTATGATAATTCAAATATATCATCATATTGAGTGTTACTATTTCTTTCAATTTTAAATTAAAATAAGTTTATTAATAAAATTTCATTAATTAATTATCTGTTAAACAAAATTTATTCATAAAATGAAAGATACTACAACTAGACGTATATTTGAGAAAGAGAATTAAGCAGAGGTTTCAAATAATATTGAAAAAAGAAATAATCAAAAATCATTAACACAATTAGTTTCATTAACTCTTCTGAATCATTAACCAAGTAATAAATGATTATTAATAAAGATTTCGAATTCAAGAGTATTGATATAAAATAGTAATATTCTCAATAAAACTATCTTACATAAAGAAATCCTAATGTTCCAAGTTTACATTATAGACCTGAATAAAAATAAAAAACTACAATATGCACAACTATTTAGATAGTATTTTATTAAAGATATTTAATTAGTATTCTCCAATTAAAGTTAGATAGACAACTTAAATTAGTTAAAGTATACAATAAGATTAATCATCTAAAGAATCAAAGTTTTAATAAAATAGATTCATATATAATTATGGTGATATTATATTGACAAATTACTAAATCTATGATGCTATTTAAAAGTTTGAATTCTTAAAAAAACACTCAATCAATAGTTCTCTTAGAGCTAAGATGATAGATTGGATGATAGAAGTGATGACATCATATAAATGCAAAGATTAGACATTCTTTATGGCAGTAAGATTAATGGATTAATATTTAAATTAATCATAAAAATCTCATGTTCCATAAGATATGCATTTAATAGGAGTTACATGCATGTTTATAGCATGTAAATTTGAAGAGGTTTAACCAGTTAAATTATAAATTGTCCATGAAAAAATAGCACATAAAAAATTAACAAAAGAAGAAATTAGAGAGAAAGAGAATTAAATTGCATAAGCTTTAGATTTTAAATTTTTTGGAACTACTTTATATGAAATAATAACAATAACTTTACAAATGATAAATTAATATTAAAAATTACATCAAATAGTAGTTTATTTAGCCAAAATGATATTATATGACTACTAAATTATTAGCTAATTTAATTACTCTTTATTATCAGCTGCATGCATAATAATTGGATGTAATTTATCATGTTAAGATTAAAATGATGAAATTGTAATTATATTAAATTAATAAATAATAGATTGCTTAAGTCTTGTAACTCTTAAATGTAGATAAAGATGCCACTTTAGATTTATCAAATAAAATATTAAATTTGGCTAAAAATTTTGATAAATAATTCCAGAATTTAGAAAATTTAAAAAAATTCAATAAAAATTCAATTTTAGATATTGTTAAATTACAGAAATGAATGATTTACTTTTTATTTATATATATATTAATATTTTATATTACTAAATCATTTAATGATGCTCATGAATTGACTCTCTGTTATGAAATAACTCTACACCACTTTATTTCCAAATCTTCTGTTGTTCATTAAAACATTTACTTATTTAGCTGCTTCCCATTATTTAAAAACAATGATTACATTACCTTCATTTTTTTTGTCTACCCATACCATTTCAACTTCTCCATACTTTTTACATTCATCTATTAAAATAATTATTATTAAAAAAATTACTTTCTACTTCTTCTTTTAATTCAACTATTGCAGCCTAATTTGAAATCTCAAGTTCTGTCCACATATTTGTTAAAACAATAACTTTTGTTGTGCAAGGACACGCTGGAGGATTGTGTTTAAGTGGCATCCATCCAGAAATACAACCTAATGTAGGATTAGGAGATTAGATTATATTCAAAATTCTTTATACCGTAAGTCCTAATTATGTCATTAAAGGAGGTAAGTTAATCTAAAGATTATTTTATTAATACATTATCAATAAGACTATCATCCATCAATTTTTTCATTAATGTTATTCTCATAACTGGATTTTAAACAAGATCATCATCTAATTATAAATCCATATAATTATTGGCACCTGATACTAATTACACTTTAATTGGTTTTCCATTTAATAAAAATGGTTAATTATTTATTACTTCTATCATATTTCTTGCTGATTCTGCTTTTTCATATGTAACATATAACACTCCAGTCATTCTACCAGATTCATCTTTAGGAATTTCTACTGTTTCAATAGTTCCAAATGGAGCAAAGGCTTCTCTTATATCTTCTTCATTAATTCTTTATAATTATTCTGCCATGCCAGTGATTTATACTCTAGCTGGTCCATTCATATTTTATAAATCTTAAATGTTTTGCAATTTATTTTATTTAATTTGCATATTTTTCTAATCTCTTGCAGCTCTATTTTTTTCTGCTTAACTTAATTGAATTTTAACAGGAATAGTTCCTACTTATTATCCATCCATAATAAATAAACGATCATTTAATGCTAATGCCATAGGTATAGATTCTTCTTAATAAAATTCCACATAAGCCACTCCTCTAGATCTTCCAGATTTCTAATCTCTAATAATTCTAATATCCCTTATTTTACCACAATTGAACTAATCAAATTTAATAGTATGTTACTGTTTAAAAGAACTAATAGATGTGTTTTTCTTTTGCTTTAAGTGGTAAACAATACATTAGTACTGTTAAATCTTATCTATGTGCTTCTTCTAATTCTCTTTCAACTTCTACAATTTTTCTTTCCAATTCTCTAATTTCTGCCTCCATAATTTCTATTTTTCTTTATTTTGCAATCTCCCTCTTTTTTTATATATCACTTGTCATAAGTATTTGTGTTGTAATAACTTATTATTAGTTATCCTTATCTTTATCTTTTTCTCTCTCCTTCTCTTTTTTGCTTTTTTTTTTCTTAGAAGATCTTGAAGCAGACCTTGATCTTCTAATATCATGTAATATTAATCAATATACTTTTTTTTATCTTTTTTTTCATCCTTCTTTTTCTTCTTTTTCTCAGCACTTTTATCTCTCTCTCTATCTTTATCTTTATCTTTATCTCTTTCTCTTTCTCTCTCTCTTTCTCTATTGTTATCTTTGTAATGTTTATCTTTGTTTTTTTCATGTCCACGATCTTTATCTTTTTCATTGCCTTTTTAATCATGCTTCTATTATTGAGTATTCTCTGATTGCATATATCGCTAGAACTACTCAAAATCTAAATCCATATTTTACATTAATTAAATAAATAAAACATAATTTATCTAATCAAACTCCTCTGATAAGTATTAGATAAAAACAATAGCCAAAAGGTTTATCAAATATCACTTTTTATTGATGCAAGAATTGTTAAAATATTAGGTAATAAAAAAATACTCAACATAATGCATAATAAATAGCTCATATCAATCTATGTAGTAATCATTTATTCGAAATGAAATTAGGAAAACATTTCTCAACCTCTTAAACACAAATTTAATTAATTTAAACAAAATAAATAACAATTCTGCATATTTATAGAAGATCTTAAGAATTATAATTATTTTTTAATATTGATATCTAAATCTATATCATACCAATCATGAAAAATTATTATTTATTAATAAATAAATTCTAAGAAAAGAAAAATAAATCCTTATTTTTTTATTCTTATTGAAATTTATAGAGAATACTTTTTGAAAGGAATATAAATCAAAATTAGAATATTATAGACATATTAAATTTGTTCCTTTTTTAAAAAAGCCTCAGCTTAAGTATAAAGCTTTAGGAGATTAGTTTCAAAATTGAAAATATAATTAAAAGATAGAAATTTGATATTAAAAAATCGAGCAAAAATTTAAATACTTTTTTAAATTATTAATAAAGGAATCTTAACTACTTATTAATAATCTAATTTTTCAGGTCGCAGTTAGATTAACATTGCATAAACCTGAAGTCAAACAATCAAATATGATAAAATCTGAAATATCAATTTAACTAAATACTATTTCTTTTTAATAAATTAGAGAGGTATTTTTTATTTGGATTTAAGCATATTTAAATCAGTAAGTATTTTGAACAGACTTTCCTTTAGATAAAAAAAAAGAGAGTTTATAGGACATTTTAGAAATAATAAGAAGAGTTGTTAAAAGATTATTATGAATTTTTTTATGTTGGTTAAATTTCAAATATAAATTTTTGATATATAAAATAATATTTTTATTTATTTTCAATATATGATAAATCGTATAATAACATGGAGCAAATTGGCGTTTAAGATAAAGTATTTCAATGCTTAGGCTCCTGCAACTTAAAGTGAAAAATTGTTATAATTTACTGATGCATTGACTAAATAACAATTAAAAGATACTAAATAGTAGGTCTCATAAGGTAGATCTTGGAAAGTAGAAGAATTGAGATTGAAATCGACAGAAGATTTAACAAAATTATGGTATTATTTGTATGTTATGATTTGAGGTATGTGATGTTGAAAGAAAAGAATTTATTATTATCAGATGGCATTTTTTTCAAAAAAGTAGTAGGTGTCAAAGGTAGGATGGGTAAACTTGTACAACTTAAGAAATCTATGGCTAGATTAAAGACAGTTGTAAAGGAGAGAGAAATCATCAGATAAAAATATAGAAGATAATTAGAGGATGAGTATGTTAAATAAAAGACAGAATAATATTTGGCTTAAGTATATTATTAATATAATATGACAGCAATAAGAAATAAGTAAATCAGAAATTGAAGTTCCAGAAATAACCACAAATTTATTAAGAGCTAAAGTTAGAGATCTTAAATTAGGGAAAGATGATGTTTCATATATAGAAGAAGCATTAAGAATTAAGAATAAGAAAGAAAATTATAAATAGTATCTAAGAGAGAAATATGATTATAAAAATAAGCCTATTGTTAGATTGGGGGATAGTCTTCCTGAAGGAAAGACCGAAGTAAAGAATTTTTAATTAATAATGAGGATTAAGTCATCAGATAATTTAAGTCTACAGTCTAAGAATAAATTGAGGCTTCTAAATCAATACCATAAGATGAAATCTTGAGATCACATGTTAAAAATTGGTTCATGTTGGGTCCAAAATAAAAGAGAGTTATTGTTAATTTCTTATAAGCTAGAAGAGCTAGAGAATCTAAATAATTATTTTTAAGAGAATTAGATTTATTAGGATAGAAGATTAGACATGATTTGCAATAATACCAAGAATAAAAATAGTAGTAATGATATATTATTTAATGAGTATTAAAGAATTTATTATATATATATAGCAAATGATCTTTTTAATATAAATATTTCATTTTTTCTGATGAAAAAAGGAAAAAAATAAAAAGATTCTATATAAAAATAAGAAGAATAAATAGAAAATTGTTGGAAGGCATAAAAATTAGATCTTAAGTTTTTTGAAGAGTTGAATCTCATGAATTAATATTATCCACAAAATAAACAAATATTTGTGAATGAATTAATCAATATTTAAAAAAGAACCTCAAAAATCAGATATGTAAAAAAAAGAAATAATAATGCTTCATTAATTGATTGTAGAACAAAATAAGAATTAAAATAAATGAAAGAATCTATTAATAATTAACAAATGGAAATAGAAAAAATCTCAAAAATTAATTAGCCAATTGCTATTGATATTAGTAATAACAATGACGCTATTGTAATTAGTTCTGATGAATCTATAATATGCCTAAATGACATTGAAGATTATATTTTAGATGATTATTTATCATATCATGATGATTAATAATCTAAGACCTAAGCATAACCATAAATATATTCAAGAGCCAGATAACCACCCTAAATACATAGTGATTTGTAATATGAACCTGAAAAATCTAGTTTTTCTTCAATAAACTTTAGTTAACCATTATCAGCAAGTTTAGTTTTTAAATTCATGAATGATGATGTGGATTTCTAAAGAAATTTTGATGAATGGAGTTTAAGTAGTTTAGAATCTAAGACTCCTCCAATTAAAAATAATCAACATTACAATACATTATTATAATTGTAAAAGTACTTTCCAACAATTAGTGATAATTAATATGAGTCTTTATTATTAGCATATAATAATGATTATAAACTTGTATTGTAGATCTTATAATATGATTAAAAGTAAATACAAAGATTATTAGATAAAAATAAAAATAGAAAAAAAATGAGAATATGATTCATTAATAATAGTCTTTGTATTTATATAACGCTTTTTTATGAATTTAATTGTTTAACAAGTTTAAATATGATTTTAATAAAGAAATCAATTATATTATATAAATCTTCATAATTTCAATAATTATTTATAATTAAAATATTGATAGGATTTGAGAATATGATATTATCAAATATAATTGGAATAAATATCAACACAAATCAATAAATGTTTTTATATTATGATAATATATTTATTTATTATTAATATCATTTCTTGTAATGAAATATTAAAATATTTTCAATTTAGTGTATATTGATAAAAAGAAAGAGATTCTGTTGATAATTTATTTTACAATTCCAAAAAATAAGCATCAGGAACTACTTTTTATTTAAGTTCCCAATTGAACATCCAAAATTAAGTCTTACAAAACTATGTATTTATCTAATATTTGCTAGACTTTTTATTATCATTCTAATTTGTATAACATAAATGTCTAGTAAGAAGTTATATCTATCCTCTTCTTTCTCTATAAACTTTAACAATAGGATTATAAATATATCCTAAACTACTATCAGATTATATATTTTCTAAACTTTCTTATTTATTAAGCACAATATCATTTTTTTTAGTTTTACCAAGCCAGATTTCAACCCAGCATTTCCACATTGTTTATGGTTATAATTCATCAAATAACTATTTTTCAAGGTTATCTAGTTAATTATATTCTGTTTCTAAATATTGAATTATAACATTACTTATAAGTTTGCCATTAGTTTGATCAACTACAAATTTCACTTTAGCTCCATTTGATATTTTTGTTGAGATAAATTGAATTTGATTTGATTTAGTAGTCCAACTTAAAGAGTATTCCATAGGGCAAGTAATTATTGATTCATTATTTTGTTCTGAGAACTTCGAATCTCCTTCTGAAATAATCTTAGATAAAACAAGAAATTAACTTTTATTTAAGAATGTGTCCATAATTGTACTTCTCCCTTATGTGGCCAAAAGAAATTGTATTATTTTTATTGTTATTATCCCATTTTAATTATAGATTATTATTTAATCCAATTTCAAAAGTAGAACTCATATAATTCTCAAAATCATACTTCAATATACATCAATCCTTATTTAATTGTTATTTATTATAACTTTTTTTAAGAATAGAAAACGAATTATATTATAAATTAGTACACTAAACCATTTTAAAAAAATGAATAGTATACTGTAAATCAAAGATTGAAAATCAAAATATTTCTAATCAATTCAAAAAATATTGAATGTAATTCAATTAATAATTGTAGAATCTCTTTAGATATTATTATTATAGTTAAATTATTGGAACTACTGGAAAAATCTGATTCAAAAGAAGAAATTTGCTGATTTTCTTTATTTCCCTATAATCATTAAACCATAAAAAATAAGAATAAGAGTTATGTTAAATAAAATAGAGTTGCAATCATTTTTATTAAGTATAATATTTTAGATTTAAAAATTAATAAAAAATATCTAATGATAAATAAATTCATATTTCATAAAGAATCATCTACCTATTTATTATAACTGAACATTAAATTCAATTTAGTTAAAATAAAAAATAGATTTGATTAATTATGGTGATATTCAATTTAAAATATATCATATATATTTGAAATTTTAATTAACAAATATAATTTTGATTAATTTTTGTATTTCTAGAATTAAAATTATTTAAAAAAATCATAAATCTTGGATATTCACCACTCAGGAATTTTATCATGACTGAAAATCGAATTTTAAGATATTGATTAAGTATTCGTTCAGTTAGTTTGGCCGAGCGGTTAAGGCGGTGATTATTATTCGTTGGTTTTACACGCGCAGGTTCGAATCCTGCATCTGACAATTTTTTTGATTTTATAACTTTTATGAATTATTTATTTCTTAATTACATATTAATTTATATAATTAATTAAAAGTTAATTTAATCTAAATTTTCAGATAAATTAAATCATGAATTCTATTTCTTTATTATAAAGTTTGCATCAATAGAACTAAAATTTTATCAAAATATTGATTAACTTAATTTATATTTTGTTTAAAAAGAGACTTGATAAAAACAAAATGCTTTAATGGATGAATTAATATACAAAATAAGCAAAAATTGTTTTAATCATTTACTTTATTTAAATTTATTCATAATGTCGATGTGAAGAAATTAGATTTCCTTAACTCTCTTGATAAGAAATATTCTTAATCATGATTATTCAGAAATTTTGAATACTATCCTATTTCTAATTAATAAAATGAGTAGAGTGGTCATATTTGATAAAATATCTAAGAAATAAATATTTCTTAATCATAAATAATTTTATTAGAAATACTAATAATCTTTTTATATATATAATACACCTTTGCCATTCAGAAGATTTTAATAATATCTGAAAAATGAAAGAAATGAAGTGAAAAAGGCTATTAGTTCTGAAAAGAAGATGATACATAATAGAATAAAGAATATTAATCTTGAGATAAAAACTATGAAGTATGATTCATTTTGTAAGGTAAAGAATATAACTAAGTATAATCTATAAAATATATGTATATTAAAAATAAACAAAAATGAATGTATTTCTATTTACAGGTATTAATCTCTAATATTTTAATAATTGTATAATTCAAAAAGAGAATTAACTTTTTTAAAGATCTTTTTCATTAAATTGATATTGCATTTAAAGAAGGATTTCAAGATTTTATAATTTCTAAATTAAAAGTTTGAAACAAAGAAATAATTTATCAGTATATTTACAATAGATGGATAAATTAAGTAATATTATAACTAAACATAAAATAATTGAAATCCTGTATTTCCAAAATATAAATTCTAACCTTAAAACTTAGTTTCTTTGATAATAACATAAATATAAGATTCATGAAGTTTAACAAAAACAGTCGTCTACTGGATTTCTTTGATTAATATTATATGCTTTCCAATTTTCAACTACATTAACATCTACTAATCCAACCTCAGGATTGATTTCATCCCGAAAGCAAATTTTATGTTTTTTTATTTTTTGTTTTATTTCAACATTATATTTATCAGTTCTTAATTTAGTTTCTTATTATTTAGCACTTATTTCTGTGTACATTCTTTCAAACCAGAGGTTTATATCCTTTTCTAACTCAATCTCTTCATCTCCTGTACATTTTTATATTCTCATCATTATAAAATTAAATTAATATGATTATCAAAATAATACATAAAATTAAAATCAAGCGATACACCTCTTGTTGTTATAACAATACTTATAAACCAATAAAAATTCACTTTTATTCAATAATAAAATCTTCTTATTATATTGTACTTCTATTAATAAGATATTAATTTAACGTTTTGCCAAATGAACTAAAAATAAAATAATTGATTTTTAATATGAGTTTACATATATTATTTAACAAAAAGTATAAATAAATATTAATTGAAATAGTTTTATCAAATTTTATCTAGAAGAATATTTATCGCAATTTAGTTTATTAATTAAATAATTTAAATTTGTATTAATTTATCTTATATCTTTGTCCTTTTATAATTAAATGTTCTATTTAAAGAAATTAAATCAAACTAAGAATCACAAAATTGTATATAAGATAAAAATGAAATTGGAGTTCAAATATATGGTTGGTAGTATTTACAAAAATTAATGATAGTTACCTAATTGATTGATTATTTTTAATAATACAACTTGGTTATGTTTAATATATATAGTTGTTATCTAATAAATATATAATAATTTTTATAATGTAAAATTGCATATAACCTCAAATTTCAGAAATATAAACAAACCATTACTTTGATTTGATTAGTGTTCCACCTTCGATGAGAAAATAAAGTGCAAGAGTAGATTAAAGGCCAATCCAAACTAGTAAAATGTATTTTGAATCAGATTCTAATATTGATAAGTAAGTATAATGATTAGGGTCAAGCACATAATCTTTGCATAGTCTATTACAATAGAAGGAGGCATAATTAGATTCATTATAGAGAAAATACTTGTAGATTAGATAAGTAAAGTCAAGAAAGCCTTAGGGATAACATTTTATGCATGGTTATTTAGATGATTTAATCAATTCATTTAAAGATAAGGTTGATAACAATATTATTAGTGAATTTATAAATTATTCAAATTCAATGAATGATATATATAGGATGTAATAGACTCATTTGCATCTTTGTTAATAACGATTATAGTAAGCAGATTCATTAGTTGATTAATTGAAAATACTTAAAGAAGCAGATCTCTTCAATCTCAAAAAAATAGTTTAATCTTTATAAGAATCATTGTAATAAGCTTAAGTTACAGAATTAGATTCAAATAAATTATATAGAGATCTTTAGAATATGAAATTAAAGTATGCAAAATTGCAAAACTAATTTGAGATAGTACAAAAATAGAATGAATATACTGAAAAAAATATGTAATCAATTAAGCAACATCTATAACATACAAATGAGGAAACTTAAGTTTATAAGAAAACATTAAGAAAAGAAGCTAGTTAAAATTAATTTAATTAAAGAAGAGTATTTACTTTAGAATAAAGATTAGAGGTCTTAAGTGGTAGTGATTACAAAAAAGTAATGTATTTATAATTATTTTAGGATAAAGATTCATTAAGAAATATTATTGAAGATATGTTGAAAGAAAATGAAGCAAATAAACGAAAAGCATTCTAAAAATCATAAGAAGTTTCAAAGCTAGAATAAACAGTTTAAGATTTTAAAGAAAAAAATCAAAAATTACAGAAGAGGAATTTATTGTTGGAAAAACAATTAAAATTATTAGGATATTCAGCTTATGATTTAAATGGAAATACTATGGGTTAAAAGACTATAGTAGAATCTAATGATCTAGATGATGAGTCTTTAGATATCTTTTAGCAAGTGAATTTGCCTAATAAATTAGATTTTAAATTAAATAATTTGAAATTGAGACAAAGAAATTTAGTACAAGATTTATTAGATTGTGGTATCAAATAAGCTATTGATTAATTATTTTAAATGGATTAACAACATTAAGTAGATTAAATTAGTATTTTTATGGATTTATTTGTACAATATAAGAATTTAGGAGAAAGTGTAAATAGTATAATTAATTTAATCAAACAATTATTGAAAATTGATTAGATTGAAGTAATTATGCAAAAATTGAGTTCTGATTCATAATTATTTAATTGTGAATTGATTTAATTGTGGTTGATAGATTAATAAACTGCCACTTTTTATACTTATAATTAAAAAAATGAATTAGTTAATGCATATATTGATACAGATGAATTTTTAAATGTAGTTAAATCATCATAACCAATTTATAAATAATAAGCATTTGTTTATAGAAATATTAATACTGCTAAATTTGCAAAAGATTGTTATCTTATACCATTATTAACTGATAGTAGATTGATTGGAATTATATCATTAGAAAATCTAAATAATAAAAAATAAGATGCTAAATATCTTGGATTATTAATTTCATAATTATTATTAGCAATTATAGATAAAGTATTGTAATTTAAACTCATTAATTATTAATTGAGATACAAAAATCTCTTATTTGAAGCATTTACAGAATTATCAAAATAGAAATCTAAATATAAATTATAAAAATCAATTGAAAATCATGCTGAAACACTTTTCGGTGTGGCCAACAGTAGATTTTTCTTTTATAGTTAAGGGATTATTTATACTTATAAAGATGATATGCATACAACTGAATATAGTTCAGATATAGGTGTTATTGGTTATGTAGCAAAAACATAAGAGGCATTATTAATTGGTAATATTAAATAACATCATTCTTTTCATTAATCAGTAGATATGACTAGTGGATTGCCAATATTTACATTACCTTTGGCCTTTGGTGTTTTATAAATAGTTTTGAATTAAAGTGCATAATTATAATAAAATAGTAATTAATCTATAATATTCTAATTAGATAAATCAGTAGAAGTACGTAAATTATTACAACCAGGGGAAACATTATAAAGTATGGCATTAATGTTCACTTAAATTTGTAATTTTGCATATTAACTTTTACAAAAAGAATTATCATGATAATATTATTGATATTCTTTATTGAAATTTTAATTCATTAAATTATTTTATATAATTTATTAATATAAAATTAACAATAATGTAGACAATATGTTAAACTCATTCTCCAATTTTTTCGGTTGAAACAGCTACAATAGGTGCCACTGAATATGCTTCTAATTATAATTAGTTTTGACCTAAAAGGATATTAAATATTTATAATACCAACTGCAATATAGGCTAATCCTTTCAATCCCCAAGTGTCTCCCCATGAATTTTCAATTATCCAATAATTAACTCCATCTTATTTACCCCAACCAATAACTTTAACTGCATGTCCAAATTAGAATCTAAATTATATAATAAATAAAATACTTTGAACTTCCTTCTACAACTTCATAAATTCCTCCTTTGTAAACAAGAAAATCTTTAAATACTTAAATTACAGCTACAACTGGACCATTATTCAATATTTCTCTTTTGATATTTTCTTCACTTGAAACAACACAATAATCATGAATTTTATATTTTTCACAATTTGAGAAAAGAGCATCACAATTATTTTTAGCATCTTCTGTTCCACTATATGGTAAACATGATGTTGATACAAATCCTTATTTCTTACCAACTTCCAAAACTCTTGTTACACTACCTCCTCCACATTTATAGTTTTTATCATCACATGAAATTGGTGATTATGGTGATAATTAATCTTAGAATTCTCCATTTTTAGATTTACATAATCTATCACTTGTAGCTGATACTGCAGCAATTGAATAACTTGATGAACAATTTCCTATTAAATATTAATATTATTAATACCCTAAAAATATATTGGTTATGCACATTCTGGTTAAGCTTCTCTGAAATTGTAGCTCTCTGGTATTATAACACCACTTTCAGGACATTATTAAATTTTTCCTTTGAATGTTAAATGATTGTTGAAAATGAATTTAGCATCACTAAATTTCCAATCTTTAAAGAAATCATTTGGACCTTAGAGATAAGATCCTAATGAATTATGAGCAGCTATTTCTTCTTCATCTATTACAGGAGCTGTTGTTAATTTCTTGCTTGATCGTGTCAAAATGGATAACAAAGCATAAACACAAACAAATCCGAATGCTCCAATGACCAAATGATAAGCATATTTTTCGAAAAAGCTTGGTTATGTTTAGTTACGTCTTTTCATAGCTTAAGCTGCTTTCTCCCTTTAGGCAACCTTTTCTGGGGATTAGGGAGAAGGACTTCTTTATCTTTGAGACACTTAACTCATCTATTAATTTAATTATTCAACACGTTTTATTAATTAAATTATATATATACTTTAAAAATAATATATTTAATTAAATCATAAGAAGAATGCATGTTCTAAGGCTTAACTTGCATTTATTCTTAATTTCTATATAAATTAGAATAATTATATACATGATCATAAATAAAGATTTTTTCCAATAGATCAATTCCTTCTTTGGTAACTAAATTTAAATTCTTCTTATTAATCAATTTAGTGAAATCTAGTCTTTCTTAAACTTAAGGAATTTCATCCAAATCTAATTCAATATTATATTTCCTAATATATTCAAATAAATCATTAGTTCCCAACATAGATATAATTTTCTTTAATTAATCATCATTATCTTTTCCAGGTAATAATGGATGAGTTTTAAAAATGAAATCTGCTAACATGCATCCAACAGCCCAAATATCAATTGAATAATCATATTCTTTATATTTCAATAATAATTCTGGTGCTTTATAGTATCTAGTACCCATTTTTGTAGATTACTTCCTTCCTTAATCATAAAATTGACTTAAACCCCAATCTATTAATATAATATCATCATTATCATCTACTAGAACATTTGAACCTTTAATATCTCTATGCATAATATGTAATTCATGAGCCTTATTTAAAGCAGTAAATATTTATTTAAAGTAATTTTTCACTTATTGTAAAGAATAATTCCCACTTTTACGAATATCATCTAAACAACGTGTTGTATTTTAATAAGCAAATATGATAGTAGCTTCAATATGATCTTCTTTATGAGGTGATTTTTTGGTTTCCATTTATGGTGTTTCTTGATTTTAATTATCAAAACCATATTCAAAAAAGTCATCTGATTCTTCTTCATCTCCCTTTATTGCATCTATAATCTAAACTATATTAGGTAATCCTTATAAAGCTTTAAGGATTTAGATTTCTCTATTAACAACTCTTTCTCGACTGCCTTTAATATGTTTTAAAACAACTGGTTATTAATCTTCTACTCTATATCCTAAATAAACTTCAGAGAAGGCACCTTATCCTATCATTTCTGTAAATGCATAATCAAAAATATTTCCTGAATTGTAATCCAAATAAAAATCTACATCATCAGAAATAAGTTGTTATTATTATTCATATGTAAAAGCTAAGATTTGAATAGGCAAGAAAAGGAAAAAAGTGATCATATATATAAAAAACGTATTTTAAAAAATAATTGTATTAAAACTGAAATAAATTCATAATATTTTAGAATCACTCCATTCTTTATTACAAAGTGGACAAGTATTGCTTTATTTTAACCATCTATCAATACAATGTTTATGAAATCCATGATTGCATAATCCTTAAACTATTTTACACTAATTTATTTATTTAAATGCTAATACTTCCTCTTAAACTTAATTAGCTTCACATTCCAAACATTATCCAAAAAGACTCTATTTATCAATAGCACATCTATCATCTTTTATATTCCATCTCCAAACACCAACAGCTTACCAAGATTTGATTTCTATTCTATTTTCTTATTCCATTAATAAATATAATATGAAAAATAATGAGAATCTTTAGAGTTATGCAGTTGAAAAAAGAATTGGTGAAGGTGCATTTGCTATAGTGTAAATTAATATTCTATCATATAATAAGATATTTAGCATCTGTTTAAGAAAGTGGAGAGAAAGTTGCAATAAAAAAAGCACCCATTGATAAGAAATATAAAAATAGGGAACTTGCAAACTTAAAATTACTAGGAGAACATCCAAATATTGTTGCTTTAAAAGATGCATTCTATGTTGTTGGTTAAAAGTATAAATTATATACATTTTATTCAAAATAGTGAAGAAGTATATATTAATTATGTAATGGAATATATGCCAGATAATTTATCCGATTATTTGAGAAATCTAAAGAAATAGAAACAATAATTAACTTAGATTCAGTTATAAATTATAACATATCAACTATTAAGGGGACTAGCCTTTATTCATGGAAAAGGGATGGCACATCGAGATATCAAACCTTAGAACATTTTAATTGATGGAACAACTGTCAAATATTGTGACTTTGGATCCGCTAAAATCATTTCAGGAGGATAAATCAATACTTCCTATTTATGTTCCAGACATTATAGGGCACCTGAGTTGATTTTTGGAGCCACTGATTATTCTACAAGCATAGATATTTGGTCATTAGGATGTGTCTTTGCTGAACTCATCTTATTAGAACCACTTTTTCCAGGAGAAAGTTCTGTAGATCAGTTAGTTGAAATTATGAAAGTCTTAGGAACTCCAACAGCTGCTGATATAGCAGAATTTAATGTTTCTAATACAGATTTTAAATTTCCTTAAGTCAAAGGACATCCTTGGTCTAAAGTCTTTTTAAAATATAAACCTGATCCTTAATTCATAGATTTGATTAAAAAGATGGTTACGTAATTATTTTCTATATTTCTAGTTATTAACCTTAACAAAGAATAAAACCGTTTATGGCTTTAATGCATCCATTTTTTAATGATCTCAGGGAATTAAAAAATGAAGAAGTACCAAATAAACTTTGGTAATTCACTCCTGAAGAAGAAAATATATTTGGAAAACAACCATTAAAGCATTTAATGCCATCATGGTGGAAAGGTGGAAGATAATGATTAATGGAAGATAATGATTATTTTTTAATACTATAAAAATCTCATTCATTTCAATTGAAAATTTAAATAAAATTTTGATTGGGTTATACTTTCATGTTGTTTAAAAATGATTATTTTAATCATCATATCTTTGCGTAGATTCTGATGATTAAAAATATATAATATTTATAATTGATAATGAAAAATTGAATTCATAAATATATATATATACTTATATTTGTTTTAATTAAAAAATGAATAATTTATAACATTATAAGGTTAAAGTAAAGTAGTATCATAGAAAGAAAGATAAATAAAAAATAAAGTTTTGAAATTATTATATAATTGAAAAAAATAATGAAAAATATAATATTAATTGGCAATTAGTAGGGAGTATTGAGAAGAAGAGAAATTTTCTTTGGGAACAATTTAACACAAGAATTGTAAATTAAGTAATATTTAAATAATATTAAGTATGTATTTGAGATTCATGAAAATTTAACTGATTAATTGATAGGAGTATATTTCATAGAATGTAATGTTTAGAGAAATGGAATATATATAAAATAAATAAATATAGATAATTTTATGGTTTTATATTTTAGTAATATAACTTATAATAATGGAATAATTTGTATAATGTTTAGCAGTATTTTTAAGCATAATAAAATAGTAGCAAATTAACTTAGATTATGATGTGAAATGAATAAGAAAAATTAGTAGATATATTAAAAAGGATAATGATTAGAGTAATTCTTAGTATTTTAGAGTTAAAAGTAACACACTAAAAATTAATAAAAATTGAGTGAATGAATAAGTATATTAAATAAATAAAGTAATAAGATTCTTCATATATTTTAAGAAAGACATTTTCATGTATAATACCAATTTTATTATTAAAATTAATGGCAGATTAAGAAAAGAACCTGGACCCTCCTCTAGAGTAGCCAGATCAGGAATAATCTCTTTTATAAAATGCTTAAGAAAATGGGCAAGTTTTTGAAATTGATGGTTAACAATAAACTCAAAAAGATTCAGATGCTCATCAGGCGGGACGAGTTCTTAATAATGTTAAACATTAAGATGATCATAAAATGATGAGGAGGGATATAATAAAGAAGAAGAAAAAGAAGGAAAAGGAAAATAAATTGATATCAGCAAGAAGATTAAAAAGGTTATTGAGAAAAAAACCTATAGATAAAATTAGATTAGCTTATTAGGCCTATTTCTTTATTGTAAGTATTACTGTACTTGCTCTAAGTATTTTATCATATAGGGATCAAACAGTTTATTAAGTAGATTACCAATAGTTCATTGACAATGTAAAGTCAAATGTTATTGATGATATAAGGTTTACTTATACAAATAAAAATTGTAAGACTTAATTTGGGAGCTCGGTATGAATTTTTGATAACCATAGTATTAATCAATATTTGAATATAAATGGCCAGGTACTTAGATAGGATGTGATTGTAGTAAGGGATTTGATTTCTCTTCTTTAACAGATTATAATATTGATGCGTTTTTCAGTGAATCTTTTATGCTTGGTCGTATTTGTAGTTAATATTTACTTTAAAAGAATTGTAGTACAGTGAACGAACAATAGTAGAAAATCTTCAACTCTTGGAACGATGGTATTTTTGGAAGACGTAAGATCTTATAAGATTATAATTAGCTTTTGTATTATGTGCTAGAAGATAAATTGGAATTGATTTACAATCTAATTAATCTAATTGTTAATTATAAAACAAAATTACTTGTGGGAATGGTGATAATATATTCTGTGTACCTTAAGATATGAGTTGTCCTATAACAGAAATAGGATTTACTACTAATTCAGAATATCAAAATTTAAAATAACAAAACAATAGTAATAAAGGAGATATTTTTGATTTGGGAGCAGGATTTTACTTTTATTATATTAAAAATACATCTAGTTTACCACTTGTAGAATTTAGAGTGACTGAAGGTGATAAAGTATGTAGAAGAAATTCAGATCAGAATATTTCACCAAATAGAATTGATTATCCTTTAATGTTATCAAGAAGATAATTATGTGAGAATAATGATCCACTTTTCTAAATTATTCATTCGATTGATGAAGAATAATTTTATCTTTCTAATAATGTAATTTATTTATCTGAAAAATTACCTTATTTTAATATTGATGCAAAATTTAATTGGACTCTTAATGCTAAAACATTTATTCCTTGGTCTCCTTAATGTCGAGGTGAATTATTTGACCAAGTATTATAAGAAGGAGATACATTACATTATGTATACACATCTTTAAGAGTCTAACTTGGTGTTACTATTACTTATTTTATAGTTATTGGTCTCATTTTTAATATTGTAGGAACAATGACTGCTTGCAATTTCGCTTGGTCTTGTATGGCAAGTAATAAATTCATTTATATTATTTATAGCTCGTCCTGAATCTTAATATAATTATATATTCTTTATAGAAATTGGATTCAAAATATTATTATAAATTGCTGAAATCATAGTAATAATAGTTTCTTTTGCTATCATAGATGGGAAAAGAAAAATAATTAAATAAATTAATGATGATGGATGTGTATCAGATCCTGTTAGTGGCTATTTCTTTACTAATTTGGAAAGTGATTTAACTAAATTTGCTTGGTCTTACAATCTAGCTAACTTAGTTATATTTGCTGTTACCCTTATTCTTGATCTTATAATAATTAAACATTCAATTAATAAAGGACATCATCATGGAGCAAAAAAGCTGCAAGAAAAAGAAGAACATTAAGAATTAGATGTTGGATCACCTGGTGAATCAGGAAATTCATAATAGATTAAAAGTGATTTAAAACTCTAAGTCAAAGCAGAAGCTTTATAAACTCCATTTTGATCATAATTTACAAAAATAAAGATTATTATTAAACATCTAATTATTAAAATTTTATTTTAAATTATTAATTTTTCTTTTTTCTTATAATATAAATTATTATAAATCTCAAAATAGATTTATTATTTAAATAAAACTTCTATATAACTATAATAAGATACTTTTTTCTTTATAAATATACATATATTAATCTATTATTTCTAACGAATTTTATAAAATTAAGAATTAGGAGTATTTTCATAAAAAGAGAAAAATAAATTTTATATATATATATTAATTAAGAAATATATGAGAAATATATTCTTACAATTTTGACCTAAATTTTAACTTAGTAGAGAATTAAGATTAGTTAACTTTGTTAAATTAATATAAGTGATTTATTTAACAAATAATAACTAAAATAATGAGTTAAGTTTTTTAAAAGATCAAACGATAATGTACATTTGGAACAAAAAGAGCAGAAAAATGTATAGAGAAGGATGTTCAAGATAAATAAATAAGTTAGTTCTGCAATATGGATAATTAATTAGCATTAATGAACAAAGAATATATATATGTTTATAATACAGATAATGGATATCAATGTTATATGTTAAGATAAAAATTGTTTACGAAATACTCAAAAATAATTGTTTATCATTTTAGATTCATCAAATTTTAAAATGTTCATTTACTTCTTTTAGTTTGTACTGATAGAATAGTTGTATTTTATAAAAGCAGACTGATTTTTAAGTAAAAAATAAATGAACCATTATACAGATATGATAATTTCTATTATGATAAATACGAAAACTATTTCATAATTCAAGGAAGAACTATGGCAGATAACTTTAGTTTATTTATAATAAGTAAACTTTTTTCAAAACATGCTAATCGTTATTGTTTAACTCCAAATTATCTTAGATTAGCATTAGATTATAATTCAATTTTCTATGAAACTAAAACAATTTTTAAATAATTAAGCTAAAATTATTTAACAATAGATTCTATCTGTATGCTTCCTTAACATAAATTATTTTTGTATAATAAATAAGAAAAAGAATTGTATTTATGTGATTTGAATAAACTCTATTAAGCATATCCAACTTTTGCATTTCTAGATGAATATGAACATAGCATATTTAAGATTGATAAGTCTTAGAATTGTCTACCATTTTAATATATAATAGGTGTATATAATAAGGTGTATGCTGATAAAATTGAATATCATAGGAACTATTTACTCCTAGTTTAAGAAAAGGATCCAATATCTGAAATAGTGTGGAAAGAGTAATATTGTTTAGAAGATGAAGGAACCCTAAGTTATATGACAAAAAATGGAAAAAGATATAGAGCCTGAGATGAGTGATTTAGGATAATTAAATTTAAAATTAGATTTAAAATTAATTAAAATACAATCAATGCCTGCCAAAAAGAGAACTGTGAGAATTGGTAATTGGTACAAGAGTGATGATGAGAAAGTCCATTTCGTCAGAAAGAGAAAAGTATTGTGAAATAAAATCAAAAAAGGCTCCAAGACCAGCTTAATTAAGAAAGATTGTCCCTGGATAAGTCTTAATCTTGTTATCTGGAAGATTCTAAGGAAAGAGAGTTGTCTTCTTGAAGTAGCTCAAATCTGGATTGTTGCTTGTAACAGGTCCATTCAAAATTAATGGTGTCCCACTTAAGAGAGTCAACTCTGCTTATGTTATCCCAACATCCACTAAAGTTGATGTGACTGGAGTTAATGCCAACTAAATTGATGATGATTATTTCAAGAGAACTTAAGCTTAAAGACGTAAGAATGAATAAGGATTTTGGGCTAAGAGAGGAGAAGTAATTAAATATCCATATATATAATTAGTTAACAGCTGAATAATAAACAGCAGAAAAAACAAGATTAGATGGAAAGAGAAATACATAAAAATCAGTTGATGCTGCATTGATCACTGCAATTAAGAAAACATAATTATTGAAATAATATCTTGGTGCTCGTTTCACCATTGGAAAAACAACAAGACCTCATGAGTTAGTCTTTTGATCATTACCAAGATATTATCGTACAATAATAAATATTATAAATCAATATATTAAATTCCATTCTGTTCTCAAAACAAACTCATCTAATTATTTTTATTCTCTTTTTAACTAATATATCTTGTTCTTAAGTATGGTTATCCTACATTGAGAATCTTTTCAACATTAACATGACATTCAATATCTGGACTTAAAAATTAAATCATATATATACTTCAATTTTGTTAATGAAGCACTTTATTACAATTAATTCTTGTATTTTTAATAAGGATTTTACAACTATTCTAATTTTTTTTGCATTATTTACTCATTAGTTTGTAATTCTTTAACTTTTTGTTCCAATTAAACTACTTTCTATTATAATTCCTATTTTTCTATTTTCATTGCATTTAATAATGAATTAGAACGATCATCAACTTCAATATATTGATTGTTAAGTTTCTCAATAAATGATTTTAATGTATTCATAGATTACTTATATTATGATGTATTAGATTCTATTCCATTCTATTATTTATTTTTTATTATTAAATCTTCATTTTCAAAATCCTCTTCATTTTCTATATTTGTTTTAAACTCCTACATAAACAAATTATATTGTTAATTAATGGATGATTATAATTTCTAAAATTTTTCTTTTATATTATTGCATTTTCCACAATAAGTCTATCCAAATTTATTAGATTACAATTATTATGTTAACATCTTAATTTATTCATCTTTTTAATCTAATTAATTTTTGAGTTCTTTAATAACCAAAATTTTAGACTTTTCAATATTTTCACTTACTTCATTAGATCTTTTCTTCTATTCAGATGGACCAAAGAAATTAGCAATAACTGAACTCAAAGATCCTGATTATTTTACTCTTTAAGATAATTAGTTGTTTTGAATACTTCTATGAGTTGTTTCTTTGGATTAAGTTCTCTCTTTAATTTAATCATGAATTGATTTGCAGACTAATTTTTATTGGCTCTTTGATAAATTGAGTGATAATTAGGATTGATTACTTTTATCGCACAAAATATATTTTTGCATTTATTTAACGAATATTATTTATATCAAAATTTACTATTTTATTAATAGTTAATAAAATTTAATATGAATTCTATAAATCATTAATATGCTGCAACAATCTAATTTAGACCTTCATTAACTTCATAATCAATATTAAAAAATTATTTTGGTATCTACTCAAATTTTTTGATAGTTTTTGCCAATATATTTACATTATTACTATGATTACTTATTTAAGCAATTCCAGGATAAACTTTTTCAAGTATACCCATTTAAATAGGAATTTATGTAATATCTTGAACCAATTTAACTTATTCTAAATTGGGTTCTCCTCTGATAATTAATCCTGTTTTATTGAATTTTCCTTCTTGATAATTTATACCTCCATAATTATTATTAAAAGAATTTACATAAGTATTATCAAAACCACATGATAAAAACTTTTAATCATAATCTAAAAATAGATGTTAAGAGAATGTTGTGATATCTAATTATTTTTTATATGGTTGATTAATTGAAGCCAAACAAAAACTTAAAAATTATGAAATATTTCTAGGAGGGTATGTTGTATATTATTTATTTTCTAAAAATACACTTCCATTAATTTACAGACACACTTCTGCATATTCTTTAAGCATTTCATAACATTTTAATAAACTTATTTACTAAGAAAATGATATTTAATCTTCAATCAAATTAACAAAATAAAATGGGACAGTAGGTATTAATTATTATTATTCTTTGATATAATTATCGTAATTTTAATTTGTTGTATTGATAACAAGTACTCCTTATAAATTTTCACATTTCTCAACCATTTATCTAAATGAAGAAAACTAAAGAATAAATAAGTTTAATTACATTTTATTTTGCATACATTTTCTTCTTTTAAAATTAGGTATCAGAATCAACAAATACGGTTTTAGGAATAAATTATCCATTTTAAGTTTCATAATAAAATGATTTGATTAAGAAATCTGATTCTTTATTCAAAAGATTTAAATCCTGTATTTGATTTTCTATTGCTAATTATTCTTAGAGTTGATCACCAATTATACTTCCATTCCATCCTAAATTGAGAATTATTATTTCCTTCATTCCTTTTTGTTTATATATTAATGAATTAGTTAATTATATAAGACTAATAATTTGGAATAAATTATTAAAAGATTTATTTAGTATTTTGAAATGGGAAAATTGTAAACAATTGTAATATGGCTAGCTTAAAACCAGGTCGTTTAGTAGTTATGCTTGCAGGTAGATATGCAGGAAAGAAGGCTATTTTGATTAAAGCAAATGAAGAATCAACTAAAGTAAATCAAATATTGATTTATTTTAGGATGCAAAATTCCCTAATGGTTTAGTCGTTGGTATCTAAAGATATCCAAGAAAAGTAACCAAGAGAATGGGTTTAAAGTAAATCAGAAAGCGAACTACATTGAAAGTGTTCATTAAATAATTAAATCTTAATCACATTATGCCAACAAGGTAATAATTTAATACAATTTTATTTTAGATATAGATTAGAAGAATCAACATTGAAGGAAGTTAGAGATAGAATTGAAAGAGTTAAGGAATCTGAATTAAAGAATGTTGAAAAAAGAAAAGAATTGAGAAAGAATCTTAGAAAATATTTAGCTGAGAAATACAGAACATTACCAGCAGGTAGTTTGGCTGATAAGAAAGCTTAATCAAGATTCCTATTCTCAAAATTGAGATTCTGATATAATAAAGTATAATATAAAATATATTTATTATTGTAATTCTTTATCTAATTTATATATCTATTTAAATTACTTTATTTTTTTGAATAAATAAATATGAACTTTATATTTACTATCATTCCTAATATGTTATTTCATTAATATTATATTAATAAGTAAATTTAATTATTCAAATAGATTAAAAAAATACCTAAAATAAGATATCAAATTTTTGAAGATTTTTCGTTTTATTTTTAATAAAACAAAATTAATGTAGAAGATGAATTAAATAATGAGCATTAGTATTACTATTTAGTTATTCATGAAAAGAATATATTGTTAAATAGGGGGGGGAGATGTAAATCCAATATTTGACTGATATTAAAAAATAAAATATATTATATATATGAACCAAAAGTCCAAGAAGGTGCATGCTGCTCCTTAAGTAGAACTAAAATTATAGAATCCCTTAAGATAAATACGTTTAGATACTTACGGTTAACAAATTTTGAAAGGATAAAAAAATCATAAAATTGCATTCAAAGAACATATCAAAACAATTCATATTGTAGAGAATTGGAAAATATACAATCTTGATCATGTAGATAAAGAAGATGATTCTTGTCCATGTTAATTAGTTTGATGACACTATTAATAGTTTATTTTTTGATTTCAGTTGATATTTGTTTTATGCAATTTCTATTGATATATAAAATTAGGTATATTATGTATGAAGTTGATATTATCAAACAAATTCTGATTATGAGAATAAACAAATTAATTTCTTTAAATTGAGATATTTTTTTAAAATATGTACTCTTAAGGCACTTAATATCCAAATTCTAAGTACAAAACCTAACTTTGTAGACATTTTAGTATTGATTTAATATTTATATGAATAGCACAGAATGGAGTTTGCGCTTTAGCAATAAGATGTTAATTTGCTCATGGACCATAAGAACTTAGATAAAATGCTTAATAACCCCAAAGTTTCACAGAATAGACAATCTAACCAAATGCCTTTAATAAAGTATAGGGAATCAATCCTATGATTGTGAATTATAAAAGTAATAATAAAGGATTAATTAATGTAGCATAATTATGTAAACATTTTAATCCTTAAACTGGGCAATGTAAAAATGGTCCTACTTGCACATTTGCTCATGGTGAAAATGAGTTAAATACTATGCCACATTTACAAAATTAATATTTGTATTTACTTTTATTGATTATTTTTGATTAGATTGATGTAATAACAGATGAAATAGATTAATCAATAATAAATGTAGGCAGAATTAACATAACAAATATTAGTGATGATCTTAACAAATATGGAACATATATTTCCAGGATAGCAAGTATTAAATACTGTTTATAGTAGTAAATTCTTGCATTGTTGAAGTAAGGATAAGAGAAAGCAAAATCAGGAGATACATAAGGAGCAAGTGAAATCATTAAATTAATTATACATGATTAGGATAGATCAAAAGAAGAGAAATAATAATATCAATAAATTTATAATAATGCTTAAAGGCATTATGATTAAAAATTGAAAGATATTTAATCTTCATAATAGTAGTAATAATAGCTTTATTGAAATATATTATTATATATACAGATATTATAAATGAAAATAGATATAATATTTTTAGGTAGATATCAAGTAAGACTTGTAAGTCCTAATTAAAATAGTAAAACACTTAAAGGTATATTTATAATTAATATACATATTTTCATTAGATTTATTATTGCTATTACTTTTACAATTACATTTATTTCCATTGTTTTAAGTACTCAATAATTTATAAAATGTTTTGCTCTAATTAAGGTACTTCTTCATTATTCAATTCCATAATAATATTTTATTTATAAGAACTAAACATAATTACAATATAAAACAACCTTTCTACTTCATCTTTACTAACATCTAGAATTTCACACTCTATATTTTCTGTTATCTTTTTATCTTCATATCCTCTGGCTTTTAGTCTATCATATAAAACAGTATTGTTAGTCCTTAATAACACAACCAAATCAAACCACTAAATTTATATCTCTCAATTACTCTTTCAGGAAAGAATGAAGATGTATGAAAATCTATTATCATTCCTCCAGTTTACATAGCATTTTCTAATTCATCACATACCATATCCTAATCAAATTCAGGTACATTAAATTCTTAATTCCATTCCTTATATAATTTCTTTTAATTTATTAACAATCCAACATCAACATATTAAAGACCATCAATATGTTCACTTAATAATTTTCCTAATGTACTTTTTCCAACTCCTGGTGTTCCAGTAATCAAAATGTTTGGCTTTTACCTATTATTTTCAATTTCCATAAATTAATTATAAATACTTTCAATGAATTAAACTCTTATATTGATTTAAATTTCAGTACGCGGTTGTGGTGTAGTGGTTATCACGTCAGTCTCACACACTGAAGGTCCCCAGTTCGAAACTGGGCAATCGCAGTTTTTTTGTTAATAGTATATTTTATATTAATTTATATTATAAATTTATGTTGCCATCATTATATACTCAAATTTTACATTAAAAATTAATGTTAATCACTTATTTTTTAGTATTCTAAAAGAGTTATTGATCTAAATAATTGATAACTATATAATATCTATTATATATTATTTTATTTAACTGTTAATGAAAATAGCAACTTCATTAGGAGACATGTTTATGTCAGCAGCATATGCACCAAGTGGTAGAGCTACTTGTAAAGGATGTTAAGCAAAAATTAATAAAGAGGAATTAAGATTAAGCAATATTTTAGATGAAGATCATTATCATTAAGAACATCATTTTCATGCAGATTGTTTTTAATTAAAACCAGCCTTTAAAAATGCAACATATAAAGATATTTTTCATGTTGAAAATTTATCAAAAGAAGATTAAGAAAAAGTAAAAGCAATTCTTGAAAAACTATAAAAAAGTTAAATCAAAAAGAAGCCTTAATAAAAAAAAGTAAATCCAAAATCCAAATAAAGTAAACCAAAAAAAAGTGATGTAGAAGATGATAGTAGTGATAGTGATGATGATTACAAAGGAGAAAAAATTTAAAAGGATAAAAAATAAAGTAAAACCTTAAAGGAAAAAAAAGTAGAAGTTTCCAAATTATCTGAATTATCTCAAAATTAAAGTGATGAAGAAAAACCTGATGTCTTTGTTCTTTATGATGATGCTTAAAAAGAAGAGTTTAGAAAAATCTAATTAGAATTAGAGAAAAAATCTGCAGGTTAATTGAAATAGATGTTAAAAGCAAATGATCAAAAATAAACAGGAAATAAAGGAGAACTTATTGAAAGAATAGCTGATTGTATGATTAAAGGATGTTTAGAGAAATGTCCAAACTGTTCAGGAGGAAGACCCAAATTAAATCCAATTTAGAAAGTCTTTAAATGTCCTGGATATATGGATGATACAGAATTCAGATATTGTAATAAAGTTTATGGACCAAAAGATCTCAAAAGAATTCCATGGGTTGATATTTGATATTATGATATAAAATTATGTCGAAGATCTTACTGATCGATAATATATGTAATATTAGCAATCCCTGTTATGATCTTCTATATATTTTGCACCATAGACAAACCGACACTCTTTACAATAATTTCTTTGAAATTAAACAGTGTGGAGATACAGGGTGCTTATAATAGTTATACTAGAGTGTATACTCTCCCGTAGACTCAAATATATTCAATTTAAGGTGACAAAGCGCCCTCAACTATGAAATTAATCAAAGTTTGTGAATACAGCCTTAAGGTTTTGGGAGAGAATGTATTTATCACAAATTGTATGAACAATCTTCACATTAAGTATAAACAAGTGTGCAAAACGCAACACCTGTAAATGTATGCCAAGATGTATATTTAATTTGTGATTAAAAATATTTTAATTAATTAATTAAATCCATTATATACTTATTCTCATTTCAATATTGAGATTGCTTTCTTTTCAAATTATTATAAGGCTTTATTCAAATCTTTAAGAAGATTGATATATAAAATTAATAGCAGGAAAACAATTATAAATTTTATATAAAAATATCAAAAATTATGAACATATTCTTACTCTTTCTTAAAATATATTTGATTAAGTAATTAATTATACATAAAAATAGGGTGTAAAATTATTATATAATTATGAATAATGAGATCATTTAGTTATTGAGTATTTATTAATATTAAAATTTTAATTGTTCGATTAACGGAATAAAAATACAATGAAAAATTCCTTAACTAAATTTTATACTTTAAACTCCTTTTCTTAAGATAAAACTTATACTTTTGTTAAATAGCGAAAGGAGTAATTATAAGAAGAAATTGTTAAAATCAATGAAGAAACAGAATTTGAAGTAATGATATTTATGAATTAATAAGGAATTTGCTGAATTTAAGTTATTAAATTAAGATGAAACCATTATCTCTATTAAATATACTGTTGATTAATTTTATGATCCTTTTTAATAATAGGAAATAAAAGTAGAGCATTATGTTCAAGAATTGATTTACAATATAAGAAGAAAATATCCTTGGATAACTGTATTGGAAAAACGAATATCTTAATCTGCTGAATTATTGTGCTAAATTTAACTTTACAATTAAAAACATAAGATTGTATTATTTAATAAACCATTTACAAATACTTAACATATTTTAGAATTATTGAAACTCTATATAGAGAGAGGGACAATTAACATTAAATTTATATGTCATAATTAAGATGTAATTGCATTGGGTGGTTAATTAAATAATTTATTTGAAGATGCTTTTATTACAATCTCTTAGAAAGATAAATTGTAAATAAATGATAAATCACATATACCTGCTAAATTGATTACTATAAATAAAAAGATTACATCAAATTTTATAAATTTTAAAGATCTACCTTTAAATAATGATTTTATTGTTGATGTTTAAGGAAAGCATTTTAAATATGTTCATTAAGATGTAAATTTCAATGAAAATGTTATAGAATTGGAAAGAAATGATATCATATAGGCCAAATATAAATTGATTCATCAAGGTAAATTGATAGAGGCAGATAAATTCTTAGTAAATGGTATGACTATAAATTATAATGGTGAATATAGATTTTGGACAAAACCATAAATGGAATATATTGTAAGTATTGAGAAATTAGATTTCTATCCTAAATAACACATCTTAATAACAAAAGGATTTGGAGAATATAAATAAGAAATTGAAATGATTAAAATATAAAAAACTATTTTGAAAATAACTAGTAAGAATATTATAGATTAATCAATTCTTGATAATGTTGATATTAGTATTGATGGCAAGATAATTGGATAAACTAATAAAAATGGTACAATAGTAATTTAGAATCTTGAATTAAGGAGTATAGTAATAAAAGCAGCAAAGAAGGGATTTCTAACTATGCCATTATAATTTGATATATCTGCAAATAATATAGGTTAAAGTCTATTAATTGAAATGTTTCCAGATTATTTTAGTTTAATGAATTAATTCCATATTTTAGTAGTCAAACCAAAGAGTGCAAAGAAATTATCACTTTAATTAGTTGATTTAGATGAGTAAAATAAAAGTAATATCCAATAAAAGATAGTACCATATAGTAATGGTACTATTGTAAATTATGGAATACATATTAGTAATTTTGATGCATTTGATAAACAAAAAAATATTTATCAATTATTCATTAAGGATTCAAAAGAAATATTACCAAGATGTAGATAAACTAGTACAAACATAAATAAGAAATCTTAACATATTAATGTATCTCCAAATAATTAAATGAAAACAAGAATAATAAATTAAAATTCAGATTTAAAGACAGAGAGAGGTTTGAATTAAAATAAGAAAGTTACTCCGAATTTAGAAGTTGAACATTTGCATATTTATTTATCTTTTGGAATGGATATAGTATGTTAGCAAATATTTGAAGTTGAAAAATTCACCTCAAAAGTTTATGCTACTATTAATTGTAAGATAGATTGAATTATATTATTAGTATAAAGAAGAATTGTTGAATTAGATGGTAAAGCTTATAGCTGCAGATAATAAAAGTCTCAATCAAAAACTAATAAAAGACGTGAAACTGGTAATATTCTATAACTATTAACAAATCAAATATGATTACTATGATATATTCTATATATATAATAAATCTATTAAAATTTATTTTAAAGTTTTTGAAGAAATATGGAAACTCTAAATTGTTTAAGTTATACAAATAATGAGTTTTTTATACAAATAATTATAAATAAATTAAGAAATCGACATGAATAATTCTAAAATAAATGATGATACAAATTATTGTTGTTTTGCCAATGGAAGAAGAAATTCAGATTCATTTTTTGCAAATCATGTTATAGATGATGATGTAAAATACTAATTTATTTAGGGTGATGTATTAAGAACTACTGGAGTGCTATTATAATTATATAAAGGTGGTTAGGATATAGAAGTTATTGTAAAGAATTTAGAGAAGGTGAGATTAAATCCAAATTGGTTGAGTTAAAAAAGAGAGGACTTAGAATATTATATACCATAGTTTATCAATTACTTAGTATTTAGAGCGAATCATAATGAATTAATAAATTTCTTATTTGATGTTTGTTAAAATAACTTTTTCTTTGCACATTTGACTTACTTTTAATTAAAATCCTAAACATAAATAGTGAATAAAAAAGTCATAAATTTAAAAGATGTTTAGAAGTTTTTGATTGATTATACAAATATAATGAAAGAAAAATATGGTAATGAATATTTAATCAATGGATAATAATTTGTTTCTCATAATTCTAATAAAGAATCAATTTAAATTTATGGGACTCCTGGCTATGATTAATAAATATCCAAAGTTAATGCTTCAGAAATTAATATAAGATAATATTTATCTGTAAATAAAGATAATTAAAATAATGAATAAAATAATGGATTCTCTTCTACTATTAATTTCTGGGATGACATAATTCGAATATCTGAAAGGTATATTAAATAATTAATTAGACTCTATCTAGCTTATCCATAAATAATATCTTTAAAGGCAGATCTACAGAGAATTAATTAAAATCTTCCATCTTCTGTATACATACCTTTTGTTAAGGATCAAATTAGAAATTATGTAGTCTTAAATATAGTAGCATCAGAAACCAAAGTATTTTCTACCAAAGAAAGATCACCTTTCTATATTTGTCTAGAAATCTATAGACCAGATGTTGAAAAGGATCAAAGAAATGACTATAAATAATCTGAAGCGATCACTTTACAAAAATCTATCTTACAATAGAAAATGTCAATAAATGGATCTGTTTGTCTAGATTAAGGCAAATGTATTATTCTTAGATAATATGTAAGATCCAAATGTGCATAAGATCTCAGTACAATAACCACTATAAATTATTGATGAGGATATTATAGATGAAACACCAACAGTATAATTTTATTCCCCTGAAAATGATGAGGAAGTAGAAGAAAAGAGCGTTTACTAATCATTTTCAAAAGAGAATAATGAAGATTTTGTAAGTGTTGGAAGTTCATTTGTATAGGAAAATTAACGAAAAAGTATGTTACTTGGACAAGATGGCCAAAGTTTATTCGGAGAGTCAGCTAAAGACCAAGAGTAAAGAATTAAGGAATAATCTCTATTTGGTAATTTTAAATCCTGGCGATTGGTTCATCTTATTGTGAAATCAGGGGATAATTTAAAATAGGAGTAGTTTGCTATGCAGCTCTTATCTACTATAGATTAAATCTTTATTATTGAAGATCTACCTATGAGATTATCAATTTATGAAGTAATATCCTTGGGACCTAATTATGGATTAATTGAAATGGTGAAAGATGCTATTACAATTGATTCATTAAAACGATAATTATGGAACAGACAATAAACATTAAGCTAATTCTTCGAGTAATCAGTATATCTGTTCAATTATTAGTCATAACTTTAGTGATCGTCATCGAACCAATTTCATGCATAGCTTAGTTGGATATTCTTTAGCCTGTTACATCCTTTAACTTAAAGATAGACATAATGGAAATATTTTATTAAAAAGAGATGGCCATTTAGTTCATATAGATTTTGGATTTTTCTTGGGAAATGCTCCAGGGAAGGGAATAGAAATTGAAAATAAAGTTGCATTTAAATTATTAAGTGAATATATTGAAATACTTGGTGGTGTTTCAAGTGATTTATTTAAAAAGTTTAGAGAATTGTTTTATAAAGGCTTTATGGCACTTAGAAAACATAGTGATCGAATCTTATTACTTGTAAAAATGATGTAATTAATTAAATATAAATCTATAGGTATTCTGGACATAAGAACTCTATGCCTTGTTTTAAAAGAGGAGATAAATCTATTACTCAATTAGAAGAAAGATTTTATTAATATGAAGATGATAATCAAAAATTAAATGTTATTTGTTAAAAGTAGAATCACTCATATTATATTATAGCATCATTAATTCATCCATAGATAATTGGAGAGCAAAATGGTATGATAAATACCAATATTATGTCCAAGGCATTTTTTATTGAATTAAAATTTATAATCATTATTACAATATAATTGTATTTAAATAAATTACTTATATTAAATCTTAATTCATTATCAAATCTATAAAAATATTATGAATATTAAGTAAACTAAAAGAAGTAGTATTTAGTATAATTAATAGGAAATGAATATTCATATAAATGAATGAATTTTATAATATGAAAGAGAACAAACTGATTATATAATTTTATATTGAAAACAAGAAAGATCTAATTATAAAGATAAATGATTCACTAAATTATAATTTGAACTAAGAATCTATATTAATTAATAAAATAGTAATTATAGATTATAAATATTTATAATCTAAATGATTATAACAATTAGTTTAAATGTTAAAAGGGTAATCAATACTAGAAAATGATATTTTGGAAAAAATAATAATTTAAGTTATTCTCAATTATTTTTGTTTGATTCTATACCAACAATGAATTATTTAGAGTTTATTTGAGATTATAATAAATATAATGATTTATTGATGTTTTATATAGTATTACAAATTATTCAGTAAATTTGTAGATTTACGAAAATGAAGGAATATTATCAGAAATGTATAAAATAACAGAAAATATATTATCAAATAGATGATGAATAAAGTTATTCTACTCATATATATAATTTTTTTAATTATTTAGGAATGTATTTAATAATAAGGAAAAGTTAAGAAAAAGCGAATAAGAAGTATTTGTAATTCTGTTTAGAGTTACTATGGTAAAATTGATTTATTGAATAATAAATAAAATAAAATGCTTTTTGTTCTTGATACAATGGTTAGTGCAGCTGATACAACTTCAATTAGTGCTTCTTCATTTTTTGGTTTTATGGGAGTCACAATGGCTTTAGTTTTAGCAAGTATTAATTAAGAATTAATCTTTTAGATTTAGGTGCAGGTTATGGAACATTCAAAGCAGGTGCTGGTATTGCAGCTATTGGTATTTGGAAACCTGAAATAATAATGAAATCTTTAATACCAGTAGTTATGGCAGGTATTTTGGGTATTTATGGTATGATTGTTGCAGTTTTGCTGTCATAAAAAGGTATTTATGAGTTTTATAACAAATATTAGTTAAAAGTCCATTAGAATACACTTATAAATCAGGATTTGCACATATGGCTTCAGGATTATGTTGTGGTTGCAGTTGTATTGCAGCTGGTTTTGCAATTGGTATAGTAGGAGATGTTGGTGTAAGAGGAAATGCATAATAAGAGAGATTATTTGTTGGATTGATTTTGATTCTCATATTTGCAGAAGCTTTGGCATTATATGGTTTAATTGTATCTTTGATATTATCACAATCATGAGTTTGAAGGTATCATAATATATATTATGAAATAAAATCAAAATTCATCTCCTCTAATTCTTCTTGCTAAATTTATATCTCTTTGCATAACAGTCATTCTTTTGGCGTGATGTGCACAAAGAACACTGTCTTCTAAAAGATTAACTATAAATGCTTCTGTTGCTTCTTATAAAGCAAATATGGCGCTACTTTAGAATCTCATTTCTTTTTCATTAACTCCTGCAATCTCTCTTATTAATCTCTAAAAAGGAATCTTCCTTATTAATAAACGAGAGCTTTCTTGGAATTTTCTAATTTCTTTTAAAGCAACTGTTCCTGGTCTGAATCTATGTGGTTTTCTTTCCTTTCTTTTAGATTTCATTTTTTTTCCTGAAGTTTTAGCAATACTTTTCTTTGACATCTCTTTACCTTCTTTAGTTCTGGCCATTCTTTGAAAATGAGGGAAAATAAAATAAAACAAATATTAATTATAATCAATCATTTTTCCGTCAAATTTAAATTTGAATTATATATATATATTCTTGTTTAAATTATACAATTAAAAAAAGAAGTATATATATATATATAATATTTATAGTATTTTAAATAGCTAATAGTATTTATAAATATAAAAAATTTGATAAAATTAATTGACATAAAAAAAGTAAAGGCAGTTATGTAGATAGAGATGTATAAATATTCGAACGTGGGGTAATAGCTCATTTGGTAGAGCGTATGCTTAGCATGCATGAGGCGCTGAGATCGAAGCTCGGTTGCTCCATATTTTTTTTTATTTTTTTATTTTACATTATAACTCACACGTATTTTAATATTGTATTCTAATTAAGTATAAATTAATCTATTTGATATGATAAAAAATAAAAAATATGCTATAAATAATAATACAGATATAGAATTAAAGACTATTATGAATCTGAGAATTAATTATGTATATAATTTTAATACAAAGATGAGTTTAGAAGGAGTCTCAATATAGAAAATATAGATGTTTTAATAAATTATATTCCAATTATATTAAAAATTAGATATTTATTTTTTTAAATAAATAATGAGCACCTAATAGGCTTAAAGACCTTAAAAATAAAGACTTGATCCAACAGATAACTAATTGCACGTGTCATCAAAGAAAAGTGCTAAGGAATTTGTTTTCATTACAAAAATATTTTTGAAGAAATTCAATCAAGTTGAATTACATGCATTAGGTGAAGCCACAAAGATCAGTGTTAGAGTAGCTGAAAATTTATAGAGATAAGGTATTATTATAAATCTTATTCTCTAGGTTTAATTACAATAACTAAAATTAATTCTTTCACAGCTGATATTGAAGGAAGAAAAAGAGTGAAATTAGTGATCACTGTACAACTGACTTAAGATGGAAAAGCAAGAATCAATCAAGAATTATAAGCTTGAATGATTAAATGATGGCAAAACGTATACATATATTAATTTGTTTATATTTAACAGTGTGTGATCTTCAATATTTCCCTATTAAAATACAAGAATTTTGACTTTTTATCCCATTAGATAAACCTAATTAATAATTATACAAAAATATTTATTATTTATTATAGAAACATATGGAATTGGAAAACTGCTAATTATTATGAGTAATAAGATAAGATTGATCATAGAATAGAATTTAACCCTGCAATAATGAAACTTCTCTTTTACCTACTAGAACCATGCCATCTAGAACTGATCATTTCTGATTTATTTAGAGACTTATTTTATTTACAATCTAATGAAGAAGATCTTGAATTGATTTCTCTTCTCTTAATCATAACAGAACCTCTTTATTTTTGTTAAAGTTATTCATTTTTTTTTATTTTGAAACCATATTCTAGTTTTTAAGTATAATTTTATTACATAGAACACTTTTTGGTATAGCTATTAATTAATAATCATTAAGATTAACTGCTCCAGTTTTTGAAAGTGATTATTCATTATTGGATTATAGAAAATTATAAAATTTAATATTTTATTTTAATGGGGATACTTGTGATAACTTTCTAGTTTTTTTAAATTCTGTAATGTTTGTAATTATTTAAGGATTGTTATTAATAACATTATTATCATAGGAATTTTGAGATTGTCTTTCTATATCAGAGTAATTGAAAATGGAATTATTTTAATGAAATGAATTAGAGATTGGGGCTTTTTCAATAGGAATGCAATTAGATTTTAAAATACCATTAATTCCTTCATTCTTTTTTAGTTTTGAGGTTCTACCTTTAAAATACGTTAAGAAATCCATATTCATTTTCATTTGATTAAAAATATATATATATATATTTAATTTGTAATAAATATTTGAATTTATTAGAAGTATTTTGTTGATGAAGAAAAGAATAATCTATTTTTATTTCAGTTCTAAGTTATTATTATGAAAATTAATTCAATATATATGTAATTAAAATATAAATATGGATCCATTTTATGAGGATTACATGCCTACAACAAACAATAAAGATGTAATAGATATATAGTATGAAATTAGATAAAAATATATCGTAATGGTGATTCAAATTTATGTTGCACTATTACAATAAGAGAAAATACAAAATTTCATGAAATTCGTAAATCATTGCAATAAAAATGGGACACTTATTTTAATCGTCTTCGTTTATTCAATTAAGAAGGAGTAGAAATAACTGAAGATGATCTAGATTATATAAAAAATGGAACTGTATTATTTGCTTCTAAAGGTATTATTTAAAGTCAATATTTTAATAGGTGAAGAATTTGATGAAAGTTTTTAATTGGCAGAATATGAACAACTACAAGATATTGGAGAAGGAGGATTTGGTAAAGTTGTTTTAGGTAGACATAAACAAACAGGAGAAAAAGTAGCAATCAAAATGGTGAAATAAACATTAACTAATGCTTAAGTAATAACAAATTTAAATTTAGGATGTTGATATGATTTTTAGAGAAGCTAGAGCTCTTAAATCTTTAAAACATGATAACATTGTAAAGATTTATAATGCATTCTTTTTATAAAATTTATAAACCGTGTATATAATGGAATATTTGGAAGGTGGTGAATTGTTGTAATATTTATAAACTAAAGGGAAATTCGAGGAAAATGAAGCAAGACATTATTTTAAATAATTAGTTAGTGCTATATCATATTGTCACTAAAAGAAAATAATACATAGAGATTTAAAATTAGAAAATTTATTGTTAACTAGTAAAGATTCAGGTGTTATTAAATGTATTGATTTTGGTATCTCTGGATTTGCTTCAAATGATAACCCTGAAAATGCAGATGCAGGTAGTCTTCGATATATGGCTCCAGAATTATTAAAAGGTAAATTTGTATGATGTATTCATTTAGGAATGGATAAAGCTGTCTCTCCTTTAGTAGATGTATGGTCTATGGGTATAATATTATATGGAATGTTATTTGGTACACTACCATTTACTGGTAATACCAATAAGGAAATTATCGCTTAAATCTCAGAAGCTCGAGTAATGATCCCAACAGATTTTAATAATAAATTGTCTCAAAATTGCTAAGACTGTCTATAACGCACTTTAGAGCCAGATCCAAAAAAGAGAATTACTTCAATTGAACTATTAAATCATCCATTTGTTACAAATGAAAACACTCTTAGCACTAATTCGAATAGTACAAATAAGTAATTAAATTGATTCTAAATCTTAAGAACTAAAATTTAAACCTAATTATAGCAAATTGATGAAGATGATAATCCTGTTGTCAAACAAGTTTAATCAACAACCAATAAAAAATAAAATCTTCAATTTACAAAACAACATCCTTAAAGTTCTAGATAATTGGTTTAGACCCAAAAAAAAACACCTTAACCATCCCCTTTATTATAAAAGCAATCATAATCAGTTGGCTAAACAACAAAATAGACTAAGTTTAGTAAAAAATGATAAATGTCTATATTATAGATATATATCAATATAAAATAAGAACAAATTTCATTAATTCTTAATTTTCTGTTATTAAAAAACATTCCTAGTGCATTTTCTAAGTTTTCAGATGAACATACAAATAAAATAAAATTTTATTTAACTCTTTAATTTTATTCTAATTTTCTACATTTTTTTGAATTAAAGAGTGTAAATAAAAATCTACATCATAATTTTATAATAAATATCATTAAATGGTAAATATTATTACAAAAAGTAATAATCTTTTTATTTCATCAATAATATTTTATCCTAAATATATCCTTGTCTTGTATGCTGAATATTTGACATATTCTTAATTTTAGAACCTCTTATTCCTAATAGAATCAATGAAACACTAATTATTTCATATAATACATTATTCATAACTTCTTTTATATTTTATTAATCAATTTTACTTAATAAATAAATTAAAAGTAACTAATTTATTCATTTATTATATAATATGCTATATGTTCTTATCCAATTATAAATTATAATTGTATGTGTATGTCTATACTTGAATCTGCATTAAATAGGAAATTTTTGAAAGTTTATGATTATCGGTTAAGTCTCATATAATATCAATTATATTAGTCAAACTTTAAATTTATTTATTTTTAAGTATTTTAGATTTTCAAATTAAATCAAAATAAATTATAACATATTAAAAGTAAAATAAATATCATTATCTTTAACTGAAAGATCTTTAAGCAGATTCACCATATTGATGAAATAACATTTTAGGAGGAGATCTCCTAATTTTGGATTCAAAATATTTGTCTTAATATTGAACAAAATTATTTGGATATTCATCTTAACTAAAATATATTAATCATAATACTAATCTGTTTCATTATGTTATTTTGTAGAATTTAATTCATGTCTAAATTTAATTTTGCTAAATGAATATTATAACACTTTTGGTAATTAAACAGGATAAAGGGATTCCTAATTGATTTGTTATTATTTTTAAGAACTTTAAGATTAATTTAATTTCTTTTTTGATGATTAAGAATATTTCTCAGTGAAAGATAAATTCTTTTTACTTTCTATCTATTATTCTATTTATAAAGTAGGAAATTATTATTAAATATCTAAAGAACTATCATTGTTATTTGAGTATTCTAGTTGCCTTTAAGGAGATGGATTTGTTTGTTAAATCTTCTTATCTGATTTTAAAACTTTAGAAGGTTTAAAAGAAGGATATTTGAAAGTTTGATCATTCAGATAAATTTAAACATCTTTCACATTACGCTTTATTTCTTTTTTCTTCTTTTGTAAGATGATTTGATCAACTTTATATTTTGGTAAGATTTAAAAAATGTCGAACTTTTCTGAACTTATTAAAGCTTATTCAGCAAAAGTTCTAATTGAACTTATAGTGGGTCTTAATTCAGGATCATAACAAAGTAGTATTCTTAACAAATTATTTAAATTTAGAGTATATTATGGATGATATATAAATTTAATCCCTTTTAGTATTTATTTATGTAAAACATTTATATTATTGGCTTTAAAAGGCTATTCCTTAAACATTAACTAATAAATCAAAATTCCAAGCATCCATATGTCAGATTTACAATCATAAATTTTTTATTTAATAAATTCTGGAGCTAATAAATATATATCTTAATAATTGTCTTAATGAAGATAATATAAAATATTCATATCTCCCAACATAGTAGTAGTTTGAGAGTAAAATAGATTTGATAAACTTATTTTTCCATGAGGATGCTTAGGATGAAATAATTCAATTGCTGAGCAAACCTAATAATTTTGATCTTAAATACTTAAATTAGTATATTAAGGATTTCTTATTCATTTAAAGGACATTAATATTGAGTATCAATATATTAGCTTATCACTCTTATAAATTATATATCAAAATACCCTAAATAAGTATTATCTGCATCATGAGAGGCCTCATAAAATTTAACTATATGAGGATTACAAGTTTTAGATAGTTTATTGATAAATTAGATTAAAGATAGTACTTTATCCTTATTAACTCCTTCTAAACAGTATAACCTTAAGATGTAAAGCTTATTAACTCTTCTAAGGATAATAGTTTTTTTGAATTTATTATAACGAAGCACTTCTACAACAGTAAATTATGGATATAGATTTTCTATGTTCTTTTTTAATGATTTCATTATTATTCTGTTGTGATATTAATTTTATTATTTATCAAATTTATAGAATTCTCCAGTAGGTTTATTGAGATATTTTAAATTTTATTAATAATATACATACAATATCGAAAAGTTAGAGTAAGATTCCATCATAAGAATCTGTATATATTGAATATAATAACAATATAAAATAATATAAGATTGTTTATAATTGGTTGTATATTGATTTATATTTCTATATTAAAAATAAAACTTATTGATGATTTAGTTAATTGATAATTGTCTAAAAAAAGAATAAATAAATAAATATATTATATAATTGTTATATAAATTTTAATGTAAATAATCACTGGTGATGAAACAGGATTATTGAAATTAATTGATTTAGATAAAAACGAAGTGATTAAGAAATATGGAGAACAAGGTAAAGAATTTAAAGTAATCTAAATATTAAACTTAAAAATTGCTGATATCTGTTTTTTCTTGATTTTGAGGGAGCAAAGTTTATTATTATTGGATAATGAATTAAATGAAATAACTTAAATCAGCATTGATTCTTCACCTTTAAAAGGATTTTGTGATTCAAATCATGATATCTATATAATTTATAGCAATAGAAAAATTAATCATGTAAAATATGATTAAGATCAAAACTTATTTCTTTAATAAGAAACAATAAATTCAAATGATTTTTTGCCTTTTACAAATTGCAAAGATAGATATGTAACTTCAGCTGCTATTTCTAATGATTAAACTTTATTATTAGTGACTTATTTTGGTGTTTCACCATCCATTTTTAATTTAAAATAGAAAAAATTATAATGGTAATCAAGAAATGTTAAAAATGATGAATTAGATCTTTAAGTTAAAATGCATGATTATGATGGATTATTTTTAGATGATTATTCTGTTGGTGTTATTACAACCCACTAAACTCTTAGAATATATAATATTCTTTAATAGAAATCATAACCAGTTTCTGAACATTCATTAAAACATTCAAAAACTAAAATTAAATTAATCAGAACACACAATTAAAAATATTATATGATTAATGAACGTGGTGAAATCTTAATATATTAGAAAGATTTTAAATTTGAAAGAATGATTAAAGGTACTTTTGGAGCTGTGAGAGATGTAGCATTCAATAAAGAATATATATATACTGTTAGCATTGATCGTTTTTTAAGGTTTATTTATATATTTATTTTAGAGTATATCATATTGAAAATGTTAGAATACCATTATCAATTAATTTATCATAAAGATTACAAGCTATCAATTTCAATTGTATTGAATATAAAGACATAGAGATAGAAAAAAAGGAAGAAAAAATTTGGACAATAAAAAATGGCAAAGAAGCAAAGGCTAGATTTGCTGGAATGAGAAGACACACTATTAAATTGCCATATTTGGATAAAATGTTTGAAAATCATAAACTCAATAAATTAAATAAAGAATAATAAAAATTGAAATAAGAATAATAATAAATTGAAATTAAATAAGAATATGATGAATAAGATTAATAAGATTAATAACATAAATATAACAATATTCAAAATAAAAAAATAAAAAAATTACAACAAAAAAATAAGATTCTTGGATTAAAGAAATAAAAGTTACTTGTAAATAAACCAAATAGAAAAATCAAATGAAATATTTATTTTATAATGTTTAAATTGTTAATTACATATAATTTTTTATTTTATGAGTAACTAAAAGAATAGCTATGATAATTTGATCTTTTATGATGAAGAAGAAGAACAGCAGAACTTAAGTCAACCAAAAAAGAATTCTCAATTTTTAAATCGATTGCATAATAAAAACAACAAATCATTTGAGAAAACATGGTTAAACACTGTAACAGAAGAACATCGAAATGATTTGAAAGAAAAACTAAAACAAACTGTGGGAAACAGTAAATACAAGTTCAAATATTTGTTTTAGATTCCCCAAATAATGAATAATTCTAAACTTTAAAGTAGAAAGAAGACTTATGAAATTTTTACAAAAAATTCTTAGCTTGAACAATATTATTTATAATTAAAGAAAACTTCCTCTAACTCAGTAGATACAATATAGTCTAAAGCTAATTATAAAGATATATTAAGTTAAATTTCAAATAATAAAGTACATGATACGTATCAACATTAAAATAAAAAAAACAATGGAGTAATTTATACTAATGAATTATGGTCGTAAAAGCTAAGAAATTAAATAAGTGAACAATCTAGATTAAAGGAATTATCAGAGTTACTAGAAATGAATAAGATTAAGATGAGTTATGATGAATAATTACAAAATTTTTAAGAATACTTTGTAAAAAAAACAAAACCTAAAAAAGAAACTATATCTGATATGTAGTAAATTATATCAACAGCATTTTTATCAGAAAATTAAAAGGAAAGTAAAATCTAAAATGAAAATTAATACAAGAAACCTTAAACCTTAAATATTTAAACATATTTTAAACCTCATATTGATGAATAAACTTTTGATTATTCAACAAAACATAGTCGAATAGGTTCCCGTAAACACAGTCAAGGATATAGACCATAATCATAAGAATATAGTATTTTTAGTCGTAGGGCATCGACTTTTAAAAATAAATTAAATGATGAAATGACTACATAATTTAATCATATAGATACCCCAAATGATAAATTAAGATTCATAATTGAAGATTCCTGCAAAGAAAATGAATCAACAAAAACTACTGTTTCTAAAATTAATAATTTTCTTAAATCAGAAAAAGAGGATTAAGAAAGCATTAAAAAGTAAAAAATTCAATTCTAGTAAGTTAAAGCTTTGAATAATGCAATAAAGATTAAAAAATAGAGGGAAACAAATTCTCATATTTCTAATTAAATAACTTGATATTATATTTATTTATTTTTACATTCCTCCATCCTAAATTGGTAAATTATATTTATTTCAATAGATTTAAGACTATTTTCGATAATATATTAATGATTTAGCTTGGTTTAATGTAAAAATTGATTAAGAACTTAAATAGAATATATTTTATTAATTTAGATGAATGTATTTTTTTTCACATCTTATGATCTATTTCTACTATGCGTTTGATACGAAAATTTTTGGGGGTTATCTCTGTGCGTGTTTCACTTTCCATATACTTTTTAACCTAAAATTCATAATAATAAAAAATACATCTTCGTAGGTACAAACTGTTCTACCATCTGGAGTAGTCTTAAATACTCTTTAATATGCTGTCAAATTTGATTAGTCCTATTATTGAATTTTTTATTAATCTTAATATTAGGGTATTTCAGTTTTTGGAGTATTTGATTAATAATTTTAATTATTTCTCTCATTCATTTGAAAATCTTAGCCACCATATGGATATTGATTATTATATACTGGTTGGTTTTTATTTATCTATCTATCATTGTTATTTTATTTATTCAAAATAGAAGTATGATTTTTAAAATCACATATCATATTGTCCCATGGATCATAACTTTATTATTAGTTTTATTAATAGGTTTGTCTTTATTAGTATTGTTATTAATATTATTATTACATCATTTCTTATTGAGTCCTCTATTCTTCATATTACAATTGATTCATATTTTATTATAAATAATGATGAAATAATATTTAAGATTTCACTTAAAAAGTGATTTAATTATTATATCACATAGTTAAATAAAATTTAAGTATAATAATGAACATATGGAAAAATAATAGTTTATGTTCATTTATTAGTGGAGCTTGAATTTTAGCTAGAGCCTTCTTTATAATTTCTTGTTTTTTATTTAAGTGCTAAATAATCAGAAAGAATTGATTTTAACCATTTCCAGGCCTACTTAAGTGATGGCTACTCTCGAAAAGAATGTTCAGGATGGCAACTAATGACCATATGTAATAATGATTCAACAAATTTGTGTTCATTGGAATATTTAGATCTTCCTTAATATAATAATACTTTATGATTTGCAATTCTTCTGAAATATCTTAATTTTCTTGATTACTTATAATGAGATCTTATTCTAATTTAAGAATAGACTTTTGTAATTCTATATTAGTTTTTTATTACTAACTATTGTGAATAATCTCATGATGTAATTTATTTGATATTGAATTTAGTTCTTTGTTTAATTCATCTATACATTCTTGATCTTTATTTGAACTTTTATATTGAATTTCTAATTAATGTTTTAGATCCTTTATTTAACTGAGAAGTAATTATTCTACCTTTCTCAATTTATTTATAACATTATTCAAATTTTATATTTCTTCATCTAAATCTTATTGATTTTTTGGTAATGATCTATTGGAACTCTTTTTTGTTACAAGAATATCTTAATTAATAGATTAATTGGCAGTATATGAATCTGTTGATATATTGCCTTCGGCTTCGCTTTCACGAATAGAATACAACATTGAAATTTTAACGAAATTTATTTTAATAAATATATGTATGTATGTAGGTGAATAATTCTGTTTATCATTATCTAAATATACCTCCTTTTTTTAAGGCATTTTCAGCATCTTTAATTGCTAATAATTCATTATCATATTATTATATTAAAGTGTTATGTGAAGCAGTTCTAAAGATAATAATTGTGTATATACCTCTCAATCCATCTATTTTAAGTTGTATTAAGATTATCTTCAGCTTCTGCTAAATTAATTCTTGCATCATTAAGAATTGAATTAAGTGCTTTAATTTCACCATCCTTAGTCTCAATTTCAGTTTATAATAAAGGAATTAATACATCCCTAATTCCAGTTATTTTGGCTTGAATTTCTGATAAAATATCTTATTATAATTTTGATTAAGCATCAAATTAATTTTATAAAGAAGTTTATCCATCAATTAAAGATTGTCTTAATTAATTCATATAATTGATAACTTTGTTAAGATTCTCTTAATCAACATAATTATTTTATGCAATTTAACTGAGTGCTTTTACTAATGGTTAATAGAAGACTCTTTTTGAAGAAAGTTATTTGAGACTATTATTAAATATAAAATAATACTGAGTGTGCATCTTTGATGATATCTCTTTGATGTTGTCTGATTTTTATAACAATGATGTTTCATCTTTTACTTCATTTAATAATGCAATAGCTTAATCTAATACAGTAATTGTATCTGCATATTCATTGAATTATCTTGTAAAAGTAGATTTATCTGAATTAATTTATGCTTCTTTAGCATTAAATAATTTTGTAGCATCATAAAGATCTTATTTGGCTTCAGTTAAAAATTATTACAATCTAGTTCTTTCATCATTCAAATCCTTAACATCAATTTCTAATTAGGCTATCTGAGAAATATTAAAATTCATAATAATACCTTATTCTTAAAATCTGTAATTTAATTTTAGTAGTATTGTACATCAGCTTAATATTATTAATATTCTTGTTCATAAAATGCATTTTCTTCATTCTTTCTAGCCTTAAAAGATTCAGCTAATTCATCTAAAGCAACAAATAATTATTAGAAATTAAAGTCTTTAGATGCTACTTCTGATAATGCTACAATCACTTATTAAAATGGATGTATTTAATCACCAAATGTAGATAATATTCCTTAGCTATATATGATGATCGTCTATACTTAGCTAATGTCAAATACAAGAGAGACAATGCGATGAATGTTTTCATTTATTAATTATTAATCCGTTTTTATGGGAAATAATATTAAACCTGATAAAACAATAACTCATTTAATCATATGGATTTCTGGTTTCTACTTAATACTATTTCTTAATCAATTATCATTATCAAATTGATCTAAATTATTTTATTATTGTACTAGTTACCTTTTTAAAATCAGTATAAAACATGCCAATAAATAATGAATTCATTAAATAAAGGCTATATGACAAGGTTGAATAAATTTCACTAACCATATTAGCTATAAAGTCTTCTGATGCACTTAGACCATCATTTAAATTAGGTTCTCCTTAAGCCATTGGCATACCCATAAACAAACTTATAAAGTTTACAGAAACAACTAAACATATTTATATAATATAGACTTACAAGCAGTAAATAAAAAACATATGACAGTAAATAAAGCAGCCTTTATTTACTGACTTAATGAGTACTCTTTTAATTAATTTGGAATTTTCTATTTTTGTGAACTCTACTTATAACACATATAATAACTAGTATAAAGGAAATTCATCAAAAAGGAGAAGGTTAATAAAATCCGATCTTCCGTATCTATAATAATAATAAAAATAAAATATATGAAATTATAATACATAGAAAGTTAGCTTGGTTTTTTTATTCAATTGGTAATAATGCAAATGCTAAAAATGATAAATGAGCTGAAACTCCACTCAAAAAGATTTAAAATGAAAAAGGTTTGAAGTGTTCATATCTTGAGTTAAATCTTAATTTTTATGATATTTTTTAATTGGTCTAGTAAATTAAATAATATATTAGGATGCCTATCAAACTCATTAATGCATTTCCTATCTAATATATTAGAATTATAATTTATTATACAGTAAATAATTAATTCTTTTAAAATGGTAATTCCAAAAACAAAGGAAATGTTTATGCTCTTGGATATTGAAGTTAACTTAAAATAGCAGCAAAAAGAACAATGAATGATATTGATGCATACATAGGTGGCAAATATGTAATTTGTTATTTCAAATTTGTTTATGTTTATGCACTTAAATCTCTATTATTGAGACTGACAAAGGATTATTGTTCATCATCTCTTGAGATCTCATTCAATATCATTGACACGTCAATAAAAACGATTAAAATTATATAATTAATATATTAAAAATCAAACCTTATAATTCTTGTTTTAACTTTTAGCATTACGACTATATGTTTCTAAATATTAACTATCTAAGGTGAGATTTTTATAACCAATTGAAATATCTAATTTTTTGCCTTTCATTGTAGATTCCCTCATTTTTGGTCTATATTTATATTCAATTATTATTACCTTGAATTTGGAATAACTTAATATTAATTTAAACTAGATTCTGGTTCCTCTTATTCAGTTTTAATACGAATATCTTAAATATTCCTTTTACCTGTAACTACTATACTATTATTGATATTTGAATTGATATTAATGTAGTTATTATTTACTTAAGGTGTTTTCTTATAAAATGTTCCACCTATGCTATAAAATCAAAATATGATTACTTTTAATTGTTCATATATTTTTGTTATGTAATTTTTAAGATTTATTGAATTTATTTAGATCTATTTTTCTTTTCAGATGAAATAGTTGGTGTTGCTCTAAAACCTAGATTAGATGGAGGTTTTGTAATGACACTTTCCCTTCCTTGACTTTAACTAGCAGCATTCAAAGAGAGTTCTGTAGGTTTAGTAATAGAAGTGTTAGATATATTTGTTCCTCTTAATTTCTGCATTCTAATTTATTACAATTAATAACCTAGAGGATTTCAAGTTTGGAGCATAATTATATTACTTAATTTTGACTGATGATTCATCAACAATGAGATCAGTTAATTTCATAAGTCTCTCATTTAATGCTTTCATAAAATGTGGCTATGTTGCATCAGTCAATCGATCCAAATTATCACAATTTAGATTATAAATAGTAACATCCTTTAAAGATTGTAATGATGTATCGGATGAAGATTCATAGTTTTCTTTTGGAAATTTAAATGTGTGATTTAATTTGCAAGTCTTATATCTAATATTAAATTGTATTCAAGATTACTTCATTTCTATTTCAAGTTTGAAATCTTCAACCTCAGAATCCTCATCAGGTTAAGTTTTAGTTATTAATTCTAAAGGAACTTGTGGTTTAACGATCTTTTGATATATTAAATATTTCATGAGATCCTTATCGATATTTTTTGGTTGTTGCAATTATGGACTCTTAGATTTTTTATTTCTGTTGGACATAATCAAAATTAATTATAAAATTAATATAAGAAATACTCATTAAATTAAATATATTTTATGTTCTCTTCCTCTACATTTTTACATTCTTATCATTTCCAAACATATATACATATATGATTCATTATATTAGTATTGTATATAAGCAATAATTTATGAATAAATATTAATTATTTTAGATATTGAAATGCTAAGTGGCTTATTATATAGTCCTAATTGGACATTCGTAGACAAAATCTTGAGAGACCCTTAATTGGTAGATCTCGAATACTTTGTTGGAGGTGGTCCAGGACATGATTGGCTTGCAAAAGTAGTCAGAGTAGAACAATAAAAGTAATGCCCATTTAAATTTATATTTATTTAGATATTTAGGTCCAAGAGCTAAATTTGAGAGATAATTTAATGAAGACCCCAAAACTTGGGAAGTTTTCTCAGATAATTTCTATCGTCTTACTGTCCTTGCTGGAGTAGAAAGATTACTCACTCTTAGGTAAGCATATGGAGGCTTAAAGACCAGATTTACCTTTGGAGATTCCAACACGTACTATATTGCTTAATTTATAGAGCTTGTCTTTAATAAATATTCAATTAAGGATTATTTAAGGGATATTTTAGAGGAGCATTATTAAATGCTTTCTAATTTTTAACAGTTTGGGCTCATCCATTAGTATATAGTAGAGGCAATGGATATGCTTCTCATTATCTATACTCTTCATTATTTGAATTGATTACTTATCCAATTGATACAATAAAGACCATTATATATTCTGATGTTCAGGGAAGATATAAGGGTGCATTTGATGTAATTGAATAAGTAATCAATCATTTAAATTATAGATTTATGCAAGAAATGGATTCAGTCATTTTTATAGAGGAATAGTCTTCAAATTGGCATTTAATGGAACATTAATCTATCATCTCAGAAATGTCTATGAATAAGATTACATTTAATAAGTAATACTGCTTGATAGTATTCTTAGTTAATATCAACCCCATTATTGGCTATTGGTTATGGATTCCTTACTATCAAGACAAGATTGCAATTAGCAAGCACTGATTTGAGTTTCTAATAAACAAATCAAAAGGGAAGAATAGCTGCAAATCTTTTCGCTTAAAAGACACCATTTAGTATCTATAGAGGTGTTATTCCATTCCTATTATTAACTGATTTCTTCCACTACAAATTATATGCACTCTATTCATCAACTGCACAATCAAGAACATTGGATGAATTCCTCGTTCAATATAAACATCATATAGGAAGTCCAAAGCATGAAAATTTATGGCAATGATTATGCAAATAATCTAAAAAATGTCAATATAAAATATTAAAATTTATAACTTAAGATTAATTTTATCTCTTATTTTCTTCATTCTGAATTCAATATAAATTCTCTATAAACTATCTAAATTATTCATAATAATTAAATGAAACTTTAAATTATTGAACCAGATACTAAAATTTGATATTCATCAAAGATTAATTAAATATATTGCATTAAATATTAAAAAAGGAAAGAAAACTCAATTTCCAGAATCTGAAAATACTTATTAATAAATAAATAAAATTTATCTAAAGATTTAAATAGTAAAATATCTTGGATATATATTAAAAAAATAAAAAAACTAAATTTAATAAATACATAATATCAAAATTTTTAATAATTGAAGATGATTGAATATAATTGTTTCTAATTAATAATATAAATTTGATTAAAGATTATGAACTTATAAATTCCACTAATTATAAATTAGAAATGTAGCTTTTAAATTAAAAAATAAATTAAGTTAGTTAAATAACAGATTAAATATAAAAAATATTAAATAAAAGAAATCTATCTTAGAAATTAAGAATAAAAAATTAATAATTTAAAATGATAGAGTTAAAAAGACTAATCAATTTAAATAAATATATTCAATAACATTAATATAAAGTAATTTGAATCAGTATCTCAATTTAAATAAAAAGTAGGAACTGTAAATAAATTGTTTATTTGTATAAAATAAAAACAAATATTTATTAATCATTTAAATCATCATAAATAAAATCTATATTTATTTCCTATAATTTAAATCTTGAAAATCTAATTATAATCATAAAGTTAAACAAAAAATTAAATATTTAAAATATTATATTAACAATTTACTTTTAATATCAAATATAGATATGTATACTGTTCATTAAAATAGATTTGAAATCATTAAATAAAAGAAATTTATAATTTAAATTAGATTGATAAAAAACTACATTGAAATGAAATAAAATTAATGAAAATTTATTGTTTTAATTATTAATAAAGTATTCTTAATTAATTTAATATTATTTATTCAATTTTCAAAATGATATGGCATAATTATTTCTTTTTTCTTATGATTAATTCAATTCTTAATATAATACATTTTAATAAAAATCTTATCAAATCAAATTTTGATAAATATATTTTTATTATTATCTTTCATTAATAAAGATAATTTTATTTATTTTTCTACAATATGGACAGTCAAACTAATTTAAAGACAAAAATATGTAAACAAATACAAAACGACTTTAAGAAATAGTTTTATTCAGATGATGATGCTGAAGTAACACCTAAAAGACCTTTTATAGCAAAACCTTCTAAATTTTCAAAAGGAGAAGGATAACCATTTTAAACTGACGACTCTGATAATACACCTCTTAAGTTATTTTCCTCTAATTCACCTAAAGGATAAAATAAATTATCAAAATTTAAGTAAAAGGAGAGTCATATAGAAAAAGATTCTGATATATAATTTGACTCTAACGAAGATGAAAAAAAAGAATAACCTGAAATAATTTAAAATAATCAAAAAACTGATCCAGAATGTGCTATTTAGTAGATGTCAAGATAAATGGAATTAAAATATCAAAATCCTAAACCAGCCTTTCAACATTTACCGATCTAAAAGTCAAATTCATCTAAGTAAGTTGTTACAAAGCATCTCAATATTAAAGAGCATCAATTTAGACATTTAGTTTATGGCAAAAACATTAATTAAAATGACTTTTTAAGATTTTTATAAATAGTATAGAGTGGATTGCTATATGCACGCAATTCTTTAAAAGGTCCATCTGAAAAATTTTTAAGAAGCAGATTTATTAGACTTAGAGAATCAAATCAAAAAAAGTCAAAATTATTAATTCTAGATTTGGATGAAACTTTAATTCATAGTTGTACTTCTAGAGACTCTCCTTAAGTTACAATCACTCTTTAAGAAGATGAAGATAAATTTGATGTAATATTATAAATATTACATTCTAGTTATGTTTCAATGTTAGGCCGTTTTGCAAAGAATTTTTAAAGGAAATGTCTAACTATTACAATATTTATTTATTTACAGCTTCATCAGAACTATATGCTAATGCAATTGTTAATCATTTAGATCCTAAAAGATAGTATATAAATGATATTTTGTGCAGAAACAATTGTTTTGAAACCAAAAATGGTTTTTTTATAAAGGATTTAAGAATTATAACAAATAGACCTCTTAAAGATATAGTAATTGTTGATAATTTACCTCATTCATTTGGATTATAATTAGAAAATGGTATTCCTATTTTAGAATATTTATATGATTCAAAAGATGAAGAATTGAAATATTTATAAAATTATCTAATTCAATTAAGTAAAGAAGAGGATGTAAGACCTTTTAATAAAGAAAACCTAAAATTATTTGATTTAGTTGATTATAAACTAAATATCTGAAGTTTGTAAATAAAATTGATTGTTAAATAGTTGTTCATATATAAATATCTTAATAAAGAATGTAAAATATTTAATCCAATAAAAAATAGATGTTTTCCCATTATTTATTATATACTATCAATCACATTAATCTTTTTTTTTAATTTCCTAGAATTATACTTTTTTATTACATAATTATATATTGATAAATAAATAAATTGAATATTGTTTATTTATTAATATGATTGTATATAGTTTTGTTTGAATTAGAAATCTTTTTAAGATTTAAATGAAAAAATACAAAATAATATATGAATATGATTTTATATTGTATTTTAATATTAATTTATGTTAAAATTAGATCAATAAGAATTAATTATACAGAGAATTAAATCAAAAAAGCCAATATTCAAGACAGTAAGCGAAATAGAGTATTTAATCTATTTATTTGTATAGACAATTTCCTAAGTACATTAAAAGTAGAGAAGCTATTTAAAAATCAATTTTATCATAGATTCAAAGATAAGTTTCAAATATAGATATGGATCCTTTAAATTATGGTTAAAAAGAATTAAAAGATGTTATGAATTAGATGTAAGAATAATTGAAAACAGTTTTCCAACCTTCATTCAATTTAAATGATAAAACAAAATAAAAATAGATGATGAAATAAGAATCAAAATAACTTTATGATGAAGAAAACAATCATCCAAAAAAATAAAGAGTTGATAAAAACAAATGTAGAAAATGTAAACAATCTACTATCCCTATGATATTAAATCTACTATAATAAACAGAAAATTAGGATACAAATCCTCATGTCACCATGAAATCTATTAGATAATAAATAGTTCAAAAATCATAGAAAAAAGAAGAATAATCAGAATCTAAAGTTCCATATATTGCTTTTGATTATTCTGATCGAATTATTATATGTAAAAGATGTAGATTTAAATTTCATGCTGAATGTGTCTAAGTACTTGATAATATAAATGATTGGATTTGTGATTATTGTTTAGACAGAATATAAGAATTAAAAAGTTCTAATTAATGGGATTACATAAATAATAAATAGTTGAAATAGCAAATATGTCCAAATTCTGAATAAAAGAAGATATAGTTATCATTAATAGAAAGAATATAGAAAAAATAGAAAGTATTTATTATTGAAGAAATGGAAATAACACCATTTAAGCCAATTGATTAAATTTCAGATTTTTTAAGGAGATATCCACTATATAGAGGTTAGAATGGCAAAATAAAATATCCAGTTTTAGAAAAGTTGGCTTTAGATTATACAGAAGTTTTAGAAATTAAATAGAAACCATAACCATATATGATAAATTCAAGTTTTGTTGAAGAAATCCTTAAAATATAAACAAGTTATTAGATTATGTTTCCTAATTGTTAAACACCATAAAATGTTAATTAAGATTATATTGAGAAAAATTTTTATGAAATTCTTATGAATTTGTTAACTGAATATTTTAATGAATTCATGTTATCAGATGTGTCTAAATTTGAAAAGTATTGCAATTAGGCTAACTTTTAAGCAAATGCATTTTTAGAAATTATGAATTATTTGTATGGTCGTTAAGAAAATGTGATGAAAGATTTAATAAAAAAGACATGGATAGAATGTGTAATATAAATTGATCAAATTATCAATTATAATTATGAGTCAAAGATAAATAAAATAAATTTTAATAGTTTAGAATTTTCAGATTAAATATACATTTTAAATATATTAACTGAGGGTTTATATGATTTGGACAAAATGAAAGAATAAATTAAGTAAAAGGATTCTTAAACAAATTATAGACAATGTAAAATCTCAAATTATTTTAGCAAATTTAAAAATATTATTTTAACAAAATTAATCTGCTTATATTAATTGTGGAACATATCTTGGTTAAGATGCAGATGAATAATAATATTTTTATTTTACTCATGTTCCTAGTTCAATATTTGTTGAAACTATGACAGGATGGGGTTAATATACACTTTCTGATCTATCTGAATTAATGAATGCACTCAATTTATAAGGAGTTAATGAATTAAACTTATTTGAAAATCTAGAATTAATAAGTTAAGTCAAACTCTTTGATAATACAACTCCTATAAAAACATAGAATAGATTAATTTAAAGTATTTGTAAACCAATAAATAGAATAGTAATATAATCTAGAAATTATTGAAGTTATTGAATCGTTTTTGCTTACTGAAGAGACATATACAAAATACTTGTAATCTAGAAATTTGATATGGATAGAAAATAATTAGAAACAAAATTTTTATTAATTATTAAAGAATGAAAAATAACTTTAATCTATAATATAAGCACTAAAAATGTTTTTTAATGGCTTATTATTATTAAAATCAAATGATGGATATATTATTAAACCATTTAAGTTATTTAAATAAAATTTTTAGCTTGTTAATTAATTAGCTGTATTTGTGGATAATGCATCAACTTAATATAGCATTTATATTTCTTTAATTACTTTAAATTTATTATTAGATGAGTATCAGTAATATCGATCTTAAAAAGAATTAAAAAATAAAAAAAATTAAGTTCCAAGAAAACTTACTTAAAAAGTTACCTAAAAAGAAGTTAAATAAATAAAAAAAAAATCAAAATTAAAACATATTGAAGATGATGAATCTATTGAATAAGAATTAAGTCCTTAATATCCTACAAGCTTAGCTAACAAAAGAGAAAAAAGGGAAAATGCAGGAAAAAAGTATAAAATTTACTTATTTTAAGTCCAAATATGAACTTTGATTAGTAAGTGAAGAATCAAAAGAAAATATTTTGTACATTTTGTAAGAAATAGTTTTCATAAGCTTCTTAAAGTGTTTAATGTTCAAGATGTAACAAACCTTTTCATCAAGAATGCTTAATAATAAGAAAAGACTATTGCAAAAATTGTGTCAGAAATGGCAACAAGAAATAAAAATGATGCTTTTCTTTTAATAAGCTTAATTAATACAGTATATTAATTTCTTTAGATTATTCTGCTTAAAATATATTTACAATATTTTAAAATCCAGAATATATCATTTTTATATAACTATCTTAATTTTATTATATCTAATTTATAATTAGATTAATTAATTATCTAAAATTTTAATGATTTTAATGGTTACTTATTTAAATTATAAAAATTTCAAATTAATCATAATATCAAAAAATCTTCAATGTTATCATTCAAATCTTAAGTTTTCTTCAAACATTCATTTATTTCCCTTTCAAACTTAAGAAATTTACCTTCTTCCTCATTATTTTAAGATAGTAGAACTGTTGATAAAAAACATTTATAGAGTTATTCTAAATTTTATTTTAACTCTTCTGTCTACTTATGTATCATAGTAGCAGCAATTTTTATATCTTAATTTTCTTATTACTTTCATATTTAGATAAATATACTACATTTTAAATTGGTTAAGGTGTTGGTTTCAAATAATTTAATCCTTTCATAAGTATGGAAGGAGGTTTAGACTATTTTGAAGTTTAACTCTCAGCATCAGATATCATAGATGAATCTAAATAGTTTGGTTCTACCATAGGAGTTTTAGAAATGCTTTAATTGAGTATTTGCTTTTGCATATTTGGAATAGGCTATTATTTTGAAGATTTGACAAATTGGGATATTTATTAATTTTCCATTTATAATTATTTGATAATTTAATTTTAATCATTTGTTTTCTATAAAATAAATATGAATATATATACTTATTTTAATAGTTAATTTTATTATTCTAATCTATTTAATTCACTTAATGCAAATGCTCTTTTGTCTAGATGTTATTGATTAGTCAATTTTTATTATTCTAATTCATGATTCAAATCATTAATCACTATTTTATTTTCAGCTAATTTTTATATTAATTCACTATTTTTTTAAGTTAATCTGATATATATTAATATATATAAAATACTCTATGATAGATTATTCTAATTTTGAAATTTACAATTCTTTTTCCATTATAATTTCTGGATTAATAGATAATAGTGTTGAAATTGTACTTTCAGTTTTTTATTAAAGCAATAGAATTTATTCTTCAAGTTATGTAATTTTTACTTAATATTCTTATTCTTGTTATTATAATTATATTTTCATTTATTTATATTTATCCTTTTAATCATCAAATATTTCTTTTTCTTATTTTCTTTTTTCTTTAAATGCATCTAATTATTATTGTAATATATTATTATTTTCAAATAATTTAGCAGCTTCAGATTTAAATTAACTTAATTCTCTTTCATTTCTAAGAAACTATATAATATAAATAATCTTACTTCTTTAGATTTTTAGTCAAATTTTAATTCTTCATGATTCAATTTAGTTTCTAAATCTCTTATTTTATTATTAAATTGTTCTATTTTATTATTAAATTCAGCATTTTTATCTTCAATTTACTACAAAAGTCTAGAATTTTCTTATTAAATCTTTTATATTTCTTTTTATAATTCATTAACCAATGTTATTAATTCTATCTTTAACTTTTCTTTTTCATCTTCTTTAATTTAATTTAATTTTTAATATTCTTTTGATAATTCTTAATATTTATTCTAAATTTCTGAATATTATTAATCAATAGTCTTTTTTTCATTTACTATTTACTCAATTTAATTTTACAATTGACTAACTAATTATTATTAAGTATTTTTTTGATTATTGATTTTATCTTTAAGTTACTTTTCAGATTCTAATGAAACAACTAAGTCTTAATTTTCTGATTGCAAATTAGCTACAATTTACAAAGTTTTTTCAATTTAATCCTTAAGATGTTGAACTTCCTCTGATTAATATTATCTACTCGATTAAGCTGGTAGATTTTCTACAAACATTAATATTGAGTCATCAATCTATTAGAGTAAATCATGAAATAATTATGCAGAATCTATTATTAATTTTGAATTAATACCTTAATCATCATTTTCATATCCTATTTAATCATTATAACTTTCCAAAAAGTCATTCATTATGTCTTTTATAGTATTAAATAAAGATTCTTTTAATTCCTGACATTTTTTTTCTTAAAATTCTTAAGGCATTTACATCTTCTAAAGTGCTAAAATCTATTATTTGTATTTTTAGCATTCTTTCATAAATTTCTCTTTATCCTAATATTCTCCTTCATATTTCTTAAGAATTTCCATCTAACTCATTTTATATTGTTCAACTTCGTCCATTAATTATTTTCTTTCTATCTATAGCATCTCTACTTTTTAAAAGATGGGTTCAATTTCAACTCTTTACTAATCATAACTAATTTTTTTTGGAATTCATACGCTTTTCTTAAATCATTTATATACTACTCTTGTTTTATAGACTAATCATTGGCTTTCTTTGAGTCATAAATATACTTTTTAACAGCAAGTGAATCAAATTCCAAATATTGAGTAGGTTATTTCTTCTATTCTTTTTTTGAAAATAATGACATTTTATTTATAGAGTATAAAAATGATGAAATTCAAATAATTAGTATTCTGATTAATAATAATACGATTTCGATAAGATTAGGATAATAATATATGATTAATTCAAATATTAATATACTAATATTTTGCATATTATATTCACTATACTAATCTAATTTTATTATGTTGTAGTTAATTCATAATAAAAAATTCAAATTATTTTAAATGAATAAAATAAATTTGATACATTAAAATATCAGTATATGAATAAAAATTTAATATTTTTATAAACATAGTTGTAATGCTAATCTTTAATGTATTGATTCCTGGAATTTTTAATAAATAAATATAATTATTTAAAGAGATTATTTTTTATGTAATTTCTTAATTAAATGATATAATTTTAACAAATAAGCTACCAATGAAATTCTATTTCTTCCTAAAATGTATTAATTTTTGATTTTTTAATGTAAAGATAGATTTATATTAACAATCAAAACAATCCAAGATAAAAAATGTTATTATAATAAAAATTACAATATAGAATTGAATTTATATTAAACGATGCTAATTAATTTATTCCTAAAAAGATTCTATTATTTATATAATTCTATTTATTAAATAAGAATCATGATTGAAAGATTTTACAATTAGAAAATTTTGACTTAAGAACTAAAATTATGAAACAAATTGTAATCATTTTAATCAGCTTCATAATAAAGATTAAATATTTAAGTGATTTAATTATTAATTAAAAGATAATTCTATAATATTTATGAATAAAGAATTAGAATATTTTATATTTCTTGATTATATCTTAACTATTAAAATATATGTTAAAAAGACTATTGAATATAATATGAAATACTATATGAAAGATTAATTTAAGATATTTTTGATCTTGAAACCTAGAATTAGTAGTAGATTATAGAATAAAAAAATCTAAAAAACACAAAAAAAGTAAAAATAAAAGAATGAATAAAAAATTAAATATGAATTAAGACCAAATTAATAGTTTTGAGTTAGTAGATAAGTAAGACACAACTTAAGATGAAATCCATTTTAATGAATGCTATATAGATCAATCTGTAAAGTAACATTTAAAAATAAATATTTAAAAGTCCATGTTAAGAGATTGGAATTAATGTACAAGTTTCTGGAAAATCATATGAAATTTAAAATGATACATTAGAATGGAATTTAGTTGAAAAAGACAATCAAGTACTTGAAGATAAAAAAATCATAGACATAAACAATAATACTTAAAATGATCTTGATGACACATGGGTTGTGATTACTAAAACAAAAAAGTATAAAAAGAAGTCAAACCGAAAATTGACTAATTCTTAAGATGATTAGTCCAAATAATAAAAATCTCCTTAGAAACCAATTCCACCTACTATTACGGAATAATCCGTTAAATCAAATGCTCATGATATTGCTCTTTTTTAAAACTAGAAAAATATTCCTTAGGGAATTGAAACAATAAAATAAAAAGTATTTATTGCAAATACTGAGAAGATTTTAAAATCAGAAAATTAAGAAATTGATAATCGATCATAACAAAACTTTTTAAAAGAGGATCAAACTTCTTTAACTTAATTAGAATAAGTAAATAATACAAAATAATCACAACAATTCATATAAATAATGGATTTAAATCTTAAAATTCCATAAGAATGTAATAAATTATTTAAAAGAAACACTAATGTGAATCATCATTTAGATTGTTAAAATTCTCCTTTTAAATAAACAATAAAAGAAGATTAAATTGATTAACATATTATGAATTAAGCAAGAGCCTTAATGATCAAAAAGCTTGATATGGATATGAGAGAATTTAATGATATTATTTTAGGTTAGAACCAATAAATTCTAAAATTAAGGAGAATAATTTATGACAGATTATAATTTGTTATCAATTATCTATTTAGAGGTTTTATTTATCACATATCATAGCTAGATTTTAATTCTTAAGTACTCCTTTTTGGTTCATGTGCAACTGGTTTAGCTTTACCAGAAAGTGATATTGATATAGGAATAACTGGATTTGAAATGTGTTCAACTTAATAGTTATATATACCTATTTAGAAGCTAACTGAATTTCTCTAAAAAATGAGATGGGTTAACAATATTGTGTAATTTAAATTTATATTATTTTATAGTGTAATCACTTCATCAGCTATGCCATTGATCAAATTATAAGTAGATCCAATTATTTCATTTGTATAATCTTCATTACCAATAGGCTTACCTTACATAGATCTAATTATAAAGTATTAATATTAAATTAATAATAAAAGTCCTGATGAAAATATTACAAGATAGATATTTAGTGTAGATATTAGTTTCATTTAATATTCAGGTCCTAAATAAAATTAACATTTGGGTTTAATTTCTACTGAATTAACATTATAATGGTTGTCTTTTTATAGTGAATTAAGAGCTATTGTATTATTATTCAAAAGTTTACTAAAGAAAAGAGGACTTAATGATTAATTTAAAGGGGGAATGTCCTCTTTTTGTATAATTCAAATGGTTTTAGCTTTTTTAGAATGTTTCTATCATTAAAATTAGGCTTCATCTATAGGTTACACAACCTATAATTTTTTGAAATTTTATGGGACTGAATTTGATCCCAAAACAACAGGAATCAGTTATAAAGGATTCAATGAAAAGTAATTAATATTATTATTAAATATTTATAGTCCATTCTATGATTTAAATGAATTTGATGATTAATCAGAAATTACTATTGTGTCTCCAATTACAAATGAAATAATCAGTTCAGCTACATCATTTGTTTTAACAATATTATAAGATTTAAAGGCTTTATATTAAGCAACAGAAAATGAAGTAATCTTTTTTTATGAGAAACTAAAATATAATAAAAAAAAGAAAGGAAAGAAAGAGGAAAGAAATTTATTTTAAAAGGAATTGAATAAACTTAGACCTCTCTTTAGCACTACTGTATATAATAAAACTTGATTTATATTGTTGAAATAAATAATTTACCAAATTTTGGTTAAGTAGTTAACAATTATTATAAAATTCTTTATTCATTCTAAACCTTCAACATAAGATTCTTAATCTCCAATTAATTTAATTGGTTGAACAAATAATTCTTACATTAATTTAACAGTATCTATTTCTAAATAAATTAAAGATATAATTTACAAGTATGTGCTTTTCTTTCTTTTCTCAATATTATTAAACTAGGTTTTTTTATTCCTTCTAATATTCCTGTTACTTTTTAGAATTCAGGTTTTGATCCATCACATAAATCCCATATTGGTAATCCTCCACCTTCACTAACTACACCTTCACTCTCAAAATAATTATTTATTCTTGAAGTTGCTACTGAAGGTAATATAAATGAATCTTATAAATATGATGAATTGACTTAAGGATTTTAGAGTAATGTGGAAGAATGATTTTGCATTCTTAAAATTCTACTATCATCAGGTGTAATAATTGGAGATAATAAATTTTGTTTATTGAAATCATTATTTTCTAAAATATTTATCATAAGTGGTGTTTTCTTACTTTTACCTGTAGGACTATAAACAGTCCTTTTAGTTCCCTTTCTTTTTTCATTCATTATTTATTCAAATGTAAGTTATTAATTTTATGTTGATTTTTATTAAGAATCTTTTGTTTATTAATTAATAAACTAATTTTATTTACTTATTTGATTTAATTTATGTGGATTAAATACAATATCTACTTATTACCTTTTGTCTTAATTCTAGATTAATAAGAATTTACTTGCATAACATGAATTGTCTAATGCTTCTTTTATCTACTATATTCTGGTAATCTTTCCCAATCAAATGAAAATTAAGAGGCATTCATATTTTATTGATTATGGTTTTCTATTTCTCTCTCAAAATAAGATTTTAATTTATCATAATTAGGAGATTCCTAGAATTCTAAAGATTTAACATCATTCATATAAAAATAGAAACACTATATTTAAATTTAATATTACTTTTGGTAAATTCTAACATAAATCTTAAATCTTAATTTCTTTTTTTATTTCATAAATCTTAGCATATTTAGCATCCTTAGAATCTATTTATAAATTCATCCAAGGTAGATTTCCTGTTGCAAGATATATCAACACATAGCCAATACTTTCAAGATCATCTTTTCTTCCTTATTCCATTTCTTCATGTGCACTTATAGAGGCATATCTTGCAGTTCCTATTAATCCTGCCTTCTTAACATAAGGTATATGTTCTCCTTTACTATTCTAATAATTAATTACATATATAATACAATATAATGTTTAGATAGACCAAAATCTATTAAATATAACATTTTTGGATTAGGTCCTGAATCAATAACAAAATTATCTGGTTTAATATCACGATGAAGAAATCTATTTTCATGCATAACTGAAATTCTATCTATCATCTGTTAAGCTAATATCATTTTAGTTTTCATACTTAAATGGCTAATCTTAGTACAGTGGCTAAAGTCATTACTCCCCCTAATTTCCTAAAAATTTATTCTAAGTTTTTTCCTAACATTGTCATAATACAATATGTATATCCTCTTTCTTATCCATAAAATTTAATTTGTGGAAAACCTTACTATTTTCTAAAATTGAACATTCAATTTTACCTCAATTCAATAAGTACTTTTATTTCTCTTTCTAATAAACTATTTTCATCTTCATCTTCTTCAACTTTCATAGCCCATTAGGCATTATTATTCTTTCTATCAAGAACTTTAAAGACACTGCCAAATGAACCCTCACCTATTTTTTGACTTATTAAAAATCGATTCTAAATGTTATCTCCTACCTTTTGGGAATTTAAGTGAAATACCTTTAATGGTTGAATATCTTAATCACTTTCATAGTATTTTCTTTCAGATTATACATTATCTGTAAAACTATCCTCATTTTTAGAAATCATTTATAAATGAATAAAATAAATGTATTTTAATTTTTTCATATTTATTGTAATTGATTAAGTTTGTTTTTTAAAAAGAATAACAAAAAAATTATCAAACTAGATCTGTTAGTTAAGATATAAAATATATAATCTATTTTTAATTGAATTCATATTATAATCAATAACTTAGGATTAAGAATTCTAAAACAACTTATACTTTCAAGACTCTTTAAAAATAATAATAATCACACAAAACTAATCAGGAATATAATTTATAAATTTGATAGGAATTTAATAAAAAGTTTTAAAGATTGGGACATACTAATAATATAGTCATTTATTAAATGAAGTATTGAAACTTAATTTGAAAAATCAATAACAATCTATAAACATCTAAAGAAAATCTCAAATAGGCTTTACTTTTATGATATGATAATTGATTCAAATTGAATACTTTATTAGATCTGATTATGAAGAATTTATTATAAATTAATAAACCTATAGATGGTTATTTATAATTAATTGAAGAGGCTTTTAATAAAGAAGATTACTTTTTGAATGTCATTTGAAATACTCTTTCTTTAGAAGTTTTAATAATTTATGATAAATTAACCCTATCTAACTTTTTTCGTAAAATTCTTAAATTTAAGATTTCTTATCTTAAAATATATTTAATTGATAAAGAAAGTAAAGTTATTTATTTATTTTTATTAGATTAGGAGTTTTGAAATTGTGTTTATAATTGTTTAGTTATTTAATAAGTAAATGATATATTTATTTATATATATAACATAAAATAAAAAATGTTTATAAAAGAAGCATATGAAAGAAGATAAAAACAGAGTGATGGAGAATAAGAAATATTATAGACTGAATAAAGAATACATAAGATTGGTAGTATCAAGAACAATAAAATGAACTATGATAAAGATGAATAATTTTTTAGCAAAGAGGATATCCCTTAAAGAGCATTACAAATAAAAGAAACTGTTTAGACTTTTGTTGATCCAGTAAATTTAATTTGCATTTAATATGATAGGATATTTTAGGTTTGAGAAAGAAAGAATGGAATAGCAGCGTTTCAGTTCCAAAGAATCCATTGTCAGAGGAAACTCATGAAAGAAAATTGGTTAAAATTCGATTAGGATTATTTGATCATCCAATTCCAAAAGAGAAAGCTAATAAAATATATGAAGGAATAGAAACTAGAGATAATTATTTATTAGCAAAGAAAGGTTCAAGTAAATGGAATGTGAGTACAGAAACCAATAATCTAGAGTTTTAAAAAAATCTAATGAATTCAACTAAAGAGGCACTAAAAAATACTAAATCTAAAGAGGAGGAGATTATAAAAAACTATTTAAAGCCTATAGAACATTAATCAAAATTGTAATTAGATCTTAGATCTCAGAAAGTAAATGAGAAAGAGATGAGAAATAAAATAAGATAAGATTATTAATTAGCAAATCCTGCTGCTTCCCAATAAGCAATTGATGGAGCAGTATTTAGATTGGCTTATGAGGCAAAATTAAGTAAAAACTAAGAACAAATTCAAGTAATTATTTAATTCTTAATAGAGGATAAAAATTATACATTTAAACCAGATATGGCAAGGACATTAAAACATGATTTAGATTATAAATATTGTCATAATGGTGTATGGTAGAAAATGCCTGATGGAAGTGAAGGTTGGTCTTGTTGTATGAATAGTACATTAGAATCAAAGGGATGCATAACAATAAAGATAGATAAGAACAAGTGGGATTATTCATCATTTACACATTGATTTATTAAATTATATAAGATAAATAATTAATTTTGCAATGGGTAATTCAGATAGTAACGCAAGCATTAAGGCCTTGCATACTAACTATATGGTTATTCGTAATATAAAGGATGATCCAAGATATGGAGAAGGTCGAATAGTTTAATAGAAACAGACAAAATAGGAGGCATTTTAGAAGGAAATAAATTTAACAGATGAGGATAAATTCAAGAAATTCAAAGTATTGTTAGAAAAAAAGGAAAGTAATAAATATGAAAATCTTATTAATGTTACTAGTAATTAAAATTTGTATATATAGAACTATATTTTCATGAAGAAAGTTAATTCTGTGGTTAATTTTTTTAAATTTACATTTTATTAGAATATATTCCATAATCTTTAAAGGAAACCATAGAGAAAAGATTAACTAATAAATAATATTTTAAAGAAAAGGAGTTAATGTAAATTTTAAAAGGATGCATTGATGCATTATTTATTTTACAATCTTAAAATATTACTCATTAAGCTATAAGACCAGAGACTATTTCTTATTAAGAATAATAATAATTAGTTAAATTATCAGATCCTACTGTGAGTGGATTGTTAAGTTCTTTTTAATTAGTGGTGTAAGAAGAATTAAAATAAATCAATTAGTATTATTTAAGTCCTTAATTAATGTAATCTTTGAATGATGAAGTATAACCTTAACATAATCCTTATAAAAGTGATGTATATTCATTAGGAATGACAATGTTACACCTTTCAACTCTTAATAATTGTGATGATTGTTATGATATCCCAAAATTAAAAGTTCTACTTTAATAAGTTTAACGTAGATTACAATAGATTGAAACTACATTTTCATCATAATATGTTTCATTATTAAGAAAAATGTTACTTTTAAATGAAGATTAAAGACCAGATTTTATTCAATTGAAATATGAATTATAAGCTTCTTAGTCATCATAATCATAATTTTATGAAGAATAATAAGTTATTTAAATACAAAAAGCTCTTTAAGTGTAAAATTATGAATAAATAATTGAGACATCTCCAATTTAATTATAAAGTATGTAGATGTTTATGAATTCTGAAGAAAGAAATAATTTGAAAATCTAGCAATCTAATTAATCTATAAAGAATAGTTAGATTTAGAAATCTTAAGAATTAAGATAATCTCAATAAAGCAATCAATCTATTTACATTGAACGTAATGAAGTAAAAGAATTGAGACCAGATATAAGTGATCATATAAAAATAGTAATCAACTCTGGTATCTTATTAGTTACCCTTGTCAGAATAAATAGCTGAACCCTCAGGAATAGATGATAATATTGGAAATCAAATTGGAATAGATAAGTCTATACATATTACAAATGAACCTGAATAGTAAAATATATTAATGCCAGTTACTTCTTTTGAAACATCCTAATAATATGAACAGTTTATAAAAATGTAATAATCCAAATCCAATTATTATATAACAGATTAATCATAAAAAGTTGATTAAAATATGCGATTTATTAATTCAATTAATACAAAAAGAAGTGATATTGAAAAAGTAATAGAAATATATCCAAATGGATCTAAATATGATGGTGAGAAATAGAATGGTTTGAGACAGGGTTATGGTATTTTTTATTTTTAAGACAATGGTGGAGTTTATGAAGGTCAATGGTATGATAATAAAATGCATGGAAATGGTAATAATTTACTTTTTAATAAAAGGAACACTTTTTTATGCATCAGGTAAACCTGCATATGAAGGATAGTGGGTTAATGATAAGTTTTAAGGCAAAGGAACTTTGTATAATGAAGAACCATAAATGTTATATAGTGAATTTGATTATAGAGATTTTGATTAAGTTGGAGAGTATGTATTTTGAATTAATCTTAGATATTGGACTAAATATGTTGGACAATTTTATGATGACAATAAAGAGGGTTAAGGAATTCTATATTTGTCAAATGGTGATAAATTTGATGGAACTTTCATTTAAGATTTAATTAGTGGTTTAGGAAGATATATCAAAGTTAATGGATAAATTATATAAGGAAGATGGTGGAGAAACAAACTATAATAATGAAATTAATTTTATTATTTATATAAATAAATTAATATTCATTTATTTTAGATTTTTGGAAACAAATTTTATATAATTGATAGAATTATTGTAATATAATATTTAGGATTACAAATTTAATTTAATTCAATTCAATAATTATTCATTTTCAATTTTCTTTTATATATCTTCTACTTTCTATTATTAATATAAACACTAATTTTTAATTAATTAATTTATACTTTAAATGGCAACTTTATTATATTATTGTAAATTAAAGATCCAAATACTAATATAATAAATCCAATTAATTAACCCCAATAGAATTATTCCCATCCTATTATCAGACAAGTTATCCAAACTAATGCAATTGTTGTTACTTGTACTACACTTTTAGTTAAAGCACTTAAATATTTAACTACAGCCATGCAAATGGAATTTAGAAGTAGAATTGATGTAGCCTCAGCAATTATAAGTAGAAATAATTATGGTTAATAGTTTTTATTATGAAATGAAAAAACAACTTAAAAAAATTAAATTGTTTATTCTAAATAATATTTTCCATCAGAATTCTATGGACAACCACTTTACATTTTAGAAGGACATGGGATAAATTCTAAAATAGACAGTAAAATTGAAGTAAATAACAATCCCCATAAACCTTCTAAACCAACTAATTCAAAAGGATTTAAATAATATTTTCGAAAGTATTTCTCCTCTAAAATTACTTAAAATGAAAACATAAAAAATGATAAACATAAAAATAATACTCCTATTAGATAATCTGATTAAGTTTATTTTAAATATATTGTTATTCCAACTATTAAATTACCCAAAACAACTAAAGTCATTCCTAATATTTAGTGCTTTGTTGGAACTTTCTTTAAAAATAACACTGAAAATATTGCTGTTATTACAACTGTAGCTCCTCTCAACATCTAATATACTGATGTAGGCATCAATGATAATGCAAAAAATGCTAAACAACTAGCTATTAAATCACATAAAGTTGGAATTATTACTACCAAATAATTAATTTTTGTTTCTTATTTCAATTTATTTGCAAGTTCTAGTTCGTATAAATATTTTGAATAATTAAAAGATTTGTATAACAAAAATATAATATAACAAATTGATTCACCGAAAAACATTGTAAATGTTTATGTAAATGGATGATTGAATTCTTGGTTATCAATTTTTATTTTTGATTATAACTTAAAGACAATTGATGAGGCAGTATTAACTAACATTTATAAGACAATAAGTATGTATCCATTTGCATTAGAGATTGATGTCATTTAATTAAAATATTTATTAAATTTCATATATTAAAACTAATGATAATGATATTAATATTGAGAGAATATGAAAATTAGTTTTTTCTATAACTTTTATAAATATTTTCAATTCATTTTACATATTATTAATAACACTATAGAATAATTTCTTCTTTTTAATTTTTATTATTAGGGTTTTAGTTTTATTAACTTTAACAATAATTTAGATATAGTATAAGAATATCAAAAAATACTTAGAAATTGATTTTCTATTTTTTTGATGATTTCTTGCTCACTTCCAATTTAAGTTTGAATAGAAATACGATTATAATTGATATTTTAATATTAATAATATTTTAATGATAATTAATATAAGTGACTTATTCTTGAGTTTGATAGGGGGAATAATGATTGGTGTGGCATGTAGCTTGTATTACATAACAAAAGGAAGAATAACTGGAATCAGTGGAATATATTATGGTGTAATTACATTTAAATGGAATGAATTTTATTGGAAATTATCTATTCTTTGTTCAATAGTATTTTCAACAGGATTAATGTATTAAATATTTGGGTATTTTAAATAAAATATTTAATAGAGATGAGAGAATAATGGAAAGTTCATCATTAGCATTTAATGATATACCTTAGATTACAAATTTATCTAATACAATTGCAGGAATAAGTGGTCTATTGATAGGTATTGGATCTAAATTATGTAATGGATGTACAACAGGTCATGGATTTTGTGGTCTTGCAAGAATATCTTTACGTTCATTTGTAGCTTTTGGTTTATTTATATTATTTGGAATGATAAGTTGTTTTATTACTATGAGTGAACATTAAGAAAATGGATAAGAGAAATATAATTATAATCATGTTTCAATAATAATGATAGGATTAAGTTTAGTATTATTATCTGCAACAATGTTGGGAGCTTATATAAATAAAGATTAATTTATTGATACAATTATTGGTATACCTGTTGGATTATTATTGGGATTAGGAGTAGTATTTTCAGGTATGATTAAAAGAACAACAATTTTAAGTTTTCTTTCTATTGAATAATGGAATCCATAATTTATATTTGTTATTTTAGGTGCAAATATAACATGTTATTTTGGATTTAGATTATTAAGTAAACCTATTTTAGATACAGAATTTTAATATCCATATACAAATAAAGTGACAAATGTTCTTTTAATAGGGGCATCTTTATTTGGATTTGGTTGGGGAATGACTGGAATCTGTCCTTTAGTTGGAATTGCTTTATTTCCATAATTTACTTGGTAAATAGGATTGATGTATTTGGGATCAGTTTCTATGGGAATGAGAATTGCATAATGTTATTTAAATAAATATTAAAAGGTTGAAGCTTAAGTAATATAAATTAATAGTAATAATTATAACTACAAAACTGACAATGAATAAAATGATAAACTTTGATATATCTATTTATAAATACTAAAAAATATATTGTACAATTAATAATGAATCAATTAATAACTGAAATTGGAAGTAATTTTCTTTTAATGAATTCATAACTAGCCCATGCAGTAGCTCCAGACATTGTTTACATACATAATCTTGGTAATAATCCTTTATAAAATCCTAGATAACCCTCTTCTTTAAAAATTGTTTTTATTGATCCTAAGAAAGTACTATATTTGACTTAAGATGAGTTTAGATGCCAACTTTAAGTCTATAATTTAGTTTTGACAACATCCAATGGATTCATTACACAAACAGCAGCACATCCTGCCATAGCTGCACATGAAAAATGACTAAGAAAATTATGTTCTGATTTCTTAAACATTAAAGTTTTAATAGTTTCATTGGCAGAAAAAAATATAGCCTAATAAGGAGCTGACATTAACTAAACTTAATTATTTATTATACATAAGTAATTGGAAAACTTCGATAGAATGCTATTAATCCTTCTTACCTTAAGACTGTTTTCACTGTTCTTTTGAAACACTTTTCTTATATTTACTATCTTTATTTTATAACTATATTATTATAATAATCATACCATCAAAAGGTACCATAATTAGATCATGCCATAGAGTTGATACTGCTCCAATAAAAGCAAACGCTTAAGCATGAATATTTTCATCATTTACATCCATAAGAGTTTTCAAAATCTTAAAATATTCCAAATTCTTATACCTCATAACTGCTGAAATAAAATGCATGAGCTGGCATACAACCTGCTGTCACTGCTCCATAACCATTAAAAAAAGTCTTTAATCCTTATTTTCTAAGATTCAATTAAGTTTATACTTCAATGACAAAAATGTTTATGAGAACTTTGAATTTGGAAGCACTTAAAGATGAGTCTACACTTTATAAGTTTATGCCATACTTTCACATTATCCAAAGGTAACATCGAAACATGTTCAATCAACCCAGCCAAACAACCAGCTTAAAATTTTCTACACAAATAATACCAATCATATGGACTTTAAGTGGTGTATTCTCTGATCTCTTTTCCCAATCCTCAATTTCCATCATAAATTAATATTAAAGGATAAATTTTATTATTATTTTCTCCAATTGAAAATATACATAAATCATATATACAACTGAAAAATAGATATAAAATAATAAAAATATTCAAAAATCAAATAATCAAAACTATTAATTAATGTAAATGATTTATACATTTTTATATAGATAATTTTAGCAATATTAAAATTAATATCCATTACTTTTATCAATTATAAATTAAAATTATTAACATAATCTAATTGCAAGTGGATTTAAATTCCATCTTAATAAACATTATCTTATAATATCTATATCAAGAATATAATCATTTTTATGTGAATTAGAATATAATTATATCTCAAATTAAAGAATTTTAATTTTAATATAACTCTAATTTCTTAATAAGGCATTCTATTAGATATAAGCTTATAAAAATTAATTTTCTTTAATTAAAACTATTAATAACATAAAAGTATAACATTAATATCCATTTTTAAATATCTTTTATTTATTACAAAATTTATTTTTATTAAACATAATTTATATCATATTCTTAATTGTGGATGAGAATTATATTTTATTATAAAATGAAAATTAATAATCCATATATCCTCAATAATATTAAAATGGATTATTCTTCCATTAAATTAAATAAATTTTATAATTTTTAATGGATAGCTTATAGGTTTACAAATCATTGTTTTTTTTTCATTTAAACATCATTAAAATAGTTTCCATAATAATTAAATACATTTGAAAATTCTCATATTCAATTTCAAAAGATCTTTTTACTATCTCACTCAAAATATTACAATTAATAATAATCCCTATAATTATGATTAATTAATCATTTTATATCAGACATGTTCGTTTTTTAAGCTTGAATATTCAATATAATAAAATATTTTGTAAAAATTAATTATTATTATTTCTATGGTCTCATAAAATGTTGTTTTTTTTAATAAATTTTGATTTTAACCACTTCTGCTAACATGATCTAACTTATTTACAATAGATTAATAATCAATTTTTTGTAAGTTTCTGAGATATCATCAACCATTTTTAAACTAAGTTAATTCTTTAATTTTCTATATAGTTTCAAGAGTATGAGAATTCTTATTTATGTTTATATTTAAGTTCTAGAATGCAAATTAATTTAAAAAATGAGTAAAATAATAATTATATAATGAAAAAAATTTTGAAGTATTTTTTGGTTATTTAATATATAATGTGCTGCATTTGATATCATTTATTATGAAATCAAGTCATTTAAAGAAATGTATTTAAATAAATTAAAAATCATAATTGATACTAGAAATTTATTTATCTGATTATGTTCAAATGTCTCATACCAATTAAACTATTTTACTCATCTCAATTTTATCAGATCTACAATAAATTTAGTAGGAATAAATCTTTAAGCTTGCTTTTAATACTGATTTCTTAATCATAGATATACTATATAATTTACCATCCCTTTAATAAGCTTTTTAATATATATGCAAGACCACTTTTATTGTTTAACAAATTCTTTTAGAATATCAAGTATTAATTTACTTATTAAAAGCCTTGACTTTAATTATGATAACACTTAAATATGGTCAGAAATTTTCTTTATATTAATGTTAGCTATGCAACTATTATACCTTTTTTGTTTTATCCATCTTTATTGTAGTTATAGAGTCAAAGTTTAGAATAAGTAATAAAGGAAATAATATAAGTTATTTAAATAGAGAGAGTAACAAGTAATAATCTCTTTAACATTAGAATGAAATAAATAGTATAATTAACGTGATTGCAGTTTCTGAAATTTATATAACATTTGCAACAAAGATTTTTAAATATCTCTTTCATTATCCAATTATTCAATTAGCATTAAGAAAGATATTAACACAATCAAACTAATGTAAATATATAATAAAATCAATATAGATTCTAATCTAAATACTTATTAAATTTTGATATTAATCATCACTTATCTTGTATTTATATTAAATATCTTATTCTATTTCTTGAATGAGAGTCATGATGTCTAATTTTCATTCAAAAAGTTAGATTATTTATCTCGCTTTTATTCAAATAAGACAAAAATATAATCTTTAAAAATAGAAATACTGATAATTTTAGTTTCAATTTTAGATAATTTAGAGATTAATAATATAGTACTTATAATATTTGAAATAATACTACTTATTATAATATTAACTTTATCTTATAGATATCCATAATATTAAGAAACATTAATTAATTAAATTTAAATATAATCTTTTTCACTTTATTTATGCATTATATTATGTATACTTATCTTTGCAGAAGGATTTCATTAAGATTGTTCAGAATTAATTCTAATAATAATTCCATTAGTATTTGAAATTACTAATTTAATTTTTATAAAATAAGAGAATAAAACTTAGACTCTAAGTTATGAAAATAAAAATTTTGATTATTTGATGATGACTATTTATAATTAATGTTAAGAAGCATTAGGAAGAAATGGAATATTATTAAATGAAATTAAATATAGATTACCTAGTAATTTAAATCTTTATGCATTTTCTACTAATCATCTAATTAATTGTTAAAAAATAAATGGTTGTTTTTGTACTTGTTATAAAAAACAAAATGATCATTTTATCACTAGATAATAATTCAAATAGTATATTAAAGAACTTATAAGATTTCATTATGAATTAAAATTATTAAGTTTGAATAAAAATAATTCTTAAGAATATGCAAAAAGTTAATTTTATTATATCTTATATATATCATAAGTTATTAAGTAACCTACAAAAGCATTTCATGAGATAATAAAATTAAAGAATAATATGTATTCTAGTTTGAATCTTTTAGATTAAATGTATACAAATTCAATTGAATTACTTGTCAAAAGTGATTTCTTAAAAATGATAGAAAATAAAAACATAACTAATTAAAAATATGATTGTTTTAAAGTATTTAATTACAATAAATGTGTAAATTAATGGAAGGAATAATTTAGTTAAGTATTATAAAAGTAAAAATAATGGTATGTGACATTATTAAATAGGAATCTTACATAACTTATAATTGATGGTAAACACTTGTAAAATTTAATTTCAATATAAGAAAAATAACTTAAATATATATTTAATACAAATCCACTTTCTTAATAATGTCATATTTTAATTCATTTATTTTACAAATACATTAATTTCAATAAAAGAAGAATAGAAATTCCTACAATAGATTCCTCTATAGCCTTTAAATTTTAAAATTCTATAAATGGAATTCTATTTCATAAAGAGGCTTCTCTAGTTTATTTAACATTATTAGATACTAAAGGTATCATTAAAAATTACACTAAAACATTTAGAGATGCTATATGTACTATAGATAGTGAAATAATGAATAATTCAATTAATAATTTTATTCCAGATATTATAGCAGAAGTACATGATTAATATTTAGATAATTTTGTAGAGAGGGGAAGAATCAATATTATGAAATCAGATAGAAGATTTCTATTAGTAAAAAATAAATTAGGATTTATATTTCCTATAATAGCTAAAGTTAGATTAGAGACAGATTTAGGATGTGATTTCGGTTCTTCTGCTCTTATTCTACCAACATATCAAAATTATCATTATATTATGTTAAATAAATATGGTTTAGTGGAAGAGATTAGTGATAAATTATACAATGAAATTATCTTACCTATTTTATGTATTGATTTAAAAAGTATTAAATCTTTGGATTGTTTAAAACTTATACCAAAATTAATTAAAAGTTGGAAATAACTAAATTAAACTAATGTTTTAGAATAAGAACTTAAGAATCCAATATAATCATATATGGTTATTCCAAAAAAAAGAAAGAAATAATAAATACTTTTATCATCTTAAGTAAAAGAGAAATCAACAATTTATGAATATTTAAAATAATAGGATTAAATTAATTATAATTATTTTGATAATTTTAAATAGATGTATATGTTTAGAATTACATTTAAAATTGTTGAATTTTACACATTTTAAGAAACGTAATTATAATATATATTATATTTTTAGAATTTATTGTATTGAAATTTAAACTATTAAACCTGTTCGTGAATCATAAAGAATCGAAATATTTGAGAAATTAATAGAAAAATCAGATTATCTAAATATGAGTAGAAGAATAATTAAATTAAGTCCAGATAAAATTGAAATCAAAAAGAAAAAATGTAAGAAGTTGGAAATAACTAATTAAAAAGGATCATTAGGTTTTATATCTTTTTAACCTGAATAATAAACTATTTATAATTTGGAAACATAAAAATTAATTGAAGATGATTATATGATAAAGTAAAAAGAAATGTAAATTCGTTTAACTAATCCTCTTTATATTTTAGAAGTAAATCTTAAATTAATATAAGATAGAAGAATGCTAAAATTAAATAAGTCATCCAAATAGTCAAGATAAAAGACTATAAGATTAGTAGACATTTAGGATGAAATCTTCAGTAGCACATAGTTTTGGTGCATTGAATCATTTTTGTAGTAGTAATTCTAATGGGATTAGTTAAGCTTTTGGGTCTGATTAAAATAAACTAATAGTGCATTCTAGTGCAATATTAGAAGCATTAAATGAAAATAAAGAATCAGTTAAATCCAAGAATTCTGATGAACTAATAGGATCAATTGATAATTTTCTATTTGATTAAGATTAAATGAAATCTATATCTTCATCATAAATTAGTGATATAAAAGTCAAGAAAACTTAATTGAAACATAATTTATTTGATGAATAAACAAAATAGCATTGGACTATACGTCTATTTAATTTGATAACATTTGCTTTACTTATGATTTTTAATATTTACTATTATTATGTTTTAAAATAAGAAAATTAAGTAAATATTTATATATATTTTATAGATTATTGAATAAGCCTTAGAAACATACAAAATATCAAACAATTTTTAAGTTTAGATTAATAATTTTATTCTAGCTTTCAATTATTCTAATAATAATATATTTAATTATACTCTATACATGAAATTTTGTGCTAGTAGATTTTAGAATGATATATCTAAATTCTAATATTATTCATTAAATATTGAATAGAATGAAAGTAATTAATATTTATAATAACTTAGTTCCATATCTTTAGATAAATGAATTTGAAAATATAACAAATATAAATTTATTTTATTCATTAGGATATTTCTCATAATATTTACTTACATAATCAAATTGTTAAAATTAAGAATACTTTTTAGAATTTATAGCCAGAAATTTCATAACAATAATTTCCTCCAATTCTGTATTAAATTAAACAGTTATTAAGAATGGTTTAGATTAATTTATGAGAGCATAATAATCAACTAAAGTATCCTTTTATTTTACATTGATATCCCTTTGTTTCGCTTTTATATTTTACTTACTACTCTTAATTATTATAAATAAAGCAAAATTAAAGATTGTGGAATTATTTAATACTATTTCAAAGGGTTAAATAAATTTTTTAATAGAATAAATTTCAATAATTGGAAATTTTCTTGAGAAAATTGACTTTATAAATGAAGAAACTACTGAATAATAATTTGATCAAATAAAATCAAAAATTGCTACAACTCCAGGAATTAAAATTAAGACTTCTCAAAAAAGATTATCGATCAAAGCTAAATACAATAAATCCTAAGAAAATAGTAAAAGTATTTTTTTATTTTAGATTCTTAGCTGCTTTTACTTATTTCATTTATTCATTATTATTATTGTTTAGTTACTTTATTATTTCTTCATAATATGTTGGTTCTCTAATATATTAAAGTTCATTTGAATAGTAGACAATATATTCTTTTGAATAATTACTTCTCTTCAAATCTTCATAATCATATTTATTATAACAAAAGAGTTTTTAGAAGCTTTTAATAAAATATTTACAAATAAATAAAGAAGACATGCTTTTTCTAAATAAATGTAATATTACAAATTTTATAAAATTAGTGGAAGAGGCATTATAATACATGGAAGAACAATTTGACATTCTGTAAGGATTTATTTAAAGATTGAACGATTAGAAATCTTTTTCTAATGCAATTTTTACAAATACTATTAAGAAAAATGGTTGTTAAGCCTTTTAATTCAAAATAGCAAATAACATTGAAGATAGTTAATTCTTTAATGAAGTGATTTGTAACAATATTGATAGTTTAACATCAGGATTAACCATTTCATTAGTAGAAATATTACAAAACTTTTAATAATTTTATACAATTAACAAATTAAATGATATGGAATTTAAATCCTATTTGTTTAATATGGATATTAATTTAGAAAATGATATCATTAATGTTATTTATACATCTCATGTATTAACACTACTGCATGATTTTATGGCTAATGAATAATAATAAGAAATATCTTTGAATTATTTAGTACATACTCTCAGATTCATATTTGGGATCATACTTTATCTTATTTTAATTATTATAAGTGATAAAAATATAAGAATGTACTTACACAAAGAATTAATTAAAACTAAACAATTATTTTTATTAATACCATTGGAAATATTGTGTGAGAATGCAAATGTCTTGTAATAATTGATAATAAGAAATCAAAAATGAAAGATAACTAATATCATTATTATATTATATAATTATTATATTTAAAAGTTACTTTTTAATATCATATTAAGTATCTATATCAATTATAGAATTAATCAATACAAAAATTACCAATCATTTTTATATAAAGGTTTTCAATAATAAAATCTAAATTTTAAATGAACTACATTTGAAATTTTAGTATTAAATAATGAAATAACTAAGTTGATAATAATAAAAACAATAAATCTTAAAAAAAATAACAAAATTAACTGAAAGAAATTGAAGACTTATAATTATTGATTAAATTAAAATAAGATATTCAAGATTAATATATGTCAAATAATTTAAAGTCAGTATTAATATATAGAAGATATTTATAAGTGAATCTAAAATTTATAAGTAACTAAATTATATATATCAATTGATTTTGGCTCTACAAACAGGACATGAATTATTTATCTTTAACCATTATGTTAAGCAATCCTTATGAAAATTATGAGAACAACTCATCTCTAATTCCACTTCTTCATTCTTGAAGTCTTCCTAACATATATAACAGGTTTATTATTAATCATTCATGCTTACTACATGTTCCCTTAAACTATTTATTTATGATTCTGATGCCCCTTATTATTGATCTTCTTATAAAATTAAATTCTCAGTTAAAAGAGCAAGAAAATTTAGAAAATCAGATATTTCACTTAGGCTCTATGTCCAATCTGTTAATGTTCTTAAATATTAAGCTTCAGGTGATATATATATTTCAAAAGATCTTAATTCTGAATCGTTAATTCCTTAAGCCATTTATTCTAATGGACTATCGCATAAGATGCAATACTCCTATTAAATTTCTTCTTAATGATAAGTTCTTTAAATTATTTCCATTTTACAAAGATGACACCAATAATTTTCAAAATTATTTCTTTCTTCAAACACATTTCTTAAAATTTAAAACATTTTCGTTAAATTATAAATTTTAAATAATTTAAAGAATTAGAAACATAAAAAGAAAATAACTTAAATAGAATAATATAAATCTCATAGACATTAAAATTATAGTGATACTATGTTAAAATATAATATTATTTGTTATTTGTATTGATTATATTATTAAGATCTCATTCCTCTGGTTCGAAAGCTCCTAATGAATCCTCAAAATTAATAGACTCTTTTAATTAATTTGAGAATGTGGAATAATTATTGTTAATGGATGCAGCACAATTTTCTTTTGTATTTTATTAAAATGTATTTATTACAAATGCATTGAATATCATTCTCATTCAATTTTACTCCCAGATCTGGTTTGAATAATCTACATTTACTAGCACATAATTTGGCTAATGACAATGTTAATCCCACTGTTATATTCTATATATATGTGTTATATTATTCAAATACAAAACTATAAAATGGTGCATTTGGAAATTCAAGACTTTCTGAATCGTCGCTCATCAAACTTAATTTAATTATAATTATTCATTTTATATATTTTATAAATATATTAAAGAGAGTAATAATATATTAATAGGTTTACATTAACTCAAAATTTTAAACACAAACAAAACTCTATTTATTTTAATCCCTTTCAATAAACCTTACATGAATACAAAATTATTCATTATCATAATTGAAACCTAAAAGGAAAGGAAATTATGTTTTATTATTTTTATTATATTATATTTTAAGATTCCTTAAATAATTATATCATATGAAAAATATGTTAATTTTATAGATAATATGAATTATTTATATAATTAAATAATATATCTAAACAAAAAATAAACTACAAGTCTAAATCTATTCAAATTATACTTAAATAAATATATAATCATATAAAGTAAGAATATGTTATCAATCTAAATTTAACTTTAAATATTAAATTGCTATTTTTAATTATTTTTGGATATAATTTTGACAATAATAATTTTAATATCAAATATGATGAATTTTAAAGCTTAATTCATTTTGAATAAAATTAAATAGTTAAATTCAAAACTTAATAAGTTCTATTTTGTAAATTCATTTATATTATATAGATATTCAAATTAAAAGTTCAGTATATAACAACAATCATTCTTATTAAGTTATTAAATGATTTTATTCTAATATACAATACTATTTTAATTATAAAAATAATTTTAAAACTTCATGCTATTAGTTTAATTATATAAATTAAAAATGAAAACATGTTTTATATGTTAAATTTAGTAATTAATCAAATAAAGAAACTAAATGAATTATAAATGAGTATAGAATGAGATTTTAAAATTAATTGGAATATGCAAATAAATTTTCAGTTGTTTGCTTCTTATGATTGAGGTGGATTTAAACCTACTCCTAATACTTTTTCCATTTCATTTATTCGATGATCCAATAGATTAGCTGATTTCTTGATTCTTGCTTTTTCATTTTTTAATGTGTCCACTTAATTGTTTAATTCGTTTAATTCAGTATTTGCTTGTTCAGCCAATTTTCTAAAATTTCGAGTGAAATCTGCTATCTCTTCAATAAAGCTAGTTGATGTATCATCATTTATAGATGACTAAAGGTATGATTCATGTATGATTTCTTATCTTAGCATCTATAATTCCTTCTTGTCTTTTTCTAATTCATGTAATAGATATTCTAACATAATCTAGTTTTAATTACTAATACATTTAATTTATCTTCATGTTCAGTCATTGGTAGATTCATTGAGTTTTTTTAAAACAGTTATAAAGCTTCTTTATAGGATTGCATTGAGTTTTTTAATTAAATATATAGTATATTTTAAATATATGAATTAGGTATATATATATAATAGCACACACATTAAAACTACATCATGAATTTTGATCATTTGACATTTCTCTAATATAAATTACTAGTGATAATAAATTTGATAGAGTGCTCCTATCAGCAGATTCAATTGCCATTATATAGTTTTAATTCTAATTTTATTGTTAAAAGATTAAATAATTTAATAGACTTGTTTATTGTGTTTATTAATGTTCAAGTTATCTTATATAATTTTACATTGTATTTTAATTAAAGCTTGGTTGATATAATAGAATGTCTTATAAAATATTATTAAATATATACCTTTCCTATTGGTAAACAGTCCTTTAGAAGATAATCTCGGTGATTGAATGGATATACATTCATCATATACTTTATTCCATCCTTCATAATGTACTAAGATTTAATTTTCTTTTTTTTTTTATATTATGTTCAAGATTTTACCAACACACCATATATGTTCAGTATCCAAAATATCTACTAAATCACCTATATTAAAAGTCTAGATTTTCTTTTTAGCTTTCCATACTTTTAAGTCTTTTTTTCGAGAAAGGTATTATTCATTATTTTTTTAAGAAGATATAACTACTTAAGATTATATGAAACCATCAATTGTTTTACAATAAATAAATTAAAGTCCTTTTATAGTTGTTAAACAACTAGGACATTTCTGATATATAAATATATATATATACATGACTCTTTAGTAGATGTTCAAAAATACACAAATAACAAAAGGAATGTCCACAAAATGTTAATGTAAATTTTTAGAAATAATCTGAACATGTTATACATCTTAGGTTTTCCTCTTTAAATTTTCTATCTAATTCAAAAACTTAAATCTATTCAAATTATAATACTGCTTAATCTCTTTTTATTATAATCATATTTAATTGACGGTTTTCTTAATTTAGATATGATCTTAGTTTTTAGTTATTATTAATCTGTAAACATGACTTATTTTAGTTCTTTTTCATATTCTTTATTTTAAGACATTTTGATAAGTGAATTTACAAATTATAAAATATTTATATTTGTATAATTAGATATTAAATTCAATATATATTTCATAAACACATCATTTAATTCATTCTAATTATAGAAGAGTTTAAATTTGGAAATTAAATATTTAAAATGATGTATCATCATAAAACTAATGAAGGAAATGATCAGATGTTTAAACAATTTTGTTTTATTTAGGTTGATTTAATTGAATTATTGACAATTATTAAATTTAATTATCATCTTACCCTTTTTAGTTGGATCAAATGAGAATTGCACAACATAGCAAGTCATGTTAAATTCTTCTACAAAAAAAAATCTTCACTTTTGATGATTAAGAATTAATTAACACAGCAGAATCGACTCCTGATTCTTCAGGAAATTCAGAAAAACCGTAATTAGTGGTTTTTAGAAGTTAAATACTTCCTGACTCTTAAATAGCAAGAGAGCTTCATGAAGCATCTATCTAATCACATTGGTATGGAGAAACACCCAAAGAGTATTTAGATAAACGTATTGTAAAGCTCAAGAAACAAAAATGTAAATTTTGCTTATATATGTTTTTTAGTTGAAAAAGTTGTTGTATTGGATCTGGATGAGACATTAATTTATCATAAAAATAATAAGACTTAAGTTCGTCCCTTTTGTTAAGAGTTTTTGGAAAGATTATCAAGAATATGTACTTTAGTACTTTTTACTGCAGCTAAATAAGACCATGCAATAAACGTAATTTAATTCATTAATTTAAAGATGTTAAAAATTATAGATCCAAATAAAAAATATTTCAAAGCTATTTGCACATCAGAACACATGATAGGCAATGTTAAAGATTTGAGAATTTTTTAAACTGATCTCAAAGATATTGTTATTGTTGAAAATTCTCCAAAAAAATTTATGTATTATCATATCTAATAAGCGCTTAAATTAATAATGGCATACCAATCTTACCTTATGAAGGCTAACAAAATGATAATTAGCTTGAATTATTACTTTCTTTTTTAGAAATAGTGCTTTTGGTTGATGATGTGCGTATTCAATTAGCAAATGTCTTTAAATTATAAAATTTTTATAAGGAACTAAATGGAAAATAGGCCATTAATAAGTTATACAATTCTAAAAAGATTTTATGACTTAATATTTGTAATCATTTATATTTATACTATAAAAAATATGTCAGATTATTATTTTTATAAACAAGAAGAGAAACTAAAATCCAATAGAAAACCAAAGAATTATCTATCAGATTCTGAAGACACTAATGCTCATCCTTAATTGAAAAATGCATAACGGTTTTTGTAATTATGAATTTAAAGAGAGTCAGTCGTAAACCAAAGATTATATAAGAATTAATTAAGCTACAACAACCATAGATTTAATATGTTTCTGCTGTATTTGATTATGATATTTCTAGTATATTCCTGAACCTATTCCAATACCAGAAGCAATTAAATAAATAGATAAGAAAATAAAAGCATATAAAAGAGTAATGGAATTGTAATAAAAAAAATAAAAAGAATTATAGGAATAATAAAAATTTACAGAAGAAGGATCTGTATAAAAACACTTTGTTGATTTTTTTACTAATCCTAATATATAATTAAAAAATTATTAAGAAGATGATAATGAATAAAATTAAATATCAGTTTAAAAAAGTTGTGATGAGATTCAAATAAACCAATTATTAGAAAATAAAAAGTTACCAAGATAATAATATTATTCTGAAGCTGTAAAAAATAGAGATCATTTATATGATAATATGATTGAACGTCTTTATGCAAAAAGATAAAATCCAGCTATGTTTGCAGTAATAAATGCCAACTATTCAACATTAGAAATTAAAGAAGAAACCTCCTGTTTTAAATATTACATCAAAGAATAAAATTTAATCAGGAAGTGGAAGGATGGATATAGAGGAACATAAATTGAGAATTTATAATAGAGAAAATGTTCCTACTATGCCTGAATTAATAATTCCAACTTTTATGATAAAGAAAGATTCAATTGCAAAAAATATTCTAGCATATCTAGTATATTTGTTTACATTTAACTTTTAGAAAGATTATTCACCTATTTATAGAAAATAGACTCATAATGAATATCCAAAATGTGTATAAAGCATATTAGAAGAGAATGAAGATATTATTAAGAATAATAAAAAATGAAAATACAAAAATTGAATTTAACATGTTACAAACATTTATTAATTTAGATATAAACTACAATATAAGTTAAATAAGCTATCATCAATCCTATAATTAACTATTAATTTAAGGATTTATTGTATGAGAACTACATTTCCTTTTTGAATTTTTATCTGGAATTGAATCAGAATCCCCTTCAATTTCCACATTTTATTATTTTATTTGACTTTATTCATCATTTTATTTAACTTCTACATTTTATTATTTATTTTCATCATCTTCTTCATCTATCCTTGGATTTACTTAAGCTTTTCTCAATTTTTTTGAACCACAACTAATTATATTAGATAAAAAAGAAATCTTACCAAAATCTTGGAGGTGTTTCAATTTAAACTTGTTATTATTAAAAATTTCGTTATCGATTTTACATTATCCATGCATAAGTTGTTATTCCTTTAAATTTTAACCAAAAATGAAAAATCATTAAATTGAAATTAAGTAAAAACAGAATACTAACTAAACCCACATTAATCCAAATCCATATCATCATTTGAGGAGATTCAAAAAAGAAGGAAAAAATAGCAAAAATAATAAAGGTAATTCCAAATATAGATACAGAGACTAATAATTTAAAGAATTCTTAATAATTCTTTTTTCCTATGCAATTATTTAACCATTTACAATGATGATCAAAGTCTGATACACATCTAAAAATTTTAATGTATATTTACCTTTCGCAAACTTTGCAATGTTTAGTTGTACCACTTACATAACTATCACAAAATTAACAAAAATAATCATAAAGCTCTTAATCTTATACACTATATATATATTGTTTAAGTTCATATACATATTTAATCCATTTCTTTATGAGATTATTAGATCATCAGTTGGATCTATGTAGGAAGTCTTAAAAGCATAAATAAAGATGATTAAGGCCAAAAAGTAAAATAAAGATGCTAAAATAATCTACTTAACTTTCTTCTTTACCTAAACTAATAAATCAGTTATTGGGACTATTGCAATTGATACACAACACAATAATTGTATAAAGAATATCATTATAAACACTTAGAAAGGATGTTTTGGTCTAGTAAAACCATTAATAGTTTTATGTTCTCTAGTACTAGTAATCATTTAATTTTATTAATCATGATTGCTTGTAAGGTAAAATTCTTGATAATTGATTGTAATATATGATAAAATATATCAATTTCATCTTCCAGACCAAGAAGCAACTTATTTTTTGAACATAATGATGACTTCATCAAGAATGGCATTCTCTTCTTATCTTTTTGCCTTGGCTTCAGCATAATCAGCTCTTTTGGCTTCTAAATCAGCTTAAGCTTAGTCTAAAGCATCTTGAGATTCTTATAAAATAATCTTTGATTTAGCTTATTAAGCCAAAGCTGCTTAGATTTACTAATGTTGTATTAAAATTTTACAGTAGCAGTTCTGTCAGCAAAGACTTATTTTCTTTCATATTCAACTTCTAAAGAAGAAATTTCAGCTTCAGATAATGAAACCCATCCAGCTAATTCCCATGATGCATTGATTTCATTTACTTTCAAGTTTTCTAATGAAGCATCTAATTCAGATTCTAATCCTTCAAGAACACTCAATACTTTTTCAGCTAAAGTTGATCCTTGAGTGTTTGATGCTCCTTCCTAAAAAGATGATTAATTGTATATATACTTCTTGTCCATTAGCTAAAGCCAAAAAGGTTTTAATTTAATGGTCTTAGAAAAGATTACTATATTATTTCAATTTTTCAGCAACAGATTAGGCTTTAACTTAGGTAAATTCAAATGAGTCTCCATTAATAATATAACCAGCAACATCTTATTTTAAGAGTCTGATGACTTCAAGAGCTTCTTAATTATGTTTAATTGATTTGACGAAAAGTTAATTGCTAAAACATTAATTATCTGAGAGAGCTTCAATTTTTCTTGCAATTTCATCTCTTCTAGCTTCATTCCAAGCTAAATAATTCTTTGTTTATTTAAGAACTTCTTCATAATTGGCTCTATTCTCTATGGCTTAATTAAAAAGTTTTTAGTTCAGACTTTTAATTTTTGTGAATTGTTCAATAGTTCTAAGTGGATTATTATGATTATTTACTATGCACCAACCCATTCATCTGTTTCATTCTTTTAATCTGCAGCAAATTGAGCATCAATATTTGATTGCTTTAAATCATTGAGTAAACCAAAAACTGTATCAATAGCATCACTTGCTTTTGTTCCAGTCTATAAGATATAGCAATATATTTACTTATAATAAAGCAAGGATTTGATCCTATGTTTTTGATGCATAGGTTGTTGCTGCAAGAGCGAATAAAACAACAATAATGAATTTCATATAATTATTAATGAAAAACGTACTCTCATTAAAAACGATAAAAATATATAAAATGTATCCCCTTTATCATCTCTTTAAATACAATTTTAAATAATAATAATTTATTAATCATATACCTAACAATCATTGATATTGGTTATCCCTAAATGAACTGGCATCTACTTAAGATTTACTCTATAATTTTTATATTAATTTTAAATACATGACTAAGTTAAGATTTCCAATTTATTGGTGGAACTCCTTGATTCATTTTTGAAAAAAGAATTCTCAATAACTTTTCCTTCTCTTCTAAATCTAAATCATTAATATCAACTTTATTTTATTCTAGACTTTGAGATTTTTATGATATATCAGGTAAGCGACTATTTTTTTGATTTTTGTTCTTTTTCTTGATTTCATTTTTGACTTGATCTATTGCTTATAGGAAAAATTATTCAATATCTGATCTTTGATCTAAAATCATTTAGGCTAAAGCCTTTACTGTCTTCAATTCTTTAGTTCTTTAATCAAGAAGATGTCTTAAGTTTCTTAATTGCATTTCTAATTCCTACACTTTTGTATTACTTTAATGTTTCATAATTTCAATTTCCTTTGTTTATTTAGTAACTTCCTAATTATAATACATTAAAAATAATTACATTAGCAATGTAAGATTTTAAATATTCAATTCTTTCTTTTAATTATTTTATTTTTATTGTTTATTAATGATTCATCATTTAATACCTAAAGATATATAAATAATATACTCTTAAGCTTATTCTTCTTTGATACTTAGATTTAATTTATAATTAACATTTTCTTATTAGAAAGTTTCTTTATCTTTTTAATATATTTGTAATGTTCTTTAATATTCTAATAATTCACTCTTTATTTTTTCATTTTCTTTTAGTATCCCATCATATTTAGCAGCTACTTTTTCTTCTGCTAATTTATTTGCATTTCTTTAAACATCTTCTATCTTAGCATTATTTACATTTGTCAAATTTTATGTTTATTTAAGAAAGTTTTTATTTGCTTTGCTTTATTCATCTAAATGAGCATAATCTTTTTTAATCATTTCCTCTTTTAAATCATGTATTTCTTTTATCAAATTTTCTTTTTCTTCCTTAATATTGTGTCAATTTTACTTTAAATTAACTCCATTTCTTTAATTCTTCATTTATTTTTTATAATTCATCTTTATGTCTAATTTCTAACTCTGTTTTTTCTTTTTCCAAATCTACTCAATACAATAACAAAATTACATCTAATTTTTTCATCCTTTCTCTATATCATACTCTCTATTTCCTCTGTTGTTTATTTTTTTAAGTCCTCATATTACTATAACAACGCATTATATTCACTCTCTTTTTTTATAATATCAGATTCCATTTTTAAGGTTAAAGCCAACTAAACATAATTCTATAAACTTTATACATTTTATTCATTAGACTTTCTAATATTTTCATTTAAATCGTAAATCTTTTTCTATAACTCCTCTATTCTATCTTACAAAACTTAAATTTCTATCAATAGATGAGAATGATCTCTAGTTAATTTTTAATCAAAACATTTACAATTTCTCAAGTGCCTTCTTTTCAGCCTCTGTAAATTCTACCACTTCAATTTATTATTTTTTCTTTGCCATTTTTATAATAAATAAAAATAAGTAAAAATATATATATATTAAAAAAATATATATGTAATTTATTTCCAAAACTTATTAAATCCCATACTAATATCTTGTTATTTAATAAAGAATCTCAATATTAATAGCAAATTTTTATTTTTTGTTTATACAAATATCAATATTTTGGGTAGACAATAATAATTTATCATTCAATGTAAAACTTCTTATTAAAACATTTAACCCAATTCAGCAAATATTTTAGGCTTCAAACACATCAAAGCAACTATTTGCATTGCATTATAATCTTTATAAATTTCCCATTCCAATTGTAAATTATCAAAGGATGGATTTTTTTTATTTTATTTATCTTCTGCCATCTATTTGAGTGTATCATGAACTAAATTTCTAATTTATCTTCCTGCCATTACACTCTTTAAATTTTTATGATTATATCTATTATTTGCAGCATTATCTTATAATGAAAATTATGCCTTTTATATAAAGAAAAGTAAAGAATGTTATAAACCAGAATTCTTGACTACTTTTTAGGATTTAGAAAAATATCTAATTAATAATAAATCTTAGATTATACCTTTTATAAGCTTCCATACATTCATTAAATAATTCCATCTTTAAATATTTGTTATTCCTATATGAAGTTAATTAATATCTCATTTATTTATTCTCATATTTGATTTAATCAATTTAGGGATCAGTTAATTATTCTTACTTTTAACTAGACTGACTTAATGGTTTTTAAGGATAAAATGTAGTTTATTATTAAGTTCTTTAAGTATCTGATGTTTTCTTTTATTTTTTTAATTGATGTCTGGCTGCATTGATTTCTCTTAAAAGAACAAGATTTTTTGAATTTTATTTATTAAGTGCAGCATGTTTATATTCAATGACTCTTTTGAGATTCTTACATCTTGTAGTATGTTCATATATTTGATTTTATAACTTATTGATATTCTCTGTTAATGCTTCACTATATGTTTTATAATTGTTAACATCTTCAAGTACTTTTCTGATTTCAACACTTTTTTCAATTTTATCTTGCAATTCCAATAAAGATAAATTATATTTAACTAAGTTGTTCTTGGCCCTTTCAAGTGCTTATAAAATAGATCGATATCTGAAATAATATTATAGAAAAAACACCTTTTGCCAAGAAATTAATCTTGTTTCTCTCTTGTTTCATCAATTGTGGGTTGGAAATGATCTAAATATTCATCTATTTTTTATTTATCCTCTTGTCTAGAATCTATTAATTTTCTACATATATTCTTTTCACTACTTGACAATTTCCCGATAATTTGGTGAAGGTTTCAGAGGCTCAGGCACATAATATATTTTTTATAATGACATATAATAATTTTAATATTTAGATTATATTTTGATTCATAATATAGTAAATATATAATTAAAAAAAATTGATATTTTGTATTCATGAGTACAATAAATATATTATTTACTAAGAAATTATATATATATATTATTTTAATGTGAGTGATATTTAAATTAAAATTTCATATACTAAATGTCATTCATTCACCTCCTAAATATCTGTAATTAACTTTATTTTTATTATTAGGTCTTGTTCTAAGTCTACTATTTACTTAAATTTCAGAATTCTAAAATAATAAATATTTCTGTATTTACTTTCTCTTCTTAATATTATTATTATTATTATTATTATTATTATTATTATTACTATTATGGAATAGTATTAATTTTAATAATAGGAGAATCAAGTAAATTTTATTTCTTAACTATTTTTTTTCCTGCATTTCTAAGACAATCTAAATCTTATTTAATTTCATCCTCATAAAGATTCAATCTGAATGCTTATAATTATTTATTAATAAATAAAAATTACTAAACTAAATTTTGTTATCTTTAGTAGCAACAAAGTTGATATTTTTCTCTTTCATTCTATTATCATCATATTCAATATTTTATCTTAATTTTGGTTGGTATTCTTCAATAGATTTCTCTTATTTCTTTGTTTATTAAGTATTCTATTATTATTATTATTGTTTCTTAATAGTTTTAGAACAATTCAAACAATGATAAACTTAATTTTCAGTTTCTTATTTGATATTTTGATTCCTAAATTTAGCTTCACAATTTAAATGATTCTTTCAAATAATTTAAAGGCTTACCCATTTTTAGCAAACATCACATTATATCCACTCCTATTCATCTTAATCATTAGCACCATTTGAATATATCTAAAATAATTCTATAATAATTAATAATACCTATTCACAAAAATCACAATAATTTCCACGAGTGTATAATCTCAAGCATTTCTCACAAAATTAAAGGGCTTCACCTTTTTTTGATTTAGTTTTTCGATCACCTTTATTATTGCATTTTTAATTGTGACATTTCTAAACTTACTGTGGTTCATCATCCTCAACAGTAATGGGATTATTAAAATTATTAGTTTTCTTTTAATTCCCTGGACTAGTTTGGCAGAACAATTAATTAGACATGAAAGGATTCAAGGAAGTTGGATTAGTCATCTAAAAGCTTTTCTGTAAAAGTTTTGTATAATCAAATGCATTTAATGCTCCTCCAAAACCTACATTAAAATATAGCAAATTATAAACTATAAGGTCATTAATTGATAATTGAAAGTGAACTTGATGATATCTTACCAAAATTGTTATTAAATAGATCTTATGGTTAAGGTGTTCTATTGGCATTGTCTGGAAATTGTTGGATTAAGCCTGGTAACATAAAAGGTTTCATATTAAGGATGGCACTCAAAAGTTGCTATTATCTAAAATAAGTAATGAATTGCCAAATATATGAATAGAGTTAGTCAGGTAATACGATAAAGTAAAAATGGGTTTAGAATCATACCTAAGCTGTTGTTAATATTCCTCTAGTTAAGCAGGAGTTAGATGTTGAAACAAAGAATTTTAGTTGTTCAACCCAGAGTTCATATTATTTTAATGATAGTTTAAATTAAAATGGTCATTCCCTATTTAATCATTATATAAACAAAAGAACTCAGTTATTTAATTGTGTATGAATGAATATGAATACTTTGAGAGACAAATAATTTATTTATTTTCTTTTTAAAAATACAATTATGATAAAATTTTAATTTCTCCATGCTTTCACTTTTCATTTTCAACAAAATTTAAATAAAAATACTATTTGATAATTTATTATAGAAGAAAATTGATTTCTACTTTTTGAATTATAGATTATACAATATAAAAATCCAAAACCATCTACTCAGTAATTTAATAATAAGAAGCTTAATTTACAATAATTATTTTAAATTGCATTTTTGTAATTAAAAATATTAAAGTTATTATTAAATCCTTAAACCTAACATTACTCTTATTTTCATTAATTTAAATGATCTCAAGCCTAGAAAATCAGTATTTTGCCATACTACATCTTAACAGCTCCTATAGATTCGACAAATAATTTAGAAAATATGTTTATGAAATCTAAAAAAATTATAAGAAATCACAATGTTATTCTTTTTTTTAGTTATATTTAGTTCACTTAAATAATATATTTCACTTAATCAATTGCAGCCATTAGAGCTTGTCACATACTCTTTTTCGGAAAATAAGTTTTCTTGATTTCTTTACCTTCTGATCATAATAGTACTATTCACTATTATTATAATTTCAGATTTTTACATATGTCTTTTTAAAGAACAACTCTTTAGAGAAAAAAATTAATAGGCTTACCTTATTTAATCTTTTATTCAATTAATTTTTAGTTCTATAGTTGAATTAAAATAACATTGTTAGTTGATATGACATCAGGTTGATCATTTGTAAGGCTTTCAGTGTTTCTGTTCCTTGCTGGAGATGATAATTTTTGTTAAGTGCACCCCATTATATATAATAAGATTTATAATCAAATTTAAGAATTAAATTCCTGTATATATATTTTATAATTTTTCATAATTGAAGAATTATCTTCAAAATTATTTCGCCAAAGTACACATTTTCACTTGAATGTTTATTTACATTATATATTATAATAATAATATAAAATCAAAATGTCTTTAGGATATTATGATTGGCTAGTCAAAGTGATAGTATTAGGGGATTCAGGTGTTGGAAAAACTAATATCTTAACACAATTTTGTGATTCAAAATTCTCTTAAAACTACACTGCAACAATAGGAGTTGATTTTAAAATTAAGATTCTTAATGTACTTTCATAATTGAATTCAAGGTGTAAGATAAGAAAATTAAACTGTAAATATGGGACACAGCTGGATAAGAACGTTTTAGAAACATTACTTAAACTTATTATAAAGGAGCTTATGGAATAATTTTTGTGTATTCTTTGATTGACAGAAACTCTTTTAATAATGTAGAAGGATGGATAAAATCAATTCTCGAAAGCACTACTGATGAAGTGTATGTGTTATTTATTTAATAATTTCTAGTTGTTCAATTTTAGTAGGAAATAAATTAGATTCTTAAGATAGAAGAGTCTAAACTGCAGAAGGAGAGAAATTGGCTCAAAAGTATAATATGCCATTTATTGAAACAAGTGCTTTAGAGAATAAGAATATACGTACAAACATGAATTGTATATATTAGAAGATATTTTCGATAGATTGGGATAAAATCTGAAGATTAGATTGGAAAATGAAGGATAAAAGGTTTCTAACAATATCCATACATAATCTGGTTAATTTAAATTAAATTAGGAAGTTAATTAAACTGAATAGCCAACATCTAGTTGCAATAGTTGTTGAAAAGCGTTGTGATGAATTTATTAAATATATGTTTTAAATTGAGATCATAGTAGTATTCTAAATATATATATATATATTCTTTTTATTTCTATGTATTTAAAATGTAATTATATTGTTTATTCAAATAAATCATTTTTTACTATTCTTTAAATCATAGTTTAACTAATCAATACATTTCTTCATTCTTATATTATCCAAAATCAGTTCTTCATAAGAAGGTCTCCCACCATTTCCACTAACACCTCCCCATTAATTTGATTAATTCATAGGATTCATTCCAATTTTATTTTAAGAAATTTAATTTGGAGTTCCCAAATATGCACTATTAACTTATTGGCCTGGTTATCCATATTAACTTACAGGACCATAAACTGGTTGACCATTTGGTCCATAAATGGGTTATCCATTAGGTCCATAAATAGGTTATCCATTTGGTCCATAAGCAGGTTAACCATTCTAAGGACCATATAATGGTTATCCATTTGGACCATAGAGAGGCTATCCATTTGGAGCATAAAGAGGTTATTGATTAGGATTGAATGCTTAACTTTAACCTGATGGACCAAATTATCCATTGGGATTTGGTTGTTTCTAATTAGGTTATTATTCAGATGGATCCAATAGTCCTAAAAGACCATTATCTTTTAATATTTTCAAAGCCTTATTGTAATCATCATGAACTTATTTTAAATGTTAACTAAAATTATAATAAATTATATTACTCTAATTCTTATCTTTCAGCCTTTAAGTCATCTAATTCTAATAAGGCATTATCTAATTATCTTTTCAATTTAGGTACATCTCCTGCCTTTTTTGCATCATTTTAAACATTATTCAATTTCTTACCTAGATCATCTTTATCCTTTCTAAAATAATATTATAATTAAATCAATACTCTGCATCTTTTAATTTATCTCTCACTTTACCCAATTCATCAAGTAATTGATTCCTATTTTTATGTAAATCATTTAATTAATCTTTAGCTTTATCTCTGTCTCCTTTAACATCACCTAAATTTAGATGTAAATTATCATTATCTAATTAAAGATCATTGCATTTCTTTTCCAAATCTTTGTTTACTTTCTTTAAATCTCCTAAATCTTTTTAGAGATCATTATTTTCTTTGGCTAATTTTCCTAACTTATCCCTTAATTATGAATAATTTATTACTTAATAGCTCCATTCTATTTTTCTAAGGCAGCTAAATCTGCTAACATTTTATCTCTATCTCCCTTTAATCTATTTAATTTATTCTTAAGATCATTGTTTTCCTCTATCACCTTATCATTATCTTTATTCTTCTTTTTTAGATCTTCTATTTCCTTTTTTAAATTATCATTATCTTTAGCTGCATTATTAGCTTTATCTATATTATTTCTTAGATCTTTAACTTACTATTATGATAAATAATAAGTATACATTCCCTAATTTATTATTGTCATCAAGTAAATCTTAATTCTTATGTCTAGCATCTCTTAATTAATCTTCTAACGGACCTATCATAGCTTTTAATTTCTCATTTTCTTCTGGTAAATGTTTGATTCTATCTAATTCAGTCTATAATCTAGCCACATCATTCCTTAATTTTCTATTTGCTTTTGCTTTGGCAGCAATATCATCTCGAAGTTTCTAATTTTCCTTTCCAATGTCATCTTCTGGATCTCCTTCTCCAGTTTCTCCTTCACAATCAGGACAAACACCATATTCATATTCTGGAAAATTACTATTTCCTTAAGGTTTAGCTTTCTATGCATCCTACCTTGATAATAAATCACTCTTATGTTATTAGCAAGTCAAACAGAATGGACAATGTGTTTCAGGTTATTATTACATTCTAACTGTGTTTTCCATCAATTTTGGTTAGTATACTTGAGATTGCACATATTATTATTGATTCATTTGAGGAGGCATAAAAGGTGCAGGAATGGCATTACTTGGATAATTCAGAGGATTTTAAGATTACTATTAAATTGGTTGAGCAGTTAAGATATTATTGTTGCTTTGATATTGACTACGACTCTAAGGTTGGGTAATGATTTAATGTCCAGACATTTGTTGGTTGTTGTTTAATTTTTAATTTTTTAAATACGTTTTATTTACATCAGATTGTTAATTTTAGATATTTATTGAAAAATCCTTCATGAGTTTTCTTTATTCTCTAAGATTTCATAAACTAAAATTTTTGGAATATAACAGATATTATTTTGAGAGTAATCATTTATATTTAATGATAATTATTTTAAATCCATTAATATGTGGATATAATAACTATTATATAAGTAAGATCATATAAATTATAATATTATAAAATATATAGGATATACATGTAATAATTAATAGAAATTATTTTAATAATGAATATTTTTTATGTGTAAATTAAAATAATATTATTTAGATATAGAAATGAAATAAAGAGTTGAATTATTTTTCATCATTAAATATAAATTTAGATCAATCAATTTCCAGGTTGTTTTTCTCCTTATGTGGCAGATGACATTTCTATTTTTCCCTCTGATACATAAGAAAAGAAAACTAATTTATAAAATAAGTAGAGAGACAATTGCATTGTAACTACTATGCCAATAATGATGTACTTCTTTTGAATCTATAATTTATCTAATTCTCTAATATTATGGTATATATTTTTACTCTTTCAAATTGAAAATTAAAAACAATATTGAATTTCCAACTCCATATGCTATAATTAACCACAAAAACAATTCATTCTAAAAGTAACATAAAATTGTAATGGGCAACAATGTTGACATAGAATAACCATACAAACAAATGGTTTAGAAGAAACTCAAGTCAACTCCTAAGATCTTCATTACTATAGCTAAAATGACTGGAGTTCCAAATGCAATTATATATAGTAATGCTGTTGCTTAAGGAACATAACCAACCTCAAATGATTGATTTTCTTTTTCTGCATCTACTTATCTTAAATTTGCTATAGCTGTAATCAAAAAAATTAAAGTAGCATTAATCCATATTGGTCCCCATCTATATTATAAATATACAATAATACAAATCTGGATTCTCTTTAGTTATATTAAGAAAATCTGGTCGAAAAGGAAGAAATGTAGCTTTGATTCTTTATATAACATCTGTCTCTGTGACATTAAAATATGGAGTATAATATCTATTATAGAATTGTAGTAATACTCAACTGTGAGAAATCCGCAGTATCCGGTTTACTTTTTATCACCACTATCATCTAATTTATTGAATTATCCTGGTTATGCTTACTTTTCCTCATCTGTTTATTTTTGAACTCCAATTTCCATTCTATTCTGATAATTTTTATTTTAAATAATATAAAATTTCTTATATTGATCTCCAATTAAATCATTTAAAATACTTGCAATCATCAATCATTTTATCAGTAAACTGATATATTATTTTATTTATCATTCATTTTTAATTATTTTGCACTTTCATTATATAATATTAAAATTTATACATGTAAGAAGATTTTGTCTATAATCCTGAGATTATGAAATCATAGCTAAGTATGCTGCCTCCAATTGAATAATTCACTCTATAATAATTAGCTAATAAACGAAAGATAAATTTCAACATGATGCTCTCATTACCGGTTTAATATTAAATTTTTATTTGCAGTTTCTTTTGAAAGATAAGGCTTTAGAAGATAGAAAGGATACTATTGCCATATATAGAAAACGTAAATTTGAGCCATTAAAACCTTAAAAACATAAGGTGACTTTGATTAACAGTGGTCGCATCCATTGTCCTGAATTTTGGTCGGATAAATATTAGAGTACTGCTTTAAGAGATTCACATATTAATAGAAATTTAGATAAATATAGACAGATCATAAAAAATAACATTTAAGATTATTTAATTAAATTTGATATGCAAGCTAAAGAATAAATGGAAGAAGCAAAAAAGTATTAAATTTAATAGATTCAAGAATTAAGTATTAAGAAATATATAAAAAACAATGTTCCATCTCAGATGAAGAAATTGCTCCATCAAATAATGAATTAAATCTTAGTTAATGCACTTAAGATGAAATTATTAATTACTATAGAGATGTAAAGAAGTAGGATCCTATTTAAAAAACAAGTTTGAAAAATCTAGATAAGATAACTTGTAATAGTGTAAAATAAAGTTTTATTGAAAAATTTGATAAAGTAATTACTACTTGTGATCGAAATTCAATTGTATCATATAGAAATTCTGTAGATAGTATAAAGTATTATTAATAATTAAATATTAGTAATTATGGATATGCAAATCTTAAATAAAGAAATAAAAATGTCTTAGGTAGTAACACTAGCAGAAGTCATTATAATTGATACTAATAAATATTATATATATATATATATATATATATATGATCAAACAAATTTTTATCATAATACTGTTTTTACTCTTTATGATGAAGATATGTAACTAGATTTTTTTAGATTAACTTTCTTATGAGTAGAAAAATAAGGTTGCAGTCTATGTTAAATAAGAGGAGCTGTTTAAGGAACTGTATTAATTTGAGTTTCCTTAGTTTCTGAAAGATATTTGATAATAGAATCTCTTTTAATTTGTTCGAAAGGCTTATGTTTGTATTTGTTTAATTAAAGCAAAACATACTATTTTTATTTTGGAGTAAAAATAATATGTTTTCTTGTTTACTGTAATTAAATACTAGGTTCACTTGGAGAATCTGATATCAAATCTGAATCTTTTTATACCAATGGTCGTTAGTAGTAAGTACGATCCTTGGTAAAAGTCCTGAGAACTTTGATATCTTACATACTAGCAAAATAAGAATCCCTATTAGAGTTATGTTGATTTAAGGGATTAAATTTACTAGTAGATGGTGTATCTATCTTCTTGAATGATTTCTCAAATTTAGTTTTCATTCTACCCTTTATTGCTCTTCTTCTTAGATCTTTGACTCTATACAGAAATTGATGCTATTATATAATAGTTCTAGGATATTTAATGTCTATATTCAACTTTAGAATAAACTGAATCTCTTACAATCTTTTAAGAAGTTAAGCCATCATTGTCGCTTTTTCTTCTTTGTCTTGGAAAATCATCTAAAACCTTGATTAACTAGAAACTATGTATTGTATTGTTGGCTTTATATAAGCTTTTCAAGACAACACTAGGTTTGATTTGTTTCGGTAATTTATTGTAAAATTCAATTTTTTAGAATTTGACTTATTGGTTTTCTGAACTATCTTTAGCAATTAACCTTGGGTATTATTTACTTTTCTTATCTTGGCTATTGGTGATTAAAATCCTCATTAAATTAATTAAATGCAAACATCAATAATAAGTTTTTATGAATATACAATTAATATTTTCAAATTTTAATTACTCTTAATGAATTAACAGCGTCGACTTTCTCCTGCTCCATCAAGTCCTATTCAACGTAATGCAATAATATCATGTATTATATATCATATAAATTAGAACATTCTAATCGATTTCAATTCCTATAAGTAACTCCATCAACTCATCCTATTCAATATGTCTAAATGTAGAATTGTAAGAATCAAACTTATAAAATTAGATAATGAAGCTAGATAAATCTCTAGAGAGAGAGACAACAATCAAATCCCTTTTTAGTAATAGTAAGTATGCCCAAAAGGATTTTAGAGTCTGAGAATAATGAGTTAACCTGATGGTAATTCAAGTAAGTCACCAGTTGTTCCAGTTATGTAATCCTAACCCAATATCAGACCTAATACAAACTAAAATTCTTTATAAATTTATATAGATAATGCTTTGAAAACTTAAAGAGAAGAAATGCTAAAATTATTAGAATAATAAAATAAATAAATAGATTATATGAATTAATAATAATTATTAATAATATAATAATAATAACAACAATAAGAAAAGAAGAAAGAATCAATTAATATTGAGTCCTAATTAAATTAAGTTAAAGAATAATTACATATTTAAATTACTTAAGCTTGTAGAGAAATGATTCATAAATTATAAAAGCAAGAATAAACTGACTTTAAGGCTTTACAAGTCTAAATAGAGAAATTAAAATCTCAACTTTATTAAATTAATTTATCAACTAGCAAATAGTCTGATAAATTATAATAATCATATAAAGGGAAAGAAAATGAAACAGAAGAATATTAATATAAAAAACATATACCTTAAAGAAATTCATTAGATAATTATGATTAATATATTAAGAAATATGAATAATTCAATAAATAAGTAAATGATTACTTGATTAATCGAAAAATACCTGATCATCTAAGCTCAATATTAAATACTAGTAAAGATTCAAATAGTGAAATACATGATATTGAATACATATAATCAGATCATCCTCTTACTGATATTACAAATATACAAAATACCAAATAAAATAAATAATATTAATCTTAACCATTATAATAAATTGCTTAACCATCAATCACTTAATAATTTATGACTTAAAAAACTACAATTTAATCAAATAATTAAATTAATGAAGATTCACCTATAAAAGCATTGAATGAATAAATGATGATTGATAGTTTAGATAATATTAATGTACATGATCCAAATAATTTATAAATTACTAAAGAAGAATTTGATCAATTAAAATGTACAATATTAACATAAATTATAGCTTAAAGAATGTCAACTATACATGAAAATGAAGATGAAGATGAAGAATTAATGTATTAAGTAGATGAAAATGGATTTATTCTTAGTTAAGATGGACATCCTTTAATTGATGAAACAGGAAAACGAATCTAATTAACAAAATAAGAACTTCAATTTTATAAAAGTAAACTTCATAGTTGATAATTACATATATATATATAATTTATAATACAAATTCATTTATGTTTATAATAATTGGTTAAAAAACCCTATCTCTTCAAAAAACATTCAAAATGATTCTCTTTATTTTTTTACCCAACATTCCTTTAAGTTGTTATTGGAGATTTGACTCTTTAATCTAAAATAACTTTATTTATTCTTTCCATCATATTTTATATTGCCATTGGTTTCTTTTTGTTTTCTGATTCTTAATTGCTTTATTGAGTTTTTATTCTAATTGGAGAAGCAAATGATTTTTCTTTTGGACTTTATAACTTTTCCTTTTAAGACTTTAAGTAGAAATCTACATTTTAACGAAATTTTTAATAATTCATAAACTTTAAAAATAAGTATACACAAAATTTTACTATTTAATTAATAATAATAATATAGAGTGAAAAAATTACTTAAAATAATCATTGATTTTCAATAATAAGAAAATAATTTATAATTAATTTATTTTCTAAATAAACAAAATTAAAACTATCATTTTTATTCATCTAAGTGATTATTATGATTATGATGATTACCATTATTATTATTATTATTATTATTATTATTATTATTATTATTATTATTATTATTATTATTATTATTATTATTATGATTATTATTATTATTATTATTATTATTATTATTATTATTACCATTAACTTAACAAATACCATTTGTATTTTATTTCATAAGTTAAATCTTTTTAAGTTTTTTATCAATCTCTATTTCAAGATTTACAAAATGTTATAATTTTTCTATAGTTGTAAATTAATCATTTTCAATTTCTTAAATTGTGAAATATTTAGCTACACAATCATTCTTAAAGCGAGGCAACTTTATTTTATTAATCTTACAATCATACTCAAATATTCTTACTTCATCTTAAGATATGGAATACTTCTATCTATTTTCTTCAATTCTTTATTTCCTCTCTTCTTTATTTGGATTATCTCCTGTATTAATAACACATCCATTTTTTCTCATTACTCCTTTTTTTTAATTATTGTCTATCCAAACCTTTTCTAAATCAATCTATAATCCTATATGATAAATATTAATTCAATACCCATAAAATCTCCCAATGATTATTATCCAAGCATTCTCTAAGTTTATATATAAATCTATCCAATAGATTTATCTGGTAAACATTCTGATTATATGATGCTTCTCCATTTTCCAATCCCAAATTTCTATAATGCAAGCTTAAGTATTTTGACTTCTTCCTAAGACCAACCTGGAGATAATGTGTAATTCCATAAACTCTTAGATTCATTGTGTGCTCCATGCTTCTTTCTTTTTTATTTCTCCATTATTGGCGCTTTAATTAATTAAATACAAATATATTAAGGAATGGTTTTTAATTAATTTTTATTATATTAATATCATGAGTACTGTGACAAATGAGTCAAAGAAAAAAGAAAGCATTGATAAAGCTCTTATTTAACAATAGAGAGAACAACTCAAATAAACTGTTTTAGAAAGATTTATAAAGGATTTTGGAAAGAATAACAAAAATAAAATATAAGTAACTTACAATTTAGAGTTTAGATCATCACCAATATTGTGAATGAATATTTCTCAAAAACTAGAGTTACTGATGTTACTTTGAAAAATTTAAAACAATAAGTTTAATAGGCAATTCAAAATATAGGATCCACAACTTAATCCCAAGCAGATTAATCAATCAAAGAATCATAAGGTATAAAAAAAGATGTATTTGGTAGTCACACAATAACAATAGTTATAATAGATTCCATAATAGAAACCTGCAAGTAGTTAGTCAAAGAAATCAAATTAATAAATATAATCAGTTCAATAATAACGTCAAGATGTCTATTCTGAAACATCTTCTAAAGTATCAAATATTTATAAATAAGGCACCAAAATCAGTATATATGATGGAGGGAGATGAAGATGATGAATGGGCTACTTTAGTTAAATTTGATACTGAATTGTATAAAAAAGAAAAGGAACTTGAGCTTATTAGAAAATAGGAATTTAAGAAGAAGATCAAATCAGAGTTGGATAGATAAATAAATGAAAAATAAAATAAGAAATAAGAAGATGTTCAAGATGAAGATGCTTATGTGAAGTTGCATCATTATTAATTGAATGTTTATGATTAAAGAGAAAAGGATAAACATGATAATTTGAAGAATAAAATTTATAATGAAAAATTATAAAGAGACAAATAAGTAAGAGATGAATAGCAAAGAAAGTAAAAATATTTTTATATTTTCTTTATAGAAAGGTTGAATAAAAGAGAGAAAAAGAACTTGATAGTTTGTTGGTTAGAAAAATTAGAGAAGAATTAGAATTAGAATAAAGAGAGTAATTAAATAGAAGAAACAAAGAAAGAGAACGTTTTCTAAGAATGATGAAAGAAAATGAGGAGTATAGAAAAAAAGCTTTAGAAGATGCTAAGTAAGAGAAGGAAGCAGAAACTTAAATGCAATAATAATACATCAGTTTATAGAATCAATTAGAGGAATAAAGAGAATTAGAGAGAAAATAGAGGGAAGAAAAAATGAAAAAAGTTATGGGTATGTTTGCTGAAGGAGTTGTTAGAGATTAAAAAGAATTAATTAAATAAGAAGATGAAAAAATGTTAAGGAATATTATATAATAAAATGAAAGAGAAAAAATTGAAGAAGAAAAGAAAAAGTTAAAACAATTAGATTAAAGATAGTAATTAAGATCATTTTTAAATACATAAATTGAAGAAAAAAAAAGAAGATAAGAAGAAGAAGAAGAGCTAAATAAAAGATAGGCAGAAATTTGGAAATAAGATTTAGATAATTATAATGATCATGAAAAAAAAAAATTTGATGTATTAAAAATATATTATACATTAGTATATAAAAGAAGTAAATTTAAGACATGCAGATATCTTAAAAAGTTAAATCTAAGAAAAACAAAGTAAGATCAAATAAAAGGCTACTAAAATGAATACAGCTGAATTATTATAAAACAAGGATAAACTTAAAGTTATTGCATAAGAAATTCCTGATTTAGGAGAAAAGGTCAAAAAAGTAGAAATTTGACATAGAATATTATATAAATAATATATTATTATAAAATTTATGATTCAAAATCGAGAAGAAAAATTAAATTAAAAGGATTTAGAATCTATCAACAAAAATAAAAAAATAGCATAAATATTAATTCAAGATGTAGTATATAATATAATGATAAATAAAAAAAAGTCAGAATTAAGTGATAAAGAATATTTTAAATGGTTTGATTAAATGAAAACATCGGATAAACAAAAATCTGTTCTAATTAAAGAAGATGAATAGAATCAGAAGTAACTTAACTAAGTTAATATAAAATAAACTTAAACCCATGAATAATTAGAATTTTTTGGTTAAATGAAATAATAATTACAATTAGAAAAAATATAGGCTTAAATAAAAAAAAAAAAAGCTTAAATAGAATTAGAATTAATTATTAGATAAATATAAACTGAAATTGAGATTTAAAAAATTAAGAATTAAAAAGTAATTGAAAAAAATTAATAAATACTTGAAGAAATATAAGAGGAATAATGTTATATTGTAAATGAAGAAATAATGAAAAATTCCAATATTGAAGAAGTTGAAATGGAAAAACGTTTAGAAAAATTAAAATATCAATCTAAAAAGGCGAGCAAAGTTAATTTATTTAAAACAGTTCTAAAATCTCTTAAGACATTTGAAAAATAAGTATAATGATCATCACACTTAAAATAAATAAATAGAATTTTATATTAATATTCTAAAAATACAAAATGATAATAATTAAGTATCTTTTCATAAATAATATCATTATTAATATCCAGAAATTTAATTAAAGATGATTGTAATTATATCCATCAATAATTATATCATGTAATTTTTATGATATTATCGTTTCTTTTTCTTTGATGGTAAATTATTATCAAATTTTTTTGGTAACTCTTTGATAAAAAAATCTCAGTTTAAGTTCAGATATAAATAAATGTTAAATTTTCTGATTTTATTTAATAATTTGATAATTTTAGTATTTCTAGAAGTTTATATATGATCTTTTTAATGAGAAGGGAATTTCAGCAAAATTTTTTAGTGCATTTTTTGTTCAGATGAATAAAATTTGTATTTATTTAATGATCTGTATTTATACATAAAATATAAAAATTTTTGCATTAGATTTTAAAAATCTTTAAAAATGTAATAAGAAGCAGATTATGTAAATATTCATTTATATTTATTAAGAATTAAGATGAAAAATAAGTATACCAACTGAGGTAGTAAATTATTTCTTATAAGCAAGTTCAAAGGTAATATTGAAAGTAACCTTATAGAAATCACCACATAGAAAATGAAAAATTAATGTTTCCATACAACAAGGACTAGTGGGAGGCAGAAAGGGAAAAGATATTCTAGAATTCGATTCAATATTTTCATGACAAAATAGATAAAAATGAGGAACTCAAATCAATTTTTAGAGACAGATTTCCAAAACTTAAATTGGATTAAACTTGCGATGTATAGTCTTTAATATGATTGTTTAGGATATGTCTTTATTTAGTGAACGAATGTAAGGGTATTTAGAAAAGAGGAGATTGGATATAGAATAGGAGCTAAAGAAAACCCATCAAAATGATCCAAAATATTTGAGTTTGAAAATTGAATTACTGTTTATAAATTCAAAGGATTTTTATACTAAAGTTAAAGATTCTATATTGAATCCATTATTGTAAGAAGAAAGTTAAGCAGTATTGTAATCTAGAATGCTTGAAAGATTATTATTAGATAGAAACTATTTTAAAAGAGATAAACCTTTAAGGAGAGCAGAGAGTAAGTTGTCAGATAAATTTGAATTGAGTATGATAAAACATGAATAAGCAAGAAGAAAGAAAATAAAATAAAAAGAGTTTATGTCAGCAATATTTGCACATCAGATTGAATTTATGGAATTTCATAGAAAGAAATACAAACATGCTAGAAAACGAAGTGTTTAGTTTAAGGTTGTATTGGAATAAAGAGAATAATAAAGAGATAAATAAATGAGAATGGAACACATTAGAAGAGGAAATCTAGAAACTTATCTTTAAGTTTTAGAGAAATTAGATGAGGCTAAAAAAGAAAGAGTGGTTTCAATTTTGAGATAAACAGATTAATTTTTAAAAGATATTGGTGCAAGAGTAAAGATTTAGAAAGGTGAAGAAATTACAGAAGAAGATGAAGTTATAGATAACATTAATTCTAGAAATGGTTTAGGATATGAATTAAATTAAGCTAATAAAGTATATTATAATATAACTCATAAAATAAAAGAAGTGATAACACAATAACCAGCATTACTGGAAGGAGGATAATTAAAATAATATTAATTATAAGGATTAGATTGGTTAGTAAGTTTGTATAATAATAATTTGAATGGTATTTTGGCTGATGAAATGGGTTTAGGTAAAACTATTCAAACAATCTCTCTATTATGTTATTTGATTGAAACAAAAAAGAATTTTGGACCATATTTTATTATTGTTCCTTTATCAACTTTAAGTAATTGGTCTAATGAATTTGAGAAGTGGGCTCCTTCTATTAAAAAAATAATCTATAAAGGATCTCCTTAAATAAGAAAAGATATATCAAAATAAATGAGAACAACTAAATGGAATATCTGTCTTACTACTTATGAATATGTTTTAAAAGATAAGTTAACTTTATCAAAATATGAATGGAAATATATAATTGTTGATGAAGGACATAGAATGAAGAATTCAAGGAGTAAATTCGCAATGATATTAGGATAGTAATATCAAAGTGAAAGAAGATTATTACTTACAGGAACTCCATTATAAAATAATATAGCTGAATTATGGGCTTTACTCAATTTTTTGTTACCAAAAGTATTTTCATCTTGTGAAGATTTTGAAAAATGGTTCTAAACACCTTTAAATATTATGGGAGCTAGTGAGAAAGATATTTAATTAGATGAAGAAGAATAATTATTGATTATTAATAGATTACATTAAGTTCTTAGACCTTTTTTATTAAGAAGAGTAAAAAAGGATGTTGAGAAAGAATTACCTAGAAAAACAGAATATGTTATTAAAATAAAATTATCAGCTTGGTAAAAGAAAATATATGATTAAATTAATTAAAGAGGAGTTATGACATTTGATTAATAGTCAGGTAAGAGTGGATCTTAAGCATTATAGAATTTGATGATGTAATTAAGAAAGATTTGCAATCATCCTTATCTATTTATGTTAAATTTAGATATGAACAAAGTTACAGATGAAATTTGGAGATCCAGTGGAAAATTTGAATTACTAGATAGAATTATTCCTAAATTATTATACTTTAAACATAGATTATTAATATTTAGTTAAATGACATAATTAATGGATATTATGGAAGCATTTTTTGAATATCGAGGATGGAGATATTTAAGATTGGATGGATCAACTAAATCAGAAGATAGAGAATCCAGAATTTAATTATTTAATTAAGAAAATTCAATTTATAATATTTTCTTATTAAGTACTAGAGCTGGTGGATTGGGATTAAATTTATAATCTGCAGATACAGTAGTCTTGTTTGATAGTGATTGGAATCCAATGATGGATTTATAAGCTTAAGATAGAGCTTATAGAATTGGATAAAAAAATGAGGTTAGAGTATTAAGATTAATTACTGCAACATAAATTGAAGGAAATATACTTAGTAAAGCTGAACACAAAATGGGATTGGATGCAGTTATTATTTAAGCTGGATTATATAATTAAAGATCAACTGATTAAGAAAGAAGGGAACGTTTGCAAGATTTCTTTAGACAAAAGAATAAAGTTGATTTATTTGAAGCTGAAGAAATACCAGATGATACTTAAATTAATGAATGGATAGCAAGAAGTGAAGAAGAATTTGAAATGTTTAATGAATTAGATAGATAAAGATATGAACAAGAAAAATTAATTTATAAAAACTTTAATGAAAATAAGGATGATCAATATTATAATTATAGATTAATTTAAGATGATGAAGTTCCTGAATGGATTACATCTAAATAAAATGAAGTCTAGGAAGTTAAAGAATATGGTAGAGGTTAAAGAGAAAGAAAGTAAGTAGTATATTATCTTCCTGAGGCCTCACCTATTCAAGAAGAATAATAGGAAGATATGAATGAATTAGATTTAAAATTAGATGATTAAATTGAAATGGAGTAAAATTAAGTGTTTTAAGATGATCTTGATTTACCTAAAATATAGAAAAAATAAAAAAAGTTTAGATAAATAGAAAATGATGAAGGTAACAGTAATAATATTGATGAAATTGAGCCTAAACTAAAAAGTAAACGTAAACTTAATTGATAATTACAATTTATTCAAATTATTCCCAACAAAATATTAAAAAAAACAAATTTATCAACTTTTATTAATATTATTATTATTATTATTATTATTATTATTATTAATATTATTATTACTATTATTATTATTACTTATATTATTACTTGTATTATTATTATTACTAGTATTATTATTATTATTTTCTACTATTAATCCATTATCCATCTTATCTAAATATTCTTCTTCTTCTTCAAAATCTTCATCATCGTATTTATCTTATTCTCTTTTTATCATTTCATCTGTTTCTGGTTGCTATTTCAATTTTAACGGAATATAACTTCTGATATAAGTCTATTCATTAATGAATATTATCTTTAGAGCCCTCTAATTATAAGTTCTACCATACATTGATATTACTATACGTTGTGCATACTCAATAGTTGAATACACAAGAAATAGAGAACCTGCCTCAGCTAAAAATTATAAATAACACAAATACCTCCTAAGCCAGCTTAAAATGGTTTAACAAAAAAGTCATCTTCAATTTAACTGCATTATGAAAATCCTTCTAGTAAATCCTCTCTCATTTCATTCCATTCATTTCTATTTAAGTTTATTGCCATAGCAACATTTAAGAAATTTCCAACCTTTATAATCCTGGATGGGATACCTGTCTAAGCCAGAATTTCATCTTCTTCCCTCTATCCTCTGGCATATCCAAGTGATTTTAATGCTAGATAAGCAGCAGCTTATGCTTAGGCCATATTATGAGCTTACTAGACTAACTATGATTGATTAACAGATTGACCTAAATTATAATATGATTTTATACCATATAAGCTGTCACCAAGACGAAAGATCTTACAAGATTCTTCTAATAACTTAATATCCTCTAATTTTAACATCCTATTAGCTTCTTCAACAGATGATAATTCTATTGTGCATGTTCTATCTTTCTCATTCAAATGACAATATAATATTGGCTTAGCATTTCCAACATCATTTAGATAATTTCTAGTCATAAATCTACTTAATTCAGCATAAAGATCTCGATTAGTTAAGCCTGTAGGGATATTACAAATTTAAATTCTTCTCATTCTACTAGTCAATGACATTACCTTATCCTTATCTTCTCTAACTTTGTCATGTAAATTTGTTTTAGGTACCCAAGTGAAACCATCCCAAAATCGATCTTATTTATCATATCCTAAGGCATCTATAATTGAATTTTAAATAAATAATTACTAGATTTAGAAACTGGATTGTTAGCTAAAATTTATTTTTAGTAATGCTTAACAGCTGAATTAGATCTAGATCTTTTTCTTCTCTCTTATTTTAATCGTGTAGTTCGTTACTAAAATCTATTTTAATTTTTATACTTCTTTTGTTTCACTCTCTTCAACCTTTTTTTAGATTTCAATTTTCACTTCTTTTTCTTTTATTTACTTTTTATCTGATTTTTTCTCTTGCTTTTTTCTTTCTTTTGACTTTCTTTCTTTAGATTTCTTACTTTTTTATTTTTTTTTTTCCTTTTTTTATGATCTACTTCTTTATTTTTTTTTATCTTTCTTAACCTCACTATTGCTGCTATTATCCATGTATATTATTTAATTAATTATATATCTCAATAAGCCCCCTTTTATATTATTATTTTAATATATATTAAATTTATAATTTATATCATTTTTTTGGTTTATATTCTTATGGGCCAATCATGGATTCAGGTTTAACCCATTATTTAAATTGTTCCTCATTCAATAATTTAAGTTCTAAGGCAGCTTCTAATAAAGTTTAATGATGTTTATGTGCATGTTTAGCAATTTTAGCTGCCTTCTCATATCCAATATATGGATTTAAAGCAGTCACAAGCATTAAAGATTAATTCATTAATTCTTCAATTTTCTTTGTATTTGCTTGAATTCCATCAACACAATTTTTAGTAAATGATACACTTGCATCACCCAAAAGTCTAACTGAATGTAGAACATTGTGAATGATAACTGGTTTAAAAACATTCAATTCAAAATGTCTAAATATTATATTGATATATTATTACCCATTTGAACCACCTACAGTAACAGCAACTTAATTTCCCATGACTTAAGCACACACCATTGTCAAAGCTTCACATTAAGTAGGATTAACTTTTCCAGGCATTATTGATGATCCTGGTTCATTCTCTGGTAATATCAATTCTCCTAAACCACTTCTAGGACCAGATCCTAAAAAACGGATATCATTAGCAATCTATTATATTATTTCTTAATACTTTCATTAAAGAAACAGCAACAGCATTTAATGATCCATGAAAATCTACTAAGGCATCATGAGAAGCCAAAGCTTCAAATTTATTAGGGGCAGTTTTGAATTCATATCCTGTCTCTTTGCTCACTTAATCTGCAATAGCTTCAGCGAATCCAACATATGTGTTAATTCCAGTTCCAACAGCTGTTCCTCCTTAAGCTAAATATTGAACTTAATGAAGAGATGTTTTGACTCTTTCAATGCTGTTTCTTACTTATTAAGCATATCCACTGAATTCTTATCCCAATGTTAAAGGAGTGGCATCTTAAGTATGTGTTCTACCAATTTTTATGATCTTATCAAATTCTTAAGCCTTTCTTTCAAGACTTGCCAAAAGTGTTTATAAACCTGGAATTAATACTTAATTGGTCTATAGTTTACTAAATTAATTAATACTTGAATAACAGTAGCAATATGCATAGCAGTTGGGAATGTGTCATTAGAGGATTAACTCATATTGACATGATCATTTGGATGTACTAATTTACCACCAATTTATCCACCCAAGATTTAGATGGCTCTGTTTGCTATAACTTCATTAGCATTCATATTTGATTATGTGCCTGAACCTGTTTACCAAACAACTAATGGGAAATGATCATTCAATTTTCCAGCGATAACTTCATCTAGAGAATATTAGATATATTAAATTTACCTGCAGCTTTAGCTATGGCATCAGAAATTTCAGGTTTGAGGTCATATCTTTTATTTACAATAGCTGCTGATTTTTTGAGTATTCCAAAAGCTTTGATGACTGGGAGAGGCATTTTATCGGTGTCTCTGCAAATATCGAAGTTTTAGATTGATCTTTAAGTTTAAGCTCCCCAAAGTCTATCACTTTTAACTTTGATTGGTCCAAATGTATCATACTCTTCTCGGAATGAACAAAATCTATAGAGACAAGGATTGAATAATAAAGATTTTCTTGAAAGCATTATTGCGTATTTGCTTATTTTATTTTAAAATTTAAAATAAATCAAATCCATTATTTTACATGGTTCAAGTAAAGAGATAAGACAGAAGAAAAGTTTATGAATATTTGTTAATGGAAGGTGTTATTGTTATCAAGAAGGTATATTTTTATGAGAATTCAAGGACATGGCACTTCCAGTTCATTAGGAAACAGGAGTAAAAAACTTAGAAGTTTGGATGTTATTGAGAAGTTTAAGAGATAAAAAGCTTGTTGATTTGGTATTCTCATGGCAATACTACTATTATTATCTTAAGGCTGAAGGTGTAAAATATGTTAGAGACAAATTGGGTACATGAAAATCATCTATTGTAAAGGCATTGTTGAGGATGTTATCCCAGCCACTTTCAAGAAAGCTGATAAAAAGTTTGAAGATGATGTTCCTGAATAAAGAAGAGGCCCAAGAGGAAATAAGCCTTTCGGTAGAGGTGGTAATAGAGGACCAAGAAGAGCAGAAGAAGGAACAGAAACAGCATAACAATAACAATGAAATTGATATATAAAAATGGTACAATATATATATATATCTATCTATGTTTTAATTCAATCCCGTTTACTTTTAGTGTTTTTGTTAGCTTTTTAAGGATTGTCAGAAGGTATTCCTTTAAACATATTTTATATTTTTTTATCCATTTCTGAGTATATTTTTCTGATTGCCACCATGAATATTATGAATACTCCACCAACAATTCCAATTGTTAAAATAAGATTATAATAAAATCTAGCTCTTCTTTCAAACATTAGATCTATTGATTTTACAGAACTTGAAACCTTTCCAAATGTATTAATTAATGCAACTAATTCATTTCTTTTTAATTTTCCTGAAAATTCACTTGGAGATTCAGAAAATAGAATTTTTAATGCTGTTCCTAAACCATATGTTTACATCTTTCCAAATACTCTACATTTTTAACATTCAACACAATCCATAATTCTACTTATATTATGAATATATCTTTAATAATCTTTCTTTTAATCCTAATTATATTTAATTTAATTACAAATGTTATTTAATTGAAGAATAATTATTCATCAAAAGGTTTAGAACATTAATTGTTTCCTAATGATAAGATATTATTCAATAAATATTTGGATCTAGTATCTTCTTCAAATGACATTGAATTTATATCATGATTTTGGATTCCTGGTGTTGCTAATATTACTGCCCTTAAAAGAACTGAATATAAAAAAAATAAATTTCGAATTCTTTCAGGATGATTACCTACTCTTTCAAAATATAATGGATAATTTGGATAAGTTTTATTTGTTGATAAATCTACATAGAATTCACTTAATTAAGTAGAGATTGATGTATGTAAACCTTATACTAATTTATTTAATGCTCTTTTCTCTTTACACATTTCATTCAATGAACCTTAATAACAATTCTCTTTGTATATAGCATCCCAAATATGTTGTCCTTGATATCCTGTGAAAGCCTCAGGATTTAATTTTAAGTCTACATAAACTCCTTTATCATTTTCAACATCCTCAACATGCCATATCCATTCAGAAGGTGCTATTAATCATTAATTAAAATACATAGATATCTCTCTGTATCCCAGAATGCAAAATTATCCTTTGGTTAATTAATAAATGATGATGTTGGGGATAGCCAATTTGAAGGAATCTAGAATATATTAATCTTTTTTTTTATACTTCAGATGTATTACAAGTGCATATTACACATTTTTTACTTGTACAAATGTATTCACCAATAGAAAATGGACATTCATTTTCAAGATTTACTCTGAATATCTTAAAATATTTTTTGTACTATAATTTCAATTCTAAATTTTACAGTCAATTCATCTAATAGAGGGAATATTTAGTCATTCACTGATTTGAGTGTTTTAAAGTCCTAACAACTATCCTCAACAATTCCTTCATATTTAAAATTTTTATCTAACTAATAATTCGATAGCTTTAATTACTATTATGTAGCGTAATCCTGTTATTATTATTCCTGCTGCATATGCATAAATTAACCAAGTGATACATTTTCCCATCATTTTCAATTCCCATTCTTTCCTTTGTCTTCTTTTAGATCTCTCCATTTTCAATTATGTAAGTTCGTCTACAAACTCTTCTCTCTCTGTTTACATATAAAAGTAATGATAATATTAAATTAAATTAATTTCAGTTTAAATCTAAAACTATATACACGTAAGACATTTAAATGAATCTAGAACAATTTATATACATTTATATGATTCCTTATAGTTTTAGCCAATTTTTAATTATTTATAATAATATTATTTAGTATCTCCAACAATTAAATTATTAGTTTATGTTGAGAAATCAGTAATAAATAATAGAAGTTAAATTTAAAAAGACATCAAATTAAAGAATTAAAAGGTATCATATTAATATTTTGAATAACTTAGATATTCTTATTTATTTATTAAAATATAATATATATATATTAGATTTATATTTTATATACTTTATAATCTAATCTTTATATAAGAAATAAAATTATAGAATTATTAGAATTATGATAATTTTTTAATTTTAATTAAGAATAAATATATTAAATATAGAGATAGCAATATAACAATATTTTAAGTTTCTCATCTTTTCACATTTATTAAATTTTTAATTTTTGTCAAGCTATCTTTAACGCTTTGAAAATATTATTTCATCCTGTTTCTCATTTGTTCAGCTTCTTCTAAATTCATATTTTCATTTATGTCAAATTATTAAACTGCAAATTTTTGATTAGGATTTCTTTTCATTTCTTATTCAACTTCTCTATTAATTTGAGCAATTTATTTTGCAAACATCATTTCTGATTCACAATGTTTTAAACCTTATTTTGGTGTTACAATTGAATTATTTCTTTCCCAAACTTCTGGTAATTTCTAAATAGACTTAGATTTTATTTAAATATTTGGTAAATGCTTAATTAAAGGTAAAGGATCATAAATTCCTATAGCTGGAATCTAGGAAGTCAAAGTTTTAGTACTTCTACTAATTAATTAATGTTTATGATTAAGTCCTTTTTACTGTTTTTTCATTAATTAACCTCTTTCTACTTAATTATGATTAAGAGTATATGATTTTATATCGATTGGTTTTTATAAATCTTCATTATTCAAGCTAGTTGGTATTAAAGTGACATATTTAGTATTTGGATCATATTTAGGAGATTCTAATTCAGTACGAAATTTATGTCTCATAATTAAATCAGTATCTATCTGATTTATTTACTCGCTTGTTCTTTGTTTTGTATTTTTTCTAATTGATGAAAAGTTATAACTTTCATTGTTAACAAGTTTACCAACTTAATTTCTTTCACAAATAAATGGTTTAAACTTTCCCTCTGGTGAGTAACTATTATTTGGTTTATCACCAAAAGGATAAAAATTTGATCCATTTTACAAGAAATTCACCAATTATGTTTTCTACATATTAATATTTTTTAATAATTATAAATATGCAACTATTATTTAATATTAGTCGGTATTTAACAATTATAAATATTGAGTCCATATATAATTATAAATAGATATAATAATATTAAGTCATGTTTGAAATATTATAATAAGCAGAAAACTTTTTATTTTTTTTATTGATATGGTTGGTTATATATATATATATATATAATTTAATTAATAAATGATCAATATATTAATATAAAATAATACTGTTTTTGTAATTTAATTTGAAATTCAATATTAAATGAAATACAAAACAATTAAAATTAATAAAATCATTAAAATTACTAATCATTATTATTATGATTTAGATTTTAATTTTGATTATTACGAGGATTGCATTCATATTATTCTATGATGGTATGTAAAAGTTAAACTATTTCATTTTGAGTTGGCTATTAGTAATTTGTTAATTATATCAATTTTTACCATAAAGAGGATCGATCTGAGTATTCTCTTCGTTCTTCTGTTTCTTTTAATTATAAGAAATGTTATTGCTATTACATTAAACTTTAATAAAACTATAAATCTAATTATGCATTTTAATTACAATATTACATTTCTAAAATATAAAAATAATTTATACAGTCTCTGAAATATTATTATTGAGGTTATGGATAACATAAATATTGTTATTATTAATTTTATATTTGTTATTAAGCTTACAAATATTATTATTATAGATAATAATAGTCTAAATACGTATTAGGTTAATAATGTGGTATTATTGGAATATCTTCTTGAACCTTAGCTTTTTTAATGATTTCCTTCTTCTATTTATTTCTATTAGGTCTTCCTCTTTTAGAACTAGGAATTTTATATTCAAGCATAGGAATGTCTTAAATCTATTATTTTTGGAATCGAATTCCTATTCTTTCTTGATCAAAATAAGCAACAAAATTTTCTTTATTCATAGGGATTTTTGTATTTGAATCGCAAAATAAAATGCTGGATTATTTTTAATCTGAGAATTCATGATTAATCACATTCTAAAATCCTTAGATTAAAGTTCTTATCAAATTTACACTTCTATATGTATTAAAATTATTTATATGCTCCTAGGATTGGATATGCTAAACTAAAATAAAAAGTCAACATACATCTAAATATTCTTCGTAATTTTTTTTACATACTCCACAATATCTATGTTTTTTACCAGGTTTTGGTACTAACTTAAATATAATATAATAATTAAATACCATTTTAGTCTTCTTAATTCTCTATTCTTCAATTTTTAATTGATGTTCTTATTAATATCTCTCTAGATTGAATTAATATTGAGTTCTATCATATTCTAAGATGAATGTAGGAAGACCAGGTTATCTATCGCAATTTAGAATAGGAATTATGTTTTCAAACTATCCAGTGAATCTTTTGTAATTTATTATATGTACTCATTATAAACAGGACAATAATCAAGAGTAATTTATGACTTAATCCAACATTCACTAGATTTTGGTATCAAAATAAACTAATGTTCATAACATATTTATTAGCATCTCTTTTTTGGTTTTAAGGAATGAATCATTTAATTTTCAATAAATTTAATATATAAATATTCTCAACTCTCTGATAGTAATTTCAATTACCTTAATTTTTTTAAATCTCCATAAAAATTAGAGTAAATTTTATTTCTTTCATGTTGATTTAAATTATTAATTTTTAGAGCATCAGATCCTCTTTAAATAAATTCCTCTATTTTTTTTTATATTTTACTTTCTCTTCTTGTTTTAATATCTTCCAATAATAATTTGATTTTATCATCATCTTTAATATCATCTCTACAATAAGAGAATAAAATTGATGAAATTTCAAAATAATATTATTCCATTTTTGCTAATTCTAATTCATTAATGGTTTCTTCATCAAGTTTTTATTACAATTTTTCAATACTTAACCATTCAGGAGGTATTACTCTACATTTATTCTTTTTCTTTAATTCAATTGCTACCCATAATGGAACTTCTACAATTTAATTAATTTTGAATGGTCCAAAATATCCCTTAATTAATCATTTTCGATATTACAGAAATAAATTATAGCTTTTCCAAATCAAAATTCGGTTAAATATTAATGAAAGTTGAATGTTAAATTATGAAATCACTCATCTCTGCATTGATATATCCTTATTACATTATTAAATTAATTTTATAAAAAACATTAATTATTATAATTACAATCAATCCCTTATTCAATCACCTTTAGGTAAATCAGTACCTTCTTCTTAAGATTACTTTTAGAAAGACATCTAAGAATCTTAATGTTTTTCTTATTATTATTATTTCTTTTTGGCTAATTTAGATTACATATTTGAATTTTGTAGTATTAATTTCAATTCTTCAAAATCTTCATCATCTCCATCACTATCTCCTTATCTACCAACTCTATGTGTTTTTATTGTATTATCTTTTCTTGAAAATTTAGTTTAATCTATTCTTGTATCAAAAGCAATCTATGATTTTGATCCTCTACTTGACATTTATGGTCTTTATAGAGCTCTATCAGTATGATTACCCATATTTAATTTTTATTTCAACATAAATTCTTCAATTTATTTATGAACTGGTTTATTAATATCAAACCATTTAGGTTATTTAATAACATTATCTCTATCAAAATGTTTTCGATATTTATATAAATCTGATATAGAATTTCTTATTTAAAATAATTATAAATATAATTCGTAGAACTATAAACAAATATGAGTAGCTAAATGTCTATAATAATCCAATAATTATAAAATCTAATATTCCAATATAATAATACCTCTTTACTTAAAAAATTGTAAAATACAATTATGTCTGACCAGTATACTAACACTATCTCTTTTAGCAACATATCTTCAGGTACCATTTATAATGCAGATTTCAATGTCTCCATCTATCCCAAACCACTATTTACCTGAATCTTTATATAATTAATGTACTAAATTGCTTATTTTAAATAACCACAGTAACTTTGTCTATATATCAATAAACTTTTATCCTTCTTAAAATAATGGATATTACTACACTTTACAAGCATGAAACACTTAAATATTAACAGCAAGTTTTTGTAAATATTAAAAATAACTTAATTATATATTAGCAGATAGCCATTCTTCTTTTTATTAATTTGTTTTTACAAGACTTGGTGATTTTCGATTCATTAAAATTAAAAACTTCTAATTCAAAAAGTGATCTGCAAAATCAATACCTAATTAAAATTCGTGCAACATTAAATGACAAGTCAAAAGAACTTTATTCCTAATTATATATGAGTTTGCAAATTCCCTATAAAGTTTTATGTATTTTCATACTATTCACATGTTAATTGGAAATACTGTTCAATGTAATAAGAAGGTGCTTTTGTTATAAACTCTGAATGATTATTCTCAAAACAAGAAATTAGGAATAATAGATCATCTAATAAAATTTCATCAGATTAACTTAGTAAAGATGAATTTGCTATTCTCTTTTAGAATGGTGGTCTATTTTTGAAATACCCCATAAATTTATTGATCATAATATTATATTTAATAATTCTAATTAATTTTGTATAACAAACTTTATAATTAAAAATATTATTTTATTTCTAATTATTCAAATCAAATAAATTAGATTTATATTTAACTAACATTAATTTCAAAAAATCTCTATTATCTTATTAAATTAAATATTCATTCATTCTTTATTTCAATAGTAATAATTTATCATTTGGTAAAAATAATGAAAAATAAATAATATTATTCTCTTAAATTAATTTATTATTTAAATCATTATCATCAAAATTATTATTACTTAGAAATTCAATTGTTAAAAAAAGATTTTTAATTTAACATTAAAGTTATGTTATGAATATTTTTTTATTTATTTCAATAATATAAATGACATGTCTATTTTACTTTATCTTTAGCCAAAATAGTTATATAGTTAATTAATTTATAGAATATTTTTATTCTATAAAATAAATATAGCTTATTTCTTTGAAATTAATATTAAATAATGATTAAAATTTAATAAAAAATTATTACTAATAATGTTATAGACAAAATAATACTTAGTAAACAGTTTTAATCGAAAATATATATATTAACAGTAGATAAAAGATACAATTCTTTCATAAAAGTATATGAATTTCATCATTTTGATTTGATTCTTAATTAAATAGTAAAATAAATTCATAATAAATTGAAATATATAAAGTTATATTAAAATACTATTAATTAAGTATTAAAAATTCATATCTTAAATTTATAATTTATTGTTATTGATAAAAATATTAATATGATTCTTTAGAGATTAGGGTATAATAAAATAATTTAAAATATTAATTAAAATAGTATTTTAGAACCAATTGTTCAAATCAATTTGATATTCAAATATTATGTATTGGATAAGAAGTGTTTTTATGTTGAAATGAAGTGAATGTAAATTATAAATAATAATCTACTTAAGTATAATTTACTGAATTTGATTATTCTTTTAGATATAATCATAGAGTATATCACTCACAAATTATATAAAGGGATATATTATTAAGATATTGATTATTATGATTATATTCTATCTATGAAATATTTAATTATAATATTTATTGTAGTAGAATCTTGTATAAGAACACTTCAAATTTTCACTTTTTTATTAATAATAAATAACATAATTGTTCAATATATTTTATATTAGTTATATATTGTAAGTAGTTAAAAATATAAATTATTATATATATATCAAATATTGAAATATTTTAAGCGATATTTGAAAAACAATGTGTTAAATTGTTTTTAATGAGTTTAATCTAGAATGATTACTGAAGATTATTATTAAATTGAAATTTATCTATTATTTATAATAATATTATGAGCTTCCATAAACTAATGTTAGAGAGACCTCATTACACAACTAAAAAAATATTATAACCTCTTTTTGGTTAACCTAAAAAAGATGACTTAATTTAATATCCAAATACTCATAGAACAATAACCTTTTAAAAGCCTTACAATGTTGTTGAAATAGAGAGAAAGACTTTGCATTAAAAAAATGATTCTAATCAGTCTTAATCAATTAATCTAAAAAAATAAAGAGTTTAAGAAGCTTATAATACATTATCAGATTTTAATGATAAAAAATAAATAATTGCATCATTAAAAACTTTGAATTCTGCTGATGAGAGGTTATACTTTTATTAAATAAAATTAGAATACAATTAATTGATAAAATTTTAGAAAGAAAGGATGAAATGATGATAGCTTAATTAAAATTGAAAGCAGCAAAATTAGAACCTATATTCAATGTGATTCGTAGAAAATTAAAATAGTAACGATTAGTGAGTGCTACTCCAAAATAATCAAAGAAAGGAACTATGATAATACGTCAAAAGACTTCAGATGAATTAGTTTAATAATCATTAGAATGTAGTAAAGAAATCAAAGAAGAAAAATAAATAAAGACTTTAGAAACAGAAACTATACCTGAAAATAAAATTATGGAAAAAATTTAATCTAAATTTACTGCTGGAGTCGCTTTTTCATGGTTAGCTAATCGTCATGAAAATAAATAAAGTATAAATTAAATTATTATCAAAGTTTAAAATGAAAATGAAGTAAGTGAAAGATAATTTTTAAGAAGATCTACAGCTTTATAATTTGGAAAAAATACTCTTAGCAGATTAAAATAATAGGTTTCAAAAAAAGTAAGTGAAAACTCAGATTAATTAATAAGATAAGGATTTTTGAAATTAGAACCAAAACGAGAAAAAAACTGTTATAAAAATATATAATCTAAAATTGATTCAGGTATAATCAAACCTCAAATTAATCCAATTTAAAAGGTTAACACTATTAAAAGATAAAATACTTTAGGATTTGTAACATCCGAAAGAAATGAAATATCAACATTTAGACAAGCATAAGCTAATAATCAATAAACTCTATAATGATCAATATGATTTATATAAATATCTATAAATTCAACTATATTATTTTTGATATTCTTGATCCCATCTTAATATTATTATCCCTTTTAGCTAAATTATATCAATTATCTTTATTCTCATCAATTTAAATAAGAAATTTTAATTAAGATCATAGTATTTCTAATATAATAACTATAAATTAAATTTTATTTTATTATATATTAATCTTTTAAAGAAAAGATATTTAATGTAAAATTGAAATACAATAATATATTTAAGTTGGCAAGAACTAAATGTTTTCATATTATTATAGAATAAATTATAAATATTTATATTAGATTGTTTCATATAGTATATGAGAATTACATAAATAATTATATATAAAGTTATTTATTTTATAGTTGATTATAAATAAGTATATTGTAGTCCATCATATTATTTTAATTTTGTTTATAAAAAGAATAAATAAATATAACCATAGGGATAGCTTAAAAGTGATATTGATTTGTTTATTAATATAAATATAAAAACTATTAGCTAATTTAATTATGGATAAAAAGAATGAAGAATTCAATAGTATTCTTAGTAAGCTAATTTTGGAATTCAGTTAATTTACTTAAGAGATATTTGAGTAGGAATAGAATAATTAATAAGCTTGGATTGAATCCCAATTCAAAATGACTTAGTCATTAAATATAGTCTTTGACTGTTGTGTATCAAGACAGAAGGTGAAAATACCTGTAAATATATAGTTTAAAGTATTAGGTTTCATTTACTTAATGTATCAAAAAAAAAAAACATTTTGATGATTATTTTGATTTAGAATAGTTGATAGTTTACCTTGGTATTATAAACGATAAGAATAAGTAGTTGTAATGTCCTTCTTGCAAAGACGAAATTAAAATGCCATAAAAAACTAATATTATAGATATTTTAAAAGAAATTCTTCGACCTCATATTTTTATATATAATTTAAGAAATTAGGTAGGTATATATCCCAAAGATATTATTTACTATCACAAATAAAAATTAATAATTCCATTTTATAAAGGGAAATATTAAACTTATTTTAATTAACATTATCATTAAGATAATTTTGGGATTTAACCAATACTTCTTTAACAACCAAGAGAAGAAAATTAATTTTTTTCAATAGCAAACAAACTTAATGATTATACTGGTTGTGATTTTGTGAATGTTTGTTTAATATCATAGATAAGAGTAAATATACCTGTAAGAGGTACATAATGTGTTCATTATGAATCATATGATTTAATAGCTTTACATAAACATTTATTTGAATCAGAATCTAAAATGATGAATTGTACAATGTCAGGTTGTAAATCATTATTTGATTTGAGATTTCCAGAATCATTTTAAATAGATTTTTAATTATTGTAAGCAGGAAGAGAAGGATTAAGTTTTTCAATAAACTTTACTTATTTACCAAATATAAAAAAGTTAAGTGAGATGTTATATTATAAATAAAGAGATGAATTCATAATATCATATAAAGAAGTGAAATCTTTAGATGTTAATTTAGAATATTTGAATAAGATGTATGAAATAGCTGAATCTATATTTGTTAATAATGAAAATAATAAAAAGTAGACTGAATTATTTTTAAAATTATCAAATATATCAATTCCAAATAATGATGATTTATTAGTAATTTGTCCAATAACTAATTATGGTATAGAATTACCAGCTAGATGTAGAAATTGTAAAGGTTTAAAAGTGACAGATTTACGTTATTTAGTTTGTATATTGAATTAAGTTAAAAATGAAAAAGATTTTGATGGAGTAAAAAAAGTTCAAAAAGAATGTCCACTTTGTAATTCACCATTCTCAGCTTAAGTTAAACCTCCTCTTAAATTTATTGATTAGATTTATATTGATGTTAAATTGATGAAGTTTTTCTTATAAGCTCCATTTTATTAAAGAACTGTAAAAGGATATAAATAGTTTTTATTCTAATAATAACAAAATGATAAATAAATATTAGAATAAATACAAATATTCAAAAATTTAGAATCAAAAACTTGGGAATATGCAAAAAATATTTTTATGTATAAATTCAGTTTACATGTAATTTTAAACATAATAATTTTAGTGTATATTAACAGGAAAGAGAATATAAATACCACTAAGAAGCATTAAATGTACAAATCATTATGATTGTTTTGATAAAGAATCACTAGAAGAATTCTAATTAAAGAAAGGAAATTTGGAATCTACTTCTTGTCCTAAATGTGAAAAAAAAATAGAATCCATTTCAAATTTCTATATCGATTAATAATTATATGAAATCCTTTAAAATTTCTCAAAAGACACTCAAAATCATGATTATGCACTAATACAAATAGGGTCTAAAAAATTAACACTTGCCTGATTTTATATATTCAAAGATTATCTATAAATATAATTTTATAATGAATCTAATTAATTTTGAAGATCATTTTTATTAAATATAGCAGACAAAATTTACAGAATCATTGAAAAAATTCAGATCAATAAATATGAATTACTCAAATTCATATCGTGATTTAAACTAATTATACTTAAATACTACTTAATTAATTTTAATTTACAATTATTATTACTATTTGATTGAAATAATTAAAATATTAACTCATTTTCTAAAATATCTAAGAAATGACTAAATAAAAATCTTTTTCTATTATTGTATATATTTATATTACTATGTAATTGAGATTCTTCATATAATCATTATCCATTCATTTCAATCTAAAACACACAACGTTATTAAATCGATTATTATATTTGTAATATATTTATATCTTTTATATGTCTTCAAATATTTTTAAATAATAAATTGAGACATAAATGTAGATTTATTGAAATCAATAAACTACATTTTGCAATTAATTCTATAATTAGAAATTAATTAATTTTTGTAACAATTTGAATATTAAGGAGAAATTTTTTAAATATAAAATATATTAATATATATTTCAGTATGTATAATAATGAAAAGACAGAAATCAAAATAGAAAGAAGGTACCTGATCATATCAATAAAGTTAAATGACAACCGCATAACCAAAGAAAGTTTTAGTAAAGAAGCCATCTAATAAAATTGATAAATAGGAAATAACATTAGAATAATCAGTTAGACATGAAGAGATTTTAGATGATCGTCTTAAATTAAAGCAATAATAATATGAAGAAGCTAAGGCTAGAATACTCACAAATTAAACACTTTTAAAAAATAAAAAAAAATAAAATTAAGAATTCCCCCAATTGCCTAATTGAAATAATATATTTTAAAAACACATAAATTAATATCAATATTCTCAAAATAATAATTATAGATTAACAAATTATCATATTTAATTTAATAATATCGAATGATAATAATGTTCTGTTTGAAATAAACTTGTTTTCATTCATCGTAATCATCAATCAAGTACTTTATTATTTGATACTTAAAATTTATTTGTAAATCTTTTAATATTTTAATTTTTGGTTATATTCCCTTTGACTAGAATCGATTGGATCTCTTAAAGAATTTTGATCCTTTCTGAATATATATATAGCTTGACATAAAAATAGAAACCACCTAATTTAAAATATTATAATTATAAATTATTAATACCTTTAGTATTTAAGAATTCTAAAAAGATATACCTAAAATGATATAAATTTGTTTGAATATATGATATAAACTCTTTTTTACATGAAATTAAAATTATCACTTCTTATTTAAATTACTAATTTACAAATATCTCTTTTATGTATATCATTTAATGATTAATCACATTCTTTAAATAATTTTTAATATTTTATCATTTAATTATAATATATTCATGTATAAAGTTCTCTTCCTCATTATACATTTTAAGAATACTTTTAATAACAATTAGCATAAATAATATATATATAATCAATCTATAAAATAGTAAAATTGATTATCATTATTATTTACTAATAAGATCAATTGATTATATATATATATATATTCTTGTTTCAATTGAATAATTTTGCTTAGAAAAAATTAAAGAATCTAAAATGACTATATTCGTTAATTATTAATAATTATTAAATTTTCAAATATGTCACATAATGCTATATTGAAATGGATTGGATATTTGGTAAATGTTCCAGAAGGGACTACTTTAAAAGATTTAAGTGATGGTAGAATTTTAACTAATTTGCTTAATAAATTGAATCCTGAAGTTTACCCTTAAAAAGTGTAATCTTCTCCTTAAAAAAATTTCTAAATGGATATGTTATGTGTAACAAACTTGGTTTAAAATTTAAAATAATCAATATCCAATTTACCTGAGATTAATAGTTTATTAATTGCAAAACATTAGGATACTGCTGAAATCATTAAATTGATTTCAATCATAATTAAAGTACATATGTATTCATATGATAGATTATGATTGAATCTCAATTAGCATAAGAAGCTATATTAAAATTAGATGAAGAATAAGTGCAAAATATTTTATAATTTATTAATTAATATTAAGAAGAAGATATTGGAAATCATCAACCATCTGATAGAAAGTTACTTGATAAAATAGATGAATTAGAAGATGAAAATTAATAATTAAAGTAATTACTAGAATAATAGGATAAGAATTAGGCATAACATTTTAATAAAATTAAATAATAGGAATAATTATTAATTTAAAAAGAAAATGAAATTTCAGAGTTAAAACTATGTAATATTTGATTTATTCAATATATGTAGAATTGTAAAAAAACATTCATATAGAAGAGAATTTATCAGGAACTTTGATAGAATAACTAAAATTTCAATTAACAACAATTAATAAAGACAAAAAAGAATTATTAGAATAAAACGAAATGTATTTATAGATTATATGTTATTTAGTTTATAACATAAATTGTAAAATTATTAAAATTTAGAAAATATCAATTAATAATTATAATAAGAATTAACATAAAGATGCAAATAAGATAAAGTTATAGAAGAATTAAAGACAAATATTGAAATATTTAAATAACAAATGGATTTAAAAGATTCTAAGATTAGTAAATTGTAAGATTAAATAAAATAAACTGCTTAAAATTAATAAAAAGAATGTAGCAAATTAGTAGAGTTAGAAATGTAGAATGAATAATTGAAATAAGAAATAGAAGATACTTAAAGGAGTAAAAATAAAGAAATTCATTAATTAAATCAAAAATTAAATGAATTAAAAATATAAGTAGATACTATTTAAACAGAGAGACAAGAAACTTAAAGATCTTCAGTTCATTATCAATAAAGTCCTAGATGTTTAGATTCTGAATTTAAAACTTTATTAAATGATAACATAGGTGGATACTATTCAGAATAAACAATTTAAGAGTTTTAATAATAAATACAACAAAAAGAATAATAGTTATAATAAAAGGAAATCTTATATGATTAAAAAATTAAAACACTTGAAGCTAAAATAAATAAAGAAAAAGAAACAAATATATAACATATATAAATTGTATATAATTTATATTTATTAAATTAGACATCTTAATTATAAGAAGAAAATAAGAAATTAAAAATAGAACTTGAAAAATTAATTGATACTAATTATTAAGTAAGTAGAATACATGCAGAAAAATAATAAAATATGCTCCTTATTTCAGTAATTGAATGTTTGAATGAAAAAGTTAATTAATTACATACATAATAAAAAGAACATCTTAAAAGTGATAAGAAAATATAACCATAAATTCTAACAAGGAATTCTATATCTTTATGGAGTGCTAAATAATGATTATTAGATAATATATTTAATATTATTATACTGATTATCACTTCTTCTTTCCTTTCTTACCACCTGCTGCTCCTCCAGCTGCTGCTCCTCCTGCTGGAGCTGCTGCTGCTGCCGCTGCTGCTTTGGCTGCTTATTATTTTTTTATTGCTTCTAAATTTGCTTTAATCTATACATATTAAAAACAAATCTTACTGTTGCTTCGTCCATTCTGAATGTTTAATGACATGTACCACAATAGTGTCTATCAAAATGTTTAGCCATATAAACTCCTTAAGGACATTATGGACATTATTTATGTGATCTTTAAACTAAGCCTTTACCATCTACAGTATATAGCTTAAGAGTTGCCAATTTCACTTTTCGGTGTCTATGCTTCTTCTTCTTGGGTTTAGCAAAATTCTTCTTCTTCTTCTTTTTCTTTTTACCTCCTTCTGCATCTACATTCACATAATATATGCTTTCGTTGCCTAACAAGATTATTTGATTTCTTTACCTAATAAAGCAGATGCTGCAACAGCTTCCCCATTACTCACCAAAGAGATTTCGCATTATATTTCAGATTGAATCAACATCATCAACTAATTAGCTGTGCAATTATCAGCTAAATCATATAGTCTAACCTCACCATTGAGGTGACCAACTTTAATTATCATTTTAAATATTAAAGATTTTAATTTAAAATAAATTACACTAACAATAATATTAATATTAATCATTAAGACTTTTAGTGAGTAGCATAATAATACATTTATTTGTTGAATTAATATCATTTATAATGATTACAAAATCTTCAAGGCATTTAACCATAACAATTTAATTAATATTAATAAAATCTAAATAATATAATTATATGTTAATCCATATTAAATTGCATATTTTCAATTATAGATCTAAATAATTTATATTTCTTTCTTTATTTTACTAGAGATTAACAATTCTTAATTAGACATTTTCGAATTCAATTATTTAAACAGCTCTGATAATGGAGTAGTCTATCATATAGAGAATGAAAATTTTAACTTTTATAAATAATTTAAAAAGATCTTATAAAGTGGTATCACTTCTATAGAATATGTCTTTTCATATAATAATAATAATTTACTAATATTTATTATATCTATTTATAATTTTAAGTAAATATTTAACTCACAACACTAATTCAAATATAAAAACTAATTTATAACAAATAAAACATGAATTATAAATTTTCAAAAGTTAATTTTAAATTCATATTTGCAAGAATAAAAATGTAAATAGAAGCAGAATTTAAATTAAGTTATTTTTTTGAGATATTTTTATGAATAAGATGTTCAAATAGTTTAATTTAATAAGTATTTATTAATTAATAATATTATGATTATTGCCTCATTCACTTATAAAATTGATAAGTACTTTTGACTTGAACAATATCATTAAAGATAGGATAATGGCAGATTTTAATAAATTTTATTTATGGAATTTATAATAAATAGGAAATTTCATTAATAACGAAAAATATGGACAGAGATTAATTTATCTCATTTTAAAAGTTCTGATAAATTAGATAAAGATAAGAAATAGTAAAAAAGGGATAGGTTCGAATGAAGAGAAATATATTGATAAAATTGCAAATTATAAAAATTTTAAATTATGGATAAAAACATTTCTTAAATATTGATTAGTTCAATGTATTGTAAAATAGTTAATTTAAACAAAATAATAAAGACAGCAATTATTTCTTATGTTATATAAAAATAATAAAAATGAGAAGTTGATAAAGGAAATTGTCTAGTTAATAAGTATGAATTGAGAAATATTAAGAAAGTAAGATAATTAAGAAGATATTCGATTAATGAGTTATAAAATATTTATATTGAAATAATATCTATATATGCAACGACATAATCAGCTACTTAATACAATAGCATAAATTTTAGATGAAATAATTAAAGAGACAGATACTCTAGAAATAGAGTAAGATTAAATATCTTATTTTCATACAATAAAAGCACCATCAATAACATTATATAATTACTTATAAAGAATAGCAAAATATTCAAATTGTAGTGAAGAATGTTTTATAATTGCTTTAATCTATTTGGACAGATTGTAAGAAAAACATCCTTACCTTGTGCTTAATTCAAAATGCATACATAGGTATCCTTTTTAATATATCAGATTTCTATTGATTTCTCTTGTAATTGCTATAAAATTTTAGGATGATGATTATTATAAAAATGAATATTATGCAAAAGTAGGAGGAGTAAGTGTAAGAGAGATATTTGTTCTTGAGTAGGCATTTTTAGAATTAATGGATCATTAATTGTTTATAACAGCACATCATTATTTTATGTATCAAAAGAAATTACTAGAGTATGGAGAAATTGAAATGCCCTGAGTAAACTTGATTTAATGTTAATTTTTGATTTTGTTTAATTATTTTAAACATATCCAAATTATATATCTAATTAACAATTTAAAAATAATAATATATATTTATTAAAGAATCTTTAAATTATGAATGTTTATATATATTTTTAGAAATAGAGAAGATCTTAGATGATTATTTTTTGTTTAAAATATAATAAGTTTCTTGATATTAGAAATTTACATTTTTTAGAGCTTAATTAAATATATTAGATATTTTTGAATGTAAAAAATGATAATTTATCATATATTGAATTTCTTTTTACAAGATTATTAATAATTTATGTAAAGAATTAGTTGCATCAAATAAAGTATCTTATTTAAAAATATTACTTATTTTTAATAAATAATTCTAAGATTAATAATATATATAATCAATTTAGTAATTTTTTTCTTGATTCTTACCATTATCTATCTCTATCACTATATTTTGTCAAAAGTAGTATTAAATGTATCTATGTATAAAATAATAAATTACTTTTCTTGATATCTTAATTAAATGCATAATATCTGGATTGCTACTTTGATATTTACAATCATTTATAGACCATGGATTAGCTTTAGAATATAATAGAAGGAAAACTATATTTTTTTACTCAGACTATATAGCATAATATAATGGAGTTTTGCCATCTTAATCAATAGAATCAACATAAGCTCCATATTAAAGTAATCTTTCTGTTATTAAGGAGAATCCTTTATTTGAACTTAAATGTAAAGGAGTCTTTCCTTCTTCATTTATATCAAATGCATAATATCTACATTTTATGAGCATAAAATTGATTAATTATAAATTATCATCTTCTATTCCTTCAAAAAATTAGAATGAACCCTCTCTTTCATATGGTTTCTTTTAGATGATTCCATTTTGAAATATTTCTTTAATTGTTAATTTCATTAATTTCATTTTTCTAACACAATTAACAATCTAATTAAATAATTTTTTTAATATTAATCTGACTTGAATACTAAATATTGCATTTTATTTTTTTTTTACTTTATCTTTGATTTAAGATGATTTAAATGATTATTATTAAATATTATTTTAAGATATAGTTTATTTTTTTTTTGATTCTTCTTCTATTTAATGTATAAATTATTTTAAGAATGTTGTAGATATTCTCATTCTATTATTATTTTTATTTGATTTTGTTTATTCTGATAACTATGTAATAGTTATTTCTTATTATTTATTTTATTCTTCTTAATATGCTTTTTTTTTATCAAAATAAATTTGAATGACGGATTTTAATTTTTTATCTGGTGACGTAGATTCTTAAAATGATTAATCTAAAAATTTTAAATTTCTAGTAAAAGTCTCTCTAACTCTACTTTGTTTTCTAATAGGTGAATATCTTTCATTAATAGCAAACATTTTCCCTATTTTTTCCATCATTTCTTTAGGATGCTAATTCTCTAATTGTTCATATTAAGTTATTTCATTTTCTTATGTTGAAACAGTTTTTGAATTTTAAACAGACTTCTTTTTCTTTCTTATTAATAAATTATCTTTATTTATTAATTTTAAAGCTTTAGAAAATGAAATGCTCCCTTCTCCATTCATTAATGAAATCTATTTTACTATTGTTTTATAATATATGTACATTAAAGTCAACGTAATTTAATTATGGCACATTGATATTTCTTTTTTCAGATGTATTCCTACTATTTGATATAATAATTTCATCTTCCATTCTACTTTCTATTTTTCTGATACCATTATTTAGTGGTGTATTGGAATTTATTGTTGAATTTTTTGCAAAAGAAGATTACCTTAACCATCTACTGGTTTAAGCTCTATTATTGCTTTATTTGATAGTATCATTCTTTATTTTTATTCAAAGACAAAATACCTTAAATTGAGCAAGTGGTTCACTTTATTGCATCTTTCCTTTTCCATTTTTGGTTTCCAGTTTTTTTTTTATTGTGAATGATTTCTCAGTCTTACCATCAATATAATTATACTCAAAGGTATCAATAAATAATGGCTTAAATACATAGTTTAACTTGCTCATTAAAACAGATTGTTAATATAATATTTAATTATCAAAATCACAATTTTAAAAAGACACTGCCATAATACCTACATGTTTACTATCAATTAATATAAGATATTAGAACCAGTGTAAATCAATCTAATTATTCATGTTATTTTATGCTTTTGTAACAAGTATATTCAATTAAATTAGTGGTTATATATTACAAAATTGCAACCATTAGAAGCCTATTTATTTTATATTATTTAGGTAATAAAATCCTAATGATTTTATTAACTTAAACATAATAAAATAAGAGTTTTATAATTAATATTCCTTTGTTTCAATAGTTTGAATTTCATAATACTAAATTTTTTATTTTCATTTATATTAAATCATTAAAAAATAGATTTAATCCTCTCATTTATATATTTAGAAATATATTAATAGGAATTTTATTAATTTCTATAAATTATATTTCTATACGTTATTTTTGATTTCTCTTTATATTTTTGATTTTCAAGAATTCAATAATACTTTGATTTTTAAATTTGATATTAATAGAATTCAGCAAACATTTTATTAATTTCTGTTAACATTTTATATTGAATTTATTATATTTACTTATTGAGTTTCAGAATTAATATAATAAATACAAAATAATTAGTATTTTTTGTGTTTATATACAATAAATATATATCGATTATAATTAAAGTAGTTTGACTTATAAAACAATAAATAATAATTTTTTATTTTTGATATAATGATCAAATCCAATTTGTTCATTTTGTTAATAATATCTTGTTGTTAGGCTGGAAATATTTGTAGTTTATACCCATTTAACCCTATTTAATGCATTCAATAAACCTTAGACTCATTTTGTAAATTAAGTCTTTTATCAAGGTTAATATAATTATTTAGAAACAAAATGCATTGAATTCTATTAAACTGATTATGGTTGTATTAACAATTTGAACAGAAAAGCTTGCATTGCACAATAAATAGATAAATAAAATAATGAAGTTAGATGTATAATCTTAAAAATATAGCTTAGGTTTATTTTAAAATAAATGTATGTAAACAACAAACTTACATTTAATGACTTTAGGATGTAATCCTAATTTCTCTAAATTCTCATGTCTTAATGTTATTAATTAAGATTGTATATGGTAAGGAGAATGTAAGTAATATGAAATCCAAAATTATGACTAAAACATTGAGGAGGCCAGCTGTGAATCATATTATAATTAACCTGTAACTCCTTAAATGTGTGCAAAAATATAAAAATTAAGATGTAAATTAAAAAATAAACTAGGTTTTCATGGAGGAATAAAATATGATTATAAATGTATAACATTATTAGAAGAACAACTTTCAGAAATTAAATGCTCTCAAAAAGGCTTAAATAAAAGTGGATGCATTTCTATCACCACTAAAGATTAAAATTGTAATCATAAATATTTATTTTAGGTATTTTTAAAGATAATCAGTGTTAATTTATAGATATATATTATTTAGATTCTTGTGATTATATTATAAATAAGCAAACTTGTTTATCTTCTAAAATAAATAAATTATAATGTGAATGGACTATTGAAGGTTGTAGAATATTTTAAAATAAAAATTATCAATGCAATTAAATAACTGATGTTAATTATTTTGTATGTGAAAACTATGATGGTATATGTTCATATAATATTGAAACTTAAAGTTGTTAAGATTTAACTCCATCATAATTAAATAATCTATCTTGTTCTACAATAGGATTAAGTAAATAAGCATGTTTATCAATAAAAAATAATAATTGCACTTTTTATCGAGGTTTTTGTGAGAGTTTATCAGAAGAAGATTTAAATATATTTAATTGTGATATGTTATTAAATGAAGATGCTTGTACTAATATAAAAACTTAATTTTAATATTGTTAATGGAATGGTATGTAATGTGAAAGAGTATTTGTAAATTAATCTATGAATTGTGATGTTAATAATGATAAGAATTTTAAATATAATGGACTCTTTTGTCAAAATATATCAAATAAAGAAGCAGCTTGTAAATATGATAATATTTTGAAACAATGTGTTCCAAGTTCTCCAGATGACTTTTGTGATACATCTTATCTAAATTTTCTTGGTTGTTTAAATATAAAAAGATATAATTAGACATGTTAATGGACAATCAATGGATGCAGATTTATTCAAATTTTCCCATTCTAAACAACTTGTGAAAGCTTAGGCCATGCCAATCCTAATGCCTGTTCTCAAGTAATAGAAAGCCTGTAAGAAGGTTGTTATTATGAAAAAATATATCAAAAATGTTAAAATGTAGATTAATTATAAAATTAAGGTTAATTATTAAATTCATTAGATTGTGAAAATAAATAATTAGGATTAAATAGAATACTTTGTGCTAGTATAATTAAACCATAGACAGCTTGTAGATGGCATTTAAATGAATGTGTTAAGATTTTCAGTTAAAAAGAAATTTCAGATGTGTCTTGTTAAGAATTAATATATTCAAATTCTCAGAGTTGTGCTATGATCTTATTTAAATAAGAACCTTGTAGATTTGAAAGTGCTGCAAAGGGGTGCATTAACTCTGTTAAAAAAATTATGAAATGTGATACATTAGGTTTAAATGCATTTGCATGTGCATAATTAGATGATTAATGTTACTTTAATCAGGATTAATTAGAATGCCAGCACTTTTAATTTTAAGATTAATCTTAAAATTCTTAAGAATCTAATTAATATGATGATGAAACAATATAAAGTAGTTTGGAGGACTTAAAATGTATTGAAAGTTCTCCTACAGAAAAAATTTGCAAATTAATATCAACACCAGGATAATTATGTTAATGGAAAGTAACATAAGATCAATGTGGGTAAGTCATTGTGAATATAAATTAAAAATGTGAAGACTTTAAAAATGTTAATAGTAATGTTTGTGCTTCTGTTTTGATGGAAAATCCAGAAAAAGTTGGATATTGTATATATAATCCTATTAAAAATTAATGTGATCTTTTAAATCCTAAAGAATTATGTTAGACTAATTGTTGTACTGAGAGTAAATTTAATGGAATTAATTCTCATTCTTGTAGTTTTCTAACAAGAAATTCTAATTCATATTGTTATTTTGAAAATAATAGATGTAAAGAATTGACATCAAATATGGTTGATATCACAGATGAAAAAGCAGTTAAACAATTTTTTAATGCTAATGAAGTAAATGGATTCATATGTTCATAGATGGGTAAAAAATCATGTCATATGATTGAATGGTCAACTTCATAAAGATGTTATTTTAATGGAAATTCATGTATTAATATCAATTTTGAGAATTATAACAATTTTAAAATATTTACGGAAGAACCTTCAATTTTAAATCGTTATGCTTGTTTGGCAATTGAAGCATCCTTAACAATTTATAATAGCGAAAAATATTTTGAATATGATCATGAGAATCATCGTTGTATTAGTAAAGAGTATTTAAGTTCACCTCCTTATTATGCACGTTGTGAAGATGTTTAAGGAAATTCTAATATATGCTTAAGATTTACAGAAAATAATTATTGTAGATGGGATAAAAAATTATTAAAATGTGTAACAATGTCATAAGCTGAATTTGAAGATATAACAACTTGTGATTAAAATTAAAATATTAGAGCATGTAGAGAAAATATTCATGCTCCTTGTTTCTTTTCATTTGATTTAGATAAATGTATAACTGCTTATACTTATGTTTCATGTAGTTATTTTGATTCAAAAGGTCCAGTTACTGAAAAAGCATGTTAATAAATAGATTTACCAAAATAATAATGTGAATGGTTCAATTATTAATGTATTATTTCAAAAAAATTTTCTAATCTTTGTGATGTAAGTGGAGCTAACAGATATACATGTTATAAAAATACATTAGGTAGATGTAAATGGAGTGAAGAAAACTAATATTGTTATGAAATTTCAAAATATTAAAAGATTTCAGAATTAGGTTGTAATGATAATATAAATTAAAATTTATGTTAATTAATAACTAAGGAAGCTTGCTTTTGGGATGATTATAATTTTGTATGCAAAGACTTTTAATATATGAAATATTCAGATTTTGAACTTTTATCATAAGAAAACTTATATACAGAATTATCATGTCGAAAAATATCAGGAGCTGGATTTAAATATGATTCCATAAATAAAAAGTGTTAACTTATAAATGATAATGATAATAAGAATCCTTGTGAATTAATGATTAATGATTATGCTTGCTTATATTTAACTAGAGGATATGATTGTGTCTATGATATATCGAAATCACCTCCTTGCTAACCATTTATAGATGATTAATCAATATGTAACACTTAGAAACTTATTAATATTGAAGTCTGTATGAAAATTAGCAAAAAATGTTTCTTCTCAAAAACAAAATTATAATGTTTAGATGCAGAATCATGTCCCAATCCAGAATAATGTTTAAATCCAGAAATTGCCTAAACTTAAAATTGTTCTAATTTAAATTATTAATTAACTGTTGGGAATCATTTTAATAAATTATCTTGTTCTTCTATAAATGAATAAAGAATATAAAGCCATTCATCTAAATAATGTTATTAATATTAGGATAACATTTAAGAATGTAATTAAGAGAGATTTTGTGAATGGAGTGAAAAAATTTATGGATGTAATATCAAGATATAAACCATCTTAGTGTTTGATTATGAAAATACAGTAATATCTTCTGTCTTTGTATATCAGTATAGTATAGACAATTGCACAGATTCTGAATGTCGAAATTATATTTTATATCCTGAAAAGCTTGAAAAACCTTACAATGATCATAAACCCCAAGATACAAGTCCTCTTGTATGTGGTTATATTAAAACCTGTGAGTTTTAAGATATAACTTGTTATTCAGATGACGATTGTCTAAGCATATGTTCTAAACCATTAGAAATAAATGATGATGGAACATTTATATAATGCACAAGGGTCAAATAACAATGCAAAAAAAAGTGTTAAAAAATTGGTGAGATCGCTTGCAAGAAAGGTTATTAAAATCCACCTCTAGAAATTGTAGACTATAAAATGGTTAATATAGATTAAAAATGTTAAGGAACCTGCTCTTTATCAAATCAAGAAGATGAAAAATAACTTTGTAGCTCAGATAAGCAGTGTGATGATACAAAAGATAATAATAAATGTCAAGACCTAAGATGTACTCTCGATCAAAGTAGTTGCTTAACACAATGTCCTTTATTTCCTTAAAAATAATGGAATCTATTACCCGCTAAATGTGTAGATAAATAGATCTACGTAATAGTTCCTATTTGTAAAGGATTCGCTTATATTGAATTAAAATGCAAAAATACTTTCTCTAAAGCAGTTTGTTTGTATGGAGTATTAGAAGAATGTATCTTTGATATAAATTAAGGAGGTTGTATTTAATTAAAGGGAAATGAACATAAAGTACCTAATTGTTCATCAATTTCAAGCAGATGCAAACCTACAGAATAAGCATTAGAATGTGATCCAAATAAACCAATTTGTAAAAATAGTACAGAATGTTAACCTAATGGTTTCTTAAATTCTTGTCTAAAGAGTTCTAACTAAAAAGTAATTTGTAAAGCTGGAGAAACTAAAATAATCCCAAATGAAAATAAATGTATCACTTTATAGAGACAAATTTAATAATGTGAAACAGCAACTATAGATGAAAATCTTTAATGTGATTAGATGACTGGAGATGTATCTCCTGCTTTATGTGCATTAGCAATAGATTTCTGTCGCTTTGAGTTAGACAGATGTGTTAGTGATAAACCATTAGATTAACAAAATTAATGTATTTGTGATTCAAGTTTTAGTAAATCACTTTGTGAAGATTGTGGATGCGTATTTGATTTTGTCGGATATTGCCAATAAAAGGCACTTGTCCCCTAATTAAATCCTGATAGATCAAACAAATATTATTTATGTTATGAAGTTGATTTATTAAATATTAGAGATAAATCAATTATTTGTTCCCTTGTTGAACAAGCTTGCATTTTTAAGGAAAATTGTGAGGATGCAACTCATCTCCCTTGTGATAAATTAAACTAATATATAACAAGTATGAAGGCTTGCACTAGGTGCGAAGGGTTTAGTACTGGATATAATAAAATTGATCATATATGTAGGTTTATTTTTGTATCCTATAAATGTGATCTCTTAAATAGAGAAGGTTGTTTATAAAAGACAAAAGATATAATGTGTAAATGGGAAAATTATGAATGTAAATAAATTGAAAAAATAACAGCATCAGATAGTAGAGAGTGTTCAATATATAATAGAGAAGCTTGTATATAATTTTCATATCATTGTTGGTTTGATATAAATATTGGTTATTGTACAGAATTTGATCCATTGTAAGGAGATTGTAAGTTATTATTAAATAGAGATCTTTGTATGAATTCATTAAAATAATCATGTTAATGGGATTTAATTAATAATAAATGTATAATAGATAATTAAGAAATTACATAATGTAAAGGTTTAAATAAATTTGGATGTTTAAATCAATCAATTTTATAATGTGTATGGTCTGATAGTTATGAATGTGAATAAGCTGATATAAATAATAATATTTAATCATGTGAATCTCCATTAAATTATTCATAAACATCATATATAACACATTTTAGTAAAAGGATTTGTTCTTCAATTAATATTAATTAAAGTTGTTTTTTAGATAATTATTATTAATGTAGAGAAATTATTATAACTGATAAAATTAATTGTGATAGTTATGGATTAAATAGATTTGGTTGTATTAATAGATCAATAGGATAATGTTAATTTATAGATAATGATTAAAAATGTATAGAAAATTTAAATAATTAAATTGGATGTATAGATTCATTAAATAAATGGGCTTGTATTTCTTAAAAATAAACATGTAAATTTGATAATGATATATGTACTTTTCATTAAGTAAACACAATAAATGAATTACTTGATAAAAATTAATAATTATAATATTCTAAAAGTTTATGCAGTTCTTTAGATAATACTCATACAAAATGTTTAATATTTAGTGAAATTAAAAATATATGTATTGATATATCTGATAGAGATCCTTATATTGATGATTGTTATAAATTCGTTACTAATAAATATGCTTGTTTATAAAAAACTACTTCAGCTTGTTATTATGATGATATTACTAAAGAATGTAAATCAACAGAATCTATAATATTAAAAAATACTTTTAGTTGTTTTAATGAAATGAATATTAATTGGGTAAGTTGTACTTTATTAATTTCATAATGTAAATTTATTAATAATAAATGTTAATAAATAGATTTTAATGATAATTGTGAATCTCTTGAAATATCATAAGCTATTGTTAAATCATCTATTTGTTCTAGTAGAATTGATAAAAGTTGTAGATTAAATATTAAAAGTAATACTTGTTAAGTTATTAATAATTAATTAATATAATTTTAATATTAATGTTCAACTCCTGGTTTAAATAAATTAGGATGTTTATTTTTAACAAAAGGTTATTTTTGTAAATTTATTAATTAATAATGTATATTTGATTATAATAAAGCAGCATTATGTGAAGATATTATTAATGAAGATAAATGTTATTCAATTAAAACTAAAGGATAATATTGTATATTTAATTAAAATAAAGGTTGTTAATAAATTGATACTAATATTATTAATTTAAATTAATGTATTCAATCATTTAAAACTAATCCTATTACTTGTTCAAAAAGCACAGATATACCTTGTTTTTACGATTTAATCGAAAATAAGTGCAAATTTTTTGATTAATAAGAATAAAATTAATCTTATAATTTTAATTGGAATAATAAAATATCATTTAATTAATATACTTGTGAAAGATATTCAAAAGGGAATATTAAGACTTACTGGAAAACTTAAAGTGAAGAATGCGTTGAAGTCTAGGATTTTGAACTCACACAATTAAAGTGTAGTGATCTTGTAAATGAATTTACCTGTGTTAATATCCAAACACCATCTTAATTTTGCAAATATGAAAATTTTAGTTGTAAATTAATTAATATTGAGGATCCTTACATAAATAAGCAATGTTCTCACTATGAAAAAGTAAATAGTGGTGCCTTTTGTTAATTAACGATTGATGTTGCTTGTGAATATGATATGAGATATAAAAGATGTTAAGTACTTACATAAACTTCTTTAGTGGATTGTGATTATAATCAAACTGAAAAAAAGGGGTACAATGAACTAGCATGTATNACAATAAATGAATTACTTGATAAAAATTAATAATTATAATATTCTAAAAGTTTATGCAGTTCTTTAGATAATACTCATACAAAATGTTTAATATTTAGTGAAATTAAAAATATATGTATTGATATATCTGATAGAGATCCTTATATTGATGATTGTTATAAATTCGTTACTAATAAATATGCTTGTTTATAAAAAACTACTTCAGCTTGTTATTATGATGATATTACTAAAGAATGTAAATCAACAGAATCTATAATATTAAAAAATACTTTTAGTTGTTTTAATGAAATGAATATTAATTGGGTAAGTTGTACTTTATTAATTTCATAATGTAAATTTATTAATAATAAATGTTAATAAATAGATTTTAATGATAATTGTGAATCTCTTGAAATATCATAAGCTATTGTTAAATCATCTATTTGTTCTAGTAGAATTGATAAAAGTTGTAGATTAAATATTAAAAGTAATACTTGTTAAGTTATTAATAATTAATTAATATAATTTTAATATTAATGTTCAACTCCTGGTTTAAATAAATTAGGATGTTTATTTTTAACAAAAGGTTATTTTTGTAAATTTATTAATTAATAATGTATATTTGATTATAATAAAGCAGCATTATGTGAAGATATTATTAATGAAGATAAATGTTATTCAATTAAAACTAAAGGATAATATTGTATATTTAATTAAAATAAAGGTTGTTAATAAATTGATACTAATATTATTAATTTAAATTAATGTATTCAATCATTTAAAACTAATCCTATTACTTGTTCAAAAAGCACAGATATACCTTGTTTTTACGATTTAATCGAAAATAAGTGCAAATTTTTTGATTAATAAGAATAAAATTAATCTTATAATTTTAATTGGAATAATAAAATATCATTTAATTAATATACTTGTGAAAGATATTCAAAAGGGAATATTAAGACTTACTGGAAAACTTAAAGTGAAGAATGCGTTGAAGTCTAGGATTTTGAACTCACACAATTAAAGTGTAGTGATCTTGTAAATGAATTTACCTGTGTTAATATCCAAACACCATCTTAATTTTGCAAATATGAAAATTTTAGTTGTAAATTAATTAATATTGAGGATCCTTACATAAATAAGCAATGTTCTCACTATGAAAAAGTAAATAGTGGTGCCTTTTGTTAATTAACGATTGATGTTGCTTGTGAATATGATATGAGATATAAAAGATGTTAAGTACTTACATAAACTTCTTTAGTGGATTGTGATTATAATCAAACTGAAAAAAAGGGGTACAATGAACTAGCATGTATAAGAAATAAGAATTGTACATTTTAGAATAACAGATGTTATAAAAATATTAATTAATTAATTGCATTTTGTGAAGATGTTAAGCCTAATTAAATTTAACTCTGTAAATAAATTATTACTGAGGGTTGTTCTATCATTAAAGACTAATGCATAGCAATATTACCAAAAAATTATTTTTCTATCAAGTGTGAAGAAGCTGTAAATATATAAGGATGCATTTAAATTTAAACTGAAAAATAAAACTGCTATTATGATTTAAAATCAGAGTAATGTAAATTCTTTGACATAAATAAGGATTTTAAATTTAAATGTTTGGAACTGACAAACATAAATTCTTTTCAATTTTGCGAACAAACTACTGATTAACCATGTTAATATAATATAAAGTTGAAATAATGTGAAATTGCAATCGAAAATAATTAAAATTGTTCACGTGGATTAAATAAAATAGCATGTTATAATTAAACTGATAAATCATAGTAATGTAAATTTCTGAATTATTGTTATGGACCCAATAATAAAATATCAGAATGCAATCCTAATAATGATTATGATTGTTGTAGAGAAGCATCATCCAAAGAGTCATGTTTATTTCAAATAAAATTTAAATGTTACTGGGATAAGGGATGTTAGGCATATAGATAAGGAACTTAAAAAAAATGTGATCAAATTAAAGATGCTTCAGTTCTTGTTTGCGCATCCATTAAAGATTTATTTTGTATATTTGACTCTGAAAATTCCAGTTGTAAATAAATTATACCTTAAGCCTGTGATGAAATCTAAACTTCTGATTAATGCAATAGAATAACAGATTTTCCATGCATTTGGGATGAACTCTATGAAACTTGCATATACAAGAAAAAAGATATTTTTGATTAATGTAGTTAAATAAAAGCTTAAAATGGTAATTTGAAGGCTTGTACTATGATTGAAAGAAGTGGCTAAAAATGTATATTTTAGAATAATTAATGTGAGACATTTTATTAAAATGAGAGTATTAATAATTGTAATAGTAATCTTAATATTTAATCTTGTTTATAATAAACTGTTAGTTAGTGTGAATGGGTAATAAAAGAAGTTTAAATAAGGAAGAGTAAGTCAAATNTAATATTTAAACTTAATATTGTTAAAAGTTTGAAAATCCAACTTCACCTTAAAATACTAGTTTAAGAGAGGATTATTAAACTCGTAACCTTATATCTTTTAATTATTTGGCTTGTATACTAAATACTATCGATAGAGTTTAAGCAGAAGACTAAAATATTTAAGATGAAGAAGCTAGCCCTGTTAAATTAAAAACTATATGGAAATAATTATGTTATGAAGTTGATCCAGCAAATTTAAGTTTTTTAAAATGTAATGATAAATTAAATGAGTCTGCATGTTTATCAATATAAACTCCTTTCTAATATTGCTAATTCATAGAAAATTAATGTTAATTTTAAGAGCCTGAAAATTTGAAAAATAATTCTTGCAATTCTATTTAAAAAATAAATTCAGGAATTTTTTGTTAGGTAAATGAATCTTATCCCTGCTTTTATAATTACTTAACGATGTCATGCGAAAATGTTATAGTAATGAATTAAATCTAATGCGTCGATTCTAATCCAGAATCTATTGGATATAATAAAAGAGCATGCGATTTAAAACCTTAAGAGTGTACTTTTTCAAATGGGTGTTATTAAATAAAAGCAACATAGAATATTAAATTTTGTAATGAATTTTCTGTCGATGAATGTAATAAAGCTTTGAGAGAAGGATGCAAAATAGATTAAAATAAATGTTTATCTATAAATCCAAATGAATATTCTCAATTAGAATGTCATTAAGTTGCAAATCTATTTGGATGCTTGAAGATCACTACAGAAAAGCAATTTTGTCAATATAATGAATTAAATAAGAGTTGTTAGTTAATTAAATTAGATAAAACTTCAGGCTTTTGTAAAAGTTTCTCTGCAATTAATAGTTAAGTTCCTTGTGAAAATACTATTGATATTCCTTGCAAATACAATCCATTAGAGCATAAATGTGAGAATGCCCAAGGAGAGATAGAATTCTAATGCATAAGAGGTTTAAATTAAATTGCTTGTTTGACTCTTACATAATAATCTTTATAATGTTAATTCTATAATTATTGTTATGGACCTAATCATAATATTCTTAATTGTGACCCTACAAAGATTAATGATTGTTGTTCATAAGCAATTACAATTGAAAGTTGTTTATTTTAGGATTAGTTTTAATGTTAATGGTTAAATGAAGAATGTAAATAATATTCAGAATAAAATTAAAAATGTTTATCTTTAATACATGTTTCAAGAAAAGTGTGTTATGATATTAAGGATACTTTTTGTATTTTCAATTTGGATACATTAGGATGTATAGAAATAAAACCAGTTAATTGTGAATAAATTTAAACAAAAGAATAATGTATTTAATTTACTAATTTGCCTTGTTATTGGGATTTTATCAAAGATTAATGTTTATAAAAATTAAAGAATTCTAATGATGGTTGTTAAGATATTTAAAATTAATGGGGTAGTGAAAGATCATGCTTGGATGTTGAAAAATAAGGATAAATGTGCATCTATTAAAATAAATGTTCTGCTTATATGCAATCGAAAGAGATAGGTTGCTCATAAAAATTAAATAAATAATCTTGTTTATAATAAGTATTAAATGAATGCATTTGGGATTAATAATAAAATTAAATTTGTCTTGAATTTAATAGACAATCCAATTAATAATGTGACTCTAATCTTAGTTATCTTGCTTGTTTGAAAACTAATACACCTAATACATATTGTTAATGGAAAGACAATGAATGTAAGAATGTTGAAACTAATTAGATTATTTCTTTATCATCTTTTTTTTATTTAAATTGTAATACATGTAGATTAATAAATGATGGTTCTAGTGTAATATGTGATACTTAGAATTTTAAATGCTTAAAAGTAAATAATCTAAGGAATCTTACTTGTGATGTTATTGGAATGAATAAATAAGCTTGTTTAAATATAAAAGATTATCCTTGTAAATGGGATGATATAAACAAAATATGTTTAAAATATGAATCATCAGATATTAGTTGTTAAATCAAAAATACTAATCCTTTAACATGTTCAATAATAAATTTATCTTTACCTTGTGGATCAAAAGGAAGTGATTGTGATTATGTTGATATAACAAAGATTTCTTGTGATTATCCAGGATTAAATGAGTATGCATGTCTATAAATTACAAATTATCCTTGTGGATGGGTTTATGATAATTTTATATAATAATACTAATGCAAATTAATCAAAAATTTTGATGCATGTTTAGGATATAATCATTAGGTTAATGCATTGGTATGTACTTAAATTTTGGATTTACCATGTGTTTATAATTCTAGAACAAGAAATTGTATTTTATTTAAAGTATCAGAAGACAATCATTGTAATTGGTTGGGAATTAATAATATTGGATGTTCTATTATTGAAGATTGTGTTTATATAAACGAAAGATGTGAGAAATATGATAAAAAACTGAATTTAAAATGTGAAGATGCTTTATATGCAAATAATAGGGTTTGTTCATAAATAGAAACGGATAGATGTAAATATAACATTTTAGGAAATGGTTGTATACCATCAGAATTAAATGATATCTGCTCAACCAAATAGATCAATGAAATTGGGTGCAATTATTTGTAAGATTGTTAATGGAATTAATCTAAATGCTAATGTAAGGCTGTGATAAATAATTATCCAGACTGCACTTCTGTCACTGAATCATTAAAATGTTAAAATTTAAATTATTGCTATATTGCTACTTCTAATCTTTAATATGCTGATGAGATTACTTAATAGTTAATAGATTAAAATTTATTAAAGTGCTAAAGAAAGACATGCGATTTTTATTCAAAAGATTAATGTGATGGTTAAATAATCGATACTGATATTTGTTATTTAACTTCTAATAAAGAGTGTAAATTAGCGAAAACATGTGATGAAATAGTAGATCCGTATAATGATTGTTCTAATTATACTCTAAAAAATTAATCCTGTTTCAGAAATTTAGATAGTAAGAATTGTTTTGCTTCATCAGATTGTTAAACTTTAGATTTTATTAAATGTTAATAATATCCAGAAGATTGTATTTTTGAGTCAACATGTAAAACTATAGAATGTTAATATTTTAATACATAAAGGAAATGTGAAGAAAAAAAATGTGAATGGATTCAATAAAATAAAAGTTGTATCAACTCAAATTTTTGCACTTCACAAAGTAACGAAAATTGTATGAACGTTAAACAAAATGGGAAATAATGTGCTTTAATAGGGAGAGATGGAGAGGACTAATTTTGTTCAGATATTGGATGCAGATATCTCTTAATAGAGTATTCCCTATGTAATGGAGCTGAAATAGGTGATGAAGTCTGTGTTCCATTATCAGATTCAAGTTGCGTAAGTTGCCAAGAAATTAACGATCCTTGTATTTGTTTAGCACATTAAGATTCTTGTGAATATGATAGATTTCATAATATTTGTAAGTCTATTTAATGCGAAAGTTTTAATTAAGACACTTGTCCCCTTTCTAGATGTTAATTTAATTAATAGTATTAGGTATTTTATTGACTTTATTTCTTAGATATGTATTCCATTTTGTTAAAATAATTATAATAGTCAGCAATGTAACTATTTTTAATTCTAATGTATCTGGGATACGAAGAAGTAGATATGTATTTAATAAAACAAAACCAATGTTTAAGGAGAGTTTCCAATAAATATTATTATCACTAATATCTATGGATTAGTCTTACAAATAATAATACCCATTCTTATAATTGAGTTTTGAATTTAAAATAATATATATTTAATGTGAGTGAGCTTATGTTCTTTAATATATATTTCTTGATCATTAAAAAAAAAATTAAAAAAATCATATTATAATACAAATATATAGTCATAATTTAAATAGAAAATATTTGATAATCTATTTTATAAGATATATTTAATATAAAAACTAAATAATTCTTATTTGGTCACCATAAAATGCAAACAAGCATACTAAAAGATATAAAAAGACTGGTATTCTCAATATTTAAAATAGGGTCAACAATAACCTAAGTTGTTATCTCTGGTTACATACAGATTTATAGTTCATAATTCCAATAACAGTATAAAGAATGTTGATCGCAATCAATATCATTTTTATGATTAGCACAATGAAAATGACAAGCCTAAATAATATTTCACTTTTACCTGATTTTCTTAATTGTATTCACAAAAATGATATTTTAGACATTAATTTTCATTAATAAAATTATTGCAATTGATAGATTAGCATTAATTTAATTATGGATTGAATTTGCAGTATTCTTGATCTATGCATAAACATAACTCTTTAATTTCCTCACATTAAACACATGATTCATCTTTAAGTTTTACACAAATATTGTTATTAATAAACTAATTCCTACATGATTAATATTTATCTAGAAATTAACAACCTAGTTGAGTACAAAAGCTCTCATCATCATCATTTTCCAACCAACTGCATTAAATGTTATCATAAGAACTTAAATTACAATCTTCTTAGGTTTAATAGGTATCACATTTTAACTTATCATTACATTCTTTAGTATTTTTATTCCATTCACAATTATAATATCTACAAACTTATTCTGTATATAATTCTGAACATTATTTTGTTTAACAACGATCAGTATATTGGCAATAAAGTGAAAATTTTTCACACATAACTTTATTTAATTCTGAACATACTAATTTTTTACAGGAATTTAAATCAATACTTTGAATACAAGGCACACCGTTAATTAATAATTTTGAACATAAAATATATGGATTTTTAACCTCTTCACATGAATTTGCCTATTAACATTAATTTTTAATGTTTAAATAACAAGTAGTATTTAATATTTAGTAATTTTAACATTCTTATTATTTAAGATCTGAGCAAAATTTTTATCTACATGTACCAAAATTTTAATTTTCAATTTATTAATTAACTTCATTATTATTTGTTTACTAATATTCATATATACATTATTCATATTATTTACATTTTTATGACTCAACTATTTCATCACAAACTGGTAAAAAATTTTGAATGCTTTAACATTCGCAATTGTTATTTTTCCAAAAACACTANCCAATGTTTAAGGAGAGTTTCCAATAAATATTATTATCACTAATATCTATGGATTAGTCTTACAAATAATAATACCCATTCTTATAATTGAGTTTTGAATTTAAAATAATATATATTTAATGTGAGTGAGCTTATGTTCTTTAATATATATTTCTTGATCATTAAAAAAAAAATTAAAAAAATCATATTATAATACAAATATATAGTCATAATTTAAATAGAAAATATTTGATAATCTATTTTATAAGATATATTTAATATAAAAACTAAATAATTCTTATTTGGTCACCATAAAATGCAAACAAGCATACTAAAAGATATAAAAAGACTGGTATTCTCAATATTTAAAATAGGGTCAACAATAACCTAAGTTGTTATCTCTGGTTACATACAGATTTATAGTTCATAATTCCAATAACAGTATAAAGAATGTTGATCGCAATCAATATCATTTTTATGATTAGCACAATGAAAATGACAAGCCTAAATAATATTTCACTTTTACCTGATTTTCTTAATTGTATTCACAAAAATGATATTTTAGACATTAATTTTCATTAATAAAATTATTGCAATTGATAGATTAGCATTAATTTAATTATGGATTGAATTTGCAGTATTCTTGATCTATGCATAAACATAACTCTTTAATTTCCTCACATTAAACACATGATTCATCTTTAAGTTTTACACAAATATTGTTATTAATAAACTAATTCCTACATGATTAATATTTATCTAGAAATTAACAACCTAGTTGAGTACAAAAGCTCTCATCATCATCATTTTCCAACCAACTGCATTAAATGTTATCATAAGAACTTAAATTACAATCTTCTTAGGTTTAATAGGTATCACATTTTAACTTATCATTACATTCTTTAGTATTTTTATTCCATTCACAATTATAATATCTACAAACTTATTCTGTATATAATTCTGAACATTATTTTGTTTAACAACGATCAGTATATTGGCAATAAAGTGAAAATTTTTCACACATAACTTTATTTAATTCTGAACATACTAATTTTTTACAGGAATTTAAATCAATACTTTGAATACAAGGCACACCGTTAATTAATAATTTTGAACATAAAATATATGGATTTTTAACCTCTTCACATGAATTTGCCTATTAACATTAATTTTTAATGTTTAAATAACAAGTAGTATTTAATATTTAGTAATTTTAACATTCTTATTATTTAAGATCTGAGCAAAATTTTTATCTACATGTACCAAAATTTTAATTTTCAATTTATTAATTAACTTCATTATTATTTGTTTACTAATATTCATATATACATTATTCATATTATTTACATTTTTATGACTCAACTATTTCATCACAAACTGGTAAAAAATTTTGAATGCTTTAACATTCGCAATTGTTATTTTTCCAAAAACACTAGTTTAACGAAATAATGCAACCTTATTAACTTAGACCTTATCCCTTACATATTTCATTCGATTGGGAAGTAATACAACCATTTTTCAAAGGACTATATTTGCATGAGTCTTATGCGTTTTTACAGATATCGGCATGAGCTTAAGGATATTTAAGACATTTGTAACTTTCTTCTTTAATTGCTTAGCATTTATGATTTTCGTAATAACATCCTTTTATATTAGAACATGCAATGTAATTTAAACCTTCAATATTACAATCAGCATAAGTTTCAATAGGAGTCTAGCAAATTTGAGTTTCTTTGTTGTAAAAACATGCATCAACTTAAACAGATGAGCATACCATAGAGTTAACTTATAACTTAATATTGTTACAAGAATCATAAGGCAAATAGTCATCACAATGATAATTATTATCTTCTTCATTTTTAATCCAAGCACAAGGATAATTAGTAATTTATAAACAAGCAAATTTATTCAATCCTTAATGTTTGCAATTAACATTTAAATCTATTTTACCACAACCATTGCCTATGAAACCACAACTATCTTGTACATTGATTAATGTACATGCTTTTGAATTTAAACCAGGCAAATTACATGAGATATCAAAATTTGTATTTTCTTTAGTGACTTATTCGCATGTTTTCTATACATTATTCCATTTACATAATTCAAATTGAATATGAAAACAAGAAATTTAATTTAAACCAAATTTTGATTATGAGCATGATAATTGATTTATATCTTTTAATTCAATACAAGAAGCTAATTTTTAAGAATAAGATATTAATCTATCATCTTCATATAACCCACAGACACTTGGATTCACATTTGTAGCTAATTCAGGTTTTTTAATTTTGCTATTCATATATTCAGATATATAGAAATTTTAGCATTAGTTATTCTTCCATACACAAAATGAACCAATCTTTTGGATTGATATACATGATTTATAACTCAGAGATGAGTTACACTCTCTTTAACTAAATTCAGTCAATTATTTACATTCTCCAATTTCTACTTTATCAAATTCCTTATTTGACTTACTCTTCCTTATTTAAACTTCTTTTATTACCCATTCACACTAACTAACAGTTTATTATAAACAAGATTAAATATTAAGATTACTATTACAATTATTAATACTCTCATTTTAATAAAATGTCTCACATTAATTATTCTAAAATATACATTTTTAGCCACTTCTTTCAATCATAGTACATGCCTTCAAATTACCATTTTAATCTTTTATTTAACTACATTAATCAAAAATATCTTTTTTCTTGTAAATGCAAGTTTCATAGAGTTCATCCCAAATGCATGGAAAATCTGTTATTCTATTGCATTATTCAGAAGTTTAGATTTCATCACAGGCTTAAGGTATAATTTATTTACAAGTGAAATTTTCAGAGTCAAATATACAATATGACTCTTAAATAGATGTGCATACAAGAACAGAGGCATCTTTAATTTGATCGCATCTATTTTAAGCTCCTTATTTATATGCCTAACATTTATCTTGCCATTAACATTTAAATTATTTTTGAAATAAGCATGACTCTTTGGATGATGCTTCAAGACAGCAATCATAATAATTATTAGGATTGCAATCCAATATTTTATTATTTGGTCCATAACAATAATTTAGAAATTTACATTACTATAATTTATCAGTTAAATTGTAACATGCAATTTTGTTCAATTCACGCAGACAATCATAATTATTTCCAGTAGCAACTTCACATTTATTCATAATTTAATTATATTTGCATGATTGATCTATTGCTTATACACAAAATTCGTATGAATTTATTTGATTCAATTCCAAGCATTTTGGTTGAAAATTAGAGTATAAATTTTAGAACTTGCATTACTCTGATTTTAAATCATAATAGCAAGTTTAACCTTTTGTTTAAATTTTAATACATCCTTGTAAATTAACTGCTTCTTCGCACTTAATAAAAAAATAATTGTTTGGTTATATATCTGTACATCTATTAGATATAATAGAACNGTTTTTACAGATATCGGCATGAGCTTAAGGATATTTAAGACAGTTGTAACTTTCTTCTTTAATTGCTTAGCATTTATGATTTTCGTAATAACATCCTTTTATATTAGAACATGCAATGTAATTTAAACCTTCAATATTACAATCAGCATAAGTTTCAATAGGAGTCTAGCAAATTTGAGTTTCTTTGTTGTAAAAACATGCATCAACTTAAACAGATGAGCATACCATAGAGTTAACTTATAACTTAATATTGTTACAAGAATCATAAGGCAAATAGTCATCACAATGATAATTATTATCTTCTTCATTTTTAATCCAAGCACAAGGATAATTAGTAATTTATAAACAAGCAAATTTATTCAATCCTTAATGTTTGCAATTAACATTTAAATCTATTTTACCACAACCATTGCCTATGAAACCACAACTATCTTGTACATTGATTAATGTACATGCTTTTGAATTTAAACCAGGCAAATTACATGAGATATCAAAATTTGTATTTTCTTTAGTGACTTATTCGCATGTTTTCTATACATTATTCCATTTACATAATTCAAATTGAATATGAAAACAAGAAATTTAATTTAAACCAAATTTTGATTATGAGCATGATAATTGATTTATATCTTTTAATTCAATACAAGAAGCTAATTTTTAAGAATAAGATATTAATCTATCATCTTCATATAACCCACAGACACTTGAATTCACATTTGTAGCTAATTCAGGTTTTTTAATTTTGCTATTCATATATTCAGATATATAGAAATTTTAGCATTAGTTATTCTTCCATACACAAAATGAACCAATCTTTTGGATTGATATACATGATTTATAACTCAGAGATGAGTTACACTCTCTTTAACTAAATTCAGTCAATTATTTACATTCTCCAATTTCTACTTTATCAAATTCCTTATTTGACTTACTCTTCCTTATTTAAACTTCTTTTATTACCCATTCACACTAACTAACAGTTTATTATAAACAAGATTAAATATTAAGATTACTATTACAATTATTAATACTCTCATTTTAATAAAATGTCTCACATTAATTATTCTAAAATATACATTTTTAGCCACTTCTTTCAATCATAGTACAAGCCTTCAAATTACCATTTTAAGCTTTTATTTAACTACATTAATCAAAAATATC